TTTCGTTTGGTTTTTTAGTTTTTGAATTGGAGCCATAAATTACGAAAGAAGCGGAAAGAGAGCGTTTGAACGAGCTAGGCGATGCACCTCCTGGGTGGCGGGCACGACCCAACGTCGCCCCGGGCACTCTCGACGCCACCTGGTGTCCTTTGATGAAGCTTCGTCTTTCGAGTGTTGACAGATGCTTTATGTACGTTTAGCGTAGCGAGAACGACCGCCAATCTTCAACCCTCTCTTCATTCCCTTCACTCCCAACCCATTCAATTCGTATACTCTTCCAATATGAGCCGCCTTTTATGTGATACGTATCAATGAGAGCCGCGTGTGCGTACACGCGTTTATTGATCGACGGTCATATTAAACAGCGTTGCGTCATTTAAGGAATAGACGTCAAGGTGATCTAACTATAGTGAAAGGAGCCGCCTTGTTAAAAGTAGTAAAAAGAAAGACAGATCCCGACGAAAGATGACCGACGGCTAATACTGTTAACGTAATAGGAAAAGAAAAATAGAATGAAAAATAAATAGAACCAAAACTGGAGCCCGGAGAGTGTAGATAATGGCGAGTGACGTTTAGCAAAGACAATTGCAGAACGTAATGCGATTAAATGACGTGTAGCAGCATTCGCGTCAACGTCAATTAATCGACGAGCATGCGCAGGAGAAAATGATGAATGCGAGGTGCTAGAAGAGAGCACAATTGAGGTCGGATAAGGCCAACAGTAATTCTACACTTTGTCAAAACTGCCTTGATCTATGACGTCGATATCTTTCTTCATCCATTCACTTTTATATTTCAACCGTCCAACCGGAAACGTACAAGGCCGACGGCAAAGTGTGCGCGCTCGTGTTTATGTAAATCGACAAACCAACCAACCCTGTTCCATCATTCAGCCACGCGAATGACACTTGAAAAACATGGCATAAATGAATTATGGATGAACGCCGACGCCCCCTATTGTAAGGCAGTCATAAATTTGAGTAACGGCTAAAGAAAGGGCGTTAGTTTTTATAAGCGGCGGCGTCTCCTTCGAAACGTTCGTCTCCCAGAATCAACGCGCGCCACTAAGCGTGACCGAGACGGCACCTGCTTGGATATAGAAATTTCGTCTTTCGGTCTCCGCGGCCGTATTACTAAGAGCCCCTCCTTAAGCCCCTGCTACGGTCGTCTATTCGGTCGTAAATCTTCCGCAGGGACTCGGACGTTCCGTAAACAACATTACTCATATTTTAGCTCGTTTTTTCACCGGTTTCCCTTTCCCCCCTCTGATCAGTCTAAAATTTGTTCTCTATATAAGAGGGTCTAAGAAGTTTACTCTGTTTTTATACATATAGCACTATTACTTTGATGAAGTAAGAACAAAAGAGAAAATCTCCGTGTAAATAACGTCGTTGTCACACTTAAGGCCATCTATAGATTGAAAAATGGGACTGTAGCGTGAGGAACGAAGCAATAAGGTGACTGTCATAAATCAAGCATGTTAATCCGGCTGTCAGAAAACGAACAAGTTTTGTGCGCTTGTCAAGTTTCGCTTCAATGGGTATTTAATGCGTTCGATTTACGTTTGGCGCCCGCTGTATATATCTATGCGGGTACACTGTTTATCAGTTTATATTGTATAAAATTTTATGTCGAATACGGTAGGAGTAGCATGAACTTTCGATGGCATTAACTGCTTTATATTACCTACGTGAAAGCATACAAGAAACGTCACTCTCATTTATTTTATTCCATTAAATTATAATACATTGAAATGCACACGTGTTTACATAGACTACATTCATAAAATAATTTTCCAATATCATTTTCAGCGACACCTGGTATTCAAACATATTGAATGTATGAAGATCATAACTAGTATGTATAAATAGTATAAATAACAAAATGTAAGTATATATATAAGATATAAAATTGAATTAATGGTTATGCTGAATATATTATTTTACATCCGTATTCTATTAGTATATGAGTACGCACAAATTTTATGTATATCCTCTATCTTTTAACGATTTCTATTTATCTATGACACTGAAAAAACGTTATATGTGCACATATAGATATTTAGAGTACGTAGTGCATTTGACACATACCAATAAATGACATATATATATATATATATATAGATATTTTCCTGTCGGAGCTACGGGAGCGATCGGTCATGACAAGATCTATGACTTGTTGGCTGCAATCTGCTCGTTGGCGCCCTCGGGAGAATCTTTTCGCCATCTAGACGCTTAGGTGGATTACGAACGGCCCTTGCAATCACGTATACATGCGGAGGCCAAGGGATAAAAGACGAAAGGGTGTAACACACGTTGCGTAAAAATCAGCTATAGAATTTTGCTATTTATATTCGTTTATATACTTTTATGTATAAACTTGATTTTATGCGTATTTATATATATGAAGTCTATAGCATATACAGCCCTATAAGATTTGATTGATGGACGGCACACCGCTTCCTTTTAATATTAGAGAGGAGGCGTAACGGCAAGGAGTGTGGTAAATAGGGAGGAAAAGAAGAGAGCCGCTACCTCCTCCCTCCCTACCCCACCCCTTCAAGCCAATTGAAATGCAAGACAGCGGCGATTCGGGCGTGATTTGTGCCCGTTAAACGTCTTACTATTTCGTCTGTTGGACGTTGGAAAAGGGTAAAACGTGACTGCGAGTGTGAGCTCTGGCGTTTGGGTAAGGAAAAGAGAGGGTAGAGAAAAGCCAACAGAATTCTGCAGTTGGCTGCTAATTCATCTTCGAGAGTACGATGCGTCTTGCTGCGGCTAGTATAACGTATTAGCTAATAAACGCCGTCGTCCGTCATTCTTGGCGGCGTGTAAATGGACGCGTTTGATGTGACGTTGGCAAACTTGACGAGCAGAGACGTAAAGCGGCTAATCGACGCTCGAATTCAAAGGCAAAACGCCATTTAAACGTCATTTTCCCAGCTTGATGTCCGCCTCTCCCACCGAGACGGACTCGGCTCCTAAACTTCAAACGACCCAACAGAGTGGCTGCACGAGGCGTCGAGTGGCGTCTAAAAGAGTGTGCGAACGATGGCGTTTCACCTTTTATAGGCTTAAAGGTTTCGTCTCCTCAGTGACAATAAATTTTGTGACCCGCCGCCTTTGATCTGTACAACATGTGCCGGCTGCTCGGCATTGAGAGATAAGAGCCCGCATTCATCGTACGTCAGAACTGTCCGCCCTTCTCTCCGGACCTATTCCATCATTCTACACCTGCGTTTCCATCTCCACTTTGCTCTTTCTTATCTCACCTGTCAAATGCTTCTTACAAATTGAGCCGATATGTGCGAACGTGCGTGAAAAAAACTTTATTAATTCATATAGTAAATTATATATTTGTATGTGTATGTGTATAATTTTATTGCATGCTCCTAAGGTATCTAAATATGAATTATGAAAGATATATACTGTATATATGTACTTCATGTTCACCAGCACTGATACGTATCTGAATAAATCTACTCGAATATAGTAACATAAGTATAATCGTTATCGCATTTACATATAGAACTTTGCAACGAATTTAGTATATTCTTAGGTATTATACGTGTATTCGGTTTGTAGATAATTATACACAGACCTGTGCTAAGCCTATTTGCATACTATTTTCTGGTGTTAGGTCATAGGCCGAAAAAAACAGAGTGGGACTAGTCAATAATTAGTTGATGAGTAGAACGAGCGCTTAATCAATCACGATGATTGATCGAGTCGTGCAACAGCTGACATTTAAATATTTAATTCTAAAGTTAAATTAATCGGTGGTGGAAACGTAACGTAAAAGTTATCTTGTATATGTTAAGCTAACAGGACAGAAATTAAGTCTTTCCTTTGAAGCAGAAATCAACCGGAAGCACGGAAGCGTTAACTCAATTCATTACAGAGGCTTAGTAAGTCATTAGACGTCGGAGTTGGAAGTGATAAGGCGAAGAAATACATAACCTTCCCTTAAATATTTAATTTCTCGTCTTATTTTCTAGGTATTGCAATTCCCGTTTACCCAAGTCTGTGTTTCGGATAAGACATGAAGAATACAAACATAACATGGGAGGTCGTAAATCAAATACCTATAAGCGCTTTAGACATACGCTATTCTTATTTTACTATTATTCTAACAATTCAAAAGTTGCATAAGGCTTGTTAAATTGTGAAAAAGAGTTATAAATAAAGTTGGTAATTAATCATCGTAAATGAGCCATTATGCTATACGAAAGCATTGTACGAATCGGCTTTAGGGGGCCGTCTAGAGCAATTATTCTTTTTTTCTGTTATATCTACGCCTCAATTATTCCATGAGCTCGCCCGTCAATCATCTGCCGCCGGCATTCTACAAAGTGAATTTTACAATAAAACGTCTGACATTCGAAATTACAAATGATAATAATATTTTACGAGCGGCATATACTCGCATCTGTAACCATTTTTCATTACTCTTTTTTAGCCTGCAATTTAGATGTATACTCTACTAACCGACGCATTTGTCATTACCGAATTACCCATAAGACGGTTATAATAAATAATACTTGGGTGAAGAAGAATGAAAAAGTCAGCTTTTTCCCCTTTCTTATGTCTGGCTAATGTTTAAATGATTTATAATCGTATTTTTCAGCCAAAACGTTTTTTCGTTTGTCTTTCGATTCGTATAAATGTTATTATCAACACGGTCGATTTACGAGCCTACTAGAGTAGGCCTATGTGATATAAAAGAGCCCACGGAACGAATTTTTATATAAAACGGCTATACGCGTTAATCTATTGAGCAGAGCGTGAGTATGCAAAGTACGAGTTGTTTGCCATTTTGCGAAATAAATTGCTATAAAGTCAGAGTGTATGCGTGTGGTATGTAAAGCCGTAAAGGAGCATAGTTAGTATAGATGGCCTAAGGAAGGGATAGTAGTACAAAAAGGGATGAAGGCTAACATTCAATAGGTTTCTATTATAAAAAGCAAAAGGAAATAAAAAAGACTATAAAAGGCAGTGGACAAAATATTCTTATAATCATTATTCTTTCCTCTCTTACTCTCTTTTACACATATATATGTCTTCTCTCTTTCGCTTTCTGTTAAACTGATAATATTTCTTTCTCTTCGCTTCCCTAACTCTCTCTCGCTCTCTCTATCTCTCTCTCGCTCTCTCTATCTCTCTCTCGCTCTCTTTCTAAACTTTCCGGTGCTCACTAAAATATTCCCGTCACGTGAACGCGATCATTCATTATACAAATTCGCAATTCGCGCAAACACTCATTGATATATATTGGCCGAGACGTTTTATGCCGGAGCCGAGCTTTATATTTAAAAATAAAGTGATAGAGCGAAAGAGAAGAGAAAGAATGAAAAAGGCCGTAGCTTTCATGTCTTAGATGTGAAAGGAAGGGGATAGGTTGTTCGTTTAGTTACTTCTCGTTTTATTTTCTGTCAGCCTATATTTTTGTTGTACTAAAACTTTGATTTACGAGGCGAAGCCTTTTCGCGGCATTTCTCTTGCGTGGAGTTGTCTGTATTATAATCTCTTTCTCTGTACGATTAGAAAGTAGATGATGCATTGGGATTGTCATGAGCATTTTTCATGAGCTGGCTATTGTTTGCCGCCCGATATCCTATCGGAAGTGATACGCTATTTTATATTTACCAAAGTCTCATTATTCCTTTATTACTAGATCGTATTCAGTCTAAAGAATATGACGCATAAATTAAAAAGGAGAAATCTTGCACCAAACCAGTCCGAAGAAAACAAAAAACAGAAAGAAAATTAATGTCCTATACTGTAAATACAAGATTCATGTAAGCACAGTATATATATATAAATATATATATATGTATACAGTTTGTCTGTGTATGTATATATGTATATACACAAAAATCTTCTCCTAGTCCTAGGGAACAGCTGCAGCTCCAAGACGAGGGTACAAAACGGAATAGGGAGAACAATAAGCTGCTGCAGATAACGGTGATATAGATGGTGTTGTAGGCGTTGATGTTGAAGACGGCTTATAAGGATGGTAGCGCATTGCCGAGTTAGGACTTAAGCTTGTAGGATAGTTCCTGAGCGCGGAAGGGCTAAGAGATGGCGCAAGAGAAGGAGGAATAACTGGAGGAAAGGCACCATAGAGTGCAGCAAGATCTGCTGGACTAACTGTCGAGCCAGTAGCCGCTGTTGCCGCAGATGAAGGCCCTGTATGAGTCCTAAGGTGTTGAAAGAGTTCTTCGCTGCTGGAGAAGCGTTTGCCGCAATAATCACTACCTGAAACCCAATTACAAACGTAGGGAGACGACGGCAGCTGTAGAAGGGACGGTGGGATAGAATGAAGCCCAAGAGTGGCCAATGAATGAAGTTTATCTGATGAACACTGCGTACATCCGGCTGGACAAGTTCCACCCAATTGAGCGTGTTGCATCATTATCTGACAATTGGTACAGAATGGGTCTCGACAAACGGGAACTAAAGAGGAGGCACCTCCTGGAGTCTTGACTCTTGTGTATGACATAAAAGGAGATACTGGTGATCCCTTGTGGGAAGAGAGAGTGTGTGAAGCTAAAGCCGAACTATGGAGAGCTTGTAGAGAGTGGTGTGGGAGAAGAGGAAATCCCGAAGGATAAAAGGGCGGAAGTGGACCTCCTGGCACAGTAGGAGTTGCTGTCGGAAATTTTGTCTCTTCCGATACTGGAACTTTCAAAGGTTCAGGGTTTTTTGGAGACGATGTTGTCGATCTTCTAGACGGAGGTCTCGAACCAATTGAATTTGGAGGCGATACTGAACCGTTTTCCTTCGATTCTCTTACTTTCTCCAATTTATCTTGTTTAGGTGACACCGATTTGTCTTTATTGCTCCTTGCGCCTGGAGACGGCGTCATTTTCCTGTCGTTCTCTTTCGGTGATTTTGATCGAGTTGACATCGAATCCTTTTTTGTTTTATCTTCTTTCTGAATCGGTGGTATTATCGATTTCGTAGGCGCTGTATCTTTTCCAATCGCACTACATGTTTGAGCTAGTAAAGCCAAAGGACTTTTCTTGGCATCCAGCTATATTTTAGAATAAAAATAATAAAGTCAAACAGTGCTCTTAAATATTGACTCGTTGAATAAATCAACAGGACGGTTATGTACATTTATGACAGTTTACAGCTTTAACAGCCCCCTCCTTTACATACGTCAGCTCAGTTTTAATCCGTCTCTTTACGCTCGGAATACGTGCGCCCAACATTCGTTTATGCTAATTCGTTTCGACACTAAACGTATTATAGGCTTACAGAGCCACTCGAAACTTACGCCGAGTGCGTCATAGTATTCTAGACGCGAACAGTAAAGGTATTTTGTTTGTCAGTTAACAAAAAAGTACTCCCACATAATGGTGAAGAAGTTAACGACGATTATTAATATCTATAGCACAAAAATAGAAAAATTTGGCGGATAAAGAAAGTGTTTCCTTTATTCGATCAATTCTAAGCAGTCACCTTCTAAGAGAAAGGCCAAAACGACAAATTCTTAAATTCGACAAACAAAACACCCAGATGAAAACTAATGGAGAACAAACACGCAAACCGGTAAATGTTCCAAACTGTAAACACGCCAACTTACCGTCGTTGGTAAAGGTTGAATATATTCTGGATGTAGATACTGGGAACCACTAGAAGTGATCATTGTATGACGTAAGGCTTCCATAACGTTTGAGAAGAGTAGAGAAAACTATCCTCAAAGAAACATACACGTCCTATCTCGAGCACCTTTCACCGCGAACTGCCAAGCTGTGTCGGAGCTTAAAAATGGCGGACATAGGAAATTGTATATTTAAGCCACCAATCAACGACCGATATCCGCTAGAGGCGCTTATCATTGGCGGCTCGCGGTGATTAAGCAGAACAAGCTCCGCCTACTGTTGGGTTCTCCGCCTAGACTAGGGGTCAAGGCATTCGCACATCCATCAAACAAGCAAAGGCGGCTGTCAATCTCTGATGATTTACGTGTACTAAAAGGGCGCACTTTACACCAATTTACCCTTTGAAAAATTTATAAATGTTCGTACAATCGACGTTCGTATAGGGGAATGACAGGTGTAGAAATGAGCGTTAAACAACTCCCGGACTCTAAACTCGGCCTAGCCAGTCGATAAGAGCGGCGGTAGAACTCCTTTGATGTAGCCACGCTAAGCTCACTTATCAATCAAACGTGTATAAGTGGCGTGTTTGAAAACAGATTGGGATTGACAGAAAAGAGTGCCTTGACAACGTCAGTCTGACGCTCGTAGCAATTATGTAGCCACTTCAAAGGGCCAGCCGCTCGCTCTCAATCTACTTTAACTAACGCGTCCTTATCGAGCTTGACCCGTTCACCGTGTCAGTCATTCGGACCTCATCTGTTCATTCTTTCTTCTATCCGCCACGCGTCGGCATATCGATGACTGTCGGAAAGTAGGCGGTAAAGGGCAAACAACTGAGCGGCGACTCGAAACCAAACAAACATTCTTAGAAAGTTTTGGCGCGAAAATTGTCGGCCTGCGGGCTGAACAAACACGCGCCGTCTTAGACGGCCCCCGGGAACGAGTTCAAAGCGTATTACACGTGACAGAAAACGCTCGAAAAACGGCATAATGAAGGCTACACGCAGAGAAAACGCGGTGTGTGTCAACAGGAATACAAGCGGTCAGTCAGTGGTCAGACGCTATGGGACATTTATACGTCTTTCATCTTACCGACTCTGATTGGTACAGATTGCACATGCCTCGAGCACTGTGCTTTGCAGCAAACTGTCAATCAATTCGTCGTGTAACCCCCCACCATCATTCACCCCTTGTATACAGGATATAAATAGGATGTACCATTACATACACTTTATGCTTAACACCTGGATAGGGTAATAACTATATAGTCTGTGTCCTACTTTCCATATTTTTACTTGCCTTCTGTATCTTATCTAATTGGCTGCTCGAATATTATTCGTAGATCCGTATATTATCGGGCTCAAGGTGTATGCTGAAAGATAAACCGTAAACAACCTCTGGGAGCTTGGAGAGTAACAAGATAATCGTGATACTGTTGTACATACGCCGCCCTGAAACAAGCATTGTTTCACTATTTACGAATTATCTAATAGACAAGGGAGCTTTCTTCGTTGGTGTATATTTAGTAATTAGAGTTAAATGTGCTTTTAAGAAATCATTTCGTAGGCCTTAAGTTAGTTGAAGGTAATTTTTTGTAAATTCTGTTAACGTTTAACGATCGATATTTCAACGCTGCGGGTAATATATGGCATTCATTCGACACATTCTATTCATTTGTGTCATATCAGATAAAGTCTTAACGGGATGGGGTTATTCAACATGACAACACCTCAAAGACGAGCGGCGTTTTTTGAAAACACTTCAGACGCTTGATGGCGCCATCGTCTTAAAAGTAAATCCAAAATCTAGTGCTTTAATGTTGACAGGGCGGCTTTTCTTCATCTCTAGTAATTAGTTGCACACAATTTTGTCGATTCTCTAAAAGTATATGCCTAATTGTTTTCTTATTCGACAAAGGACTGAGGTGTGAAAGCTCAATAACAGAGGGAAAGTAATCCGTCAACTCGTCTTTAAATGGTGATTGTCTAGAGGTAGCCAACTAGCACTTTGCTCTTTTAAGTTATAAACAAGGGTATAAATTGTGTTCGTCAGTTATTATTTCCAATTTAAATTGTTACAGTGTTTTAAAAACATTTCATGAAATAAAAAGCCAAATTGAAGGTTAAATAACGTTAACACCTTTACCCTATTGTACAAAATCAGGTTCAATTCTTATATCCTTTTAATTGAATATTCATAAATATATAATGAAAATCGTATTTGATCTTTTGAATAGGCGAAAAAATTACAATTCTTCGTTGTTCAGGAAATTCGATCTACTTTTATTCTCTTAAAACAATGAACAAAAAGGGAAATATAAACAATAGGTTTTATTGATAAATACTCTTTGCCAACTCAACACTACATTTGAACGCCTCTGTTCAAAAAAAAGATTTAAGGTTCAGCAGACATTCTTCCTCTTTCATTTTATGTTAGATCAATTTCTACATAAATCATTTATTTCAGACGTTTAAATACATTTTAGACTTAACCATCTCATATAATCTTTATTTATATCTACTAAAAGAGATCATCATATGTTTTATATCCAGTAAAAGTCTAATTCTATATTATGTTTTTATTAGTTCTGAACGTAAATTATATATTTATTTTATTTAATATTCAATGTATTCTAATCAATTTACTAATCACTTTGACGATAAATCACTAACTCTACCAACCAAAATTTATAGATTTACCAATAAATAACATTTTACCCACCAATTCTACACTAATCTTTTCTTTTTATTATACACAACTAGCCGCAGTCTTTCAATTCTGCAGATGGCGCTTTGTTTTTACTTCTATTTTTTGGTCTCTTGTAAATTAATCTCTCTTCTTGACAAAAAACTATCGCTCTTTAATCCTTTATTGTAACAACCTTTTTATAGCACCCTTATTCATCAAAAGTAGCCGTTTAAGTTGATTAAACAGTTGATGGAGACATGATAGAGAAGACAAAAAAGAATTCTTTTCAATTTTTTTAACGGATTTTGGAGAGAGCAATTTATAAAAAGGTTATCACTCTGGAACATTTTGCTTCATTGCTTCATTGTGTGTCTGCACTAGTAAACACGAAAAGGTTAATTAAGATCATCTGGTTATATCATATAAATTGATTTGAGAATATTTAGAAAAATGTAATTGAACTAATAATACTACTATTATATTCTGTACATCATTTAATACTTTATGTATAAAAGATATAATATATATAAATTACTCTTTTTATATGAAAGATCTTACGATATAATCAGTAAAAAGTAGTGTAATTTTGTGATGAGTAATATAGACATTATATTTTTATGACCTAGTTTATTATAGTTATATTACTTAATATGTTAGAACGAGAAGTTTTAAGCTTTTTTACAAAAATAAAATTGCCAATTGACATATTTTTAATTTGTTACATTTTCAAAAAAAACTAGAGTTCTTCTTGATAAAATTCTCTTTGTCTTTTTTTTTTTACTTTAAATGAAAAAATTTGTAAAGGGGCATGTTACTCTGATTTGAACGATTTATAACCCTATTAAAAAAGTGTCCGCCTCTTGTTAAGCGTCAAAATGTTATCAGGACATCATTGATCATTTACAGATAATCTTTAACTTCACTATTTCTATAAAAATAGACTTTCGTTCTAAATTCTTTGAAAACTTCTGAAAAGGAGGTGTTTTGTTTGTCGTACCTTTATTTTTTAACATATTATGTGTTTGTTTAATCGAATTTTTATCTTTAGCTTCGCCCTTTATTTCTATAAATAGATTTATTGATAACAATTCTCTCGTAGCCTAAAGGGAAAGAGTTTACAAATTTTCGCTAGTGGACATTTACAAAGTTAAATTTAGATTTTTTAATAAAGCGTAAAAGTAAGATTGAAGAATGATGTAGAATCTTGTGAAATTTTACCAATGTATCAATTAAACTGTGACAAATTAGCCTTGGACTACCTATTTCTCTCTCTTGAAACTATGTTACTGTTTACAAATGTAGACTTTACTCTTACTACCGTTAAACTTTCATTTATCTGAAAAGTGTCAGTTAAACGACCTATAAAGTTGGTAGAAGCCATAACTTCTCACAAATAGATTAATAACACTCTAGTTAAGTGATGTAAGGAAAGAATTCTATAAAACAATAGAAAATTTCCTTCTGAATGTTTCTTTTACATTAATTAATAACACTTAACAAATCATGAATGAAATAATATCGGGGAATTGTTGATACGAATATATTGTACTCTAAATTTATCCGATAGATGGCAATAACATGTTGGTTTCAACATAGATTGCGCGTAACCTTTAACGCCACCTTTGTCGTAACAAGGTGACTAGTTGTATTTTGTAATAAAATATTTAGAACAACTCAGTAGAGCTTTAAGGATTGACTTTAATAATTAAAATTCTCATTAAAAGAAAAAAATCTTGAACTTAATTCGATTCGTTTTCCATCGCACGAAGAGAGAGGTTCTCGGTGTACTTTGCAGCCATACTGAACTTGACATGTCTTTGCCTTCTGGTTACTCTGTGGACTCTAATACACTCTAATACAGAGTCGGATGAGAGTTCCTTTTGTACAGAGATGGAAGTGAAGGCATCAATTACAGCTGATTCTTAAGCTTTTGTAGATGGGGTTATTTTCCTTTTCTCTCTCTCTCTCTTTTATTTTCGTTTACTTTTAAACTTGTCATATTGTACTTGACCTTTACGTTTAAGGGAAAAACTTGTTAGAATAACGCTCTCAAGTGTCTAATGATAAACTCGTCGTTAAAGTCAAATTTCAATTAAGTTCTTAATGAAAAAAAGTAATTACTCATTTATTTTCTATCGATTGAACTTTGGTTACGCTTGAAAAAAAATGAAAACAATTAATTGTTATTTTATAAAATTTATGAAAAACTTGAATAATTCACAATGATAAATATAAGCGTATTTCTTACAAAATCAACTAGAAAAGTAAATTGAAAGACTAATATTATTCATATAATAAAAAGAAGATTTATATATAATTCAAGTACTATTTCTACAAACGAAACAATTGTTTACTTAGATAATGTTACTTTTTATAGTTAAATAAAGATTTAATTATATATAAGCATTTTATAGATTGCTAATTATTAGAACTTTATAAATTCCTGGATATTTAATGTAATTGTGGCATTTGTGAAACGAATTCCGTGTTGTATAGATCGTACATGGTTTAGCTTTTTGAAATAGTTAAGTTTGTGTCAGAATCAAGTGATTTATTCTTGTTCAGTTATCGATATTTGTAAAAAAGTGAGATTAACTCTGCTCCTTAAATTTCAATTATTCCGCTAAAGATTTTCTTTTAGACTTTTATTCACTGTCATTCCTCCCACGCTCACCACTCCTTCTGTTTCTATTTGCAGTTTCGCTTTAAAAGTAACTAGACGACAGATGGCGTTTTAGCCTCTATGGAGTCCACAGACTAGTTGCCCTCTGAAGGAGAAATTTTAATGGAACTGAGAGAAATCTCATTAGGGAATTTAAACAAGTTTTATCTGTAAATATAAAGTCATGTGCTCTTATAGTCTATAGTATAATAGTAATTGTAGCACGTTCGACGCTTTGTACCAGTTATCTTTTTTGTAATAAGGGTTATTACATGTAAGAGATCATATAACGCCATATATATGATATAGTATAATGAGACCAGATACTCTTATTTTTCAATAGAATAATGATGAATTTTTAATGAAGATACCTATTTAAGAGACTTTATGTGCTAAGAATTTAACGAGATATTTCAATTAGACTTGTTGGAAAATACATTCTGCAACTTAGAGAGATTAATCTTGTTTCTTTAACGATCCCTTTCGTTTATTTTAATAAGAAAGCTAACGAAAAGTAATCAATTAATACTAAATGGGTATATCATTCTTATTTAATCAACATAATATCTTATTTACGAATTCAAGAATTTCGGCAAATAACTATAGCTAGATGGTGTAAACAGAGTGTAGGTTTCTTAGATGTTAATCACGTTTAGGTGAAATCTAATACTTTATAACCTGTTATATAGAGAATTTTTTTTATTTGCTTTCAATATAGACATACTGATAGAAAGACAAATTATTTGTTTTTACCTTACTAATTAAATCAACTGAAAAATCTATGGAAGATAATTCCATATTCAAGGACAAGAACCGAGAAAGATAGAAAAAACGCAGGGTTACCCTTACGTACTCTATCGACTAGTGGTTGTCTCATCATCAGTACAATATATTATGCTTCTTAAGCTTTTTCTTCTCTATAAATCTTTGTAATTTGTGTATTTTCCTCCCTATTACTTCTTTGATATATAGTTATTTTTTATTGCTTTCAGCTGTTTCATTAGTATAAAAATTTTCTTAACTTACGTACCTTTACACCACCTATCTATTTTATACTTATCCTTTTTTCTCTCTTTTTTTATGATCTCTTCCTTCCCTAGATATGCTGCCACCTATCGATTTAAGTTAAATGATGCAATTAATGCTTCCGGGTCGAAAAGAGCTTTATCCTATCAGCTCTAAAATAATGCCAAGTAAAACTATCTACAAATTCGTTCCGGCGGCGAATAAGCCACTAAGCTTCTTAACCCGATCGTTCATCTATCCGTCTCATTTTTATCTTTTCTATTTGATATAAAAACTCAATTTTGCATAATGATTTCTTTCTCATAATGATTAATTGATAAATATATTTATGCATTAAAAACCAAAATAATTAATAGGTAAAAAGGTGATGTATAAATAAATAAATCGACTTTTTTAATTTGCACTATTCACCATATAAACAAAATTAACCATATGTGAAGGCGTAAATGCAATTTAGTTTAAAAATAATGAAACAAAGAAGATTTCTAACAATTTTCATAAAATAAAAATGGCAAGAATACAAAGAAACATAAAAAACAAAGGAAAAAAAAAGGAAATTTACAAGAAAAGACAAGTTAGATAAACTTTCATACAATTTGATAAAATATAGAAATAATTACAGTTTTATAATAACATATTTAGATATAGATATCTTGTTATTTGCCCTTTTAATTATTTGTATACAGTACAATGTCTATAAGTATAATAAATATAAACATTATATATAAGTATTAATATACCTTGTACTGTATATACTGTATATATACATATTAGTATATGTTTAAATACGTTTATGGATAATAGTTAAAACTTTGACCATTAAGAGTTTAGGGAAAGTTTAACTGGACGAGTGATGAGCAGGTTGCGGTGAATTAAAAGCGGGTGGATATAAAAGTGAAGGATGAAAGAATGATAATCCTGGTACAGGAACTGTTGGGTAGATAAAGTTACGCAACGTCTCGTTCTCGAACAACCTCCTATCGTTCTTAACAAGAACTTTCACTGCTACCTGTTAAGCAAACATAGAGTAAGTTACTAACGTAATTAATTGGGTACTTTATTGATACTTACTTTTCTAGCTTGTTGGGCAATTGTGGCTTGTTCCGCCATTTGTTTTCTTTTAGTTTTGTATCTATATTAATTAAGTTATAGAGATGAAAAGGAGATATACCATTAATTAGTGGTAATATACCGTCTATTCTGAAACCAAATTTTCACTTGAGTTTCTGTTAGTTTTAAAGCCTGTGCCAAATCAGCTCTTTCCGGTCCCGATAAATATTTTTGATGGCTAAATCGTCTCTCAAGTTCAAAGACCTATTCGAATTAAAAGGTACCAATAAATAGTACAATAAATAAACTTTAAATAAAAAAACAAGGGAAGGAGAGTGATTAATGTTATTCTTTCTTTTAAACCCTAAAGTAAAAAAAAGAAAAGAAAGTGATGATGATTAACCTGAGCATGAGAAAATGCGGCTCTGGATCGCTTTTTTCTCGGTTTATTCTTTTGATCCAATCCGTTTTGCTGCTCATTTTGGCCATCTTTTTGTGAATCTGCAAACATAAAGATCTTAAGTAGATTAAATAATCTATCGGACACAATTATATCAACAGATGCGAAATGACAATGGCGATCAGGCGCCCATGTCAAAATACTAATTGACCGAACGCTTCTCGTCAAATTCATTCGGTCGTACTTCAAACGAACGCCGTATTGTTAACTGTCAATCATCATTTACTCAGCTGGAAATCTGTTACGCTTACGATTTTGTTCATCTCTGATTATAGAAGAAATCCGTAATCCGGTACATATTGCCGTTCCGGTGATGGCTTTTGATAAGTCGATAAATTTTTTTACTTTTCTTTGTGTTTACTTTTGTTTTTAATTTTGTTTTAAAAAATGCCATGAAAATATTTTTTTTCATACACCTGCCCTCTTTTCAGACCCAATATACTTTATATATGTATAAATATATACCGAGCGTGATTTACGAGTCAATAGGGATTGAATGAGGCGTTTAGCGCACTTAAAAAGTCCTTGAAAGGTGGCAGGTAGCATTCGTTCACTTTTCAAGTAGCTGGTTTTCGCCCGTTTTAATTTGTCGAGTAGTTTTTGATTTGATTAACAGCAGCGATTTTCGGAACAGACGAGAACTTTTAGCTGGGCGGTAATTGAAAGAGAAGGTTTGTTTCCTGAATGCGACTAGTGCATTAGTAAAGACGCGACCTTTTAGAAGCTCTTGTCATTCCATGCTCGAGGGACGCCCGTTGGGAATCAAGCAATTCTGATTTTTATTTCATGACGACGTTTGTACATTTAAAAAAAAACTATATTTGTGGGTTTTCCCCCCTTCTATTACTTTCTCTGTTTCTTTCTTTCTCTTTCTTTCTCTTCATTCAATCTGTTTTGCGTTTAACTCCATCCCCATCGTAAATTAGAAAATGGGGAAGAAACAGATTGAAAATCAAGGGCGTGTACTCTTAGATAAATAATTAAGATTTCTAGCGCCTTTCGAATTTGGTGACGTCGCGTGCGTCTCAGTCAGAACCGTTCGTGGAATAGTAATTAATATATAGTCGATTAGGCGATAATTGGCGCTTGAAGTACACGACGTTCGAAAACCGGCGCGTGTTCTTCCAGTGAAAAAAGGCACTCGGCCGAGAAAACTGCTGTGATTGGCTGGTCATTACGTAATTATGTTTTGAACGATTACATCATTCAGCTGAATGGCTTTTTTATAGCTGCTCAACATATGGTCAAGTGCATCCTTGAAACTTTGCGTCATCTTGCATAATTATTCTCATGTACATTTAAAGATTGAACATAAATTCATAAGATAATTCATGAAGCATGAAATTATAAACGAAGAATGAAAGCTCATAGTACAATTGAAGCTCATATCCAATAAGATATTAATTATCTCAATAATCAACATCTAAATACCAGTTAGACTAATAGAATAACAAAAGAAAGAAAATTCGCCAAGCAGGCCGCCGAAGGCGTCCGCTAAATGAGCTGATCCCAAAGGGAATGTTGATGTATGGTTGTGTTGTTTTGTTTATAATTTGTATGTTGTGACAAGCAATCTGCCGGGAGACCTGGAAATGTCCTAATGAGCCATCTACGTGCTAAAATGGTTTATAAAAAGCAGTCTGACACTTTTTATTGTTCTACAATATATTTCTTATATTGGCCTATACAGGAAGTAGTTTTGTTGTTGTTTTAACTTGACAATCAATTGATTTATCAAAATCAAACAAAATTTTATGTTTTGACATCTCAAGAACAACTCTGTTGGATCCAACAGTCTTTTGACGTGAAAGGGGAGCAAAAATGCGTCTAATCGTCTTTTATCTTACAGCTATCTATCGCTTATCTGTTGGCACGTGCTCCTGTGTTTTAAAAGGACGCTTTTGAGGTAGAACCAAGCGGGTAATTTGTTTTAAAGTATTTATCGTGTCTACATATATTTGCCTCCGTAAATAATATACCCGACAAATAATCACAAATCCTATTCTGAATAATATTGAATGTTTTTACTCGCGTGTCAATTCGAGTAGGTTTGAGTGGACATTTGAAGAGGGAATTACACCGTGTGAACATTTTTTCTATTATATTTGAAAAACTTCTTCTCTCTCTCTCTACACCTCTCTATCTTCCTCCTCCACTGCCCTGATGCTTTTCTTTCTTTTCTTTCCTTTATCAAACTATTTTTATTGAGGTTTTTTATTTATTTCTTTAAGAGTGATAGTAATTTTTTTAAATAAAGGATCTATTCCAAGGCTAATAAGACCTTGTCATTCTTCTGCTATTCGTTAAATAGTTTATGCTAAAACGATCTAAACTGTTTAGATGCTATGGACCAGAAAGCTCGCATTAAGAATTGATGAGAGAATAGATGTTTACATAAATGAGGTCATCTGTCAGAAGACCAATTAGTTCAAGATGGCATCTGCTTTTGTCGTTAAACGTGCTCTGGCACCTGCAGATACATTTCTGCTTGTGTTTAATAGATAATATATAAACTTTTCTTAACCGATATACCATTTCCAATGCTCATTTATATACATAGGCTGTTCCACAGGCCTCCGGCAAAGACAAACTGTGTATAATGATAACTTCTGCCCAAACCGCATTGTATAAACAGCCAACAGATTTTTTATAATCTCTTTGCTTATATAAGTTTATAAGGTTTAAAAGGAGATGTTTTGTGGAATGCGAATAAAAACGAAAAAGAAACTTACCAGGGCAATCTGTCGTCGAAGTAGCTGGAACGCTAACGACATCATCCTCCATACCATCAACATCTACCATTTCGGCACCAGGACTGCTTCTCTCCTCTTCCCTTATGGAAGTCATATCAATTACTTCGTCATCGGTCTCTGATGATTTATAACTTGTGTGGTAATTCGTTTTCGGACTTGTATTATCAACGAATAATTGACTATAGGGCTGATATTGAGGATGTTGAAAAAACGAATTGAAATTGTAAATTGCTTGAGATGCTTGTGGAGAGAATAAACTCGGCAGATTGGAACTAGGTCCTTTTGGAGATTCTTCGTTTTGATTTTCCTTCTCAGGTTTTGTACTGTCCTTGAGAATGAAATCAATGGAGAAAGACGAAGTCTTATTTGTTTGAGGATTCTTTTCCATTTTTGTCGCTTAATCGAGGACAGCAGTTGATTGTTTTTCGGAATTTTCTGTTTACTCACGTGTTTCGCACGTTTCAAACGTTACGACGTTCAATTAGGCTTTTTCTTTAAATCTCTACTTTCCAGTACTTTAGTTTGTTACTCGTGACAAAGAACGTCTTATGGTCATTTAAGTATAATTCGATTCTCTATCACGCAATAAAAGTCGATTTATTCTACTTCTGCTACGTTTTCCTTTATGTCCAAAAGTACAATCTTGAGTCGTCAACTTTCTTTTACTTGACAAAATAAACTCTTCAAAAAATTCTTTGAGTGGGTGAGGAATTGATGAATACTTCGTACCTCGAACGGACCACCGTTTATCGGAAAATTCGCTTTACAACGATAAACAAACTCCGCCCCATCTATGCTCTGATTGGCTACAAGATTCGTTTTAGTCGAGAAGCTCAATCACGTGGTATGGAGCAAATGACATGCTTTGCGTCACCCAATAATTATCGGAATTAGACCGGTACCAGCCATTTACTAATCTGCTTCTATTCATCTACTAAAACACGCAAATTATGAAGAACTGCGTAGTAGGAACGAAATCATACCCTTTTGACGAAAAGCTACCGAACCTTTCGATTGACACCTTTCAAAGGACTAAATTCGGTGCGAATGAGTACCACTTTTCGTCAATCGAATGATCAAATGGCGACAAATCACGCAATTTTCAACGTTCCTTATTCGTCTCTTTCCTTTTTATCATGCATGCGCAAAATTGTATTGTTCCAAAGCGTAGAATTTAATGAAAACGCCTAAATTGATAGAAACGCTACCGTTTATTTTACGAATAAAAACATATGTCCACTTCAAGTTTTACCACGGATCTATAATTTAACATCAAAATAAAAAGGTTAGCATGATATAGTGGCTAAAATACACATGCAAGTGCATCATATTGATAAGAATAAAGACTTTATCGATACGGTGATAACCAGATGTAAACTAAACCAAGGCATTCTACTGATAAATTTTTCTTTAGCGCATATTTACATAGCATGGGGCAGATTTTGGGGTTTGCCTGATTAACTAGATTACTAATAAAGAAAACAACAATTATATGATCAATTGGAAAGCTCTAAAAAAGAAAATTACTTAACTCCGCCTACTACACTTCTATCTCCTTCTCTCTCTTTCTTTCTCTCTCCCTCTCTCTCTCTCTCTCACTCCCTCTCTATCTCTCTCACTCTGCTCCCTCTCTCCATCTCTCTCCATCTCTCCTTCGTACTCTATAGAAGTCTTTTCTAATCCTTTTTACTAAGGAGAAAGGGCTCTGTTTCGTGTAGAACAATTTATTTTCATTACGTAATAATACTGTGAACAGCTTTTATATATAGTACAAACATTTAATGCTTGTCAAAATAAGGCGGTCAAGCTTTTTTTCTTGATAAGATTCAATTTCATTCGTTTCTCTATCAAAAAATCTTCTTCTATTATCGCGTAATGCAATATGCATGGGATATAGTGGTTTTGTATTACGTAATAAACCAATTATTCAAATGGTCTTCCTTATCTTTCTGTTTATAGATTGTTTATTGTTGCAGTAGAGTAAATAACGAAAGTTCTCTAATGCATGAAATTTTCATGACAAACTTAAAATTATTAATGAGCTATTGAATGATTATTAACACATCGGCTTATCTCAAGCATAGTTTTTGTTTCTTATCTATTTAATAGTTGATTATCTTCAATATAAAGAATTCCTAGGAAAATAAATTAAAGAAACTAGATAGATGATTTATTCGCGCCGCGTGTTTTGAGAAATTTGACCATATCTGGTTAGAGGCGAAAGTAAATATATAACAGGTTGAAGAAAATAACCCTTCGTCACTTAGGGACATTAAAAGTTTACCAAACTGTAAACAAAACTAGTTTGACATACGTTAGACGCCCTTGGATATTTAAGAGGTCATATTTATATTCAGTTTGAGAACGGCCGTTATTCCCATTATCGGCCAATTAGCTATAAAAATCTTTGAGAATTTTTTGTCTTTCTGTATTTTCGGTATGGTTCAAATGTTGTAGTAAATAAAAGAGGTGGAAAAAGACCACTATATGAGGGAAATGCTGCAATTTTTGGTGGTGCTAAATGAGAGTTAATGCAGAAAACACCTTGCTTACTTTTCATGCTCTCGTTTCGAATGATAAATTATTCCTTTGAGAACCAGTTCGAATTACTTCTTCTCATTTATAAATATACAGAGAAAAGTAGTAAATAGTGTACTAGGAGTGTTAATCCTATATTTTATCCTTCTCTTTTTTCCTCTCTACCTCAATCTTTTTCTTCTCGTTTTTTTATTTATCTAGATAAAAAAAATGGTATTGTAGGCTGAAAAATACTTTTTCTCGTATATTTACAATATGGGTGAAGTTGAGAGAAATGTTTACGCGGTAATTTCTATTGATGGGCTTCGGAGAGAACAGAAATAAACTTATAAGCATTTTCACTGATAAGGTTTTTGATTAATTGAAAAGTAAAAATCTGTTTTTTATGAACGTAAATTTAATAAAGAGGGACGTTTTTTTTGAAAACTCGAGTGAATAACTAATGAAAATCCTCTTAACTGCTCCTCGTGCCTGTCAAATTACTAAAGGATTCTTGTCAATTGCTAACCGCTTTATTTGGTAAGAGCCTCTGTCTTCTTACGTAAAAAGAAAAAAATAATTCAGCCCTTATTATTTCAAACTACCGACGAAATTGTGTCAAAGTATCGGTAATTGGGGTGAAAAAAAAACTATTTATATATAAAATCCTATGAGAGAATCAGAACGGTTAGTAAATTTCTTCCTATTTCCGTTATGACACAATTAGCGCCATCTGTAGCCTATTTAAGGATTTGCGAGGGAGAAATCTGATGATTTTATTTGCCCGGGAAAATGTCAATGTTTATTTTACTGTTTTTATATCGCTTGTAAATCCGTAAGACAATTTCGTAGTTTCTTTTTATAAGGTTAAGAAAAGGAACTCTATATAGCTAATGAACACAAAGTAGATTTCTCTCTAAGTGAAACTACATAAGACTAACAAACTTCAGGAAGAGGCGGAGATTAAGAAGAATGGTGAAACGTGATGTGACTGCAAATATTGAAAATCGAAGTATGTATACGTACTGGTTCGATTAAGTAATCAGCTACTTCTTATATTATCATCACTACCGTAAAATTCGTATAATAACTGCATAAGGGGTTTTTATTTTTATTTCTTTTTCACATTGATTTTTTTTCTTATAAAATATGAAAGAAAAGATAGAACCAAATGTTTATGAACACAGAAATAGAAAGTTATACAACGTATAAAAAAGAGGATATTAACCTGTAGAAAAAAACTGTTGTTTTTTTTGTTTGGCACGAGAATCTATATATGGAATGCAGCAAAATATTCCATATTAATAAAGCTCATACTTACTAAAGAAATCGTACAATATATGGGGTAGATAATATACATTAAAATATTTTCATATACTCCAAGATGTACTTGTAACAATATCTATATTACTATAAGTATATACTACACTTATACCTTTAGAATATTGCTTGTACCTTAATATATATATATATATATATATATTTATGTATATATGCTAATACTAAATATAGTACCATAATCTAAGTGACTTCGGTAGTTCGGAGTAAATGCTGAATCAATTAGCGGGTATATAGGATAGGTCATGGGCTTATTACTTCGCTAGTGCAAGATGACGTCCACGTTACGTTATAAATTTTATGTAGCGTGAAATGAATAGAGGCTAGGATAACTTTTAACGCTGATAACGCTTTGTTGCCTGCTAAGCGTCGATGGTGGTGGCTTTGTTCTCTTTGCCATCATCTTACTGGCTCTGGTTAAGAACGCCTGGCTAACTCTATTCGATTTTGGATTTTTCAAACCTCCTGGATAGTAGTCTTCTAGTTTCACACGACCAAGAATGTGCTTTAATTCCCCACCTTTTTTCTTTTTAATTTTATACACTGAATTTGACGTACGACCTTGAAAGAAAGAAAATGTCCAAGGCTTTGATACGCGACTAGTGAAGATAGAATCCTTATAGATTTGTGCTATAGCAACCGCCTTATTATAAGCCTCTTTCCAACCATCTCGATCCACTTTCGTTTTCGAGAAGGACTGCAACTTCGAGTGGATCGTGTCTTGATTTGCTCCACCGGTTTCATCTTCTAACCATTTTGATGTATAATCAAATAATATGCTGTTCTTATCGGTCTCCCTAACCAATGGGCCAAGCGTCTCTTCAACTATCGTCCGGTCGAGTGCATCTTCGACGTTTTCGCTGCCTGTTAGTTCTTTGTTATTGTTAAAGTCACTGACATACTTCAGTTTTTCTTCATCTGAATAGTGTTGTAAAGATGTAGATGGTAAAACGTCACTATTGCGATCGCTACTTAAAGTGCCTAACGACACTCTCTTAAATCCAGATGGCCTTCGCTTAGCTAGATTGCTGATGGAATTACGGGGGCTATTGTCATTTATTTTACCTCCACATTCTGTGCAGAACTCTGCTTGTAAACCAATTAAAGGTTGTTTACAAATGCAAAAGGTAATTTCTTCGTCCTTCCCATCAATAATATCCAATGGCGGTGAAGGATTAGTCAATATTCCGTGTTTATAACGGAGATGACCAAGCTTCTCATACTCAGCGTCTGCAGCGTTTTGCTCTGACTCAATATACGTACTAAGACGTGTCGTCTGCTTGGGGACGAACACGTGAAAGATTCGCTGAGGGCGCTCTCCAAACTCTTTTTCGTCCATGATTGTCTCCCGACGGCTGCACCCAGTGCTGATTGAGGGTAGGCTTACTAAATTTTGGTGTTCCGAATCCACTTCTACACTACCGAGAGGTTTTCGCTTTACCAAAGGCCTATTGACGCTGCCTAAAGGCGGCAGTTTAATGCGATCTGCATCACGATCCTTTTTACATGATTCGTCAGCAGCCCCATTTTTTAGGAAACTCCTGAGAGTCGGACTGCCATCAGTATCTTTCTTTCTCTGCAATTTGAAAAAGAGAAAATCGAATATGTACCTCTATAAGTAACTTGGGTTAAAAGAGAATAAATTGGATTAGGTAGAAAACCTGAGTACAAAACGAACGTCTTGGCCCATCGTAGGCAAAAATTGCAGAGAGTCTCCTTTGTTCTTCCCCAATATCTCGTAAATCTAGTGCGCCCATCTATATATTGTTAGATTCACAGCAAAAACACTCTTTTTGTGTAAGGTAAAAGGAAGCAAGCTACTGCAAGTTAAGAAAAAACTGCAATTTTTGTTTTTATGCTGTAAAAATGCATTCGCACTAATTCTCTTACAACAGATGATGATTTCAACAACGATAGAAAAGAGGAAAAAACGATAATTTCACCCATAATAACCTCCCTCAGCGTATCCGTGTAATTATTTAAGCCTTGAAATCCTCTTTTTTATACTAAACAATAACAAACTTGCACGTAAGTCTTAAAAGGATTTCTATATTTGTCTGTTATTTTTTTATAATTAAAATAAGCAAGTAAATTTCATTTTTGAATGTTCATTTCAATTTTCGCAGAGTTATCAAACAGATTTTTATAAGGTTGTCACGTACATTAAATAAACTAACAACATCCATTGTCAATTATAGGCTAAGTTCTTGAGAGATTAAATATATATATACCTAAATCTATTTTCGCAACGGCTGCTTAAAAAATACACCATAAAACAAATACTAGATACAGGAAACTACTGTAATAAAGCCGATGCGTTTAGCATAATGAGAACAATTATTATTGAAAGATCAGGGAGAAAATGACGAGCATACTCGTTTGGAAAAAGACGAGATTAATTCTTTTTTTCTTCGTAACGAACAGCAGTACAAAGTAGTGGATAAAAATATCATAACCGACCTACAATTTATCTCTATGAATTGGAAAAAAAGAAAGAGAGAATCATATAAAAGTACACTTACACAAGAGATTTTTTGATAACGGGTTACGTATTGGTTCATTTTCTTGTTGACAATAACGAAAATATAATCGGCTTGCCCAATGACATTAACACAACCATATACTTCTATTGTTAGGCCGCTTTTTTTCAAGCTTTATTACGTTCGGTGGCGTGCTGATAAGTAAAATAATAGTTTGACGATGACGGACAATCGATATCAAATGACGTATGAACCGTTAAATATTCATAAATGTACTTATCAAATAGACAAATAATAAGCGACGTGTTGTAATCTTTAGAAGACGAAAAAAAAACAATAGGTAAAAAAATTGAATTTAGACGCTGCCAGAGGCGCCGTCTGTAAACGAATAGGTTTTTTTTATCGTGTCTTTTTAGAGAGCAAGAATTATATTCCTAGTTTTCTAATTTCTTGCCTATTTCCTGACCATTTTTTCTTTGTTTTACAGTTTTATGTTGCTTATCTTTTTAATGCATTATCCGTACTCCAAGATAACCTAAAGCTATTTGAAAGAGATTTATAAAACACTAAAGATCAATTAGGAAAGTAAATAAAAAAGCCTGTTAATTAAGTCGAAGGAAGTGTTTCTTAGAGTAACGCTCATCACGTGTATTAGATATGCTCAATCATTGAAAATTACTCTTCTATTCAGATGTGCTTTCATTATCTACTCATTTATAAATTTATAGATATATACTGTATATACTATATATATATAATATGTACTATTTTTTGAATATGGGTAGCTTATATAGAGAAATTTTTCTTATTGTAATTTTCCTTCAAGCTGGATATTTCAGACTGCAAACAATTTCTTTCCAGTTGCATTATTTAAAATACAAATACAAGCTAGTAGACTTCAAATGTACTCATTTAAAATACTTTAGTTTATTTAAAGAGTTTCCCTTTTCGGAATAACAACAATGATTACATTTATTTAAAGATTTTAAAAGAAAATTAAAGATGGAGAGCAAGTAAGTAAGAGGAAATAAAAGTCAAAGAGAAAGCGAGAAAAGTGAAAGTGAGAGAGTAAGAAGGAGAGAAGTCTAGAATTATAGACAGATGCTAAAGAAAAAAAAAGAGATAGGAGACTGGAAGATTGAAAGAGATATTGAAAAAATAGTATTAGTGTAGAGATATAGCGGCAATGAGACAGGAAAGAAGAAAGAATAAAGAGAAAAGTGATATAGAGATAGATTATATTCATTAATATGCATGATTCTACAAGTATATGTATATAATAGATATGTACATTTGTTAGTTAATAATATATTCATACAGATGACATATAGACAGAAGATAGGAAGAGGAGAAGAGTTAAACAAGAGAGAAGCGAAGACAGATAAGAGAGTCGGTTTTATATACTATCGTATTATAAACGCATAGTTATTTTCCATCCGTATCTTTTTCTTTTGGAGTCGCCGTTGTTTGTTCTGAGTGACTATTAGACGCAGGCGTCGTTGCAGCCGGTTTTTCTTCCGTCTCCTCTTCTTCACAGAAGGCATCTCCATCATAAAGTTGCCGAGCTATACACGTATATTCAGAAACGCTAATTAGACCAAGCGCTTCCTGCTTTCCCAGCATCTTACTCGTTATGTATATATGTACATTTTAGAGAAAATATAGTTTAAATGAAGTTGGAATAAAGATTTGCACAAATCATTCTCTAAAACGTACATATATTTTAGAGTAACAAGTATATGGATATTTAATTGACATATATAGCATCCAAAGTGTACAATATATATTGGATATTTATTTGAGTATGTATGGATAATTTTCTTGGCGCAATCGAAACACTATGTATACATTATCTATATTTTAGAAGCTACCTCTACGATATATCCTTCTATATTATATGTTTAAATATATATATATATATATAAATATCGTATATATTGTATCTGGCTTTGTATAGCTTTGTAAATAGAAATATTTTTTATTTTCGCTATATAACATAGAGATAACTATCATACCTAGAAATCTTAAATATAATTTCATATTTGTACAGATTTATTACTTACCGTTAATTTTATTAACTTTATTTTGCATCTGCGATGGCCCAGGAGTATTTTTTCTCTCCAAAACTTTATTCCTCGTCTTACCACCTTTAGGAGACTTATCCATAGTATATAATTCCTTATTCTGATGACGCCTAAATGTATAAACGAGTACAGCGACGTCGGATCAATGTTAGACGCTTGCTCGGAAAAAGGGTTTATTAAAGCGCCGTCTGTTAGTAGAATATTCTTTTCCGATATTTTTAGATAAACGGATACGTTGTAGTTTTCAATAAAGATGCATCGGTGTCTCCTCAGCAGTTGCACATCAATGAGAAAAAAAACTATGCCCTAATACACAAAATACAAGATCAATACGATTTGCTTATGTTTGTTTGGATTATTTCATATACGAGGAATTCTAACCGACTTTTTCTGTCTTTTATTTAAACACATGTCGTTTCTCTTCTATCTGTTTCTATTATACGCGTTGGTGTTGTAAGTAACTTTAATGCTGCTTCGTCAAAGGTTGAAGTCGATCTGAAAGTTCTCTGACGAATGTTATCATCTGATCGATCACAAAACATTCTAATTAATATTCTCCGAAACTTTCGACCAAGAAGGCAGTAGATTAGAAAGTTCGATGCAGAATTAAGGATGAGGAGGAAATTAGAAACGGCAGAGAGATGTATAAGCCAAGCAGATTCGTGTTTATGGAATACGTTTCTAGCCGTTGTAATTACGATGTCTGGCAGACCACAGATGAGAAAAACGATAACTATGCATAGGGACATGGTTGTTATAGTTCGTTCGTATAATTGCTTATTCGTCGAAGCCTTCCCGGCCAGATATCGCCGAGACTCCAAGGAGGAACGTGGACCAGTGAAAGGGATCCACTCGGATCGCTGTCGTAGGACCTTGATTACTTTTACGTTTAGAAAGACAAGAATGACCAGGGGTAAAAGAAAGAGCATAACAGAATGAAGACCGTAGCTGTAGGCATACTTATATATAGAATTTTCAGAATAACCTCGATATTTCGGCTGGAACTCTTTGATGGACTGATTAGCAAACCTATCGTCCTCTATAACATACTGCTCGAAAAAATGAGGTAGATTCGTCAAAAAACTACAAAAGACTGTAATCATTACGTATCGCTTAGTCTTCTTCTCCGTGCAGAGTGCATGTGCCGACAAACTTTTACAAACGACTAAATATCTCTCTATAGAAATTATCACCGTTAACCATATAATAACAGTTTGACTAATTTGTATCCAAGGAACTACGTATACAGTTAAGTAAACGTTCGCCAAGTGTAAAACTGGCGATATATCTTGAAAGACGTGCAAGTGAATAATCATTAGCTTCGAGAGCACAAGAACTAAAAATATTCCGTCCGCCACTGCCAGAGCTTTTAATACAACGAACATTGCGCATGCTGATCGATCCTTGGCCAAGACGAGCAAAGAAAGGCTATTACCGACCATCCCCAGAAAGCAGCAAGCTATTGACAGCCATCCAAAAATAGTGAAGAATGTAATATTTTCTTCCTCTTCAGAACCACCTTCCGCAGATTCGTTCATCTTGACAGCAATGGGAAAAATGATGTGGTCGAGCGATGGCGCTGGCGCTTTAAAATAAGGAGAACAGAGAGGGTAGAGACAGATAGACAGGTAGGTAAAAAGAAGAGTAGAGAGAGAGAGCGAGAGCGAGAGCGAAAAAGTGAGAGAGAAAGTGAGAGAATAACTTAGCAAGAAAATTGACAAGCGATGATGAGCCACCAATCGTGACTCTTAATTACATTTATATATTTATACAAACATACTGTAGTGGCTTGCGTTCTCTTCCACTAGATAGCATCTATTACTTTGAAACACGCGTATATGTGTGTAAGAATATATATATATATTTATAAATAGAGATATTAATATGAATTGCACACAAAAAAGGGTAGAACACAGGTACTATAAGGCCTCACAATCCAATTTTGAAGAAGATTTATATGTTCCAAAAGTCGTCAGTGAATTTATGAAATAGTTGGGGAATGAGCTATATGAAAATGTTGCTTTCATATATATGTTAAAACGAATTTTTCACATTTAAAAAAATAACCTTAAAATGCTTTTTTCATTTAAAATCAACTGGTAGAGTTGTTGATGGGTTTCTTTCATATTTTGTTTGATTGAACATACTTGATTGATTGATGAGATTGATATATTATATATATATACTGTATATACAATTATACAGTAAACTTAAAGTAATGGATACGTTTATTAAGTGATTAATACCCTCTCCTTTAAATAAAAAGAGAATGATAATTTGTTTAATTATCAATAATAAATAAAATAGCAACAATAATAATGATAAAATAAGAGTAATAAGACAATACTCGTGAAAATCTATACTAAATAGACAAAGCTGGCAAAATGTGGCGGTCGATTTACTCGAATCCCAACTTCTTCAGCTCATCTTCATCAGAAGTGATGATACCCGATTGTATCTGCATCATCAGCAAGAGAATATTCAGCGACGAAACCTTTCTTATGTATAGTGTCATCCGTTTTAAATAGAACAAGCATATAATTAGATGATGATATAAAATTCTGCAATCGGCTTTCGTTCATGCCGCAGTAACGTCCAAAAGCTTTTCCCTTTTCTCGTCCGTCATATAATTCGACGTAATCGTAATTACAGTTCGTATCCTTCTCTATGTCAAAGTGTACAAACCTCAACTTAATTCTAGCGTTACGAATGTCCGAATAAATGGTCCATTCGCAGCTTTGCTTTGAACTGTAATTGTTATCACCATATGTGGAGTGAGAGTAGAATCGGGATTTGTCGAAGCTCGCTAATAGTTTGCCGCCGCAAACAGTCGAATGGATTGCATGGAAACCTTTCTTTTGAACACTTGTATCCGTAAAGAAACGAATAAACATATGGTTGGATGATGATAAAATAGGAGGTGGTTTTTCCACACCGCAATATTTTCCTATTTCAGAAGAAACGTCGCTAGGCCCATCGAAAATTTTTATATAATCGTATTTGCAGACTTTATTATCCGATATTTTCTCCAGTTCGAAATCCGTAAAAGCCTATAAAGATAGTAATTAATCATTCCGTCCGGATAAATTGGCTATACTTTACAGCTTATTCATTTATCTCATAAAAAATGTTTGTCAACTCGAGAAAATAACAAACTAATTACTATACTAATCTCTTCTCGTGTCGTAAATTAATAAATTATTGCTTACTCACTTATCTTTATAATTGTTACAGTGATAAAAAAGAATAGCCTGTCTATCAGTTAATAACTTTTCTAGCCGGGAAAATTGTTTTCTATTTTGTTTGGAGTGAAATAATCTTCCCTAAAAATAGCAATTGGCTAAAAGCAACTAACCGATTGATATAAAAGAGAAAAATTATTAGTTTGCTCTTAAATTTCATTTCTCTCCACCCTTTAAGTCATACGTGGAAGAAAATCATACTCTGATTTTTTTCACTGGAAAGAGCATTAAGATAAATTTCTTCCTTTTTATATTTCCGCATAGCAATACATAGAATTGAGGACAAAGAACTCTAGGAAGAATATGAATATTTGCATATTATTGTTTATAGACTTAAGAAAGGAAATATGAAAAGAAAAATTTCTCATCCCCTCCTAATGAACAAATTCCATAAGAGTGTCTAAAATTTCACCTTTCCCCCAATTTTAGTAATTTGTCACGGTCTAATCGACAAAGGGATGCAATACGACGGAATATAATTTAAAAGGTAAAAAATGAAGGAAAAAGTATAGCTGTGTCGTTTACTGCCTAAGGAAATGTTATATACCGTAAAGCTATTTCCTTAAAAAATTTTTTCTATAGGTTTAGCTTCTAATTAAATGCGACAGAAACTCATAAAGATTAATTAACTGCCTTTTTCCAACTCGTCTAGTTCAATTAAAATTATTAATAGACGTTAAACCTTCCATTTTACTTACTAATTTTACTCGGTGTCCATTTGTGCAAGTAATATTCCAAACGCATGTTCTCCTACTATCGTATGGTTCCGGGTAATTGTGGCTCATAATGTGCCCATAAGACGTATTAACATCGTGCTTGCATAAACCTTGCCAAAGGGAAAGTTAATTAATAATTAACAATTAAAAAAACGTACTTTTCAAGGAAAGCAGTATACTAAGTTAAATATATTTTAAAACTGTAGGTGGCACTACCTTCTTTGCAGTCATGTTTGTTAGAATGCAATACGTATCCAGGGAGGCAGTAGCATTGATACGAGCCTATAACGTTTTTGCATCCGTGACCGCATCCACCGTTCATTATCTCACACTCGTCAAAATCCGTTGTAAAAACTCCGACAAAACCAGTTTTAGCAATAGTATAGTCTGATTTAAACTTTACAGTCATAACGTTTGTAAGGGACGTTATCGGTCGTGGTATTACATAACCGCATAACGTCGAATGTAAAAAGGGTAGACGCTTTCTTTCATTATTAACAGTTACATATGACGCCTTTCTTTCATATTTTTCGGTCATACTGCCGCTGAAAATTTGTAGGCTATCATACGTGCAGTTTGAATTGCTAACCCCTTCCACATCGAAATGGGTAAAATTTAAGGTAATCTTGTACATCTTAGGAGCAACTATTTCCCAAATGCAGGTTTTTTCCGTTGGGTATAGCTCTGGGTAATTGGGAGATTGTAAAACACCAGATGATTGTTCTATTCGACCTCCACACCGATATGCACAGCTTTTTCCATCTGGTAGGAGATCGAATCCTAGGTGACATTCACAGTGGTAACTACCCAATGTATTTACGCATATGCTTTCACATCCGTGAGCCCCGGAGCACTCGTCTACCTCTATTCGAGAAGACAGAGTGAATATAGTTCTTTTTAGATATAGAGATAAAGATAGATAGACAGATAGAGAGCGGGAGAGAAGATGATGTGGGAGGGGAAGAGAAAAGGGCGCTGGTAGGGTCTGTTGCACACATTTTTTCGCGCCTTTCGCTAATTGCGTTCCTCTGCCGAGTCTTTATTGCTCGTTATCGCCCCCCACCACCAACTTCTTCACCCTACTACTCCAACGTCTATCTTATCTGAATTTTAAATTTAAACTGATATACCTTCGTAATAAGTGGCACTAAATCCAGGCTGTTCTACCGAAGCGTCAGAAACAAATCGCAAAGACATACGGTTTGTTCTCGATCGTATAACAAATGCCTTTGGATGATGAGAGCAATATCGTCCAATAATCTTGGACGTATTCGAGTGCCCATCTCGTATCTCTAGGAAGTCGTACAAGCATTTCTCGTGGCGCTCCAGCTAAGCGTTTGAAAACAAGAATCTTTTTATAGTTTACTATTTGTTTTATACACGAAATAAAAATTCTACTAAAAACCATAATCTGGTCTACGATAGGCTTACAAAGCCGCTAACGCAATATAAGGCGACCTTAAGCTTTAGACTTGGACGGAAAAAGTGAAAAAGGCTCTTATACCAATTATTTACTTTTCTTATTCTAATAACATTCTTTGAAATTTGAAATAGTTGTAAAATAAATAAAAGCAAATAACGTCCCTTTCAACTGGCTATATGATTTAAAATAGGTTAAATAATGTTTAAAAAGTCTAGTTAATTAGCGACTTACCATTAGATTATTAATTCGTAGGCCTACAACAGCATTTTCTGATACAGTTATCCTCCAAATACAATCTTTATTATTGAAATATAAATTAGGATAATTGGGGCTAGTTATCTCGCCTTTTACTCCCCCTATATCCCCGCCACATCTCAATTCGTAATTAGCCTTGAAGTCGTTACGGTTCGAGGAGGCCCGATAAGAAACCCACAAGCGGGTTGTTGAAGAAGTAATCGTTGGGGGAAGAGCTCGACCACAAAAACGACCGATTAGCTTTGAACCATGATAAAAACCCTCCCTAACTTCCAGGTAATCGTAACGGCAGCCGTCAGAAGGTTTTATATTTATGCGCGTGATATTCAAGATGACTTTATCTCCTGGCGAGCCGACTATACGCCAGACGCATCGAACGGCCTTTTCAGTGAACGGCGAACTCAGTGTACCATTCTCATTCATCAGAGTTTTACCGCAAGCGGGGCAACTATACAATTTCTTAGTTTGTCTAATATCTCCGTTACTCAATGTTAATCTTTGGCCGATTTCTGGTGGTCTGCCATCAATCCAATGGCTTTTCTTTGGTACGAGTGTCTCTAGACGGGATGACTTGGAAAAAGTGAAGCTGCTATAATGCATGACTGATGCAAAGTCATACGGCTCGTCGAATGATTCAACATCCACCTTGTTCATCTTGTCGAAATTATATAATTGTCCTGATAAGCGTGAGAAATAAAAATTCTATTGAATGTAGATCAAAATCAGTTAAAAAAAACACATTGAATAATAATCTAAAAACGATTGACACTCTCAAAAAATACAAGTACGTATTAGATAAAGACAATTGAAAGTCGTAAATCGATTGACAGAGGTAAACAACGTCTAGTACCTTAGTGTCAATCATCTTTAAGTAAAATATGGTGGCTTTAAATGATTTTCGGACAGTTTTAATGTTAAATTTACTTCGTAAATCAATAATTTTAAAAGAGATGCGATATGTGAATATTTACCGTCCTGAACATTTTCCTCTAATAGATCGATATAATCGTCGCGATCGGGTCTCGTGTGTTCGTGCCAAAAGCCAATTGCATGCCCTAATTCATGGACGGCTATACCGAATTTATCGCACCTTTTACCCAATGAAAGATCCTGCCTGCCATCGCCCTTCATTCCGACGAACGAACAACAGCCGCAAGGGCCGACCGTTATGTAGATGTAATTGGGAAACTCCGGGGCGTACTCCTTTTCTATGAACGTTACGCAAGTTAGGTTCTCCCAGTGCCTCATGGCTTGTTTAAATAGACTGGCCTGTAACATTTCGGTTACATATAACCAAACATAATTTAAGGCACAGTATCAATATTTGAAACCTGTTCGCCGCTGTATTGTTCGTCAATAACGAATGGAATTACTCCGTAAGTCCATTTCCTCCTCGATTCTGCGGTGGCAGCTCGCCTATGCCTCCTAATAACGAACATTTATCAACACGAAACGCTCTGGAACTCGTCAGCACCCCGATAGAATATAAAAAATTTGCCCAGGTGCCTTAACCCTATCACCCTGAGAGAACCTCATCTATAAGCACCAGAAAAGTAGAAACCTACCTGCGATGCCTAGTTTGCCGGTGGTGGGGTGTGAAGTTTTCCGTCCGACTTCGAGCCATGTCGAGAATACGATCTACAAGAACAAGAGAAACATAGAGGTCAACGAAACAAAACAGGCATTACGCAAGTTTCGCTTCGTTAACTCAAGCCGTAAACCGAAAAATCCTGTTTACTTAAGAGAAGTTAACGAATTGAGAAATGCGTAATTAAAAGGGGGTGCCGACTAAGGCTGACCGAAGAGAAACTTTCAGTCGGAACGCGCTCACAATTCCCAAGAGAGTTTTCATTCTATCACGCGAAAATAACCTACCTGCTTTACAAGGATCATTCTTATCTTCAGAAGTTCGATGCGGAACGGATGTAGGCACATCTAGTCTTACTTGAATGTTTCTTAATCCATCAACCAATTTGCATGCTTCAAATAGAACCATTAGAAAGCATATTAGTGCATTAGCGCTTTTCACGTTCATGTTGCAGTCTGGCAATAGTTTTCCAATTAATCTTCGATTTCTGCCCTTTTACATCGTTTTTCTATATCGAAAAATTCCTATTTTTTATATCCGATTCACCTCACCTATTCGGGCGAACGGCTGCGAGTGTTACTTTTCTATTACAGTATATCTTCAACGAATGAAGCGACATCAAACGGATTAACAAGTGACATCTAACGGATAACGTAGGAAATACTAAAAGGGGGAGCGGGAAAGATTTACGCAAATAAGGGAGAGATTGATAGAAAGAATAACAAGTCTTGGAAGGATGAAAAAGAATCAATGAATGATTATTTATGCCAGATGTCGCGCCATCTATCGTCTTAATCGGATTGGTTGGTAGACGCTGAGCGTCACTTCTATATTTCAGCTGCGTCGACTACGTCATCGGTCGATATTTTGTTGCCATATGGCTGTAGATTTGGGTGATCTACACTAAATTCTTACCCAAGAATGGTGGTAGTTGACGAACAATTGGTGGCCAACACTCCAGGTAAGAGAATCATCAAATTTATCTATGATTTTTGCCCCTCCCATTTCGACCTTTACAGTTCTCTCTTATTCGCCCACGCATTGTCGCAATAATAATTCTTCATATTCTCAAATTCTCACTTTCTCTAATATTTTCTTAACGTTTACAGCCCACTGGGCAGCCATAGGAGGGATCGTCCTCGGGGTGGTGGTCGTTATCGGTACACTTTCCGTTTGTACTTACAAGCTAGTTAAGAAACGATCCTCACCGGGAAGTCCAGGACGTCCCTCAAGCCTTTCGGATGTCTTTAGGCGCAAGGTTAAGGATTCTGCTGCATCTAAAGCAGAAAAGGGATTCCTTAAACGTAGCCCAACGACAAACCTACCAAGGAGTAAGACGCCGGATGTGAGGTCTCCGGCAACGTCACCTCAAAATCCTCTAGCTCCCTCGAGAAACGTTGTCAGAATGAAGAAAGATTATGATGACAAAGATGATAAAAACAAATTGTCACCCACTGAAAAGGACGAAAGGTACAGAGAAAAAGAAGAAGACGATTTGAAAAAGACAACTCTTGGCGCCATTTCTTTCGTTGTCGAATATGATAAGTGTAAAACAGCCATCGTAGTGAATGTACAAGGCGCCAAGGACTTAGCTCTTCCTGAAAATAAATCCGGAGATGCTTCCGGTCCAGTAACCTGCGACCCCTACATAAAGCTACAACTGTTACCCGAAAAGAAACACAAAGTCAAGACCCGCGTTTTACGTAAGACTCATAATCCTACGTATGACGAGATATTTTCTTTCTATGGCATTGAGGAAGCTCAAATACCGAAGACAATTCTCCACTTTGTAGTTCTAAGCTTTGACCGTTATTCTCGAGACCACATCATTGGAGAAGTTCTGTACCCGTTGGCATCAGTTGACCTAAGCGAAAAGGAAGTTGAAGTTTGCAAGGAAGTTGTTCCGAGGCAATTAAAGGTTAGTAAACTGCTATTTATAATTTATCTGCGTTACTAGAGTACTTTTTTATATTAATTCGCGGACCGTAAAGCTCTAAACAAAATTATTTATTCGATTTTCTCTATCCCATTCCACTCTCTATTCATACGTTTTAGTTTCTAATTTTTAATAATATCCCTCTTTTTATAGCTGCAGAGCGATGGATATAGAGGAGAAATGTTGGTATCTTTATGCTACCAACCAGCTGCTAATCGTCTTACTGTTGTTGTTCTAAAGGCGAGGGATCTACCAAAGATGGATATAACTGGGTTATCTGGTAAGTACAAATGGATTGGTTTCCTTTTACTATCTAAATATAGATGATGCTTTCTTATCGATTTTACCCCCGGCCAGATCCATATGTGAAGATCTATCTGCTTTATAACGGTCAAAGAATTGCTAAAAAGAAGACTCACGTGAAGAAAAGAACTTTGAATCCTGTTTTTAATGAATCGTTTCTCTTCGATGTTCCCACGAATGAAGGACTGCAGAACATCTCACTTGAATTTAGGTAACATTATTAGGAATAAATACCCTAGAGAGAACTTAAATGAATTTTTTATATAAAAATAGCATGTTGGACTGGGACAGAATGACGAAGAACGATGTAATTGGTAAGTTGGAACTGGGCGGTCATATTGATGGAGAATCTGAATCGAGACATTGGAATGAGGTTATCAATTGCCCCAGAAAACAAATTGCTGAATGGCATAAGCTAAAAGAATAGAAGAAGGAAGAGTTCACAACAAAACCCCCCGCGTGTACTCGTTCTTTTGTATGTGTACCCGAATTGGTGTTCAATGTTTTGCATATACTATATTACATGTATATATTTATATATCCATATCTATGCTGCCTGCATATTATAACTGACTATGTGACCGCTTACCTGGCACTTTTATCCCAGTTAGAGCACTAATCAACGTGTATACAGTAAGATATAATAAGCACTCTTAACCATATAGTATTGGTACAGCTTTGTTTACAGTATGCATATTTTACAACAGTAGGATTAGCATCATGGAAATTTTTTTGGCATAGACTAGTACTATACTATGTTAAATGTACTAAATGGTCGTTTTCAAAAAGAACAAAGGTGGAATAAACATGAATTGAAAAAAAAAAGACTTCGTTATCTATCTTTTGTGATGGTTTTATTTAACTTTCTCCAATACGATATCCTTCTTATTCTGTTCGTCTTCTTCTTAAACGAAACTCGTTAAATACTGTTTGTCAAGCATTTATAGTGTGTACCTTTCATACTACATCAGTAATGGCTGAAGTTTATAATAAGAAAATATTGAAGAAGAGATGATGCTTTACTATTTTTAAATATAATATTTAATGATTATTTAGAAACCTATTAAAATATTAATTTGAATATTATCCATAAATAAATAGAAATTCTATGGTCCATCTATCATATATTCACATATATCTGTTGATTGCTATAATAAATATTTTTTTTTGTTTACCAAGAATTGTTTATGGCCTATAAATTATGATCTCTCCCGACGTAAAAAACATAAAAACTTAAGAAAAAAAAATTACAAGAGGCAACAAGAAAAAGAAGAAGTGAGGCTAATGTGTTTATTCAGTGGAATAGTTAAATGTGAATCCCAAATCTAGTTTAAAAATAGATCTTTACCGTAATTTCGTACTTTATAAAACTCTTTACAAGTAAGAGGCTATTTGTAAATACCCGTTGAGTTTTATAGAACAGTATATGCACTTACATTTTAAGCTAAACTATTCCGTCAAGTATAAACAATAGAAAACTTTATATCATATATATATACAGTATATATATATATATATATAAATATACTGAATTTACTCAACCTATTCATTCTCTAATGCATGAATCTCGTAACATTTGTTAACCATAAATTATTACTATAATTTCAATCATAACTGAAACATTCATATACTTTGTGAGTCTGATCTAAATGTTATTAACAAATGTACAGATTTTATTTGTCTTATGGTGCCATCTATTGGACATATATATAATAAGCTTAAGTCTTATTATCAACACCGTTTATCTACTCGGACGAATGACAATTATTCTGCATAGAATTCAATCTGACCTCTATTCTACTCAAAATACAAGGATTAAGTCAGTTTCAAATGATTATTGGCTGTTTTATATACGTTTAATAGAAGAATAAAAAAAGCGTGTCTTTGATGAACACGTAGAAGCACAGAGCACATATCCAAATATCCAAATACTTCTGTCTCTCTGTCTCTGTATATATGTATGTCTGTATATATAAATATATAGATATATACTTATGTATATTAGTTTTTATATATTTGTAGATATCTGTATTTATATACACAAATAAATAACTAAACATATACATATATATATACATGTATATACATATGTATATAAATCTGACATATGTGAATAAAGCTTACAAGCATCTCTTAAGAAATAAATATGTAAATATAGACATTAGACAGTAGACAGTGAAATTATAACGACTATTAGTGCCCGAATGCGTTGTTTACAAAAGCCCTGTTCGATTAATTAGAGCATACAGTGTAAATATTAAGCTTTGTAAACTTTTGCTTATAAGCTTACAATCTATACAATGATTGTCGCGCGGGCGTTTCTTTTCTTGCACAGTGTACGTTTGAATAAGGAGAAAGGGAACGTGTTGAAAAAATACAACATTGTTTTACGCGACGCGGTGTCAAAATGCCTGAGAAAGGAGTTCTTTTATACCTTTGGAAAACAAAAAAAGAATACAATGTTGCGTGTCGGCAATGATTGACGATTAGCTGTGATGTGTTGCAGCTGGTCAAATATTGATGAGGTGCGCTACAATAGTTTGCTCAATTTTCCCCTTCCCCTCTTTACAGGTGGACAGTTAGCCCTAGGAAAATTTTTACTCTTTTTGTCTGTGAAAAAAATCCGAATATTATAAAGGCGTATATATTTTTCTGAGTGTAATTACGATGAAAGAAAGCGAGTTAGAAGCTTCACCACAGGCGTTACTTCCTGCCGACGCGTCACACGAGCGTCTTTTTCCGTTTAGTCGTCACTTCAGAAGAGCCGATGCTGAATGTCACCTGTACTATTAGCGCCAGAACGTCGTCTGTACTTTACTTCTAAATGCGCTCGTCTTCACTTCAGATTGACCGTGCCAATTAACTAATGTTAGTCACGTGACTCTCTCGGGTCCTTTGAAGACGGCGTTTCTGCCGAAAAGTAAACGGCCGCCATATTGAATGGGAGCACGCGCTCCGGAGCGGGAGTCTTTGTTGAATAAAAGTGCGTCGCTCTTTGTATTCGAAGGGCCAGGTGCGTGCTGGCACGTGCTTCTAATGCGCATTGTTCCACATACACATGTTCCATACACAAAGAATTTGCTGGGCTGTACTGCAATGTGAAAGTACGACACTTGTACAGATTTTTATTCCTGTTTTCTTTTCTTAAAAGCATATTAACATTTTTGGACTAGAGGAACGAGCGAGAATAATAAAACAATCATAAATATAGTATATCGTATATAAATATACAAATTAATTTAAGGAATACATATATATATACATACGATCTTTGTATATATGTATATATATAATACAATATAAATGCAAGAAACGTTAAGATATAGACGTATATATATACATATGTATGGATAGACATATGTAAATAAGTGTAAATGCTTATATCTATATATGTATACACAAATATATATATATATATATATATATATATACATTTATACATACACAAATTTACATACATGTACAGTATATATGACTAGTCTCGGTCTTCATTTCATTTTCTCTTCATATATATGTCTTTTTTTTAATTTAGCAGCAGTGAAACAGATTTGATTGATTGAACGTAGCATCGCACACTTGTTGAATAAGAGAGCCAGGTGACGTAGAACGAATCCAAGGAGGTTGGGTAGAGTGAGCCGATACTGCGTGCTTATCCCGTAATGCAGTAGTCTTAAATAGTCTACCGCATGTTGGACAGGCGTACGATGAACCAGATGATGGCTCTGTCGAGTGGGTAAAAGAATGCTTACGTAAATAGGCTGCTCTTCTGAATTTTTTTCCACATTCAGAACATTCGAATTGCGCCTCCTGATCATCCTGATTTGACGGTGTAGTTGTTTGCTGCTGTTTGGGACGATGCCAGCGCCGATGAGACGCCAAATTTGCCGGGCAGTTGAACACTTTGTCGCATTCTGGGCACTTGTACTCAACGTGAACTATACAAGAACAACGGTGTTGCGCTAAATCGAATGCGTCAGTATACTTTTCCCTGCACAATTGACACGTATAATCGCCCAACTTGTTTTCGATTCTCGCCAATTCCGCTCTTGCTTCAGCAGTAACCGAAACCCAATTCAAATTGGTATCGATATCGCCACTAACGATTTGTCCGATCGAAGGATCGTCTATCGATCTGATTATAGTTCCAGACACTGGAGAGGATGTCTCGAATTGCAGCTTCCGGCAAACTTTTGACTTACCCTTTTTCTTCGCCAAAGAACTTTGAGGAGGGGTTGTTGCAGCAGTTCTGACAGACGGTGTAGTGTGTACCGGTGATAAAGGTGAAATATCATCGGAACAAGGACTTTTTCCGTAGCCGGAATCTGGAGATGAACATTGTAAAAGTTGCAACTGCAGTTGACTATCTTCTTCAGAAGTTTCGCTCTTTCTCCAAGATCGAAAATGCGACCGCTTGAAAAGTAAAGCTCTCGGCATCTTTCGCCGCCTCCAAATGACGCCTTTTAGACGTCCGAAGCGCCACGTGGTGTGGCTATTGAAGCATGACGCACCTGGCAATCAATGCGAGGCGTCAATACAGCAATCTTGCAGTGTGATGTAAGGCGCTTAGCTTAGCCGGACAATAGTCATATATGAAAGCGCGCAGTATTTATGTGCAGATATTAATGGAATTGAGGATATAGATTGGCTACCTGTAGAGAACTTTCATTTCCGCTATGTCTTCAGGGACACGGGTCACGTGGCGTCTATTGTCGAACGCGCGTAGCGTCTAATATAGGCCCGAGTCAAGTTTCGAAAACGTTGCGGATTCCCGAGCTCGAATAAGTGGAGCAGGTAAACAGTATGACGTGTGTGCCATTAAGCTGTCAAAGACTGCCCGGTACAGCAATACATTGCAGAACACATCAGGAAGCGCGCAACAATTTGCAAATGGAACAAACTAAAAGCGTTTCTAATGCGTTCCTTAGACGCTTGCTTCCTATATAGTCGTAGGAGGTCTGTCGAATACAGGTGACGTTGAAAAAAGTCTGGCTTCGTTAATCTAACTTAATGCCATTAGCGACGAACGGCCGTCTGATTTGTTTTCGTTTTAATCGCCGAGTGACGCCCGACGTCTCGGGCAATGCGTAGTCGGCTAAAGCATACATAAAAACTCCGGTACCGTTCAACAAAAAGTGCGGAATTTGCTTTACGAGACGCCGTTTATTCATGAGCAACTCCTCGGAAACGTTGAAAGCAGTAGGCGACCGCCGCTTTTATTAGGCCTATAGGAATCGTTTCGAGTAGGCAAGATTAGGCGTATAATCATTAGATATATAGGCGCAAGCGAGGATTTTTTGTCTTATTTGCGGTCGAGCCAGCGGCAAAAAGAACGTGATAAACTGACTATCCGTAGAACAATGACTAATATAATGAGCGGTAGGCGTTCATATTGCGAAGCCCCGTTTGACACGAAGTTTTCCAGTATATTGCTGTTTGCCGTCTGTTTATATTGTAACGAGTCAACCGCAATTTACAGTACATTGCCGCGAATCGTGAGTCGGCAATATGTCGGTAGATTTGTGAGACATTCTATTGATATTAGGCGTCGTAAAGATGCAGTATATACTGTATACACAAGACGAGCGTTACCGTATACATATCAGTTGTATATATATATATTACTTATAAATATAAATATAAAAATGCATATGAAGGAATATATTTTATACGTAATATACATTTACAAGGACGTCTACTCGTCTAGTAGAATGTCGAAACCATAGAAGTGTTTCCGTACTCGCGTTGTACAAGACGGTTATTAAACGCATTCTTCGGGATGCTTTAGTTTGAATAATTATGTATAGTAACTATTGGACACGTTGTTACCTAAGCTAAAAACCGCAAACATAATGTTTATTGAACGCTAACTGCAAATTGATAGGGGGCTGTCTAATGCGCGCTCAACGAGTTACGCCGTGATTAATCATTTATTGCCGCCACTGTTGCGCTCTCTTTCTATAATCCTTTCCTCATACATTGTTTCACATTGGAGAGTCCAGCCTAGTAACCTGTCAACCCCACAGGCGGCGTTCCCCTTAAGCTCTATTTATATACTAGATGGCGTTATATTAATGGTAAAATCTTTGTTGGGATTTTTTGCCTGTTATGGAATTATTTATAACTGATCCCGGTTTTTTGTCTCTCAATGTTCTTTTGTTAGACAGACAACGAAGGCTAATTATAAACTAATTGAATCACTATACTTTTAATATCTTTTAATAGTATCTCAGTTTGCGAGTAAATCAAGAATGAAATCTCACACTAGGTTTTAAAAGTCGAAAATTCTAGATTTAACGACTGGTAAACTAACAGGACAGATAATGGAATATGAACTCATAAGAGATACTTGATCTTAATTTCGACATTAGTAGGAAAGTCTTGAAAAGTATGTCCTTTCTTTGTATCTCATTCCTAATTTGTCCCATGATATTTAGAAAAAGCATCTGCTAAAATAAAAAAGAATTACAATGTTTAAAGACTACCGTTTTTTAATTTGTTAACTACAGCTAAGTGATGAATTGCATTTACATGAACCCACCCCGGGAAAGGTAATTTGCAAAAAGGGAAGAAGAATCGAATTTTAACTAAATTAATGTTTTTTTATTGTCCTTTTCGTGTGGCTTGAGGTAAGAAATAGAAATGTAAAAAAAGAGGAGAAGAGACAGAGATAGACTAACTTGATTAATAGAGAATAGAGCGATTTAAGTTAAAATTTTTAGTAAACAGTCAAAAGAGAGAATAATATAGCTTGGCTGGAACAACAGCTTCAAAGGACCAATTACAGGAAACCTCATCTTTTATAAACCTACTCATTGTCTACTCATTCTCTCTAACTATCATTTATGACCTTCCCGTGTAAATTACAACTAATAAACAATATTTTCCACCCTCTCGTCCCTTATTATTCAAACCACAAAGTTATTATGTTATAAGAGTTATTATTTAGTGGAAAACTTGCTATGAAAGCTTTCCATTTTTAACGATTAAGGTATTATTCCGGTTGTAAATTGTAAGGAAATTCATATTACGTAATATAGAATATATTCGACCGGATATTATTTTTCAAGTTTTTACAGAAATTAAGTAATTCCTTTGTGAAATGGTGATAAGCGTTCCTCGCCCAAATTCTTAAAACTGTTCCCTAAAGGTCAGAAAGTCACAGAACGGAAATCAGGAGACAACAAGGAATTGTAAAGGTATCGTATGTCGTTAATATCTATCTCTTAGAGCTAGGTTGCACATTTTATGATGAGCATCAGGATCATTCATCAAATGTTAATCGCTTGTCCATCAACTGTTATAGAAAGATGATTAAATCGCATAAAAGCATATTAATAGAACTACTAATAAGTTTTATGAATACGTAATTTTTCCAGACAAATGAATTTATGACTTATTTGAAACCGACAGATGGCGCTTAATAAGAAAAATTCATCGTCTCCAAATATACGGTTCATACTCGTTTTCTCCCAAACCATTACCGAATGGAAATAAGAGAATATAAATACAGTTCGCACCAAACCTAATTGGAAAAGTGCATATTAATCGAACTGAATCAGATATATCCGCAATGCGCAATCATGCTAGAAGGGCCAGTCGTTCAGAAGAGACGGCCTATGCATTCTATTAGTAGAGCTTATTTGTAATCCTAGACTGTATTGCAACGGAAATCGCGTGTGAGTTCTCGATCATGGAATCAAATGTGGAAAAGGGGTTATTTCCTTCAATGTGAAATGTTGTAATTGAGAAATAAGGTGAAATATTTGGTCGAGGTTATGAAAAATGAGAAGGAAAATAAAAGTAGGAGTAAAGAAAAACAATACAGTCAAAAACACTCATAATAGACTTTGATCGATTTAACGCCGTTAACATTATTATATTCATCTACTAACGACCTTTCCTTTGGTCTCTGAGGAAGAAATTCCCTTTCCATACACACGCATATACATATTTATAGTCGAGTTATTTATATTAATAAAAACTCTTTGCACACACACACGCATTTAGTATATGTTTGGTGCTCGTAGAACGCTGCCGTCTATCGACGGTGGGAGGTTTGTCGCAGTTTACGATACGCATCCAGCATGGCAGCGTCCGCTGTTTTTCAGGTTCGAATGGCAGTAAAATGCAGTGCCAGATTTCTGTCAGTCTTCTCTTTAGTGTTCGGACTCTTAGCTGTTGGAGCTTTATCTTTAGCCGTTACGACAGATTACTGGTTAAATACGACGGAAGCACTGCGTGAATTATCAATACCACAAGCCGTTGAACAACCTCTTCTTCCATTATCGACAGCAACGGAATTACCAGCCGAGCAAATAACTTCAGTCATCCATCAACATAAACAAAACCGGACATTAATACAAACCACAATAGTAAAGCTACATTCTGGCTTATGGAGGACTTGTATTTTCTCCAGTTTAATTAAGCATCGGTGGAGTACGGATTTGGAAGCACATGCTGCTTACGGTATTTATGCAAAAAATAGTACCACTTTTTAATAATTAAACCTATAATTTGGTTACGCGTCGACATCCGGTGCAAATAAAGCGCGATAAGTGCTTCAACGTTGCGAATGTTGTACTTTTGGGAATTTTTCTGAGTGTTTCTGCATATTCCATTTGTAACTTATACTATCTGGGGTTTGTATTTATTTTAATACAGCGGAAAAAAACTTTCTCTTCCCAGCATCCCTTTTAAGTATACAGATAATAATCAGCAGGGAATTTAATAAGCTTTTACACTAGCCAAACCCCCTCAGAAAAAATGTAAGCATTCTGTATTCAACACATAACCCTTTCGCTCTTCAATAAACCTTTTATGCGGTTTGACTGTAATTATTTGCAGTTTATCCTTATTAAAGAGATAGTTTAATAATTTTGTGCACACTACATAAACATTTATGGGATATTTATATTAATTGGAATATTTATGTGATTTCTTTTTATGAAAATGAGATGCATTGTAAAGTTATTTAATTAAAACAGTGACCAATCGCCAAACAAGAGGCGCTATTTGTTAGTTGAATTGTTTGTGATGGGTTTAAACCTGTAGGGAATTTCTAAAAACCAGGCTGACTAAGGTTCACATATGCGTGACCGATCTTTTGTTTTCTATACGTCTGGTACAAGTGACAAGCTAAAGCACGACAAACTCCCTGTCGCATATCCAATTGCAAATACCATACGTTTCATATTCTTACTGATATCTCCTTGCTTTTAAAACCTTTACCGTTTTCTACCACTTTATTTGTTTTATTACAATATGTAAAAGCTGCTAAATAGCACATTTTTGCTTATTCATGCTTTTCTCAATCTTGAGTGATTACTTTTCTTTATCTCGAATTTTATGTGTTGTTAGTTTATTTGTTTTATTATAATAATAATTACAGATATGCCCATGGCTCAGTGCTTTACTATAGGCTATTTCGGACAGACTTTCGAACGATTTGATGGTGCTGATACCACCATGTCAATCAATAGTGAGTTGATTCTTTTCGGAACTGACCTTACGTATGCTAGAAGAACTTATCTTATTGACACCTAATCAGGATCTATAAGACGGGCATCTCCTATAATAATAGCTGGCCTGTTGCTCGAATTCATAGCCATAGCACTGGCCACCATCGGGAATACCAGAGGAGACGCAAAAACCATAGGGGGCGCAGTTTTATATATTTTCTCAGGTAAATCTTCCAACTTTTACTGTTTCTATAAAAAGAAAAGTATATTATTTTATGTATTCTAAAGCTCTGGTAATGGCAGTGGGGAAAATTGTCTACATATCAGCTGTCAATGATGAAGTTTCACATCGTAAAAAGCCCAATGGAGGACGAGAAGAGGATGTGTTCGCTTACAACTATGGGTGGGCATTCTATCTCGGTGGAGTATCGTTTATTTTTGTAATGGCGGCTTCGGTGGCAAACATTACTTTATATTTGCAAAGAAATGACGGGGAAACAGATGTAATGACTGTTTTAACGGGTTTAAAGAAAAGGGCAACAATGGAATTTTACGAAGAGGAAGAGAAATATCGGGAAATCCCTCAAGTGGATCGCCCCCAGTCGTCTAGTGAAGAACTTAGGAATGAAGGTCATCACACTCTGATTTTGTGAGAAATTATATTATATGCAAAGAGCCTGCAGCGTTCTTGCAGGCGTTATATGCCTCTGAGCTTTAAAAAGTCGTAAATCTTTTTCGTTACTACATGGCTTATTGCACATGGCTTTTTTGTTATAAATTTATGATAATTCTTAATTAAATAGATCAAACACGAAAAAGCATTGAAGGTATGGAGTTGATATGAGAAAATTTATTCAGTGATTGATAGGGAAGTCACTCGGCCGCATCCTGAATATCAATCAAAAGAAAATTAAGTCTATTAAGATTTAACAATTACATAGATTTCTTCTACCAAGAGTGTAGTTTCATGAAAAGTCAAGATATTCATGAAAAAGTAACAAAAGAGAGAGAGAGAGAGAGAGAGGGAAAGGAAGTTTTTCTTTAATGGATTTAACAACTTTTCACTATATGGTTTAGCGTTGCAACAGACCAACCGTACTTCCTATATACAGAATTAATCAATTAGCTTTCTAGACACTTTTAAGTATTCGACCTCTTCAAAATCAATTTATTTTTTTTTTTTGGGTAAATTTAGATATCTTTATTTTGACAAAAGCGTCCTTTAAATCATTTTGATATTACAATTTAAAATGATTTAGTAGTAGTCTAAAGGCTACTGGCAAACTAAGGCTTTCTAATCATGGATCACAGCGTGCAAAGAAACTATTCCTTACAGTTAGCTGTTGATCCTAATGAACTTTTATATTCTATCGATATCAGCCTGCTATTTAGCTTTTACAATCCCTTAGAAAAGGTAGTATTACTCCTTAATGGAAGGGAAATTAGTTACGGGTAAAAAGAAATTTTTTGCAGGTTTTCTTGACAAGAAATCGGCCTAAATGCTGGAGAAAAAATATCAAACGTTGGTTAGAAATTAAACCAGAATATTTCATAAGCAAGAAAATAAATGAAAAAAGAGCGGTTTTATTATTCTTGTGAGTAAAGATTAAACGTAACTAATTAATTGAATATAGAAAAGCTTTCTGTTTTTAATTTCTGTCAAGCTAGACTAAAAGTAACCAAATGACGAGATAAAATGGGGACAAGTAAATCTTTAGAAGCTCAATAGATACATAAAAAAATTAACTCAATTGATTCGGAACTACATATTCATCTTTCTTTATTTTGTAAAGAAATTGAGTAAATCTCCACTGACCAATTTAAGGTATTCAGATGAGCATCTAGCGTTTAATCGACTGCGTCACAAAAAGACTTTAAAATAAACTAACTAGCAATTGGAATTGATTATTATAGTCAGCAATGAAATTTCTTTCAACAATCTATAGTAAATACGATTAAAGATCTTATTGTTAATTTTAGTGCCTCCGTATAAAAAGAACTGGAAGTAGAAGTCCCTTGATATTTCTCAAATCAAGTTTAGAGTATAAAATTGATTCGAAAATTAATTCTAAAGCTATAAACATATTTTGTAATAAAAATTCTGATCCCAGTAAACAATTATAAACTCAGGGATAAATTATTTATTAATCAATTATATAGATGTTGTCTATTCTTAATAAGTCTGTCTTCTTTTCTAAAAAAACTCGTCAATTTCATTTTATTAAATGTATAAGTCACATTTATTATTTTTATATTCATAATATAGAAAAGATTGCTATTCTTATTCCTATTAGGAAATATTCCCATGAAGATTAAGTATACCAACAAAAATATCATGCGAATACAGCAGCAACAAAATTTTCCAGATAATCAATTAATAAAACTCTACTACTACACTCTATAGCTATAAATATTAATATATATATATATTAGTATTTATATATATATATATATATATATATAGGAAGAGAGAGAGACGGAGTATAATGTATACTTATTTTTTACAAAAGATACATATTAAAGGTATCTATTTGTTAATTGCGAGATTGATAATATAGTTAAGTATACTTATTTTCGTATGGGCTATATATTAAAAGCATTCTCTTCTTATTAAAGAAGATTCAGGAGTATCACTTACTTAAAGAATATATAAAGCTTTTTTTTTCTGGTCGAGCAAACAATGAATTTCGAGTTTTGCTCAGGGAAAACTATCAACGTATCCAATTTCTTATTTCTTCATTCTTTTCCTTCTTCTTATCAAGCCATTCCTCTATTTATCTTAGCATATTTGGAAGACTCATAGGAATCAAATCGTCTAGTCTAACCTACTTTACTAATTACTTAGGAAACTATACTGCAAAGGATATAGTTAGTAAGGTCCGCCTTACACTCACAAATTGGATGGATAATAAGTTAAATCAGTGCGAAATAGGAAAGAAAGTAAATAAAATTCTTTCCAAGTCAATTTATCACATTGCACAATCATTTTCCAAGCTATCTACGCCCGCTCCGTAAACTGGATTGATTTAGTTTTGATATTGAGTTTTCAGAATTTTATTTTTAACATATAATAAGCAATTATAATAACCCTTTTATAGAAAAAAGCTGACGTAAAAAAAATTGCAATATACTCCTATTGTTTACTCAAATTGAAAAATGAACATACTAATGCTTCCGATTTAATCATTTATTTCTCATCGACCAGAAAATTGGCGCCATCTGACGTCTGATATTTCTCTAATTTTTTGGCGCCAAAGGCTAGTATTTTCTTCAAGGGATCTTATTCAACAAAACAACCTTTAATTTCCGTTGACGCGCCCGTTCATTCTGAACGATCAAATATCCGGTTCAAAAAAATATTATTGCGGAATATTCAATTCGATCTATAATAGTAGCGTCTTTTATTACAACGAATTCGTGTATGCCAAAGTTAATCGACTTCGCTATAAAATTAAATTCCTAGTATAAACTTATTAAAGTTTTAAATAAGCAGATGGCAATGGTCACCAAAGCATTACTTAGCAAAATAATTAATTAAAAGGTGTAAATTCGCTAATCTCAATGCATGCATCATTTTCATTTCAATAGTATATTTCTGTATCCTCAAACATCTGCTATTTACTTAGTGCAAACTCTATTGCGATTTATTTTTTTGTATTCCAAAGGTAATTTTCTTTTTATACGACTTAATTCTCTTCAAGACGTCAGGTTCAATTTCTTTCTTCCTGGAAAATTCTCCTCTTTCTTTCTCTTTCTGTGCAATTTGCCCTTCTAAAACGTATTTTATTACTTAGACGGACGAGTGGCTATTTGTAGTTTCCTGATGATTTCGCCATTCTCTTGTGAGACTTTCAGCTATTTCCTTCATTTTGCACTTAAGGGCATAGAGCTTTCGTCTGTCTGTTAACTCTCGATTTTCGCTTACAAATTTATTTCTCTCGACTAAAAATAGACGATTCAATTGAAAAAATTAGGCTCGTAGAGTTCAAATCAACTATTTTACGTGATAAGTCTATAGGCCCCTCTAAATATTGTTGATATTTATTATGCGAAAAGTGTAAGATGATCAAGTTGGACAACTAGACGGTATCTAATAAAAGCTATTGGATTTGGGAATCCAATAACTAGCCAAATAGCCTTGGGAAGAATGAGAGTAAGGAAAGAGCTGTGACGCTTTTAAGTAAAGAAACGATAAAGTAGGCAAAAAATCACTAGATCCAAAAATTTATAATAGTTTATAGCAATTAGGAATAAAGTAGCAGCAAACATGTTTCACTCTGTCACCCTCATTTCTTACTTTCTTTGTCTAAATCTTATCTTATTTAAGGAGTTAGATACGACTTGACAATAAAACAATACAAGCCTATACCGAATATATAACAAAAAGGACGTTAGTGAAGTGTTTCTTATATATACACGTCCATAGTATATTAACAAAGCTAATTTTACAATAGAAATTTCACGAAAACGATATCGTTTAATAGTAAAGGTCCTATTATTTTCTCAATTCTAATTGAAGTGCGTCTTTTTGAAAGGAGATGTGCGTGTTGCGATCAATTCAAAATTTTCTCGATAATAGGCAGTCGGTTTCTCTTTCTTCCTACCATTATTTTTTTAACAAGTTATTTTACTTTTAGTATTTTTCACCATAGGTCAACATGCAAAAACATAAATTGTTTAACTTTACACCATTTCTTAGCCTTGACCTTTAAGTAAGAATAATTTATACTTTTAGAAGATGTAGCAATTTGGATATCGTGTTTGTTATATTCTTAGGCTTATAGAATAAACGAAAATATATATTTCAAAAATAAATAATCCGTGAACGCAACGCCTGTTCAAAGGTTGACGCTTTAAAGATAGAGGTTAGATAGGCTTAATTGTCTCTACCCAGAATCTTGAAAAGGAAAGCTATATAAAGAAACCTGCGGCGAAGCATATAAAGAAACAACCTAAGGTTTCCTCCCCTAGAGTTACATTTACCTTATTACTTCAGGGAGTATATACAGCGTTTTGCTTAATTATTATTAATGAATCAGATATAACTATTTATATTAATTTTACATGTTTTCTTAAGTAATGAACTTTCTATATATAAATATAAACATACTGTATATAAAGATAGATAATACAGAGATATAGATATGCACTATACGACTATAAGTCATCTATAAAATTGTTAAATGGTCTCTTCGAGTCATAAAACATTTAAGATAGCATTTTTCCGTTGACTTCGTTATGCAGGAATTCTTGAAGCACTCATCTCTAACTTGAATAGCTTCGAATACCTACTTCACTTGAAATCTCAGTAACAACTCCTAATTTGCGTATTTCCCTCCCCACTTCTTTACTTCCTAAGTGGTGACGTAATTCCGTTTATTCTTGGGAAACACTGAAGTAGCTCTAGTATCAAAGTATGTTTATTTTTATAGCAAAAGAGATATTGGCTTTGTTTATTGTAAATGGATAAGAAGATCGTATTAAGTACCTAGTTTTTGGTGTAAACAGTTAAAAAAAGAAAATTTTGAATATTTATGTAAGAGCAAATATCCGCCAGGTGTCACTCGTTGAAGAGGAAGAAGGGCAGAAAGGAAAAGAGTAAGGAGAGAGAGAAAAAGAGAGAGAGAAAACTCTCTTGTTGCGATATTTATCAGCTTATCAAGAATTTTAAGCAATTATTAAAAATAAGGAAATGGGAGTGGTTATTGTTTAAATACACTGTCAAGAGAAATACTCTGTTTTCAGTTTAATTGTCACGCTAATAACAATTGTCGTTCGATTTATCGGCAACTGATTTGATCGTTAATTAAAGACGTAAAAGTAGCAATTTGGCAGGTTTTAAGAAAGTGTTATTTGTCTAGGGCTTTCTCGATATCTTTAAGTCTGTAAAATTGAATATAACTGCCTTGGTACTGATAAAGGATGACTTTTATTTACTCTTCTGTTCAAAAATATTTTTGAACGTGGTAACCCTTAAATCTAGGTCAAGTTGGTTGACAAAATTAATAAATTAATTGTCAAGAATCATTTCGAACAGATTTCTATGAAGTCCTTGAAATTGGAAGGAGTATTATACATTCAAGCTGTAGAATTGTGAAAAGTGCTTATTATTTAAAAATAAATATTCATAACAATGAGGCGGTTACTTTTACCATTATAGAAAAACTTTATCAGACCGAAGCTCTTTTCACGTACTGGCGGCACTCGTCAAGTGTATGACCGTGATATAAGGTTATAAAAGTACTATATGGCACTCTGCTAAACGTAATTACAGTATAGTATAATACGCGGCAAGGTGTCCAATCCCTTTTATGTTTTTCTTTGTAAAAACTTTGAATGAATACAAGGGAAATTTAATAACTCCCATCCGTTAGCCCTATAAGCTTAAGTACTTGTAAATATCTATTGAACAATAAAAATGACAAGTCGGCTTAATTGCACGCGCCCCATTGTACACAAATAAATAATCTTGAAAAGTTAACGGTAAACTTCCAACTAATTAAAGAAGGAAAAATTGAATATGTGGTTGGAGATTTTATGTGAATGCTCTATATAAATAATTGATTTTTTCACCTATTTATCCACTTCTCTTTTCTCTTCTTTCTTCTCTTCTCTTTTCTCTATTCGACAGTGTTAAATGAATTGGCCAAAAAACTCGTTTTTTATGTATAGTTCATCCTCCTCCTTTCAAATTATTTTAATATTAATCTTCTTTCTTTTTAATAAGAAGATATAAAGAAATGGATAATAAGTTATATGTCACATATAGTAAAAAGGGCAGTCAATAAGCCCCACTGCGTAATGTTATTTAAATATGTTCATTTTTCTGCTATACTGAAGTAATAATTGTCAACGTCTAGCTGTCACCATTATTCATAGCTTCATTTATTAATAAACTTTTTTTCTTACCCATCGGTCTTCTTTTCCTCTACTGCGACCTCTATTGGAATAGTTGTTTAGTCCTATCAAAAGATCCTCTTCAAAGTACAAACTTACGCAACAAATAGGGCTTTAAGCCTCTACACTGCAGTGGCCAATTACGTAACTTATAGAACATAAAAGACTTGTATTACAAGCGCATCTCGAAAGTTTATTGAACTAAAACCGGTTATAGATGTTTTGAATAGACGAGTGGTAAAAAGAAGGCTGATGAAAGAGAAAAGGAAAAGGAGCAAAAACTAAAAGTTCAGTAAGCCGGTCAAACGATCACCTGGCCCCACCGTCTTTAATTATAAGGATTCAGTATTTAATGAAAACAAATAAGTACGTCGTGAGAACGAACTGTAAATGAAATTCAATCTACAAATTTTCGTCTTCCGGAATTTTATTTGATCGAGGCAAGAAATCCGACGTTTTAGAGAATGATAAATGAGAATGATGGAATGTCGCTTGCAGCGCAGAAGCGAATCGAGCTCGTAAATTTATATAAAAATGGTACCTGACGACGATAAAAATTATTATTATTACTGTTATTATAAAAAAGGTGGGAGCAATTTAAATGCCGGAGACATTAGAAAAAAGAGTAGGGAAAACAGACCCCGCTATGAGCTTCCTTCAGTAAAATGTTTTAATTATTTTATTAATTAATATCCCCACGGAGTTGACAAGTTAACGGACCGTCTTCGAATAATCGAGGTCCAGGAAACGACCCGTTTCTCAAGACGCCCCCATAAAAATATCCCGTTGGGCGTTGGAAATATCGCAGCGATTCTAACGAGCGAATTAGCGCCTTCTACAATTCAGAAACGGTCTAAAAAATTCGACGCCCTGTCATTTTGAATGTCGATTGCATCTGTGCGCGTGAATTGGCAACGATAACCCTGGGGCCATTCGTACACGCTCTTCAACGACCCTTTAGGCCTATATAATCCTATATTCGCTCCCGCTAAATCTCCTTTTAATCGCCCTTCGCATTGTGATTGTAATTTTTCGAAAACATCCACCTAATCCTCTTTATCCGACCAACTCCGCCTTCGTCGACATCGTTTCCGGTTTTTTCATTAGCAGAAAAAAGCTGACTAAAAAAAAGGTTGGAGGCGGAGAAGAAATATGCATTAGAGACCGAGGGCTATGCTCATGTAAAACCTTGGTACAATATATATACATAAAAAGTAACATTTTTACATTCCATTTCCGAAAAAGTCGCTTCAGGCGACAGTTTGTGTAATTCATCGTAAGTATAGGCCCAGAGGAAACTCGACTCTTCGACGCTAATTAAAAAATTGAATGAAAAGTATACATCTGTTCATGAACTGTTCAAGTCGGAAGGTTAGGCAGACTAGAGATAGAATTCGTTTGTTCGAGTGACAATACTGACAAAGATTACTTTCATACAATTTTTTTATTCACCTAGTGTTTGCATTGCGTGGCATTGGGAAAAAAGATGGAAAGAAAGGCAAATGGAAAAGATGAATAAAGGAATCAACAAAAATTATCCTTCTTAAAATAATATTTTGAAAGGAAAAGGAAAAGATCAGCTTGTTTGTTATATAAGTACGTGCATAAACGGGAGACGATAACATAAAGAACGTATACTTCTTGCACACACTATATATAGTTTTATAAAATTTTCAAAGGATAAATATAGGTATAAAAATAGAAGGAAAGAAAATGTTACTGTCAGTGACTAGCATTGAAGTCTCCCTGTCATACACATGATTTACGACCAATGCGTATATCCCAAGCGCGCGCGCGCGCGCTGACGCGATCGTCCAAAAAAAGCACCGCTTTTCGCCTAGTCGTTAAGATACCCGGCAAGAAGACGTGAAAAGAAAACGCGTTATAAAACGTTCCAATGCAGGAAACGGCAGATTTCAGTAGATAGTTAAAACAAACACAATTTAGCGACTTTAAAGAACGTTCGCTCTTGTTTAAAGAAGGAACCGCCTGTACGAATCAATCGTCTTTTCGTGACTTATCGCCAACAAACGTCATAAATAGATAAGATAAAACAAAAAGGTCGCGTGCCGAGCGCGTGTATTAAAACTTCTATTTCCTTTTTTACCTTTATAAATATTGTATATACGGTATTGCATATGCATATTTACATGTTGCCTAGGCGATTTCAACGGCTCTGAAATGTTTACACAATTTTCAAAATTCTATTCAATAACGTATACACGCGTATGCTGGCTTTATTTTGGCAAGGGTAAAAGAAAAAAAGGAATATACGCATTTAGTAACCAGAGCGCATGCGCGGTCCTACAAGCACGCGATCGGCTCACGCGTCTTAGTCAACTTGCATTGAAATCGCTACTTTTCGCACGTCTTACACATCTATTCGCCAATGTTATCTTTGCAGGACGAATCTAATTTAACTGTCACCTGTCCCACATAGGCATTGGTCGTACTTTGGGAGCACGCGACGATTAGCTTTTGGATCAGTGAACATTTTTCATCTATTCAAAATAACCAACGATGCAGATTGTTATTTTTAAATAAAAAATAACGTAAAAAAGTAGAAATATAATAATTACAAAATAGTTTTTTTTTCAATTCGCATTTCAGCGTGGATTTCTTCCCTTTCCATTTCTTTGCTTTCTTCTTTTCTCTCTCCATCAAAAGACATTCTCTCACTGATACTAAATCATAATAGTTACTAAAAAAACTAATAAATTGCAGAGAATCATGTAAAAATAAAATGTTTTTAAGGCACAATTTGGCGAAGTGGGAAGACGACAGATGGGGAAGAGATTTCAATGCGGAATTACTTCATCTGTTGCATTCCCAAGGAAATTCCCATCATCTAAGTTGACGACCAGAAGAAGGCTGATTGAAGAGTTTGGGCGTGTAAAACGTCCTCAGTATTGAAAAGGGAGGGATGTGAAGAAGTTGGTGTTCCTGATGTTGTCAAGTGATTGTTTTCATCCAGTAAACTTTGCAAATCTTTTATATAGTGAATAGCACCGCGTAGAATATCAACCTTGCTCATTGCTTTATTTCCTTTGCTTACAACTGGCAGGGCTTGATCTGGTAAATGCGATTGTAGGGCGACAAAAGTACTATTCAATCTTTTCAAACGATTTCTTTCTCGAGCGTTTCTTCGGATCATAGACGCAGAGCGCGCGGCCTTCTTCCTTCGTTCCGCTTCACCTTTTCCGCCCATGTCATCGTCGTCCTGTTCGTCCTTGCTTGGCGATGGTGAATCATTTTCCATCATTTCTTGTTCATCTAAAGACGAGAGACGCATCGCGATTCGTTCAAAATGATTTCTTTTAACGTTGGTCTTGTCAGACAAAGTGCTTTGCGTTGCCATCGACGAACGAATGCCGTTCAGTTCAGTTCGCTTCTATTTAATGCTTGACTCCGCCCCGTTCGTGCCGAAATCGATGGAAGCGCCACCTATACCTATCTCGTTAAAGATCCCGTCGCGCCTAAAACGCTGGCGTCTCTCCGGCGGCCTGCGCACGTGCCACTAATTCGGTTTTCTTTTTCAAATTCATTCTCTTTCCCACGTTTTACTTTCTAAAAATTTAGATGGGAAAAATTCCATAGACTGACTCTCTTCCCATCTCTTCAACAGTTGACACGCGTTTATTATCGCAGGCCGTAGTAGAAGGCATGTGACACCTAACGTGCCATTCTATACGTTTAGAACATAGCAATTTTCTACATTAGAAGCGGCTTATATGTTTATATGAAACTTTCACTCTTCATCCTTCTCCCATTTATACCCATCCATTACTGGGTGGAGCGGCTAACCGACCTCGACGACAATCTAAAGATCTTAAAGACTATTTGCATACGATCATCATCACCTAAAGCAAATATTTCATCATTCCCTGTCAAGGCGGCAATCTAGAAAAGGTAGACTTTATTTCAACGAAACTTTGATAAATGGATGTTGTAGGTTAAATTAAGGTGGGAGCTACTCCTCCTATCCATTCACTGGTGGGAAAATGCTCTTGTAATATCGTGACGGAACCCGATTAGTGTGTGCGACTTTGCGACGTCCAAACGATAAAATGCGTCTAATAAAGCTGTCACTATAGTCTCCAACCTTACCCCCATCGAGGTTTTCTCCCCCTTTTTTGTTAAGGGCGGAGGTAGCGTAAACTCGGAGAGAGAAACATTTCACAAAAGAAGCACGCGACGTACGAAAGAAGGGCACGCGCGCAGCACGACTACTCTTCAGGCCAATGCGCACATTTGAAGGAATGAATAAAAAAGTACGGAGAAAGCAATCAAGTTCCACTTGCATTTTGTCATTAAGTGCCGTGCGTTACTGACCATTACTGACCCTTTGCAATCAATTAAACCCACCCTACAGGGCTACAATTAACATCAAAGGAGTTGTCCGTAGGCTCGAACAATATATCTAACTTTGTTCCTGGTCCGAAACAGGGTTCGGATTTCAACCGAAAAAAGGCCTATGGGGCTAAAAGTACATAGAAATTGTATATAAGAAACAGAGACGGAAAAATAAGAAAAAAGAGAGCTGAAGATAGACGAAGTTATGCGGGTATTGAAATCGCCTAGATGACATTTGAAAAAAACTTGGCAAAAAAATATTCTGTCGGTGTCTAATTGCAAGATGGGTGATGTAGATAAACTTTCCTCTTCGAAAACTCAATCCTAATCTCGTTCAAGTATGCAATAGAACGCTCGTTTTGGAAAAAGAAACTCTCGCGTGTCGGGCAGGCGCGTGGGACTCGGGAATAATGCATATTAATAAAATATCAAAGGTCAGGAACGATCGAGCGCCGTATTTGCCAGCTAAAGCTTCTTTTTAGATCAAAGATACCGCATAGATTAATAGTTTTAGCTTTATAAATATACATTGATCACGGATGAATGGTGGCGTATATAAGAGAGAGAACTTTGTGTCGAAAACGCTTTATTCATTAAACATGCGAACGTGTTTAAATTCGAATTATACTGTGTGCGTTATTGCTTTATTACATAATCGCTTTGTGCAGCATTACTTCATCGCCTTGGAGGAATTCTTTAATGTCGTCTATAGACTCGTATTAGACTGTCATGTATAATCGTTATACAACTACGCACTCAGAAGTAAAAGAAAAAATTTAGAAAAGAAACTGGTTAAATAAAAAAAAAAGTAACCTTTTATTCTTTATTAGACTATTTAAGCAATTTCTTATGTGTTTATTGTATTTTTTATATCTACACCAGGCACACGCTTATCTTTTTTTCCGACTGAATTTAACCCTTTTTTATGTCCAAAAAAAATATCTGAATGAAGAACAGGAAATCGCTAAGAATAGAACAATTTCATCTCTTTAAAAGCTGTTCGCAGTTTTAAAAATTGTATTCTACAAGCATCTCTTTTATCCTTTTCACTGTTACCGCTCGTTATACCTATCGTGTAAATAAATGGAAAATTGTATGAAGAAATACCTACATAGACGCGATTATATGTTCAATAATACAGTAAAAACCTGTTTTTTCTCCATTGTCAATAAATTTTTTGGCTGAACCCCCCAATGCCTTAAACGTACACAGCAATCGACGCACCTGTACGAATTGTAATGTACCCTTTTCGACACTGGCAAAAAAAGGCATTATGTTTTTTTTTTTTAACATTTGAGTAATTTAATGTCGCGGAACACTTTTTCCCTTTTCAAATAGCCACGCGACCCATCTATCTCTTTTCTCTATTCAGCCATTACGATGAGTCTTTTCTATACAGCTGGCACTATTGAAGAATTCACATTGTTGTACTACCAAGAAGAATACCCGGGTTTTTTATCGGGTTATCTGGGGTTGTCTGGCATAAAGCGCACACTTCTACTAGTACAATAGCCTAGTCCATTAATTTCTTGTCATTTCCTCCTCTCTAAAAGCTTACAACTGCTAGACGCCAGATGGCACCACGTATCGTAAATTTTAACTGCCGTTTATTTAGAAAGGAAGCACTGACAAGAGGAATGCAAAAGGTTATAGATTATATTTGATAAAGGTCTCTTAGATTTCATTTGCTTTAGAAAATATTAAATACATGAAATATTAATAATTGGTAATATTGTCTAATTTTACTCCAAATCTATTAATTTTGAATGTCGATCAGTTAAAGGCCTGAAAGAAGCTATACATTTCCCAAAGTTCACTGTCTTAACAAACACTTTCTTTTTCAAATTGACAAAAATATAGGCCTATAAATGTACCGATAGCAGATCGGTAAGTGTAAAAATACACTGTCGCTGATAATAAAAAAAAGTAGAAATTTTATTTACGCCGTTGTCAACGTAAGACGATTCAAAAATAGACACTAAACAATTGACGGAAAGACATTTTTATCTATAAATAATTAGACGACCTTCCCTGGCTAGTTGCCGTCACTTGTTTTATTGATCGCCATCTATTGGAGCGTTTTTCATGGGACGTCTCTGGCAAGAACGCCATCTGTCGCGCCTATGGTCATCTTAGGCCTACATTAAATTCGCCACCTACATCGTATCACGTGACACAACATCGCGGGAAGTTGACCACTAGGCACTGGCATTTCTCCGTAGAGGGACTACATATAGATGAATGGATAAAAATAGAATGATGGTCCAACAACAGAACGCATTGGATATATCAGTTCGTCGTGGCTGCAAACCAGTGACGTTTCCGAACTCGCCTATCAACGAACCTCTCAATTTATCTCTAACGGATAGACGCTCCCCACCACCGGACGTAACGCCTCCCCAAACGCCTGCTACGCCTCTCACGCCTTCGACGCCCTGTAGTCCAGCGTCAAGGATTGCTTTCAAGAAAAGCTTATTAAAACGCTTTTACGGTACGTAAATAGGCCTGACGGCGTCTATTTGCGTCAAAGTGACGTCAATCAGAAAGACGACGATCACTTCCTGCTTGCCGTGTTTTCACAGCGGCTAACCTAGTCGGGAGAAAGTGAAACCTCATGAATATTAATTAGCCTCCTTTCTTTCTAACAGTGGACGAAAAGGGCGAAAGTCGAAAGAAGCTGCTACGCAAAGTAGACAATCACGGTAAATTCGATTATCCGCTAAAATAGCCTCATTTTATCTTATCATTACCTTCATCGAATCGACCGGTAAACACGTCGAATAATCATACTAATTTATTCAAAACAGCTTCGCACTCGGCCGATAGCGACCTATCGATATCGGATGCAAAATGCCTGGACGATAAGCCTTCGAAAGGTGAGCGGAAACCGTTAACTACTTCCGGCTTCCGCTTTATTCAAAAAAGCGTCGGTGGCCTACGGCCGTAGCGTCGGCGTCAATGGGGCGTAGGCCTAAAGAAGCTGCGCGTTTCACTTTTTTGAATTCCTCAATTTAACCTACATATTTCTTTCTTTTATTCAGGTTTACCAGTTTCGCTTGCCGACCTCAGTATACAGCAAACATTGCAGTCGCACTACGCCGCTGCACCTGCGCAGTATTTAGGTAAAAGAATGTTAATTACACTACACCTAAGCGAAATATGGCACTGTGCCAAATACTTTCGAATTCTGACCGCTTCCTCATTCCTTTCAACGGCCGTTTTACGTTTATTTTATACACTTAGGCCTTTTCCCCTCCTTTTAAACGCACATTTCATTGAAAACAGTATGAGCTTTCTACTTTCACTAAAAAGGAAACTTTTTCTGAACTGAACAAGGAACTAAAATCTAAATGTACTGAAATGGGGGAATGCATGTCGTTATTGGCTATTACAAACTTGGCCGATAAACAATCCTTGTTGTAATGTCGCTGTAAAAACTGTTGAAAACTTCACATGGCAAAATCGGCAGTATTATTCGCAAAATATTTAGGTCACAGGTGCCGTTGTTTCCAATTTTCCCAGTCTAGGCTAGTTTGTAGCGCACAATTGAAAGATTGAAAACAAACTCCACCTGCTTTAATAGGCGTATACAGTTTATAAAATTTTTCTCTTCGAAACGATTCTAACGCCATCTGAATTTTACAGAAAATTACGCCATGCTCCAAATGCCACCTCCTCCCCTTATACCTGCTTCATCGCCGCATTTAGGTCACTTTGATTATAATTTTATACCGGAAACACCTACTTCACCCACAAAGAGGAAGAACGAAAATGGGTCGCCGATAACGCCAAAACGCAAGCGAGATTCGTCGACAACGTACCTGTGGGAGTTCCTACTGCAATTGTTACAGTCGCCTGAATATTGCCCCCGTTATATCAAGTGGACAGATCGATCGAAAGGCATTTTCAAATTAGTCGACTCAAAAGCTGTTTCGCGATTATGGGGTCTGCATAAGAACAAACCGGATATGAATTATGAAACGATGGGTAGGGCTTTACGGTATTATTACGCCAGAGGAATTTTGAATAAAGTAGATGGACAAAGACTCGTTTATCAGTTTGCCACTGTACCTAAGAATATTGTGGAAATCAACTGCCAGGATTCTTAGCCCTCAATACGTTTCTCCTAGTTATATGAAAAAATTTTTATAGAACAAATTTTTTCCAATTTGCAGAAGAACTGTTAAAAAAGCCCTAATATCTTTCCTTTTACTTGTATTATTATGAACCATTTGGAAGAGAGAATTGTTCAAGGAAACTTTTTTTGTTTTCTTTTAAGAAAAAGTTGGACTAGTCTAAAGAAAAGCCAAGAAAAAATAGTAAAAAATCTGAAAAGTTACATTTTACTTCAATTTTTGTTGTTTGTTTTCAAATATATACAACATTATGGTTATTTCAGGGAGATATGTAAAATGAGTGCTACGCCATCTATGGCACTTGACTATTTTCGTTAATCACGAATATTTTGTTCATTTTAAAAGACTATCAATGCCCTCCAATTAACTATTAGGTAGGTGTTTTTTTCATTTGATAAAAGGAAGAAACAGATGGTCAATAGAAGTAAATCAGATTATTACAAAGTGAAATTAAATATTATCCTTACACTGTAAGGATACTGTTTAATCTAGAGTATTCTATTTTGATATATTTCACTGTTATGTAGTTTATATATAGACAATATTCTTTTTTATTACGTCTTTATACATATGTACTTTTAATGTATATATTACCATTAATTCCTATTTTACTTTAGAAAAGGCCTCATACTCTCTATTAATAATATCCCTAAACAACTAACTACTGGTTTACTTCCCACCAAATTTAAACTGTGAAATTGATTAGACTATGATTAGCGAGTCGAATATTAAAAAAAAACATATTATCATTGAAGTCAAGTAGGTTGGATATAACTATAAAAGATAAAGAAATGAGAATTGCGTACGAAACTTTCAAGTAAAACCTGAGCTGAAAATTCAAGGTCACTTAAATATAGAAATTTCTTTCTCACAGAAGAAGGTTACAATGTAAAAAACTACATTTAAAGTGTATCGTACGAAACCTACTAAAGTAGAGACAAGTTTCCTTTACTCTCGTCCTAACTATTATGAATTGAACAGCTAATTGATAAAGAATTATATTGAGTTAATGTTCCAATTTTTGAACTGATCTAATGTCCCAAATTTTTAAGGCGGTGTACTCGTCTTACAGTGATTGTTTTTGTCGGTAGTTAAAGCATACCACACTGCCCTGCATGTTCAAATGCAAGCTAACGAGTTAAATTAATAAGTAAATTTCCTTTAAGGAGTAAAAGGGAAATGAAGGAATATTGTGATAAGGGAAATTTGAATTCATTCTTATTATCTAAAGAGTTTATTTTTCTGAACCGTGGCTTTGAGAATTGTTATATAATATATATATATATATATATATATATATATATATATATATATGTACAGTATAAATTTATGCTGTATATATACAAATATATATGTACGGTATATATATATATAACTACATATACGTAGTTATATACATATACTGTAAATATTAAAATTGATAAACATATATATTAGTATTTCATACGTAATATACGCTATATATATAGTGTATATATGTTTGTAAAAATAGCCTATTTATATTTATAGTATCAACCGACATGTTTTAATACTTATCACGACTTTGCTACTACTTAAAAAATAATACGATAGCTATTGTGCAGTTTTAAACTGTAGATGGAGTTGCCGTTAGCATCCTTACAGCTAGCGTCGCCTGTAGTTCGAATTAGATAACTTAATAACCCTAGGCGTAAGCTGTTAGGATCAGCTCATCGGTTTAAATTGTATAATGTCCTACTCCTAAGTTTCAATCACGTCTCTTCAGCCAGCGCACGCCCTTTGAAGTTCCGGGGCTAGACTTTTTCCTCACGTCCACATCCTTCTTAATACGCTTTTTATTGCTACTCGATAAACAGTCGACTCTTTATGAAAAAAAACGACTTAAGCCGATCTCGCTTTTTCTTCGTCGTATATAATTTAAAGAAATCCGTTACGCCAAGACGACTTAATTTTTCCCAACGCGACAATTGCGTGTCGAGTTTTTGTTTGAGTTAATAAATCGGTAATAAAGATTTAACATCCACCATCTAGCATGGAATACGCATTCTCTAAATCCTTTCCAAGTGATCGCCGATTCGTAAACAAATTGAAGAATAGTAGAGACATAGACAAGAAAGAGGGATAGCGCAAGTAGAAAAGTAAGTGTGAAGAGAACCATCACCCGTGACATTGACGCATTTAATTCGATACCGCATCACGTAGAGCATGACATAAAAGTAGCGCAGATCTAAAAAAAAGTAGTAGAGGGCCGTGACTGACTGAGCGTGACTCTTAAGTTTTTAGCGCGAGGTTTTTTTCTTCCAAATTTTTACGACCAATACCTAGTCCGGACGCTGTCATTGTCCAGAGTGCAATTTACACAGCTTGTTTAAAACTTGTTAAAAAGGGCTAGAAATGATTTTAAAGGAACCGATGAAAGGGTAGGTTGACGGTTGGAGAGGGCAGGCGAAGGGCAGGAATAAATTTTCGTGATTTCTACTTCAGTTCACATCGTCTGTTGTCCAGATTTTCTAATTTGGAAAAATTTATTCGAACTTGTCAAACCGGATGCTTTTCGCGCCCCTTTTGATCGCCTATGAAAAATGAAGTTTGAACTTTCACCAACAAACTATACCCAACATGGGACAAGAGGTCTTTTTATATATTTATTTATTATTGAGACTCTATTTATACAGAATATATATCTCTAAATACACAAGAGATATTCTCTTTCTTCCTCATCTGGTTATAAGCTTTTTTCTCAGTCAAGAGCATCTCTTGACTCATTTATATAAAAAAAAAGAAGAAAAATATATTGAGAGATTTTCCAGCTCTTTGCAGAATATAAACGATTCATTAGGGACTTTATGAGTATCATGTGATCGACTAATTTTGGTCATGTGATCAATATACTAACATTGAATAGAGTACTCCGAACAACACCTGCTGCTTTTTAAAAAACCCGTAAAAAAGTATTTCTTTTTCAATTACAGCATTTTGAGGGTTTATATATTAAAAAAAGATCTTTAAAAAATATATAAAAAATGTAAAAGTAAAAGTAATTAAAAAAAAACACACTGTTTTCGAATAGTTACTGTCAAGACTAGACTATCGTCAGATATCGTAAAAACGATCAACCGGTTTAACATTCTTAGGTAATTGGACAACATAGGTTAGCGGATTTTATCTTTATTATTGCCAATTGAAGATTTGTTTAAGTTTCCATTAGACATGACTCCATCTTGAGTTCAAATTGTCGATTGGAGATAAGGAGGAAGTTTGTTGAAATGGGGGTCTAGGAGATTTATAACCGTATTTTAGCCTTCCTTTGACGCCTTTAGACCGCCCAGACGCTAATTGATAGTTGTTGTTGGAATTAGAGTCGTTCCGCTCCAACGTATCAAATTCCACGCGGATCGGCTTGGTCTGATATTCCATCTTCTCACAGCGAGACTTCGTCACTGTCTCTTCGTTGGAACCCCTACCGCTGTCGTCTGTCAGTTTTGATGTTGCATCCGAATCCGAATCGTCTCTTTGTTTAATCATCTATAGTTGAAAAAGAGAACTGCGTTAGCAAATAAAGGTCACCAAGAAACGCCGTCTATGCGACGTATGTGTATTTTACCGAATTCGATACTGCAATCGCTCCTGGGTGATCACTGACACGCTGTAAAAAGCAAACAGTACTTATTATGTTTGTACACATTTGTTGCACTAACAGAAAGAAATTTAGTATAAACGAGGGGCGCAAATATTATATTCTTATTAATCGATATCAATACGTTTTTACACCGGAAAAGATTGGAAGGTCTCGTTAAAGAGTTTAGACTAAGGCTTATAGCATTTTCTTTATGCTTGTATATACAATCCGTATGGTGCATTGCACCCGGGAGTTTTCTAATCTTTCCTCCAAACATTCCTTTTCTGTCCACCCGAAGGGCACAATTTGTACTACTAGAATTACGCAACGATGGCCGTTTTAAAACTGCGTTGAAATCGCCCAGAGGATAGCTAAATGAGCTTTTATAACCACGCCTACTTCCAACCTAATCGTGCATTCCCTTGGGCATGAATGACGCTCAAATATTTTTAGCACGAGTTACCCGCCAAAATGAGCTTCAAAATCCTTCTCATCAAAGGAATCCAACCAAGGCAACCGCTCTCTTTTAATTTATTCTTTTTTTCATCTCTCTATCCATCTTTGCATGACATTCAATATATAATGTTTGCATTAAAAGAAAATATAAGCTGCAAAGGGACAGAATGATATTGAATACTTTTCGATAAGTAACTATGATGTCGTTGTTGTTTATACTAGGGATAATCTGTATTTCAAATTACGACACTTTAAACGTTCGGCTATTTAGCGTTGTGAGACCTATAACAAAAGCAGACTTGTTTACTCGACTTAACGATTAAAAAAAGAGAAATCCCTTACTGCCTGATTCTTTATAAGGACTTTGAAAGAAAATTGAATAAAAACAAGGGCATTAAGAATCAATAAAAAAGATACATCCTTCTCTCTTTTTTTTACGGACCACCACTTGCCACAAAATTGACTGTACGCGACCGTATCAAAACGCACGTATACATACAACCTAGTTGTTTGTCTTGCTATCATGTTTGTTTATCCGTTTGTCGTACGTTATAAAGCGTAGAATATAATATTTCTAACGATAAGATACTAAGATATCTAAGTTGAAAAATTATGTATAATATACTCTTGGGTTATGCAACAAAGGCTTTCACTAGTTTTTTTTTTATCTATAGTTAGGATTTCTGCAGCTTTTACTTGTTTTTAATATAAAGCCATAACATATGGCTCACCTTGCAGTTTTTTTCTTTTGGCATTTTACAGCTGGTATTATTGAATAAGTGCATTCTTTCCAGATATAACAGACTAAATTACTACATAAGAAAAATGCTCCTTACAATTAGGCTATAAATTTTGAATTAGCTCCCGGCACCCGTATAAAAGACTCTTATGCACATTTTATCCGAATTTTTGATTATAAGGTACATATGGTACATAAATATGCATTTTAATATATGTATATATACAAGGTACAACATTATTTACTTAAACCGTTTGAATGCGTTGCTTAGGAGGTCGAATAGAACTTTTATCTCGAACATAAAAGGACTGAACTAGGAGAGAATTCTGTAATCGAGTTAACTTCTTATCGATAAGTAAACAACAGAAACAATGTAAAATTTGCAACGGGGGAGTAGGCAGTTGTTTGTATGTGTATATTAGTTTGTGTACTAAACTTGCAATGAGAGAATAGAACTAAGGAAGTTCGACTTGTTTTTCTTAGTGTCAAATATAGCGTTATCTCTCAATATAAATTATATTTTCATTAGCGCTTTTAAATAATAAACTTACAACAAAAACACCTTAATTAATGTGCGAAAAGGATTGTATGAACTAAAGGCGAAATTGTAAACAATAGAGCAAAAGAAACGTGTCACAATTGGTGAAGTGGCACGTATTTGCTTATACAACTGTATAGCAGACTTTATACTCCAATAGACGCCGTTTTACAGACGCCGCACGCGGCAGTTATTGTCGTTATAATTAGCGGTATCCGTCGATTTTAGTAATTTTCATTCTCCGCTGATGCGTGATGGATAGACGTATTCGAGCGTTCTTTGTTTTCTTCAAAAAATATAATACCGTGTAATACGCATTGTAGCCCTCTTCCATCCACTTCAAAAGCCCACCTTACTTAATTATTGATCACCCATTCAGAATGTTAGAATAGAACGGTTCAACAGATTTCATTGTTTTATACTTCTTATTATTTCATGATTTGACTGTCAATTGCGGCAATTTTCATTTTTTACCCACCCAGCTTCCACCCCCTTCGGTGTTCTCTTTCAATAAGTATCGAACAACTTTGGTAAACAGTATTGACAATAGAGCACAAAGTTTCGAAAGGAAAGGGACGGCGCAAGAGGACGGCAAATAAAGCTTTTTTAGTCATTTATCTAGCTAATTACGTTCAACCTATAGAACGCTTATTTAATGAAATAAAATGAGATTTTCACTCACCTGCAAACCTATAGAAGATCCAGTAGCAAATCCATTACTATACAGAGATTCGTTGCGGTTTTGATTGATGATCCCGTTCTTTAGAATCGTTATTGAGCTAGTTGATTTATTTGAATCTGAATCATCGTGGTTAGGACTTTTAGACGTCGAAAAGAGGATTGGGTATTGATGTTTGTGTATTATAGGATTTCTCTCCTCCCTCTTCCGCCTTACTGTAATAACAATGGCTGCTGCTAGAAGAATGCTTAAAACTGTTGATAAGCTGGCGACGATGACAATTATAATAAGATTCCTGGAATCCATAATGTCGGCGTTCGCTCTCAAATGAACCGGAAGGGGCGTCGAAGCGTTAACGGTTACGCGAAGAATTGTTCGGTTGAAAAGCGTTGGTATGCCATAATCCTGAACAGTAATTTCTAAATGGAAAACTCGCAAGGAGAACGATCTTAAAGATTTAGCAACTGTCACACTCCCTGTATCCATATCGATTTTGAAATAGGAAGTTTTGCTAGTTATCGAGTATTGTAACCTGGAATTATCATCGGTAGCATCAAGGTCATAAGCCGAAACGACCGCAATTACATTAGCCACAGGATAATAATTCGATATCGAGATTGAATTGTTCATCTCAGTGGGGTATATGAATTGCGGATCGCAATCGTTGATATCGTCTAGAATTACTCGAACAGTTGTTGAAGCGGTCCTTACATTCGGTGTGTCTTTACTCACAGCGAAAACTTGAATTTCTCGAATCTGACCTTTCTCCCTATCCAAAGGCTGTTGAGAGTAGATATAACCGTCATATTTAGCGATAGTGAAAATTTCTAAATTCGCTGTTCTTTCATCCAAACGATACTCGAATTGATTGTTGGTATATGAATCAATATCCATTGCTATTACCTGACCGACATCACCGCTGTTTTGTTCTTCTTTCAAAGTAAATTCATACAATTGTTTTGTGAACACAGGCGGATTATCGTCTATATCCTTAACAATAATACGAACTTTCGCCTCCGCAGTTTGCGCAGGCTTGCCTTTATCGCGTGCTTCAACGACGAAATTATACTTATCGATCTGTTCCCGATCGAATTTCTTTGCTGTGCTAATCGTTCCGGACGTCTCGTCAATTCTAACAGCGTCACTCTGCAAGTCAGTCACTAAACTATAAACGATGACTGCGTTTTCTCCATCATCTCCATCTGTAGCTTCTATTTTACCAACAAAAGTACCGATATCCTGATTTTCCTCAACGAAAAACTCGAAACTATCAAATTTAAACTTGGGTCCATGATCATTTATATCCAAAATGTGAATGTCCACCTTCTTTTCGCCAGTTAACTGCGGTTGACCTTTATCCTTGCACTTTATAGTTGCACTAACGACCTGTTGTTCGCCCTCCCTGTCGAATGGTCGATTAGTTTCAAGAGAATAAATGACGAACATGTCGCTCTTATAAGATTGTGTTAGGTCAAAATCTTCCTCTTCAACGGTACAAGTAAACTCTCCTCCGTCGCCGGAGTCTGAGTCTTGGACCCTAAACAGAGAAATAGTTTGAACATCTTTCATCTCTTCTTTAACGAATAGTTTATCACTGCCGCCCGATACGTAATTAATCATCGGCGCTTCGTCATTGACGTCGATTATTCTTAATTTAACTGTGGTTTCGGACGTTTTTCTTTTCTCGCCGTTATCGACGGCTAACACAGTTATATCAAAAGAATGTTTCCGTTCATAATCTAATTCTGCTACGGTCGTTAATAATCCGCTATCTTTGTCGATTGCAAAGAAATTTTTCAAACTTTTATCCCTTAACAAATACGATACTCGGCCGTTATCTCCAACATCTTTATCCGTAGCAGATACTTTAACAATCTCACTTCCAACTACTAAATCCTCTTCCTTCTCTACTTGGTAAGTTCTTACGAATCTTGGTGCATGCTCGTTGACGTCGTCAATCGATACGTGGACATTCATCCGTCCCTCATAACGGCCTGGTGATTTTCCGTGAGCAATCAATACAAAATCGTAATGATCAACCCGTTCTCTGTCCAATTCGGACGTCAATGAGGCTTGTAGAATATCATCGTTCGATTCGAGTAGTTTAAATGGGACGAAGGTTTTGTTGGAGATCGAGTAATAAGCTATACCGTACTTATCGCTGTCCTTATCCACTGCTAATGGAAGATTGAATTTGAAGCCCTTTGACTCACTCTCCGAAAGCACAATATTCTTTTTTTTCTCCTTAAATCGTGGTGGGTTATCATCTTCGTCGATAATTTCCACTTCGACATAAGTTCTATATTCCCCTCCTGAGGTAATCGTCACAAACGCCTCTATAAAACAGTCATTTTGTGAAGGACAATATTCTTCTCTGTCAATAGAATGCTTAGTAGACAAGACGCCTGTAGATGGTTCTAAGTATAGAACTTCTTTAAATATTTCCTCTTTTTCCACATGCATTGTCACTTTGGCATTTTCAAGTAACGTTATATTCATATCCTTAGCTAAATTTGCAATAACGACGGCTTTTTGATTTTCCTTAACTTTATATTTGGGCAATTTAATCCAGCCTTGATTAGCTATAACTAAGTTTTGCAGGAAGATAGAGAGTATAATAGCTAAGATAGGCAGCATGACTAACTCCGTATGACACCTGGAAAGAATTTCGAGTTATAGTTAAAGTTTTGAATTAGTCAAAAACGTTAATGAGGTGTCAAAATGAACTATTTAATAAGCTGTACCTGTCACATCTAATCGAGTGTAGAATACCAGCTGGGACGATGATTTTACTCAATTTCTCCTTTATTATTTAGTAATAAAACGGAGAAAATGAAATGGAAAAATGAAATTGTAACTCTCCAGAGCTCCCGAACTATTAATTTGATACGCTTACCGGTCGGCTACTGCCTGGAGAAATGATTGCGTTTTTCGGAAGACGGCGCTCTATTCGGCTAACCAATCAGCACCAAGAGGGCGTGCGAATTCCTTACACCGTTGTTTGTATATATTTTTTCCCCTTTCGCTCCTTTTTTGTTAAAGAAAGGCTCTCTTTATTATTAGGTGTCATAGGGCCAAAACATCTAATGAATAGAAAAGTGTCGTAAAATAGAAACGATTAGTCTGGATCTTAATTGACGAAACGCTTATCACAATTATGTAATCCTTTTTACGGGTATAGATTGCTGGCACGTTCCTACACTATTTGTTTTGTCGAATTTTTATAACATAATCCGATTTAGGCAATACAATATGGCAGGCGAACCTAACTGAGCACGCTTTTTTTTCGTTTATTTTACACCTAGCTTTATTCTCTATCATGGCAGTACCATGAACTTTTGATGTAGCTCTATTTGTGTGCTAAACCTGCTTTACATGCGGATCGAACGTGATTGTTCAAAGAAAGCCTTGTTTTCACAAACTGCTAATAAAGGCTCGATCCAGAAAGCAGTATAAAATATTCACGCGTTATTATAGTTATTATCCTCGCCCCATTACGTTCTTCGTAAAAATTCTACAGCGATTTTTGCCTGAGGCTTTTAACAAAACTGCCGTTTTTATATCGTCCGATGAACTAGAAAGTCAGATAAGGATCGACGTTGAACAAACTCTGTGATTATATAGAGTCGTCCTGGTCGATCGATAGGTGTGATATGACTACTTATTAATGAAATATAAGACGATTGTATATATATATAGGTAGAAATACGAAGAAGGGCCCTTTTTTTTCTCCCGTCTACTTATTACATTCTAAACTGGGCCAAAGGCGTCAATAACGTGATGTAATAAGCAATCGTCGTCGGTCTTGAAGAACATTCGATATTCTTCCGACTTTCTCTAAACATCCGCCACTTGTCACTTAATTACGATAACTGGTGTGTAGAACGAAAAAGAAGAAATCGAAAAGAAAATCTGTTGGACCCGAAAACATCAATCACCACCGAATTTCCAAATGTCTAACGCTACTTTGCCCGTCATTGAAATCTCCCGTATTGAAAATCAAGCGGCTGTGGCGAAAACGTTCGTGTCGCCGGGGCGCCTATCCCTTACGGCAATAGGCCTACAAATTTATCACAAATGGCCGAAATATACAAAGAAAAAATATGTTCCGTATTAAGTATCGTGCCAGGGCACGTGCAAGCATTTAATTTCATTTGCACAGCCCTCAGGTAGAGTTTACCAATGATTAGCAGACTACAGCTTTATTCAATAGGTGGATACTTTTTGAATCGGCTTATTTCACGTTATCCTCACTTAGACCCTGATTGAGTTGTAAAAAAGAAGTATTTAAAATATGCGCATACACTTCCTTATGCAAATCGAACATCTCGACCCCCGCGATTTTTTTTGAAATGACCCGTAATTACTGTATTAGGCGTCATCGTTTTTCAATTCGTAACCATTAAACGCCCGTTCTGGCTACCGTACGACGCCCGCAGAATAAAACAGGTGGCGAACGGGGGTATATACGCGATTTTTATGTATTGAATACCCATTCAAACTACGGCCATCCTCACACCAGGCTGTCACGTGACTCGGAGGGAATGTCACGGCATTCGCCTGGGCAATTATTTCTGTAGATAGATCTATAATTCATAAGCATTCTGACGGCAAATCCGGTTGAAAAAAAGGAAGAGGAGAATCTATTGGTATGAAGTGACAAATTCGTCAGAGTGTAAAAACGTCCAACATGGCTGATTGGGCAACCTATTCACCTTTTCTTCTTCTGTTACATTTCAATTGGTGAAAAATGACGACTAGATAGAAGGTACAAGTTTAAAAACAGGGGAAAAAAAGGAATTCTTTTTTTTTCTCGGCCATTGATTACGATCACGGTTGGCAAACATTAATAAACTTTACCCGCATTTGTCTGAGTCGATATGAACATTGTTTTAATCGAACGCCGATTTCGACGCCTTTATCTTATCGAGCGTGCCTGATCGCCTTTTCTTCTCGTTTTACTTTTCCTTATTTTTTATAGGCTACCCTTTTTTCCTACCGACAATTGCACTTTATCTTCATTTATTTTTTTACAAGCTTCACTTTATTACTCTACTTTTGTTGATTTAATGGATTTCGCTTGTGTACTTGTTTTCTCATTGGGTTTGGACGTCCGCTCGACAGAACTTTACATAAGCCGGCAGTTTTTTAAGGGTAGTGAAAAAACAAAAAAACAAAAAAACAAAAAAGAAAAGGAAAAAGAAAATCGCCTTAAAAAACTAGCCTTTGGCGTGTAAATTTGAACGACGGGATCGTTTTGAAAGGTGCTTAATTGAACTTTCAAAGAGGATTGTTGAAGTTGGAACTTAACGTAGTGTATTCTTTCGTATTCTGTTTGTTTTCGAAGACTTAACGGCTCTCATTTTACTCACATAGAAAAGTTTTTTCAAGTGTAACTATTCGTTGACGAACTTAATCGGTCTTCAAATAGGAATTGTATACAACTTTATACGATCACTTGTACAAATTCAATCTAAGGCGCCATCTTAGATAATTATAAAATCAACATTCCCCCCATTTTTTCCTATTCTATCTATTGTTTTGATTAGTAGAGATTGTATCGATTGATTTATTATTTTTATAGCTAATTGAACGGCATATGTCATTTAGCAAAGAAACGTTTTTGATCATTCAACTATATAATTAAACAGATAAGAAAGAGTTTAAACCTCCTTTGGTGATAGATTTAATGTTTTCATTTAATTTTCTTCATATTTAGTAAAGGAAGTGATTTAATTAAATAAAACGGAATCTTTAATGTAAGCTTCCGCAATTTTCACAACTTGTTGATTAGCTTTTTCTCTATTTATTTAAGTAGCCTTGTCGTATTTCATTGTAAACACAAACTATTTGAAAAATTTCTTCACCCCAATAGATAAAGCAGTTACTTTTATTGGACAGTTGACAATATAAGGAGAATAACCTCATAAAAGAAGGAAAACAATTGGAAGATACCAATAGAATTATGTTTAAGACATAAAACAAGGTGGCTAAGGTCAAATAAAAACTGCATGAAAGAAATTAATTGGCATTGACATACTTAATAATCAAAGTTTCTGAATAATCCATTTATATGTATTTTAATGATGCTACTCCAAAAAAATTGATATAGCGTGTATATACGAAATAAAGAAAACTATTCTATTTATTTCTTTATTCTCATTATATATTATAATTTCGAGATTCTTTAGAATATTTCATTATTTATATAATGGGATTTAATAACTTTATAATATTTTTTAAATTACGTAAAATTCTTCACTTGATAGCACAATAATAAAAACCTCTCAAAGTCTTAAAATAAGTGTGGATTTAATGACAATATCAGTTGTAATAAATGGGACAAGTAATCTAACTTCTTTTTTTTTATATGTATCATATGATAAAAGTGTATTTATTGTTTATAGCAAAACTTATTTATAATCTGTATTATATATATTGGATTTCTTATCTGTTTATATACTAGTTTTTGGTCATATCATAAAAAAGTTCTTCTTTTTGTATTTTATCTTATTGTTATCTATCGAATGTTTATTGTAAATAGTTTATAATCGTTTGAAAGGATTGGTTCGGCCTATTTTAGAAGTACAATGTAACTTCCTTGTGTAATCACGAGCTATAATAAATTATTTCCTCAAGTTCCGCAATCTTATTCTTAAATGTCTATCGTAAACGTTTCCAAATAGATCAATAGCAAACAGGCGGAGTTCATTTAGAAAGCAAACTTTTTCTTTATGAATGTTCCTATTGATCCCTTGGGCAGTTATTGCCTCACAAACATCACTTGTTTGTCGTTAACCTATTCAACTCATGCATAAATTTGTGTTTCATGAATAGGTGTGGACAACAGATCAATAAATCTGCTATATAAAAAAGTATATATTCCGCTCTCTGTTTTTTTATATGGAAGCCGATTAGCTACTATTCTCACATATTTGAACAAGAAAATCTTTCTGATTTTTTTCCCGCCAGCGCCATCTATCTGACGAAAAAAAATAACTTTATCCTTCAACACATATTAATTATGTATAGTAAAAGTATGAATGTTTGTATATATATATATAGTATATATAAAGAGAGAATGAGAGATAGCTATAGAAAGAGAACAAAATGTTTTTCAAGCACCATCTGGAGCTCGACGCTAAAAATTAAATTGACACTTTTCTTAAATAATTACTAGCTATTAATTGGTCCCTTTTGTCAAAATTTACTATAACAAATTGAAAAGTTATTTAAAAATTAACCAAAATAATTATAATTTATTCAAATAAGAACAATACTTATTGTACTTTTTTTTAAGAGATCTTGTCAATTTTCAAGTTTTTTTTAACCCTCTCAAATTATTTTACAATTTTCTATTGTACTTTTGCCACTTTATTTTCTTTAAATGAACATTTTAAAGTAATAAAACTAAATTTTATCATTGACCTATTTGCATTAACCAATGGTCAACTTTATTATTTATTATCCGTCAAAGAAAGTCTATTTGCATTAGATTATTTTTCCATTATTAACTATTAGAATCAGAGGTATGAAATTACTATAATTCTATTATTAGTTCAAAAGGCTGGATTAATCATTAAAGAAGTCTATTCTAAAGTCATAGCTGTATTTTACTACAATTTGCTGGGCATGTAATACTTTAAACAGTCGTTTACAGAGTGGATAAAGTACTCCAAAAAAATGCCAATAACTGATTTAATATTCTATTCCGCTTTACTTTCATAATATTCCTATTTTTCATTCATAGACTTGTTAAAATTTGAAAGAATACTATACATTTCTTATTTTTAATAGATTAATAAATATATGTTATATGATTTTATTCTTTAAATTGCTATATTGTTGCTTTTTATCCTTATTATTATTTTTATTATGTTGTTTTTTAATTAAATCTTATTAAATAAGGAATTTTACATAGTTATATTTGGTTAAGTAAAATTTGGAAACAGTTTATTTTCACCTTTTTCAGAAATTGTGATATAAACTTTCATTGTTGACGAATGGCTTGGTATTCCATGATCAGTTGCTATGGCTGTTAATGTATATTCGCCCAAATGCTCTTTAGTTAATTTCTTAGTAGTTTTTATTTTTCCACTCTTTTCATCGATGGCAAAAAGATCAATATCCGACCGGAAAAAATACGATATTGTAGCATTTTCTCCACTATCGGGATCCATTGCCCTTACCATTGCCACGAAGGCTCCTTTATTAGTACCTTCTTTCAAACTTAAATAGATTTGTGAATTTTGAAAAATTGGGCGATTATCATTAACATCCGCAACTTTGACTATCAGCGTCTGCATAGAGCTTAAACCAGCATAATCTCGGCAAACAATGCGTATATCCTCAAAATTTCGCCTTTCCCTGTCAAGTGCATTCGTTGTTACTACCTTATAAAACTGATTAGTGACCCTTATGAGCTGGAAATTAAAAGCTCTAAGCTCACAAGAAAATTTTCCATTCAAGCCCGAATCCAAGTCTTGAACATATATCAAAGCAACAACTGTTCCAGCGGCTCTGTTTTCCTGAACTAAAATTTCAGACGAATAATCTTTTCCAAAAACTTTTATCTCGGGGTAATTATCATTCTCATCCAAAATAGTTAGCCTTAGAATTATACGTTCTTTTTTTGTACAGTTTCTAAAGCTAATACCAACAATTATTTCATGATAGGTCTTTTCTTCATAATCCAATTTTTTTTTCAGTATTACTCTACCGTCTTCATTAATGGAGAAGTATTTGTTTGCTTGCGAATTTTCTATAGAATATTCGACAATTTCACCTTCCGATAAGTTTCGTGGTATTTTAAATATCGGATATTCCAAATGAGTGTTCTCTTTTATAGATAAGTCATAATATCTCCATTTCATTTTGGAGGATTCTCTTTGATCAGTACAACAGCAAACAGGATAGATACATTTCAGCATTAATAATGCAGCAGAGATAGTTATAAACATAACTTAGGCAGCTCAAGAGTATAATTAGTGAGCCTATTAATTTATGTAGTCTGAAACTGAAAGGAGTATTGTTTTTTTTTACTGCGAAATACTCTTTTTATAATAAAATGAGGAGGATGAAGATAATTTTCCATAAATTTAGTGTATTTTAGATAATCATTGTAAATCAATTTTAAAAGTTATATTTAAAGCTAACGTTTACACTCTATACAACACTCTCGCTCTATTTTTCTTTTACACTGACTTTACCGCTATTTTTAGCTCTTTCATATTTATTAACTGACCGCTCTGTTTGCTTGTTGATTTTACTATAAGGTAAAAAAATTCTTAGCTGTCTTAATTTGAATAGGAAACTGACTTCTCAAAAAAAGGCAAAGGTCAAAGGGTAGGAATTTGTTTAAAAGGATCTGTTTTTTGATCCATCAGTCATCAACGCGTTGGCATGTGATTTAAAATTGAATACCTTATATTCATGTTGGGTCGTTATAATTGAAGGATGCTCAACGGGATAATATAATTGAACTTACATAGGTATTTTCTCTCTCAACATAGAATCGTTTTAATTAAACTGACAACTCGTTAAGTAATAAAGTATTCTCTATAAAGTGTGAAAGAGCTACATTGTATACTACAGTTTTCAAAATTGACATTTGTCAACTTGACTAAATAAATATTTAAAAGATATTTTATTACTAAATTTTCGTTTTCTTTTGCATTTGCTTGTTCAATAATAAAAAAAGAAGATTTATATAAATATATACATATATATAAGTTTATTTGAAAACTATTTATAGATTAAACTTATATATTAATCCATTCATTTTTCTATATTTCTATTAAAATTGAAGTATGTTGAAAAGATCTTTCAATAGAAATGAATAAATATTATTCATATATATATTCAGTGAGCCATGAATTATCTTCTTAAAATGCCTCCCTTTTCTTTGTTCTTTCTGAACAAAATAAAGTTAATTATCTTCCTTTTTTTTTCTTGTTCATAATTTTATCATTATAATGCAAATATCTTACAAAATTCAATTATGAACACACATATGCTATATTAGAAAAGAGCTTGACATATGTTCTAATGGAAATTATTTGCCAGCTATTTGTTTAAAAAGTAGGAAATGAAAGATTTACCACGACAAGTGGTATTATTATTGCAATAAATTTCTTTTGGTGGAAATGTAAGCTTAACTTCTTACAAAGTAATCTTTCATGTTTACTTCTTTATATTTGTAATACCTGAGTAACCAAAGAGTTCGAATAGGTACAATTGCACACTTATGTAGCCAAGGTGTTTACATTTACAAAGGATTATTACTGTTAAGAGTTAAGATTATGTAAATAACCAAAGTGAAAGATCGAAAACATATTTGTTCAGGGTGTGAAAATTCAAAAATTCCATGGATATATTATCGACTTCCAGGCTTAACTATCGATGCTTTTTCCAGGTACGTACAAATAAATACAAATACAGGTGATTCCATCAATCTCGTCTTTCATTACTAGTCATGAGTCGCCATCTACCGGATTAAGTACCAACTAGTCATTTTAACGTTTATGTTTATACTATACATACATTCAACTTTTTAAACCTCTCCTGGCTAATAGAGCATAAACGACTTTACTAATATATTTACTTTTAGTAAGCACTAAAAGAATATTATGCTTACATTTTTTTTATTCCAAACTAAATAAAGAAAGGCCGAAAATAGAAAAAGTGATTGGCAGATTCTTAAGAACATGTTAAAAAATAAAATATATGATAAAAGATGTTAAAAAAAAATTAACAAATTTTCTTTAAAGGTCAAGGTTAATCAGGCATTAAAAAAAAGAAATTAATAACTTTTATTCGCATTTTATATTGTATACGTTTTTTTAATATAGTAAAGGAAAAAATGTCAAAAACTTGCAAAGAAAGAGAGAATTTTCAGTTTAATAGGGAAGTGGATAAAAAAGAAAGTATATGGGAGGAAGGGAAAAAGAAGACGTATATTTTTGTGAGAAAATAAACTTCTGTCGTCCATCTGAAATTCAATCTTAATCATATAAGGTAAGGGAAATGCGATTGGAGTTTTTGTTACTTGGCTCTTCTTCTAATTTCTTTTTATTAGTGACTTAACTCTTGTTACTTTCCCGTTCGCCCATTCCCTTTTTATTGCGTAATAAAAAGAAGAGTAATCCTCTGCGTAACACATTTTGCACCCTTTCGTAATTAATCTATCTCTTTTATATGGATTGATATCCGATACTTAAATTATCCTATCTTGTATTGAACACCTCTTCTCTTAATACGTATTACAGTTACATCTCTATTAACAAACGATATGTTTTAATTATTTATCGGTGTTAAACGAAAGGCTCGTTACGGGTTCGTCTAGAGATACCTATTAAGATAAACGAGCATCAAGTATCATTTATCTGTAGTCTTAGCACGATCTACATCGACTCTCAGGTAAGAAGAAAAAAAAGTAAGCGATCGTTAAGAACAAGTAAGCATTATAAATAAAATAGACAGGAGAAGTCTGTTGTATGGCACGTCTTACTTTAAAGTATAAACGCTTCTTGTTCCGATGAACATATAGAGGAGTACTATAAGAATATACAGTATAATATATACTAATATACACGTATACAATATATATTAATAATACAATATATACTGTAAATATAATATATATAAATGCAAAGTATGAAGGATATACTATATATAAAAGATGAAAGGGAAGAGAAAAGAAGTATATTAAAAGCTTTTATCCTTGTGAAATAATTAAGTTAGTATATCTAAGAAATACTTTTAATTATTATTCCTACTGGAAAATGGTCGTTTAATGGAAAATTCTAAATATCCCAAAATTAATTCAAAACTATTACCCTTAAGAAAAACTATCAACCAGCAATTATGATATATGCATGGGTGAATAATTTACAATTACTCGTTAGTGTGTCCTTCGCAAGAGTATTACTATTGCACGCTCCCTTTCACAATCCCTTATTGAAATTAGGTTTCGGCAGCGTAAACAGTCGTCTTAAAGGATTCGATATGTTCATAAACTAGTCTTTACCAACTGCCTTTATTGGCGAAGCTTTCACTGACCATGCATAAAAGCAAAAGTATATACAATATATATGAATAAACCGACTTTTATATAAATGTTTATACTTGAAATCTGCTTTTTGTGCTTTGAAACAAGAAAGTAATCCAATAGATGGCATAATAAAAATAGTGAAGGGGCGGTCCGATCCTCTGTCAATCACTGATTAGGCAACCAATAACCGATAATCTTTTGGCTAAGAGTCGCATAAGAAATATATGATGTAACACTACGCGCCTTCAGACGAACTAGTCGACGGTACTTGTAACCGATTTGCTCAGTTGGAACGACTCCTAAAATGCTTCTTAAAGATTTAGAGTAACATATGAAAAAAAATTTAGCCTCTTTCTTGGCAACGTTAACAAGGACAAGGAAGGCTCCAACGCAAATAGTTCGCGCGTAATAATACTCAGGTAGGAAGGTGAAGGACGCATTATCTATTTGCCGTCAAGTCCAGTTTGAAAGTTGTATATTTACCGTCATGTCCAAAGATACAGGAACTAGGCTTACGGAATTCTATAATGACTCTATAAAGATGGCTAGACAATGACACAAAGCTTTTTCCTCTTCATAACTCTTGGATTCATTAGCGTAATTACGCCTGTTCGAGGTACGTACATTTTATCAGTAATTAAGCATTGACCGTCAAATTAGGCCGATTAACAGTTTTTGAAAAAAGCTGTGGTGTAACTTTATAACGTGTGGCTTGTTTTTGTTTGTGTGACGTAACGTAGGTGAAACGACTTTTCGAACTTTCTCGCTAAAGTTTGTAAAGTCCTAAAACCCGGCTTTTAAGCCGCTTTTGCGCGTTCAGGCGTGAAAGCGATAGACATTTTGAACGTGTTCAAGCCGGTATATCTGAACGTATGTTTACTTTTGAAACAACCGAGTATAGTTTGCCACGGTCGGACGATTTACAAACATGCGTGACTACCGATTTGTAACATGATGTATTGGAGTCCGTGATTTTACAGGGGCATTATCGTTGTCCCACACGAATTGTGTCTTGCCTTATGGCTATTCAAGCGGACAATTTTTTCTCCTTTTTTTTATTTTGCAGTAATATTGCAGTTGTACGAACGTTTCGGGCGCGTAGACAATGCGGTTTATTACGCTTCGTTGAACTCCTACATTCGCATTACGTATCGAACTGAATTTTCTATATAAGTGTATATATTAATTGATCATTACATTTGTCACGTATATATGTACAAAGATACATTTTTAACAGACAGGTGATAAAAAAAAGTCGAGAAAGCGGAAAAGTAGGCGCTGACAAACAGCCTTCGGCGCAGGCTCGTTTAGATCAAAGTACGCGTACGACGCATGCGATTTCTGTTCGTTATTAGCGTTCGTTTTTTACAGCAAGCTTTTATTTTTCATTGATAACGCATGCGTTGTTCATTTTTCTCTATCTTATCATCCTTGTTTCCGTAATAGGCCTACTATATTTTAATATTGACTTATGCCAGGTCGGCCTCTACTCTTCTCAACGAGGCACTCTATCGAACTTTTAGACAACGTTCAGGATTCCCAACCACAAAGTCATAACATTGAGCAACCACGATCTCCAACGATATATAGATTATCATTTCATTTTTATGAACACGATGTTTATTGGGCGTCACTCTCAAAGAATGATAAATCTACAATTTACAAGAGATATGTATCAACTAATAGCAGCAGTAGCGAAAGAAAAAAGACTGTTGTTCTAGATGAAGATCTAGGAACCATCGAGGGGTTGGCTGTGGATTGGATGGCAAACAACATTTATTGGACAGATTCTGAGAAAAATAGAATTGAAGTGGCGAAAACGGATGGAACGTTGCGTAAAGTTCTTATCCATCGCCGGATTTTTGATCCAAAAGATATCGTTCTAGATCTCGACGACGGGTGAGTAAGACTAATTAGTGTCCTTGTACAAAAGGGCGTGGCCGGTTCGTTGCAGCGTGTGCCGTTGTATACCTGTTATATTCGACAATCTGCCGCGTATATATGTATATATTGCAGTTGTACCAGAAGGAACGTTGGATGTCGGTGGTTCCTTTGAAGTCGTCGCGTTATTTCCCAGTTACCATGCCAACGGATGCCGGCACTGAGCTGATTGATCTTGAGTGCTGCTGACGGTGACGGCTCCAGATTTTTACAGAGAGGCGGCGACTTCATTCCTTGATAGGGATAGGAGCGTGTAAAATTAAACACCTGCGACAGATTAGGCGAAACGCGGTACAGATGCACTGCAGTATAACAGCCGTTTCATTTATTGCCGAGGGTAAAATGAAATGTTTATTGAATCGTAGAAAATGCGGTGGAACGCACTTTGCAGCGGCTTCTGCAGAACACGCAATAATAGCGTAATGAGTGTGATTGAGTAGCATCGATTCGACGCACACGCCGTTTCCAGAAATTTCCTTTATTTCTATATCAATCACCGATTTGAATGTAAGCTCTCCGCGGTCATTGCGTGTTACTGTTCAAAGTGGACGCCATTGCGCATCATATCGAATTGCCTTCGAGGCATTTTTGATGAGTATTCGCTTGATTAGGTTTCACAGCAGCAAAATTCCAGTCGTCCTATGTGCAGCAGGCGTAGCGTGTCGCCACCAATTACAGTTCAGCGTAATGGGTACATGATTAGAGAGTAACACCGCTCATCCCTCTCCTCATTCATCATTTCCCTTTCTTGTTCTATTCCTTTGTTTTTTAACTTGCGTTCAGAATAATATCCTCCTAAACATATCTTTAATATCGATTTTCGATAATTTCAGGTATATGTATTGGATAAATTGGTATGGTAGACCAAACATTGAAAAGACCGCAATGGACGGTTCAACTAGAAAAGTTTTAGTTGAAGATGACAATTTTATGCCGCGTTCATTAGCTATATGGTCGAGAAAGTTGTATTGGACAGAAATGAACTCAAATAGTATAAAAAGTATTGGGGTTGATGGTAATGGGAAAAAGAGTATACTACAAACAGCAGAAACTCCATACGCTCTGGACGTAATTGGTTCACAGGTTCTATGGAGCCAAGTGTCGACTTCAAAGAATGAAGTCTACAAATGTACGTTAATGGCAAACGGCACAGATGTTCGATGTTATCAGAGTCATCTAATCTATGAAACTAAACGTCAGATCACATCGCTAAGGATATTCTCGCACCTCCCCCAGATGCCCACCGGTAAGTGGATAGTTTGGGTAGTTTTCTATATAATCGTAAAGAATGAAAGTACCAGACGAAATAGTTGTAATTGAGGCTATTACGCCTCCCTTAATGACTCATTTTGTACTATGTTCTAAAAGGAAGATTCTGTTCCTTCTCCAACGTAATAATTTCACGGAATCGCCACGTGGCAGCCGCCGGCGACGTCGTTTCATTAATACGCGACTTATGTATGTACTGATATGCGCATACAAACGCCCTCGTCTACACTCTCACGTGTGGAATGAAACGTTACAAAATGCCCGCGCAGCTATAATAAACTATATTTACTGTAAAGGGGTTTATTGTAAAGGTAAGTTTATTTGTGTAAACAAAACGTTTAATCTGTCGAAGCGAAAAACAATAACGCGCTCGACAAACTGTAAAAAAAACTGCAATTCGAACGAACGACTGAGCAATAAACAATGTGCCTGCAGGGCCGCTGTTCTATGTCCTCATCTTGCCCTCTCCCTAAAGAACAAAGGCTTTTTATATTAAGCTTTTTTTTTCTCTTACTTTGTCTCTTGACCTCTTTTTCTGGACAAACCCATATGCGAACTATTTATTAGAATACAGTGAGAACAATTAGCGACTTCTTCGGCATTGTATTACTAATCCCAATTAAGTACGACGAAATCCGAACGACAAACAACTTGCCTGAGTATGTTACGAAATTTTACTCAAGTCGACAAACAAATAAAGTTGTCCGCTCCTGTGCGATACGATTGCTTTGCAAACATGTTTATAAATAATGAAATAAAGAGCTAGCTCTCCGACAATGACGCTTCTTTTGAAGTATTTCCGGGCAAACATCGTATATTACCGTCTGCTGTGTGTTGCAAATAGTTAATAAAAATTCAGTGCGATTGTAAATCTCCTTCTAGTTCAACTTGTTTGCGATGATGTTTTTATTGAATCTTAATGTTTGCCTAAGATAGTGACCGACCTGGCCCGATAAGGTTTTAATATATAAATAGTATATTTACAGCTTATATAAATAATACAACTGCACGAAATGCGTATAATCGATGCACTTTACAGGTTTAAGTTATTAAAACTTTTAAAGGTTTCCGCGTCGTAACGCTTAAAGAGATTCTTCTATGCCAACTTTCTTGAACGGGTTCCTCCCTCGATTCTTAATTTAGTTTATCTGTAAAAAAAGAGAATGCACCACCTAATTGTCGCGTAATTAAAATCCTGCAGGGCGTGTCAGACAAACAGCGCATGCGTAACATAAGGGGGGGGGAGGGGGGAAGGGTTGAGAGGAAGGATATGATATTTAAAAAAAACGGGAGTAGCTGGAGAGAAATTAGGGTAAAGAAAGTGAAAGAAAGAGAGAGAGAAAGAGAGAAGAAAAGAATGAGGGAGAGTGGGTGGGGAGAAAAATAGAAAGCTCGCAAAAAAAACTTGCGGCGAAAATTTTCGGTAATGTGTTAGCGATTAAGGGGATGAAAGCGTGTTTTCGTAGATAAAGTAGCACGGAGCGGAAGATAAGCGGCGTCGAATCGAGATTAGGCAATGCGTGTCGAGCAACGGGAGGCGTGTTTTATTAGTGTATAGTATGTGTAAAAGATTAACATATAGGAAAAATTTTCGGCGGTTATAACGCAAATACAGCATGTCCGGTCTCGTTACGATCGGTTGCGTTCATGCTGAGGAGAAAAGAGTAAGCGCAATGGAGAAAGAATGAGAAATAGAAAGAAAAACATAGACAGATCGATAAGCGTACAAATCCATAAGTATGAATATGGGAAAATATCAAGAAATGTATGAAATGGAACGGCAACGCCGTTTATTGATCCAGCTTGTGATCGGTAGCGTGCTACACGTGTCCGCTTATATGAGACATTCTGTACGACTCCGTGGGGCGTCCTAATAGGCGAAAAGCACACCTGTTAGGGGTTCGTCAAAGAAACCGAATTAACCTATCAATTGTCACCGATACTCAACCGATTCAACCTCAAGCTTGTTTGGTACTCGAAGAAGTGATTGTTTACAAGAGGGTTTCCGATAGAATTCGAATATAAAATAGGGTTTTATTCCATCATTTATTCCACCCCACCTGATCTGGGTAATAAAACTCACACTTACGCGACTCCCAGTCACTTTTCTTGTTTGTTCAAGTTTCTTTGTGTTGCCGTATAGTTTATTGATTCGAGATAAGCCGAGGGTATAGGCCTAGAACCAAGATATTGTTCAATACTGTTGACCTTGGCTGGCGTTCAGCTTTTAATCCTATGTACACTTTATATGTATATGCTGAATTTTGTTTATAAGTGTATTATATTACAACATTTTGTATATTTTTAAAATATGAAATAATTGATATAAATGTTCAATATGTTGTTTCTTATCAATACGGCTAACATAGCAAACTTATTTCTTTTACAGATAAATCTGCTTGTAATTCCAAGCGGGGAAACTGTTCTCATCTCTGCCTTATCGCACCTTCGCCGAAATCCTTTTCCTGCACGTGTCCCACGGGTTTAGCTCGACGAAGCGCTTCGACATGCGCCAGCGGTATTCAAACTGTTTTTATTTATATTAGAAAAAGGCACTTACACCCATATTCGCACATTCTTTTCCCTTTTACAATCTTTTAATTATATGTAAATATACGGCGTCTATAATCGATTTATTTACAATTCCTAACAGAAACTAATGAAATGCTACTGGTAGCTCAAAGATCCCGTTTACTGAAAATATCTCTGGATACGACTGAATTCATCGATATTTGTTTACCGTTAGTAAACAATAAGAACCGTTACTTCAATAAGCTCGCCTATGACGCGTTATCGAATCGGTTGTTCGCCGTCGACGGTAAACTAATCAAATCGATTCACCTGCGTACGCTCGAAGAACGAATAGTAGTTGACGATCCAAAGAGCGAGACGGAAGAGCTAGATATTGATTGGATCGGCGGCAATTTGTATTGGATCGATTCCTTCTATAAACGAATTCAGGCGTCAACTTTGAACGGCACGCACAAGGTGGTCGTTGTTAGCGACGGCTTGGAAGATCCCCATTCTTTAGCTATTCATTCTCCTGCCGCTTTCCTTTACTGGGTCGACGGTTTAAAAATTGAACGATCGTATTTAGACGGCAGCAATCGTTCCGTATTATTTGAAGGCGGCGATATTCAGCCGAGATCTTTAAAAGTCGATTGCCAAGGGGATAAGCTTTACTGGTTTTCTTCGGCTTCTAAGAGTATAATTACAGCTGCTTTAGACGGTACTAATAGGAAAGTGCTAATTAAACTTGAACATCAGATTTCTTCCTTAGAAGTTTACAACGGATATGCTTATTGGATAGATATATTGAGGTCCCTAAAAAGAATTAGTTTAAAGAATGATAGCAATATTACAGAGATCCTAGCTGACAAGCCGGATATGCGGGATTTGATAGCATTTCGTGTTGGCGACGCTCGGTGCACGGTTAGATCTGGCGTAAGTGGCGGAGATGTTTGTAAACGACGCCGTTGTTCTTACATTTGTCTAAGAAGATCGACTGAAGGCGTATGCAAGTGTCCTTCAGGATTTTACTTAAGTGGGAATGCAAAAACTTGTATTAAATCAGATGCTTTTTTGTTATATGCCGCTCAAAAACGGCTTCACTATTTTTCACTAAACGATTCAACTCAAAATTTTATAACGATGGCGTCTACAGCTAAAAATGCTATAGCCTTGTCTTTCGACCCTATTAAAAAGAAGGTGTACTGGATTGATTCGATTAACAGAATTATAGTATCCGCTTATCTGAATGGTTCAGGTGAAGAAATAGTTATAAAAACTGGATTAGAGAATCCAATTGATTTGACTATTGATTGGCTGGCTCAAAATCTATATTGGATCGACTCTCGAACGAAAAGAGTAGAATTGAGTGCCATAGACGGATCGGCAAGACGAGTACTCTTTTGGAATGATATTAACAATTTGACATCATTGCTTGTAGACCCTTATTCGAATTTCGTTTACTTTGCCCACAATTCGTATTCGAAAACGAAACCGATCCGGCTCGTTAGCGCCCTGGAACGCAGTGGAGCGGACGGTACGAATCGACGAGCTCTTATCCAGAACAAAGAAGGTACTATACACTCTTTAACTATCGATTACGAAAATTCTGTATTGTACTGGGCCGACTCGGATTCGGGCCTTATACAATATTCCGATCTTGACGGAAAAAATGTTAGGAATCTACCCTTTAGCGACATCGATTACCCTGTTGGATTAGCAATCTACAGCGATTCAATTTATTGGATTGAAAAGAGGAGGAAGACTATTGTAACCGCTAACAAGAAAATGCTGAAAGCAGCTAGGGTAATCAAGCAAACGTCGGCCAACGATTTGCTCATCCTGCAGCCGCCAAGGAAACCAATAGATGGCGACAGCTGCAAGCAAAGACATTGCTCAGATATATGCGTTCGAGTTGGAAATAATTCCAGCAGATGTCTCTGCTCAACACATTATAAACTACGTGAAGATGGTAATTGTGAAAGACCGAAAGAGTTTTTGGTCGTTGGGGAGAAGACAAAAATCTATAGATACGTTCCGGATGACGCTAGTCCCACTGTTCCATTTCCTTTTGATGAAGTGAGGAACGTTCGATCTGTTACTTATGACAGTTCAACAAACTCTGTTTTCTGGATAGACGGAAGGCGAAATGTAATTCTTAAAGCAACTGATTCCCAAAATGATTTTGTCCCGATAGTGCTGTGGAAGAGTGAGGATCCATCCAGATTCAAACCATCTCATCTAGTCGTTAATCCCTATTCCAGTCATTTGTATGTGATTGACGGTCGTAATAATAGCATTTATATAATCCGAACTGATACGGGTGAACGAGTTGGGACTATCTTACTCTCGACGACAGATAAAAAGCAGAGACCAAGACAGATGGCTATCGATACTATTAACGGCTATATTTTTTGGACGTCTTTATTACCAGGGCCAAGCATTTGGAGGGCTTCATTGGATGGAAAAAATGCTTTAAGAATTGTTTCAGGGGAGACCTTAGAAAAACCTATTGCTATTGCAGTTGATCCAAGAACAAGAAAAGTATTTTGGTCCGATGTTTCGTTGGGTCAGATTGAGAGCACTGATTACGATGGAGGGCAAAGAAAAGTAATCGTGTCTCAACATTTAAGTGAACCTCGGTCATTAGCCATTTTAGGTGAATGGCTTTACTGGTCGGAGAGGAAAAAGGGTTTGGTTGAAAGGATTAGATTAAGTAATAACTCTGATAGGACAAAAATATTGGCTTTTGAATTTATCGCAGGCCTATCATCCGTTTCTGCCATTGATTATAATCATCCATGCAAAAAGCCAAGTCGAAAATGTTCTCATATATGTTTACCTGAAAGGGGATTTTCTGATTCGTCATTGACATCAAAATGCTCGTGTCCCTTAGATCTAACGTTGTCAGGAGATCGTGCAACCTGCACTGAAGCTTTTGTATGTGCGGAAAATTATATAAGGTGCAAAGATACATGTATTGTAGATTCGTGGAGATGCGATGGATTTGTCGACTGCGAAGATGGATCTGATGAGAAAAATTGTCCGGAATGCCCGATAGGGCAATGGTCATGCCGATCTAAGCCTCTAGAGTGTATAGGATTGAATCAACTATGTGATGGTCAAGCAGATTGTCTTAACTCGAGGGATGAATCAGATGCAAACTGTAGAAAACGAGAGTCTTGTCCTCCAGGAAATTTTATGTGCGATCACCGAAAAGCGTGTATTCCAAAAAGCTTGCATTGCGATGGAATTAAGCATTGTTCAGACTATTCGGACGAACGAAAATGTAATATAAGTAAAAGCATTAATAGACCTTCATCTCCTCATCGAGCCCAAATTATAATAATTATAATAGTTGCTGTGGCTTTAAAAACATTTATCGTAATTGTGATCGTTGTTGCCTGCAGAAGACAAGTTCCTGATAGAAATAAGAAGAAGAAAACTACTTATCCCACAAAATCAGTGAGCAATGTCACCTCAACGAGAAACGAAATGGGCTTAGCTCTTCCAGATGGACATTCCAAAGACTCTCCACATAGCACCCTATTACCTGACGTTTTGCCTCAACCTGCACCTGATATTTTATACGACCGAGGTCACGTAACAGGTTGTTCGTCAACATCATCATCATCCACACCTCTCGTCGATCCTCCACCTAGTCCCGTAACAACAACGTACAGTTCAAGAAAGCCGCACAGAAGCAAAAAATTAAGAAAAAAGCATTATATAACTCCTCCCAACTATACTTCCGGCTTCTACCCGAATCCTCCAACTCCTCGAAGTAGCGTCCAAGCCTTATCAGTAAGCCCTTCAACCGAGCGCTCGTTTTATAATAATCCCTATCCACCACCCCCATCGCCTATCGGCTTTTCCGATTAAAGTTTCTCAATGTGCCAAAAATCCGATTACAAAACCGACGTTTGAGTTGATAGCATAAAAATAAAAAAAAAAATAACTGTTTCTTTATTTCAACTGCTAGTCACGGTGCTGTGTGTTCCGACAGTATTCTTTTATGATAGGAAAAAAACAAGAAGCAAAAAAAGATCATGTTGTGTGGATAATTAATTAACAGACATCTTTGTTTATTCAGTTTTTTTCCCGTATTTTTTGCTTTTTTTATTATCTTTAGACTATTCTTTTTTTTTATATAACAATGAAATTTTTTCAAATTTGTTCTTTTATATATAAAAATGTAAATGAAAATGTATTTTGTTTTTGAAATATTGATTAGAAAATCTCAAAATTTTAATAATAATAATGATAATGAAAAATTGAATAAAATATCAATATACAATACATAATAAGTGTTTTCTTTCTATTTGAATTCTATCTATCTTCAATCCCTTTTCAATGTTGTTACTAATCAAATATTTAAGAGGAGGATCTATAAATTTCTTATGGAATATGCTGCAAGGCATTTACGAATTTGTATTTTAACGAATATAAGTATAAGTTACATAATAGAATTATAGTGAAAAGGAGCAAGGACGAAAGATCATTGTTGATATAAGCCCAATCGAATTTTTTTTCCGTGAAGGTCGATTGTATACACAACTTTTAAAAGCTCACCTTCGTCGATTATTTATCGAATTACTAACCATATATAATTTAAATGCGAGCAAATGGTTCGTTAGTGAAATAATCAGCTTATTAATTTTCATTTTCCCCCTTTGGTTACACAGTTACAAGATATATTTATTTATCTCGTACAAGTATACATACCAACTATAGGGCTAAACGTCGTACAATGTACTTGTTTGTATTATGCTTATGTACATAAAAGCCTAACAAGTAGATTTTACACAATATATTTATACACAAAATATGTTCATGTTATGTATTTATACTATATAAAGGTATTTCCTGCGAACACTTATGCAAAAGTTACTTGAATATATTCATATACGTGTTCGATAGATCTATAGGTTTACAAAACTGCGTATAATGCCATACATATAGTATAATCCTTATTCCACTGAATTTGTATATGATATAAGATTTCTTATCGTTTTCCTTTTAATATATAGAGTACCATAAAACATACCCTTTTCTATTCTTATTTTTTTTATGATTTATCTGCACACTCTTTTATGAGTATTTAGGATTTTCTTCCTTTTTGCTTTTTTTTTCTTTTTAGGTCTTTACAGATAGGTGGCGCAATTTAACAATTTTCCACATAAATACTCTACTTCCGACTAAAAAGAATTTGGCGCTTAATATAGGTCTCTCGTAAGCCTACTCATACTAAATTACTTCGAAAGATTTCTGGATAGATATTTATTAGTTAGACATAATTCAATTTACACTTGATAATAAACTATAATCGAGAAAAAGTCCTCTGAAGAGGTCAGAATAGTACGATGTAATTTGTCAGAGCTGCCCTTATGCCCTTTTCATTAGGTTATTGCAATTAATAAACATATAGATAAGCAGATATTTTACTAAAATAATTTCATGCTGAATTCTTCCTAACCAAAAAGTATTATGAAGATATCTTGAGTTAACATAAGCAAGTCTGAGTCGTTGAAGTAGCCAAAGGACGTAAAGAAACAGAAGATAAACACTCATTACTATCTCTGTCAAAACTTGACGCGCACCGATCCATTGTACAAATATACAATAGTAACTGCTTTCGGCCTAGAAATCGGGAGGTCTTCTTGAAAATAAAAGTAAAAGAGAGAAGAAAGGAAAGAAATTAGCTATCGAATATAAAGTGTCCTTTTAGTTTAGGGCGATACGTGTGTCGTAGACGGTCGCCTTCCTTTTTCTTTCCTTCGATGCGGTTAATCGCTAGGGGATGAGATCTTTACGGAGATAAATGAATAGCTCATGCGCCTGAAAAAGGGTTGAGAAATCGATTCTCACATTTTTTCAAACTTGAAAAGACAGGTGTTAAATCGTTCGATATTCGTTAATGAGCGAACGTTTTTGTTCCGCTTCAAGAATCGAATCAATCACAAACGTTAGCCGGCACTTTATCATCTGCTAAATTCGATTAGAGAACGTCGTTTCGTCCTTAATGGTCGCCTATACTAGAATCGACGTTCGTCTTAATTCGGACCGACTCAACAAAGGACTTGGGTCTACAGCTAAAAATCAAGGCAGCTAATAATTTCGACTTAAAGTGAATTGCTGTGTATGGGTGTCCAATCCAGTCATTAATTATTTACCTTATGAGGAAAAGTGAACCAGTTAGCGAGCGCATGCGCAGCAGCAACGCGTCTTTAAGTGCAACTGCAAACTTTTTCATAATTGCTTTACACGTCTACTGAACCACGTCTCTCGCTTTTTTCGGCTTTCGAGCTGAAAAGCTCGTTAAATAATATGCTATACATCAGGATTATCTATCTGCTAATAGCTTACGGTGGTAAGTAATTTCCGATTCATTAAAAACTTAAAATATCCAAAGTGGAAGTCTTCGACAGGGTATAAACTTGGCAGATTTTTCTCTATTGACAGATGTTTCATTTGTTTTGCTTGAATTTTGTAAGCCAAAGGCTTAGTCACATAATATATATTTACTTTGATACTGTATATAGAGCAAATTAATGCACTTAGACATGGAAATAATTAAATTCATGTCTCCCTCTCGTATTCTTCTAACACTTTAATAAGCTCTCTGAAATTTAAATAGAGAAAAATGTATGCTCAAGCTCTATATCCTTCAAGTTTGTCTTATCGACATTCTGTGGGGAATAAGCAAATCTGAAATTGAAATCGACGATTGCCTAAGCCGAAAAACGTAATTTTACGCTAAGTTGTCAATTTTTTTCTTTTTCATTATAACTTGAGATTAAATACATCAAATTCTATATGATCGTTCTTGCTATATTCCATCTAAGTACATAGCAACGTTCGATTCGAGAAAAATACCCTACACCGGAAGACAGTCGAACGGTCAATTACTTTAATTCAGTTGCGATTAGGAGCGATTACCATCAACAAATCATTCTTTTCCTAAACGACGCTCGACCCGCGACCGCAATCGACCGCAAACCCTATCTCTCTGTAACAGGCGGTCACGAAACATGAATGGAATCCATAAAAAACGGAGAAAATAGAACGTGAGGAAAGGGGTAAAGGGGAATAAATGAAAAGAATGATGAGTGGAATATTTGCTGACCGGGGTAAGAAGAGGATGGATTTAAATACGGTAGAGAGGATGAAAATCGAACAGGCTTTTTTCTTCTCTGAATTACTAGGTCCAATTAGGACTGCAAATATTTACCAGCGTCAATTGCAGTTGGGAAAGTGATAACGGCCGAAAAACGGCTTTTTTCTCAGACGGTTCGATAAGCAGGCGCAACTTTGCAGTTGATCTGACACGCTCCATTAGCCGACCATCGCCCGGCCCCAAGGCGACGGAGCACATGTATTGCGGCTTAATCTTGAAAACACCTTTTTGTGATTAAAACAGGCACCTTCGTAAGATCGGGTCCAAATGAAAGACGTCTGCTACACGAAATTTTCAAAGTCAGAGAATATAACAAGTTAGAACGACCTGTCGAGCGTGACAGTGACGCGCTTAATGTTACGTTGGGGATCACCTTGCAACAAATTATAGACGTCGTAAGCAAGTGATTGATTTCGTTTAATACCTCTTACCCTTTTGTTCCCACTTATATTTAAACTATAATCGTAAAAAGACGTTCAACCTGATAATTTATTCTCTAAGAATCAGAAACGCCCACGCTTAATTTAGAAAATCAGAGCAGGTGAGAAAGAGGACAGCTAGCTAAATAGAGTGACGAGATGATGAATAAAGAAAAGGACAGGAAAAAAAAGAAGAAGACGGATTGAGATCTAGAATAAGACAGTGAGAAACATTAAAAGAATTTTAAGCGTAGAAAGGAGACAAGAAATATAGGATGAGGGTGAGAGTGACAGAAGTAGAAGATGAAGCAGAAACTAAATTATAGGCAGTTAAAGAAATAAAGTAAGAGACGGTCAGAAAGAAAAAAGTAGAATTGAAAGGACAGACATTACTCTAATGAAAATGACGATCATTAAATTTTTCTCTCATCTTAGTTGGTGTAGTCGGAAAATCTGGCTTATACCACAGAAAAATTAGGCCTCTGCTGTTTTTTTGAGGGTTTTTCGACTTTTTACGCTCCATTAGATGTACAATGATTTCTTTTTAAGCATCCCAATTCTAACTGCGCCCGTTGTAACTAATAAAAGTGTATCGAATTTCATTGTTTTTCAATCGTATTTATGTTCTGAGGTTTTCTTTTTTATCATGGATTGCATGTTAATTATTTAAAAAAAATAGCAAGCCATACCTTTGCCATGTTCACACGCAGGACGAAAAGAACCAAATTTTAACGTCGAATGTCTGGTTGAACATGGTAAGTAGAGGCCTTGCGGAAAGAAAAAGATAAAAGCATGAAGGACGTGTTTGCCGAACAGCTAAATTTCCTGTTTTTTCACCCTTCTCTCCTCTTTTAAAAGCAAAAGACAGAATCCGAACTATTTAGTTCAATCCAATTTTTAGAAAGTGTGTTTATTATTTTATTAAGTAAATATATCATACAGGATGAAAAAAACCAAGTCATTCATACCAATACTTGGTTAAACATGGTAAGTTATCTACTGATCGGAAACGTCCTTCACGGTTTGATAAATGAAACAAATACTTTTTTAGCTACTGTGACTATTAAATAAAATTACTAATAATAATCTTTTTCTTCCTTTTCTTCACAACCAATTTTCATTCTCCATTTTACCCTCCTTTCCGAACGCAATTTTATCTTTATCTCTGTTACTTTCACACTTTTCCCCCCTCTCCTCAATTTTATTTTCCTACACCTTGCCTTCCATTCCCTTCCCTTCCCACCTTTGCTTGAATAGCATTGGACAGACACGAATCTTCAGTGGAACGAAAGTGATTATCCGAATGTAAGCAGTATCCGATTGCCGGCCAATCAGATATGGCGGCCCGATCTATTAATGTATAATAGTGCTGACGAAGATATAGACAGTACGTTTCATACGAATATCGTTGTTTATCCAAGTGGACTATGTCAATGGGTTCCTCCTGGATTATTTCTCTCAACTTGTAAAATTGATATAAAGTGGTTCCCTTTTGATGATCAAAAGTGCACAATGAAATTTGGCTCATGGACCTACGATAGCAGTGGAATAAATCTCCTGCTTCTTAGGGAAACCGGAGATACAGCCGATTTTATTCCAAACGGCGAATGGGAATTGATCGGTAAGAGATGCTAGATGTTTTATTTTCCTATTTTCCCAGATATAGCTTTTCGTCGGCTTTACGCTTTATGAATGAACGATTGGGGCAAATTGTTTAGAACTACAGGCGCGCAGAAACGTGAAACGCTACGACTGCTGCAAGCAAGAGTTCATAGACGCAACTTTCGAACTACATATTAGACGACGCCATCTGTATTACGTTTTCAATTTGGTTGTTCCTTGTTTAATGATGTCAGTACTGTCATTAGTAATGTTTGCTATGCCTTCCGAAGCCGGCGAAAAGATAACGTGTGGTAAGTATGAAATATTCAACTATACTGTAGTCTTCCAACAATTGTAGAAGTTGCTGGGAAGCGTCACACGCGCAGTTACGAGTGTTGTCCTGAACAATACATAGACGTCACATTTACCATCCACATTCGGCGTCGAACTCTGTACTACGGCTTCAACCTGATCATTCCGTGTGTGCTCATCTCTTCCATGTCCCTGCTAACCTTCGTTTTACCGCCGGATGCCGGCGAGAAAATATCGCTGGGTAGGTGCGCATGAATCGCGAGTTAGTGAAATTTGTCTATTCATCATTTACTTTTTTGTTAATTTTTTTTCACCTAATTTTCATTAATCACCAAAACATAGATGTGAATTTTTTGCAACTTTTTTTCTTTATCTTTTTCACATCCTAATGGTATCCTACCCTGCATGCTCATTTGCTTTTTCGTAGCCAACAAGTAAACCAGATGGCGCACTGCGTTCGGGATATTGCGGTTGCATGCCGTAGTCGGAGGATGTGCAATGTCGTCAATGAACGGGGCATGGTTATGAAGAATCATCAACATAATGGTATCTAAGGGATTTATTTTCAGGGGTTACCGTTCTTTTATCCTTGACCGTTTTCCTGCTACTCGTCGCCGAAACAATGCCACCGACCAGCGACGCCGTCCCTTTAATAGGGCTCTATTTTGCTTGCATAATGCTTATGTGCAGTATGTCGGTAGTTTTTACAGTTCTTGTATTAAACTACCATCATCGATCCCCGAATACTCATCAAATGCCAAATTGGGTAAATTTACGTTATTTCATATTTAGTTATATATAAAGTATTATAAAAATGAATATAGATGCATCCTTATTTGTAAATCTTGTAATGTTTTCTAATGAATTTTTAAGTACGTCGAGTGAGAACAATTATTTTTTTATACGAAAAAAAAGCGAAAAGTCTCTTAGTAGAATCAATTAGAACATTACAATCTCTGGGGATAAGCTTTAATGGGTTGTTTATTACCTCCTAAATTTGTTCAATTAATAGAACAAACAATTAAGAACACTTGAAAAAGCAATCAGGATATGTTATATACAAGAGCGTATTAATCCATACTTATGATATAGGTAAAAACTGGCATTTGTGAATGGCTTGCTTGGTTCCTAAGAATAAAACGTCCTGGAAGAGAAATGAAACGTCGAAAATTACTTCAAAATGCTAAAATGAGAGATTTGGAATTAAAGGAACGTTCTTCCCGATCTCTTCTAGCCAACGTCCTCGATTTAGATGATGACTTCCGATTCGTACGTCCCAATCAGACTCGAACTTATGAAACGTTAATTAGTAGTAACGGAGGTTGTAATGCCGCTTTTAGGACAGCTTTACCCAAGAACGAATTGGCTGAAATTTTGAAGGAATTGAAGACTTTAACTAGTAAAATAAAAAAGGATGAAGAATTTGAAGAGGAAGAAAATGATTGGAAATTTGCTGCTATGGTGATTGATAGATTGTGTTTGTGGATGTTTACTTTGTTTACTATTGGTTCTACGTTTGCAATTTTATTCTCAGCGCCTAACTTCTTTTAACAGCTGCAGAACTGATAATTATCTAGAAAGTAAATTATATTTTCAAAGAAAAGGCGATTGTGTACACTCTTGTATAAATTATGTAACCAATTTTTTAATGTACAGTTTAAATAATCATATTAATGTACAAAATACGAAAATATTTATGGTGAAAGGTTTGTTTTCGAATAGAAAAAAATAATAAAATTACTGAAAGGGCTAAAGTACTGTGAAGTGTCAAATAACTAGGCCTACTTTTAAGAGCACAGCAGCAGCAACAGCAGCAGCAGAAGCTGAAAACTGCAGCCAATCAGCGTTATTTCGAGCACGCCTGCATTTGCGATCATGCGCTTGAAAGAAGAACGATGCATTGTAAAATGTGTACTATTGAATGTTAATGGTTCTGTTTCAAAACTCGCGAAATGGGATGCCGACAAAGTCGGAGTATGGACGAGGATGCATACGAGAGCTCTTCTTTTTCCAATCACTCCATCAGACGTCTTTCCTCTGCGTAAGTATTCGTTGTTCTCAGCTATTTCATTTCTCTGCTACATTATTTTTACTAGAATATTTATAAAAACCCAGTTACGACCCAGTCCATTCTAATTCCAGATTATACTGTTTTGCAAAATTGATTTTGCATACTGAAAAAGATAAATAAGATCAAATAGTATACAATGATGTTGTTTATATGTGCAAGAGTTTGCAACTCTCAAAGTTATATGCAATGATGTGTTTTTAATCAAAAGTCAAAAATGTAGTTTAAACATTTAACAAGACCTGGAAAAGTGACATACTGCATGTGATGTCTGCTAAAAAGTAAAGCTCCGTGAAGAACATCAACCTTTTGCTTCATTCGACCAGTCGTTGGCCCCGCGACTCATACGGTAAATACATGCCCTTCCAGGGTTCTAATGGCCTAGATTTGCCTGGAAATTCTCGACTCGTTAGATGGAGCTGCCTTCGCAGCATTTGCTACGTCTAGTTTTATATAACTGAACGATTTTTTAAAAGAAATATAATATATTTGCAAGAATATTTTATAAAAAGTTTAATGTTGCTTTTTGCAGAGAACGAAAGAAAAGATTAAAGGAATTTGCTGTTGAGAATATATCGGACGATTGCATCGTCCGATATCCAGGTAGCATTAACGGAGAACAATTCATTTTAAAAAATATTAAGGTTAATATAAAATAGCGAAAAAAATACTCTTTGCTAATTAACTTAATGATAACGTTTTTTTTTAATCAGAATTGTAACGTCTACATTTTGGATCATATTTCACATTTATCACTGGAAGAATGCGATTCCTGCAGATTATTTGTGGGTGCCGTTAAATATAGGTGAACTTCTAAGATAATTATAATAACAGCAATCATTTTGACTCTTAGGCGATAAATAATGCATTTTAAAACATAAAACAGTGTACTCTGCCGAAACTGCCAAAATATTAAATTAATGGTTGCCTGTCAGCAGTTTAAAGCAAAAAATTGCAGGGAACTAGAACTTTTACTTTGTTCAACAACGCCACCTGTTATCGAATCATCTCCAGCAACAAAATTTGGATGTTTGCAAGCTTATTACCCTAACTTGGAAGATCATATGAGAGAAGCTAATATAAATGTATATAATAATAACTGGGATAGAGTAAATGAAGATAGTGGGGATCTTAGTTACTCTTTGATGTATTCAGACGATATGAAGGATTGTAGTCGATACGTTCCTTTGCCGCCTGAAGAGGTCTTATCCAAAGTGGAGGTAAATTTTTCAATGGAAAAAAGCATCATACCTTTTACATATGGATCTCATTGCAAAAATGCCGATGAAAGCAGTTGCTTAGTCATCATGTTTAATGATGGACTACAATATGACCGTTGTTCAAATTTTGTTGAAAAAATGAGGGAAAAATATGTGAGTAAAATTGATTACTTTGCAGTATCTCCATGTGTTTTTATCCTAATATATGATATAATAGATATACTGCATATATCGCAATTAAATTACGTTATATGTGATTATATTTTTCTTTCAATTAAGAATATTTTAGCAATTAATAACTCTTAGCACAAAAATATCTTTTTGGATTAGCAGTCTTTTCTGTAGTTTTCAATTGAATAGAAAGAAAATGACTCGTTATTGAATTGTAAAGGAATTTTTTTTATAAAATGTTTAAGATATCCTATGCATTTCTATATTGAATTTTATGATTTATTCTATAGACTTAAGAAAATATTTATTAAAAGAAATAACTAGAAAAATCACATAGGAACTATAAAGATATTCAATTTAGCAAGTTAATGTGTAAACGTTTATCTAATTTTGATTTCTTTTTTTCCCTTAATAGCCTCATTGCCTACTAGTTTTAACAAGAGAATTTATTATGCAATCGTCCGACACCAAAAAAATGTTCTCTTCAAGTCACTATGACATGGCTGCCAGTCAAGGACCTGTAATTGGATTAGAATATAATGGTAAAGATTCTATAAAACATTGCCAGGAAATTCTAATAGACGTTAGTCGCGGTTCTACGGGTTTAGTTTACTTTAGTACGAATCCAAAAACAGCTGCCTACCAAATCGAACTCTTTTATAGCTTCGCTAATATGCAGATTTAAATGAAATTTCCATTTATTTATTTTTTTGGGACTTTTATCAATTATTTGGCAGGATTGTTAATATGTATTCCTATGTCCATACCTTCATTATTTAGATCATTATTACTACAATCGTTCTCATTAAGAAAGTTATCATTATTGTTGCCACTATTTCTACATCACTAGTACAAGTGAACAGGAAAAAAAAACTGCCATTGACCTACTGTGATCTTTTCCTCCATATTTACTTCACTTCTAATGTTATTTTTTTGGGAATGCCATAAAATACGATTTTTCTCCTGCTGTAAAAGGATAGTACTATGATTAATCATGCAGAAATTGTCTGTTTCAGGAAATTGTATGTATAACAGATGGCGCTCGTAAACATTTATTACTTGCTTCGTCTTATAGATAATGGATTTTTTTATCTTTAAGAGATACGTAGACAGGTGGATATATATTTATTTTTGAAACAATGAATTATAGTTCTGATTGGCTAGAAAATAAATTTTCTTGTTTTTTGTGAAAATCTCTCCCTCTAGTATCAAATAAAAATAGATTATAAAATTGAATTTTGATATTCGAATCTTTTAAATGGCTTTATTACGGCACTGAAATTATTAATAGCACTAGTAGTACCAGTAAATTTTATCGTACACAAATAATTGGTTAATTTCTGAGATATATAACAGGGCTTAGAGCAAGCTGCACAAAGACCAAAGAAACTTCAAATCAATTATTATGCATCGAGATCCGCTATGTAAACTATTTAAAGCTATCGAATATATCACAGAAACTAGTTTTTCAAAAGTCTTTGTCCCATCCAGAAATATCATCTGGAGGTTCTGGCTCGGTTGCTGGAGGATACTCATCAAAATTTGAAGCGTCAGACGCGCTCATAACTTTCGGAACGTACGGTGGTTTCAAGGATCTTCTTCTCAAGCCTTCCCAATTGAAACCATCAAACCATTTGTGCTTTTGTATATCTTTAATTCCTCCTCTTCCGTAGCCTAATCTTTCTGTAGGATTATCCCTAAGGCAAAAATTAACAAAGAATCATTTTATAATACATATTTATTACACCTTGTTTTTTTAATTTAATATAGTTTTACCTGCACAATTTCTTAATCAAGTTTTGCGCATGTCTTGTAATTCGTCTAGGAAAGTCAATTGCATCAATTCCTCTAAGAATAATATTATAAGTCTTCATTGGATCCGCTCCAGAGAATGGGGGATTTCCCGTCAATAATTCGAACATAAGGATTCCTAGCGACCATAAATCACACGATAAATCATGACCTCTATTCAATATGATTTCTGGAGCAACATATTCGGGTGTTCCGCAAAATGTCCAAGTTTTACGCCCATGTCCTATTTCTTTTGCGAATCCAAAGTCGACGAGCTTAATAAAACCGGACGTATCTAAAAGAAGATTCTCTGGTTTTAAATCCCGATATACAATGCCTAAACCGTGTAAGTAAATTAAGGCCTCGCATACGCAAGCAGTATAGAATCTAGTCATAGAATCGTCAAAGTGACTTTTATCCCTTAGTAGACTCCACAGTTCACCTCCCAGGCAAACTTCCAACAGCATATAGAGATATTTGGCATCCTTGAAGGTTGTGTATAATCGAACGATAAAATCGCATCGAGCTTTTTGCATTATTCTCTTTTCATTTAGGATATGCTCTTCTTGCCTTGTATCGACTATATGTTGTTTTTTCAACTTTTTCAAGGCAAACGTTTTTGCTTTATCCTTTCCTATGCAAACCTGCAAAAATATTTAGAGATAACAAACATTCCCTCAACACTTAATTTTTATTTTCAATGTTTTCTTTTCCTTGTATATTTATATAGAATATCTTATGTTTTCAAGAATAATAAGATATTCATAAAGTTGTATAAATATACAAAAGTCAATTTATCAATTTAATTTAGTTATTTTAAGATTTTATTATTACTTTATATTTTTTTAATAAAGGAAAATATTTGATTAAAAAGAGAAAAATAGACTGCCCAAAGAAGAGAAGAAAAAAAGAATTTTATTAGTTTTTTTCTTTTTCTTATTTTTTTTTGTTTACAATATCTAGGACACTTACTAGATCTACTCGGCCGAATCCACCTACACCGAGGGTTGTGATAAAGTTAAACTTGGAAAGTTGAATACCAATTAGGCTAGCAGGGGAATCGCTGAAGTATAGAGAAAAAACAGAGTGCACAACACAATTTAGAGAGTAAAAACAAATAATAATAGAAAGTAGAAAAAGTGAAAACTATACAAGAATCGTGAGAATATTATATTTAATACAAATCAAAATAGCATTCACGACTTTCTCAGATAGTTTTCAGTCTTTTGAAGCGGTCAGCTACTTAAAAAAAACTGTAGAAAACAAAAAAAAAGAGAACATAAAGAGTATAAATTAGTGTGAAAAAAAGGCTTCAGTTTTAAGATGTAAAAAATAGGAAGGTGAAATATTTTTCCAAATTATAGGCCTACGTGAAAATTAGGACAGAGTGGCGCCATCTAATGGCTTACCAACTCGACGCGACCAAATCCACCGACTCCCAATGTTTTCAAGCTCGATAAATCGCTAGGTTTTATATCGCTGAATTCGTTTCGACCACTATTCAAAAAAAATTCCCTAAGCTCTTGTTGTGTTACGTTTTCTTCTTTTTTTTTTAATGCAGACAACCGACTATTGATTGTTGGCCAACTTACCTTTCTAACGATCTCATACGAGGTACGGTTGGCGATATTATGTGGCTGATAATCTGTTTATAGGCGCTGCAATAAAAAATACGACAATTTAATAGATTTAGGTTTTATCGGCGTCTAACAAACGCGCTTGTTTGTCCTTCCACTCTATGCTTATCAGGCCGAACTATCACCGACTAGGCGACGGTCGTGGCTCAAAGAATAGTCGCTGATAAATAGACCTAATTTAGCGTTAATAGGTAATTAATTTGAGCTTTAGGTCAAAACCCTGTTATTTTTTCTTGCTCAATTGACCAATGAGTGAATAGATTTTCACTGCTTCTCTCCGGAAATTATATACGGTTGTACGAAGTAGCATGTATAAACAAGAAGGAAAACGTCTCAAGGGTAAACGTCTCCCTCTACATTGACCGTATTGTAAAAGTATATTCAATTTATTATGCGAATGATATTTAAAGAGTGTAAAAAACTTACTCTCTTTCCAATTGGAGGCAATCCACTCCGTTAGGATCAGTGACGATAATATTTGCAGATCGTGTCTCCTCCCTATAGAAAACAAAAGAAAAAAAGAAAAAAAAACATATTTTTCTTGTCTTTCTTAGTTGTTTGTAGCTTATTAATTTTTTTTTAAAAAAACGTCAAAAAAGCAGCAAATTAAAATAAGAAATCTGGAATATTTTTTTGCTTTTTTTTTTTACTTCCAATTTTCTTTTTGTGTTTCAAAAGAAAAGCTAATTTATAAGACAAAGCCGAAAAAAAGATAATGATAAAATGAGATAAATAATGGCTGGAAATGGCCGTTCGACAGGGAAAAATATACCTTTCGAGTGCCCTCTCTCCGAAATAATCGCCCCTTTTCAAGAATTTCGGTTTGAAATCAGGTTCATCGTTATTGTTACCGTTTTTCGTAACCAGAACCTAGGAAGTTTCAGAAAGGAGGTGAAAGAGAAAAACAGATAGAGATAGTGAGGAAAATAAATAATATAACTGTAAAACACTGCAAATGTTTCGCGTGAAAATAAAAAAAACAAAAAACATTTTTTATATAAATATAGAAAAAAAACACACGCTTATTAAAACCTTTCCAGTGCGGCCAAACCAAACCAGCTTCCAACTTTGAGAGTTTTTTTCGTCTTTTCTGTTGAACCGGTACCCTCAGTTTCCTTCGCCTATATTGCGTAATCGATATATACGTTAATTCTTTCGACGAAGTCGCATAGTCCGGCGAGAATTCGAACGACAAACCGCATTACGTCGCGTTCGAAATATGTTTAACGACGCCGTCCATTCGGCAATAGTGGAAATCCATACAAAAAATATCTAGGACGCCTATAAAACATATACACTGACCTGTCCTTTAGCTATTATGTAGAACGTATCGCCGACGGCACCTTGTCGAATGATATATTCATCCTTTTCAAAATGGACTTCTTCTAGAACGTCGGCAATCGATCCTAGCGTTTCCTCTTTGCGGTTGTTAAATTGTGGAATGCTGTATATTGAGTGAAAGAAAGAAGAAAGAGAGAATCGTAGAACAGGACGTAAATTACGTTTAATTATATACTGGCTTTTACCTTTTTAAGAACTTGATGTACTCTTCTCGTCTTTTCATCCCAGTTTTCATCATAATACTTTGGAAATTTAGCCGATCTATAGCCCATAGCTTACAATTGGTTATCGCTAGAAAAAAATGGCGTGAGAAAATGTATTTAGAAATAAAGCTGTGTACTCCCAAAGGGAAACAAACCTTTAATAGAAGCCGTTCTTTTACAGTTGTACAATATGGCTAATTCACCAAACACTTTTCCGGCCGACATTTTACGCTCGAGTTTCTTATTATTAGTTACGAGAACTTGACCCTCTGTTAAATGTTTAAAACAAGAAAAGGAAACATTACGTAATTGGCAGGAAAGTAGATGAATATGGCAGCTAACAAAGTCAAATGGAATGAAAAGTCGTTCTGTATTTTATAAAGCGCGCTCGAAGCAAAAACGAAATTAGTTTGTGGTCACACGATGCATGATCAAAACGATCGACGAATTGACCACACTGCATTTCTCGAGGTTTAGCCCAATTTAAATATGACAGGCTGCTGTCCCTTCCCTCAATAGAGAAATGACCAAAACTAAAGCAATTAGTCGCCTTTACACACTTGTTTATGTTAGTATTTATAAGGATAACATGCTGATTATATCCCTACTGACAACAAGGTAAAGGCGTCTAATATAATGAACGTGCCTTCCATAACGTATACTTCCGAGCCGACATCGCCTTCTTTAATAATCATTTGTCCAGATTTAAAATCCATTTTATACATGCAATCGACAATCTCATTGATCTGAGCTTTTTCAAGATTCTTCATGAAATCATTATCCAGTATTGCATTGCCGATTATCTCCTTCGATCTGTTGAAAGCGTAAAAAAAAACAACATAAAGCAGCAAAAGTGGAAATTTTCATATAAGCAGTATTTATCTAATTAAATGGCGGTAAACGTTCAGGATCAGCTTAATAGAGCACAAAAACTGGATAATAGTGAATGATGAAACGAACTAATAAGCGATCAATCTTTTTTTGTAATAGATCTCCTTGTACCTTCAAGAACGTAAAGGTTATCGCCGAAAGTTCCCTCCTTGATAATAACCTCATCGGCTTCTCGAGTTTCCGATCTCATACAATCAACCATTTGCGATATTAGTATATCGTCGTAGCGACTCATGAACTCATTGCATCTAACGGCGTCTCGTAAATTCTTAGCGACGCTGCCGACAGTCAAGTATGTACTTGAAGTAAAATACTTTAGACCTATATACTCAAAAATTCCACCCAATACAGTTATTTTATTGCTAGCCGTTACGCGGATGGAAGTAATAAAAGCGGTAATTTCGGGAGTATGGAGGCCTGGTGATTTTTTCTTAGATATCTTTTTTTCTACTTATATATATGAGCCCCCCTCCCATACTTTTTTTCTCTTTCATTCTTTGAGATACTCTCATAGAAAATTCTCAAGTTCATTGTTCTCATTAGTTAGATATTCTACACAATAAAAACCTCGGGAAAATGTAGTAGACATACTATATTCTTTTCCAAATTCTACAATTTTAACTTTTCTTTGTACAAGCCTTTCTCGATACTCACGCGGAATCCTTTGGGACACGGGCAGGAAAAGAAAGAAGAGTTTTTGGAGGCTCAGCTGATATAGCTGTTCTTTTCTTTCTTGGTTTTTCATCTACTGATTTAAAAGAACACTGGCAAACTTTTGTGTTTAATACACTCCGGCATTTGTCTAACTCATTCTGTAAACGATTTATAATCTCATCTTTCTTATCGATTTCGTTCTCAAGCTCGTCGATTAGTTCGTCTCGTTGTTCAATCTCTTCGACCTTTTGCCGCAGGACGAATTGCAATTCTCGCAGGGTATACGCCATCCTTCTTCCAACTATCGGCAAACTTCGATTGCAGCGACACCTTTCAAGCGTTAATGTCAGCTCGCATTTCTGCGAATTTTGCTTTTAACATCCGAAAGATGGCGTAAGAAAGGTGAGAAAAAGTCTAGGAGAGTTGAGTTGTGCGGGGCGCGTACTTTTTCTATTTTTAAAACTGTGCACTTCCAGTTTAGTCTGGAGTATTTTACATTTAGCGCAAAAATATCTATGTCAATCGTTATCGAACGGAACAAGCTCCAATTGATATAAAAACGACCTAGAATACTGCTTGACAATGTAAACAGTTTGCGATTATTAATCACAATGCCAGTCAGCTCAAGTCGAAGAAGTTGGTTTGAACGGCGAATAGTTTAGAACTACATTTTTCTCTTAAATGATTACGAATAGTTATACAGACGGCACTATAACAGAAACAATGACAATCGCGTACTGCGGCTAACCTTTCGCTTTTGTTGTGCACTTGAAGCGGCCTTTGTTCGATATTTTTAGCTTGTGGTTCAGCCGATATCCCAACGCCACGTTGGCGGGGACCTGTAGCACCACTCGAAGGTTCCAGGACACTCTTGTACTGATCCACAAGTACTCGTAACTTTTCCAATTCATCATCTTTTTCGGCTAGACGGCTTTTTAGCTGCTCGATTTCCTCATCTCGCCTTTTCAGCTGGATTTTTAAGTCAGTGGAAGACATTTCCAGCCGTTTCTTCCTACTGTTTTTCGTTATACACGACGGCCTCTTGTGGAACGTTAGGCCGGCCAACTTTTGTATGCCAACAATTCATTAACTTGGCCCATAACGCCATCTTGTAATTAGAACTTCACAAATCACAGACAACGCGCCATCTACTGTTAAATCCCAAAACAAATTTTCTCAGGTGTTGCCTATCAGAGTTTTATGATGTTTTCTTCTTAATTCATGTGCGCTCCTCAATGTTTTCTTGTTAGACTTTGCAAGTTAATTAAACAGCATTATTTCCGTTATTTTACAACTATTGGCCCCATTTTTGCCAACAATCTCATTATTAATGCAATTCTGAAATAAACTTGAAAAGCGGAATTTGCTGACTAGCCTTCAAAAATTGTAACGAAAAATAATTGTAAAAGATAATTGCGTAATTTGTAACAAACGTGTTTTTTTTCAACACAACAATTCGCGAAGCCAATGACACTTTGACAGAAACATACGAAGCGTGGGCGTTAGCTGTTTGTAATGCTTAGGCCAATTTATTGATGAATTATCCTATATTTAGAGGCATGTCCCTGGATTAACTTGCAGGAGAATGAAATGAACAGCATAACGTTTTTCGAATGAGGCTGATCCATTTATGGTCGTATTGATTTATCATAGAGCAGCAGTATTGAGCAAATGACAACTGAGTATAAAAATAAAGAAATAGCGTATTTTTTTTATTTTTACAAGAAACATAGGAAGAATATTAGACTTAGTATTTCGAGAGTAAATTAAGTGCAACATAGCATTTTTTTTCTCTTTGCCAATTAGAATTTCTTTGGCGTGCCTGGATCCAAATTGCTTGCAGTTATTGCAGTTCGGTGGCGCTGCTGTGTTAGTCGCACCTTCGAACTGGTTTGCTGACTAGACGTTCGAGTTATGGGCCTTGGACTCCAATCTATCAACAAGCGGTTAGTATTATTTATTTGCACTAGACCTTTGTATTAAGACTAAAAAAACGACGTAAATGTGATTTGTAATAGAATATGCATTAATTCTCTTATCGTTTCAATTATCTTTTGTCAAAACCTCTTCCGCAACCTGATATAGCCCATTTTACCAAAAATCTGAGGTTCATGAGAAATTGCGGTCATCACCCTGCAACCCTTCCCTGCATCGTTTCACATTTTTTTTCTATTGTATAATTGAGAAAGAGGAGATCTATTATTCGCCATCTATCGGAGGAATCTTACGCCTACACTTTTAACAGTTCAATGTACTATTGAACGCTATAAACAGTATTGAACAACGCGACCCTCTTCGTATTTCTAAATAGTCCGTCAATGTACATTTGACAACAATGTCGATCAAACAGGTCATCGTTTTGACTTAAAAATATGGAATCAATACCCCCGCAATACAACTCTAAAGGAAGTGGACGTATTTTTATGCTTATAAGACAATTTAAGCCGTTAGTATATAGCCTATTTTGACTGTTTTCTTTAAACGCACCTTATGCATATTTATTCGATTTCCAAATGTTCGATGTGTGCATCAAGGCACAACTTACTATAGGCTTGCTTGACGTTGCGTGTTGAACATCTGCTACAAAAATGAACTCGTTCAGCAAAATTACGTCGACGGCCGCCATAGACGATGGATAAGTCGTATTCGTCTCAATGTAGCAGTCCATCGACGGGTCATTTGTCGCCCAACCCCTCCATCGTTGTCTGTCGCTGTGGTGCTTCGGATTGTTCTCCTCATACACTCTCCTACCCTTCATCAACCAACAGGTTCTCATAATAGAATAGAATAAGATAAAAAAAATATTTCTTTCTCTCTATCCATCGATATTTCTGGAAAATTGCATTTATTTATATATTGTTATTTAATGTTGTTTTTGTAAATATTGTTCCAGTCCTTTTTATTCTAATTCTCTCATTCTATACAGTCTATCCGCAAGTTCGAACGGATCACGTAGATGCAGTTGCTCCAGTCATAAATGCAAATCGTCAAAATGTCGCCATAGGTGTTGGTGAGTAATCAAGCCTAAATTTTTTTCAATTAGCGTCTCTTATGACTGTAATATCGCCTTCCTTAGCACGGTTGCTAATTTTGAATTAATAATAATAACTACTAGCTTATTAAAACTTGCTGACGTATTGAAAAATAATTGTAAGTGCTAGAGAGATACTATTCAGCTATTTAATGAAACATCTGTTTCGACCTCTTTTTTGGTTAAGCGCAAAAATACGATTTTAAAAACCTATGACATCATGTGATGGTGTCCGATAATTGTGTCGGGTGGAACGTTTTAGAAGCAATAGCCAGGGTTTAATTTATGCAGGAACTCATTTCAGACCGAAGATGCTAGTTGGTTGTCATCAAATTAGCGGATTTTTTTGACGATCATATTAATACTTGTATGTCAGCTATAAATGAAATTAATATATCTACATATATATATATATATATATTAAAAGAAATAAGAAAGGAATATATGTGACGTTTTAACGTACATTATTCCATTAATAAAAGAAGTATACCGTAAGAAACTATATACAGCATACAGCAAAATTATATATAGAATATATATAAATAACCACAATTATATATACGGCATACTGTATATATATTTATCTGGATATGTATTTAGATTTATGAATGTATGGGGGTGTTTCTCCATCAAAGTTTAATGCTAAATTATAGTGTATTCATTTTTTTGCAGTTCAAATTGCTGTCGTCGAAGAAGCAGTACTTCATGCAATAGTCGGCGGTCTAGTCATGGTAAAACGTCACTACCAACGGGTGATGAGCATTGGAAGAAGGTCCTCCAAGCTAATGAAACCAAGTGCAGTAGGCCTGGAACTCCAACCCCGAAGAGGGAATCGGGTATTTTATCTAGTTTATATGCGAAATTCTGCAAATGGGTAGCAACAAATAGAGCGAAGAGAGAAGTAGATATTATGAGACGGCAAAGTATTTCACCTGAAATAAAGGAACAATTTCGTCGTCAATTAGCATTGGCTCAGGAGCATTCAAACGCCTATTTGCATAAATGTTGCCCTTCTAGCCTGTCATCAGAGGACTCAGATTTTGTCTCATTTAGTCACACATCTCGTACATCTTCTTCTTTAACAATTGCCTCTAGTGCTTCATCTCCAGTAGCATCTGTTGATCCCTACCTCCCTTTTACGACTGCGTCTCTAAGTTGTAATTCATCCGACGTTCAAACAAGATCATCAATGGTTAGCGACGTTACTCAAATCTCTGTAAATTGTGAATCATCTCATCATCGAGTACTTAGCCACTCATATTCTTGTCCGGGAAGGAAGAATTTAGCGACTCATTCCTTGACAGATTTAACAAGCGAAGGACATGGTTCTATTTGCGCCACCTGGCCCCCATTATGTCGAAAGTCGTGTAATGGAAAAGGTTAGTAAAATAAATTATAGTGCATTTGGTTTACTATAGTAATACTATTGTATTCCTTATTTACTTTTAGAAGAAGACGAGGGCATAGAAGATGGTGATCCCGATGAATCGGTATTTGAAGACAATGATTTAAATGAGACCATTAAAGAGTGTACTATTCCTTACAACGACCTGGAGTTTGGAAAATTAATTCGAGTAGGTCGTCGAGGGGAAACATACAGAGGGCGCTATTATGGCGACGTTATAATACACACCTATCGGAAAGGAAATGCCAAAAACTCTGAGGAAATTTATAGTAAATTTCTGAAAGAAGTATCGAGAATGTGCATGATTCGACATGATAACATTGCTTTATTTATGGGAGCATGCATCGATCATCCTAATTTAGCTATTGTTACAGGGATGCGTAAGGGCATTTCTGTATACGAGCAAATAAGGCAGCCGCAATCTTCATCTTGTGTAATGACTTTGTCTTACAAACTAAGTATAGCTAAACAAGTTTCGCAGGCAATGGGCTATTTACATGCTCGAGGGATTCCTATGAAAAAGTTAAACTCTAAGAACGTTTTCCTTGAAAGCAAAGTAAAATTATGCCTCAATGATTATGGAATGGCGGAAATGAAACACGACAAAACCGGCTATGGTTGTATACCAAATGGCCATTTGACGTACGTTGCTCCGGAAATGATGAGGTCGTTGCGTGTCATCCCACCTAAACTGGTACCCAAAGTACCATATACTGCAGCGACTGATATCTACTCTTTTGGAACTCTTTTGTACGAAATGATGTCAGGATGCTATCCCTATAGAGGTGTTTCGCCAGAAACTGTAATATGGCAAGTGTCTCAGGGCAAACGTCAGTCTTTATCAAAATTCAACGATATTAAAGGAATAAAAGTAAGTTTTTTTCTCTTTACATCTTTTAACCTTTATCGTTCTGTCTACTCTTGTAAATATCATCAAAAAAACGAGTACCTGAGGCAAATAATTAATAAAATGTAGAAATAATGAAAGAGAAAATTAATTTCTTATTTTACAGACAATTATCAAGCGATGTTGGTATCAGAAACCAGAAGATCGAGCGGATTTTGCGAAAATTAATCACGAACTGCAGAAATTGGTATGTGTGGGAAATAGATAAAAAGACGAGGTCTAACATAATTTAATTTTTACCATGGATTTTTTTTTATCAACAGAGTGGCCTTCTTAAGAGGCGAAGTTCTTCGGAGCCAGATAAACTGCATGCATTGGGCTTAACCGCCAATAAGTCTCTTCGACTTGCTTGAAATTTGTTGGTGCTTTTTTTATCAAAACAGAGCTTAAAGAAAGACTTGTTCATTTATCCGGGTTATTACAGTAATACTAAATGCGACATTTCATCAACTTGTAAAAGCAAAAGCTAGTCTACAGCTTGAATATTATCGACTTGAAAACTTGTACCGCAGTATATATATATATATTTAAATCATATACGATAACGATTTTCTATATGAATGTGTAAATATATATAAACGGTCTATATATAATCATTGTATTTTTTATGTTGAAATAAATGAAGAAATTATAAATGTATGAAACGTTTATATCAAGTATATATAAATTTATATATATTCACAAACTGTATATCTGATGTATCTTAAATTGTATGATTACAACAGTCTGTATCTTTTTTAATAGTATTATTTAGCATTAAGACGAATAGCATCTGCAGTTTGTCAATAAAAGTTTGTTTAAGAAGTTTTTTGAGTTGGTTTTTGCAGCTGGCGCCATCTATTGATAGACCCTATTACCGGTTAACTAGGCAATAATATTTATATAAGGCATTGCCAATACTCAGCAAGAAACGGATCTCTAATTTAGAAGGAATCAGAGCAAAAAACTGGTATAGATAAATGTAACTTAATAGTAGAATAACGACGACAGGACGAAATGATAAGGAAAAAGGAAAGCTATATACATGTGGCTTCCATTTACTAGAACCGAAGTCTTATAAGATAAAGACGTTTGATGATTTCGGCGGAAGAAAATCAATTCTTTTACTCAACGTTGTGCCGACGAACGTAAGTCGGTTGTCTTTTCGAATTATTCCTATAGGCCTAAGTACAGAAGAGACAGAATGATTAGATTATGGATGGAGAAGTGATTTCGTTCGATGGACATCGTTGATAAAAGGGAGCAAAGCCGTCTAATTAGGCGTCAGCTCGGGATATGGAGTATACCGAAGCTTTAGTGACGGGTCGTTCGTCATTTACACCGTCATTTACACAATCATTTTTCTCTTTACATCCGCACGAACCGCAAAATTGCTTGCCTTTCATATCGGCGTCTGAAACGAAACTGATTTTGGGAGAGCGTCATCCTATTTTTTACAACCGCAAATAAAAATAACAACAGAGATGTAACTTTATATCTTTTTATACGTTACAAAAGACGCTTGTTTGCGACTTTGATAATTACACCGTATTTACTTTGCATATAGACGCATAGAGAAAATAAATTAGACTTGTTTTGTTTTACATTAAAAGACTTTTAACGTAGATAGCGGTACGCTGTATACCTTAAAATCGTGTGCCTATGGCTACATTTTTAATGATAAAATCCTTGATACTATCGGAATAACAAGGATAGTATCTTGCTACTGCAGCTAATTAAAGAGCGTCTAAACGCCTGCGTACATGCTTTTCGATCAGTTTTACGAAATGGCTGACAACATCAATGAAATTTTCACATATTCATTATGATAAACAGAAGAAATTATAATGAATTTTTTATTAAATTTGTATGCGTCGTCATATAAAACATTAATCTTTAGCATTTTGCATAGTACTAAGTTAAATAAGAATGTAGCGCCTTCAGCTGATGTGTATTCATACGCTGTGCGCTAATGAAGCAGAATTTAGTAAAGGTTAAAGTAATTTATAGCAATTTCGCTTTTTATCGCACCTGGATGTAGTCCAGTCAAAATACGGATGTGAAAAGCTAAAAAATGTTCCTCTAAATCGGATGAAATATCCAATCAGTATGGCCTTGACGAAGAGCTAATGAGTGGATTGGCATTACGTTATGGTTTCATGTAATAATTTGATGGCTTATAAGGTGACTGCTATGTCCAAGTTTAGTCTCTTATTTCCATGGTAAATTAGTATAAAAAGAAAGAAAAAACAATTGTGCGGTCTTTTATCGAATAGCGCAGTTTTATTTAATTTAAGCTGCCTTTTTTTTCACGTTTTCTTTCCCCTATCGATCATCTGAGATTTAGAGTAACATGCACTGAATATTTTCAATCTTTAGATTGAGGAATGATCGACGGTAATTGTTAATCTAATGAGAGTTTCGTGCTTTTTTCTTTCTATCTCAACTCCATTTACAACTTCCTTTTTCCCTCTCTTCTTCGACTGTCTAATCTCTTCTTTTTCTTCCTATCTGTCGCTTCCTCTCTGCTCTCGTTTGTACATAGAATTAAGGTGTAGGCCTACATCAATATATGAAAATCATACTAATCCGACAACGCGTTGAGCTTTGCTCGTCGTGTGGAGCAAAAGTAAAAGATGTTCGATCGGCGTTAACGAGCTCAAAGAACAGAATCTAATCGGATAGACGCCGGTGGGAATCCACCAAAGTTACTAAAGAGAGAAGAATAGAATTTTTCGATTTTTTTTCTTTTGCAGTATTATTAAAGTTCAGTGTATGCATTGGGGGGACTAAAGAAAGTATATCCTCTCGGCTTTAAATATATATATATAAAAAAGAAACAAAAAAAAACATGAAATAGAAACTGAAGAAAAACTCTCAAACTAAAGATTCCTTATCAGGTTGAGTTGGTGAACTTCTATGGCGAGAGACTAAACAGTCCGAAACGGATTTTTTGAGCGCTGGTTTGCGAATCTCTTCGTCCATGTCGTCAGAAAATTTGGCCTTTTCCTCCTCAATGTTAGTAAGAGACCCTTCGGAGCCAGATGACGCCAAAGGTGTTGTTTGCATTATCAATTCATTGACGGTGTTTATATCTTCTTCCAATTCAGCTCTGTTAGACACAATCGATGGATTCTTACCTATTTTGTTCAAGCGTTCTGCGGCTACCGATTCCATTGTTCGTCTCATTACGGGATAATGATCTAATACAGAGTTGAAGTGTTCGACTGACAGAGAATACAAATTGCAGTAGGTTTCCGCTCTAACGGACGCTACTCGTTTCGCATTTGTAAGTAGGCAGATTTCTTTGTGAAAATAATCTTATAAAGAAAAGGGAAGAGGCAAACATGGTAAATGCGCTTACCGCCGAAGTAACTTCCATCACTCAAACTAGTGGCAACTTCTCCGTTTTTCGTAACTATATCTACTATTCCTTCCTGAATAAAATACATTTTCGTTCCAATCGTTCCTTCTTTTATCACTAAATCTCCCGGTTGGAAAACTTCATATTGTAATTTCGTTACAACATCCGAAACGAAATTTGGATCAGCATGAGTGAAAAATGGTACGGAGGCGACTAATGCTCGGCAGTTGAAATTGACAATTTCCTGTAAAGAATAGTAAAGATATGATATGAAAGTCATTGACTCTTTTTCTGACACGGGATGATAGCGTCCATGGTAACACAAATCCGTCTCAGTCTCCCTTTGACCGTCTTTTATATGATAAAAGAATATACAACATAATAAGTCAACGTTATATAGCCTGTTGTTATGACGTATATGACATAAGCTACAATTTTATTTCTTTTAGATTATTTATAAACATTTTTCTGCTAAAACGAAAAAAAACTGCTTATAAGAAGAAATCCAGTCTAGCGAAGAAGGATAAAGCATTTAATGCGAGATACCTTACATAGTTAATAATAGTTATGTTTTATTGATGCAAAGAATAGTTTCTTTAGTCTTATTAAGAAAAAAAATGACAATGCAGAATGAATAAGGCTGTACCCGTTTTCTGCTCTATTCGTTTTAGTACAGGGACGTTATAATCGATCCAAAGAAGCGATTAATTTAAAGTTTTTTTTATGGATAATTACCTCCCGAAGGCATTCATTCAGTTCCGATAGAATGCGCTCCTCATCGAACATCTTTCCTTGATATCGGTGTTCATAAAAATCCGAAATTCTTTGACGAAGAGACCGGGGTAGTTTACGATATATCATATACTCTTCCACTTGTTTGAACTGCAAAGCGTAAAGATAGTGGGTATAAAAAAAAATTCCTTTAGATTTTTATCAATTTAAATGAAAGAGTTTACACGGGCTAGCAAGAGAAGAAGTACGGGGTTGGGAGGGTTATGGAGTGGGCGAGTTACTACTGCATGTTGCGCACTCGAACTCCAAATAATCAAAGGCAAATGGCCGGCGGCGAAACTCCTTCTTCTGCTGCATTCACTTTAGCGCGTTTATCGATCGAAGAACACACATACAAACGTATAATGATTTACCTTTTCTCTATATAGCCTCTTGGAAGTGTCAAAAGATTGGATAAGAGTCGTTGCGTGACCTACGAATAGGGCATAGCACGTGGCGCCTGTTAACATGCTAACCATAGTTAACCAGACGTCGGTCGTAGATTGAGGAGGAAATTTCCCATATCCGATGCAGAGCATATGGGAGAGTGCCTTAAATAACGCCCACGTATACTGATCTCCCCAGTAGGCTTTCTGTACGAATGATAAATGAATACATTCAATAATAATTAAATAAGCTTCAGCTCTAACATCAGCATTCGAGGGGTCGCCCTGATGCTAATGTTAAAAGTGATGCCCTTTCGAAAGAAACATTTTTTTATATTCCGCGAATTTTCTGTAATTTTCTTCTTTATTTCCCTCATTAAGTTGTGGATAGTTTCTCCATTACCTCAGAACCATTTTATATAAATACAAAATATTGAAGAGTGGAATTAAAGGATATGACGTCATCGCGAAATATAAGTGATTTTTTACAAGTTGATACGACTATGGATTGGAGAGGAACGCTTATACAGACGTCGCTTTAATTAACACGGACGGCGTCGATTTTTTGATTCCTGTTTCTTTTAATTATGGTTTACGGAAGCATGCAAGCACACCTGAAGCTCGTTGATAGACACCCACGAATCGGCGGGATAATCTTGCAACAGGGGAACGAGGAACTGAAGACATCCATTCCAATGTCCAAGAAGTAGCATTAGACAAATGAGATTAAATATCCTCATAAACATGCCAGCAACGCTCAGAAACTGTGATTTTCAGAAGAAAGAAAAACAACGATATACAATAAATTTTATAAACAAGCATATTAAAGAAAAGTATATTGATATATTGATATATGAGCTAATATATCAATTTTTTCATCTATTTTTATGTTGGTTTAATACATGTGAGTACGTAGACGTAATTACATGTTTTTATTTGGTCGTAAAAGGTAGAATTGTTCGCGCGCCTCCTACTTTCAGCACAGAAATAGTAGCAAAAAAAGTAATAAAGAAACAACAGTTAGAAACACAGAGTTATGCAACATGCTATCAAACAATGGCCGAATAAAGATCATGCATGATTTGTTTTTGTTTCTCTCGCTTGGAAAAATCTCTACCTGAAGCTCGTTAATGGCCACCCATGAATTCTGAGGGTAGTCCCTCAACATCGGTACAAACCACTGCAAACATCCGTTCCAGTGGCCGAGTAAGAGCATCAAACAAACCAAGTTGAATAATCTCATGAATTTTCCAGCGAAACTAAGAAACTGCAAATTTGACAATTAAGGTTGTGTCTGATCCTTTGACTAATATTTTTTCTATATATATTATCTATATTATTGTAAAATCAAAGAATAATTAAAAAAGCAGCTTTTATATAGATCCAGCAACAGGATCAATTACAGTACATACTATGTAATAGTAAAAGAAAACTAAAGGTTGAGAATATCTTTTATAGCCTTTAATATCGAAAATAATATAAAGAGAATGGAAGAAAAAAATAATACAGAGAGAGAGAGAGAGAGAAAAAAACGCGTGTGCAAAGTGTTTAGTAATATAATAAAGTGACGTGCTTCGCGCGCTCTTGCAAATAATCTAAAAGACAAAAATTGCTTAAATAGATATGATTTTTTAAATGCAATAATTCCTTTTTTTTTTAGCTTTAGAAAATTATCATGCTCGATTTAATAAGCTAAAAGTTGTAATTTGAGGGAAAAAAAAGAAATAAAAAAAAAAGGATGAAACTTTTTTTTCTCTACAAGAGACAAAAGTACCTTTCCAATATCCTGAGTAATCATGAAGAGAAAATACAATAATATATTAAATAAAAAAAAATTAAAAAAGAATTTCCTATTAAAAAGAAATATTTTTGCTGACTAAGAACTAAAATTTTTTTTTCATTGTTCTTCTTTTTACTTTTCAAGTTATTGTTAATAAAGTTTTTTAAGGAATAAGTTAGAATAGAATCGTGCTTTTAGAAAAATTTCCAGAACAAAAAGCTCTTCTTTGAAGTCAAAGATCGCTTTTTGGAAACGCCTTTAAAAACTCTAATAGGCCTATCTGTTATTAAAATATAAGTAAAAGTAGTGAATGCTCTAGATGTGGATATGTATGATATATGCTCTATTTGTAAAAAAAAAAGATTAATCTACTTTAAAGAATTTTCATTCAATATAAGAAGATATACTAAACTGGCTACTATATATATTTTATATATATATATATACATATAAATAGATATATATATATATATATATATATATATATATATATATATAATATTCTAATAATGCGAAAGTAATGCACTTACCTCCTCCCATTGACTGATGTAGCGTACAAGTCTCGAGAGCCGAAGTAATCTGAGCAAAGATAAGAGTTTGACGAGTCTAAAGATTCTTAATCCTCGGCCGATGTGAATAATCTGCGTGATGTTGGTCTGAGGTGAGAATAGAAGGATAATATAATCTAAAGGGATAGAGGAGATGAGGTCGAGGAAGAACCAGGTCTTCAAGTAGTGCTTAGCGATTTCCTTCGGCTCAAGTATTATTTCGTCGACGAAATTGTCGGCGATGATACCTGCGTCAATTTGTATAACGACACTTGTCAATCTTGTTATATTATTTAGGCTTATTTACAAATTTTAGTGGTGAGATCTTTTCGTACTAAATGAGGTCAAAATATTACTGAATAGTAGCAGTCAATTGCAACGGAAATATCAGTTGTTAGCAGAAATTTCCCTGAAGCTTAGCAATTTCCTGCCTCTGATTAAATCGGTCGGAAATTATTTTTCATTTCAAGATCTTAACAAGGCATTTTTAATAAGGGGTTTGAAGACAAAATAAAAGAACCAAGTACGATAAAAGATTTACACCAAATGATTGAGGTGTGGATGTTTGTCTGCCTTGTAGTTCATTATATGGCATCACACATCATCTTAAAACAAACATTAGTAACGTACCTGTCCTGAAGTTGATGATGAGATCTAGAAGGAATACCGTATCACTGACGCTATTGAATACAATCCACCTAGTTGATAAATCGTCGTTGAAAAATGAGATGGCCACAGGTAGGATAATTAAGTTTGCGATAAGTAGAATGAGCATAAACAAGTCCCAATAAAATCTAAAGAAAAAGGAAGAAAAAAAGGGGCAGAATTTAAGACTGGTAATAACAGCCTTTCAGCGGGGAAACAACCTAAAAAAACCAGACTGCAAATGTAATCAGGGCTCGACATTTACTGACAAACGCTAGGGAAAATGGCCGCTACAGCACTCCACTTCCTGTACTTGTATGCGAACTGACGTTGCGAGTTTAGTAGACGCCGCGCCTAAATGTTCTTTCGCGCTTTTCTTGTCAACGCTAATCTGCTAAAATGTCGAACGCGCGATTTAGCAATGTCCGACAGCAATCTACAAATATATAGGAATTCAGGCCTATAGACGCCTTTTTATTACATTTCTCCGCAACTTTCAAATGTCACCTATAGTTACGAGATCGTCTGCAAAGCAATCTAACCTGAAATTCGAACAAGGATGAATTACCCAGTTTCCTGCTGCTTTTTGTCTCATCTTTTCTTTTAATAATGCATTCTTGTTTCCAAACAATTTCATAGCCAACTTATTATCGGACGGTTGAAAGAATGAAATGATTTGATCCTTGAGAAAGGAGGAAGCAGACGACTTATTTACCGTCTCTTTGCCTAAATTCACCGGTGAATATTCTTCCTTTGGAGTACCGTATAAGCTAACATCATCGCCTATAAAATGGCATTTCGCCTCACGTTTGTAATTGAATTTATCGGGTGACAAATAGTCGCTAATCATCGATGTAGCCTCTTCATCTGATCCACCAGTTACGGTTATTGTAGGCCCATGTGTTGAAGTCACAGGTGAGGGTGGTTCAGAACCTTTGTGTGATCGAATAGATCCCATTCGATTTCTTTTCAGTTTTAGACTAGGTAACCTTCTACCTTTAAAAATCGAACCTAAAGTAGGTCTACTTGGAGTCACTGGTGGGGTTACGGCCTCGTCAATTGATGGAACGTGACGATTTGGAAAGTCACAGGTCTCTTCCATCTCATCAACGGTCAGTTGAACGTTAGCAGGATTTGGTGGGCAAGTTCTGTCGTTTGATTGTGATTTACATGGCACGGAAAATGATCTGTCGAGTGGAGACTTATGTATAACTGCTGGATGGATAAAAGCTGAAGTGGCTTGGGTAGCTTGGGCAAACGTTGGAGGAGGGGAGACTGGATAATCAGGTGGCTGTAGAGCGCTTTGATCTTCATTATCGGCCATATCACTTCAAAGTCATACTCGGGAGCGAAGCTATTGACTCTGTTCTCGATGATCCCTAGCTCTGCAAAATTGATAAGAAATATGCGAATAATGTAAACCAACCAAAAGAACATAGCACTTTCACAAGCCATGAAAAGCGGTTTAGAATGATACACAATAATACAAAAATGATATAAAAAGTACATAGATATGCTAAACAACAATGTACATAGTAATATCGAACAGTTTCGTACCGTAGGCAAGAGAGGTTCAATAAAGAAAAATAGTAGTTGATCATCTTGACTGGTAAACGCGAATAGTGTGATTGGCGAATTACGGTTGACAGTAGCGCCATCGACATATATCTACAATCTTTACTGTATAATAAAATGTAACTATATCTTACATACGCTTTATTCCTTACATACGTATTTTTTATTTATTAATCTCAGCAAGACCCGTGCATTATGTACATTACTTAAAATATTTATATTTTCTTAGAAACTTGTAAATATGCAGATAAAACTTAAATGTGTCTAAATATACTTCGTTTGCGTTATCTTAAAAAAAATGCGAGAAGAAAGATTCCCAAATGTTTTCCCTCTTTTTCTCTATGTTCTATCAATTCTCTCTCCCTTCACTTATACACACACACACACACACACACACACACATATATATATATATATATATATATATATATACTCGCTAACAAACTATTTCTCTCTCTCTCTCTCTCTGTCTACCTGTCTCTCTCTCTCTCTCTCTCTCTCTATAGTTCTCTCTTTCATTCCACGTTCACCCTCACTTATTTTCACATGCATTTTATCTTTGTCAGTTTAACAAGTTAGCTTAACCATTTCATAGATTGCTACACTTTATGTAATCGATATAAGAGAAAGAAAGGAGCCGCAGTAATCAATCGCCTAAAATGTACTAAACTAATGAATGCAAATTAGAAAATTGTTCTTGCGTTAATGGTTTGATTTCACAATATCTCTATTAAGTTGGCTTCATTAAAGTTTTACGATTATCTGCCGGATTTTCATTGATTTAAAGCGTATTAAATCTTCACTGAATGTTTTTTCTTTTTTCGTAATCCCTTCTTTCGAGTTTAGTAACGTAAACTAATAGTTCTGACTTACCTATCTTAACGGTTAAACGAGATTTTAAGAGAGATTTAGTTTGGGAACATAATCCTAATGACCGCAAGAGAACGAATGATTCGTCTGGAGTTTCATCTCTACTACAACGATGCCAATAAAAAATTTTGGGGCTTTATATTTGTACTGCAGATGGCGCATTAAATCAAGGTTTATCAGCCGTCACGTACTCCAGTCAGTAATGTAGTCGTTCAGTAATCCTGTTTCGACAAGGTGTAAAGCTTTTGCTTTAATTTAAAACACACAGGATTTACGTATTCAGATTGTGAAGGAGAATAGTAAAAAAAAACACAGTTCTAATCGATAACCTTGTGTATTTCATCGTCATGTCCTACAGCATATTTATTAGCAATGATATGGACGTTTGTATACAGAACAACATATATATACACATATACATATTGTATATATAATATATTCCCTATATACAATCGTGATCTCCCAGATTCAGAGTCTGTTTTGAGGTTAAGTCCAACAGGCTTTATCTTAATACGAATCAGAAATCACATATATAAATTAAAGGGCATTGTTTTATTAGTTAAATAAACTCTAAATTCTAAAAAATATTAGAACAATCGCCGTATAAATAAACAAATATCTAAATATATTATAAATATATATAAATATATATATATATATATATATATTTATATATATATATTTATATATATAATCACGGATAAGCAATTCTTGATTGTTAGCTTGAATGATATATTTATTTACACGAGCAAAATAGAAATTTTATTGCATTTATGATTTATTACCATATCTCTAATAATAATTGGTTATTCAAACGTAAAAACCTCTATTAAGCAATATTTTAAATTGAGAATTCTGATAAAAAAAAAGGGAAAGTTATAAAAACACCAGCAGAAAGGTGTTTTTTTCAAAGTCTATATTAATATTACAGAATACCATAATTATATTCCATTTTGTCTCTAATAAGACACTAAAGGCGTAATATTTTGATATAATAGATGTATAAGATTTATAAGTTGGTTTTGAATAGAATAAACTAAATAATTGACGGCTTACCTACAAAATTTAAATAGAATTTTAAATACTATACACTTTTCTTTTTAATTATTAATTACTTTATTCAATATTGCTTTAAAGGAAAAAATCTTTTTTTTATATAGTAAGACAATAGAAAGGTTATATCTCCATTTTATTGAATACTAATATTTAAAAAGTATTATTTGCGTGATTTTATGCATTATATATAAATATATATTAATATATAAATACATATCTATACTGTGTATACTGTATATATGGACTTGAAATCAAAAGTGTATATTGCAACCTCCAAGTTCAACTGTTAGTATACAATATACAATATATTAAATATTTAAATAGTCAAAGTAATCAATTAGTTAAATAAAAATAAATTAACAATAAGGAAACTTACCAAAGGTCTTTAATAAAAGACTAAACAAATTATTCATTACTATTTCATTTCAATAGAATGTCTCTAATAAGTATAAAAAGTATAATATTGACCTGCGATCGGTATGTCAGGAACACATCAACGAGCACATTTCAATACGAATACGTAATTATATAGCGTCACACATTATTCCACCTGCAAGGTAAGAAACGAAATACGCAATGTCGAGCAAAAATTGCTCTTATTTTATACGTATTCGTGTTCTTTTCGTCAGAATGGAATTTTGTTTTGATGTAAAATTGTACTTCATTTTTTGTTCTTTAGATATTTTTCTATTAATCAAAATGATCTGTAAATATTTCTTTCATTAATCCTAATTCTAATACGTTTAAACTGATTTTTACCTTTTTTGAGATGCTGATTAGAATGGAAAAAGATGATATTGATACATATCTCTTTTTCTTTCCCTCTCTTTCTCTCTCCTCTCTCCTTGTCCATGGAAATTGTATTTATTAAGTAACAAGAACGCAATATGATACGAAAAGAGACCAGTCAGTCAAGAAAATGATGGGAGGGGGAATACAAAGCGGATAAAGGGGACTCACGGTAGACATAAAGAAAACAGAAATGAAGAGACGAAAGAAAAAGTATAAAACATGTACTATAATTATTGAAAGGGTTACCTAACTATGTGCTCAAAAACACGTGTACGAAATGAGCAGGAAAATATCTTTGAAAACAAATCGCCTATAGCTCCAATCATTTACAAAAGATCGCTTTTGTTTGTGCTCTCTTAAAGAGCTCATGTCGTTTCTGATCGACCAATCAGAAACGCCGCTTGTCACATATGAAATGAGAAAATTAGCATAATGTAGGGAAGATGGCTGCACCTTATTACATCTTATTGAGTCGAAGATGCCTAGAGTAGTTCCAAACCAGAAAGAAACGTTTGAAAATGACGATTTATTAAGAAGATTAAGTAGAGAGACAGAAATTCGTTACACTAGTTACAGAGATCGCCAAGTAGAAGATCGAAGAGAAAAGTTTAGAGAAGGATGCGAAAAAGGATATACAGAAGTGGTTAGCATATTCTCATGTAATTTATCCTATTTTTTGCCTGATTTTAACGCAAACTTTTCAATTTTAAGTCTCACGTAAATTGCGGAATTAATTTCTTTCTCAATCTACGACCATCGTCACCAAATGATAATAATATTAGCAGAGTTCCACCGTCGGAATATGTCGACTTCCAAAAGGAGCCTAACAAGGTCAGGTCTATATTTCACTTAATTGCTCGTATCAGACTAAAATATTTTACCCTGAGCGTTAAAAAATCGAAATATGAATGGAAGGGTGAAGATTGATAAAAAAACAGCGAAATAGGGAAATGTTAATGTATATCCCTTTGTTTTTCTTTTCCTTCCATAGTGATCTTTTTATTCTCATAAAGAATATAGCACACAAGTAAAACTAAAATATATTTAACAAACACTTTACTTTACTCTTGAAACATACGATGATTTTATAGAAAGCTAACGAAGCGTAAAATATCGTTTGGGGGAAAATACTGAACGTCCAATTAGGTAATGTTTAATTAACCTTGAACGTACTCTGGATGAACAAGTTATTCGTTTCTTTAAAAAACATAAAATAAACTAAACTATATATTTCTTTCATTTATTTAATAAGCATTTAAAAATTTGTCACTTACGTGACCTAAATTTCAAACTAGATATTTCATCATGATTAACTGTGAGCAAAGTCTTTACATTATACCAAGATATATAATTTAGGTTAAAGTTTAAATCGTGACTGAACAAGTAAAATGCATAATGATTTTGTCATTAAGACAGAGGTATTTTTTGCTAATAACCTTACCTTATTTAGCTTTAACTAAAAAGAAGAGAGTTTATATTTTACAAATTAATAAAAGTTTCTAGATGAAATAAAATGAAATAAGATGATGAAAGTTCTTTTAGCTGTCTTTTATTCAACTTGAACAGGTTTTCTTAAAATCCCGATTCATATTTAATGGCGTGTGCGTAATTTGGAAAGGCTCAGTTGATTTAACTCGATTAGATGGTAGCGGGCGTCTTGAATTTGATGTTGAAAAAGCTAAAATAGAGGAAAGATTATTAGACGAAGAAGTAAGTTGTTATAGACGAAGGCTGCAGGAATTTGAAGAAAAAGAGCGTCTTTATTTTCTACAACAACAACAGCAACAGCAAAACGAAGAGAAAGCGAAAAAAGCGGAAGCGGAGGTACATAATATAGATTTTTAGATGCGTATCAATGCCGGGTGGCACGACAGCGGAATGACCGTTTAAATGCATGAACTCTAACCCTGCGCAACATGTTCCAAGATGGTATTGACCAGATAAAAGACAAGACGGTTTATCCTTAGGTTATCCTGAGCGGGTCGGAAATTTCAGTTTTCGGGAGACGCCTAATTAGAAGTGCAAACACGAGATGATTGCCATCTAAAATGAAATGATTGCACTTCACTTGACGTTGCAGTCGGGTGCACGTGAGAAATTAATCTGACGTCTTTTTCTCAGATGTAATGTACTTTCAAGAGTTTGTTCAATTAGACTGCGCAATCGGCTAGCACGTGCCGCGTAGGCGTAGGGTGGGAGATGGTGGGGGCGACGAGTGGGCGGGTTTGAATAGCATCGTTCTTTGTCATTCAGCTGCCAAGAGGCCCAGATAATATTGTAGACGTGATGAAAGATGCTTCTGGATTATTTAATGATTTTTCTAATATTAATTATCTGACACTTATTCGAGAAAGAATATAAATTAAGTTAATTCTTTTCATAATATATATACATTATATTTTTTTTTAACAGTTACGAAGAAGACAATACAGTTTCTTCGAAGCCGTTCGTCCTCCTACCGTATCAAGTCTTCAACAAACTCCTCATTTCCACTTTGAACTTTGCCCTCCTCCTCCTCCGCCTCCACCTCCGTCTCATCCATTTTTAACAGCTCCTGGCTACCATAGAATGAAAGGTTTCTTTAATGAAACGAACCGTGGAAAAATACGGTGAGAGCAGTAACGCCTACTCAGGCGCCATTGTGTCCGGCGCGTCAGTTTATATTGCATGACGACCAGTTCATATCGCTAGCATCTTCTCCGATAATTTTCTAGTCGTGATTATTCAATTTCGTTTATTAAGTTGAAATTTAAGAAGCTGGCGTAAACCATGTGTGTATTCTCACACGTTTTTCCCTCTTTAAAAGAACAAAGCTTATCTAATGTCTTGCTAACTTTATTAGAGACTACCGTTTTAAGGGCGTCTCCATATTGAGCGGGCGTGTGTATGCGTATCCCTTTCATGTATGTTTTTTGAAAGCATTATAGGTTATATAATTTGTTTTCATAAGATTGTTTACGTAAATCATCCGTAAAAGCAGGTGAGAAGTATTCACAAGCAGGTTATATAAAAATCTATAGACTCCTGTACATTAGTTTATAGCTACTACAATAGGCTTTTATCCTTTGATTTATTAGCTGATGAAATAGTGTTACAAGAAACATTTTGCTAGAAGAATACGTACTTAGATATCGGACAAAAAGAAATAATTAGCAGCCTGTTTATCTTAATTATACAAAGGTATTTTAAATAATTTCCCGCCTATTTAATTTAATCCAGAGAACTAAAGTAAGAAATTTATCGATCCGCATCAGAATAAACAAGTTTGATGTCATTTAAGATAAAAATATCTCAGGATTAAAATCATTAAATTAGAACATATGGTACGGAAATAATGTTACATAGATGGATTCTATGAAAGTAGCGTATGGTTATTCTACTGCAAAAAAAAGATGGTTTTTCCACGAATTTAATCTTTAAGAATCAACATTTTTCATCTGCTTAAATAATTAATAAAACAAACTGAAAATTTACTATAATTTGTTTCGTACTTCTTATTTCTAATTGCTATTAGTTTATTGATTATCTAAGATATTTTTTATCTTTAAACGTCTTATTATATAGTAAATGTTTATAGGATATTATTGGATAAATACATACGTATATATATATATTTATATATATATATATATGTATTATTCATCATTCTTATATGTGTTGTGTAAACATTGTATAAATTGACGTGTTCAATAAAATCAACTTTCCAATGTGTGATCTTAAGTTGAGGATGTAAGTAAATAAAAACGTCTCTTCCATCTTCTCATATATCATATTAGGAACGTTATGCATGTGTAGTTTTCGTCGTAGTCTGTAGATGGCACTCTAAACACAACAATAAATATCCGGCTTAGGGACAGCTTAATCAGCTCAATTTTAATCATAGATTCTGTTTTAAATGAAATAGAAGAAACGCATCTAACGAGATCTTGACGTAAAATATGATACATATTGAGAGGATGAGTCTCATAAATTCAACATTTTCTATAGTCTGTAGGAGAGCTTATATAACCGTCTAAATATCTCCAAAAGAGCTCTAAGAATTTTATTTACAGTTACCATAGAAACGCAAACGTGCCTACAAATTAACAAAGTAAAAACATTACGGCTTGGAACTTTTTTCTTTTGTTACGTTAAAATGCAGTAACATTAAGGGAGTTGCCGCCTTGCAATTCACGCTATTCTTCGGTTGACTTTTACAATGGTTGAGGGGAAAGACCGTGAAGTGCGTTCAAACGGTATGAATGCACAAGCAAATATTGATAAAGCCTTCTAAAAACCCTCCCTCGATAAACGACCTTGTGGCCTAATGGACAAGGCGTTGGCCTCCGGTAAAGGCTGCTTTGAGGTGCGAGCCAAAGATTGTGGGTTCGAGTCCCATCAAGGTCGAATATTTTTTCTTAATTTTTGTCACCTTCTCTTTTAATTTTCACCTTTTCATCTAAATTGATATATATAGAAGTGGCCTTTAGTGGACTTGTACAATAAATCGAAAGTTCCATTAACAACTATTTACGACGCGACATGTTTCAAAATCGTTAAATTAATGCGAAAAAAGAAAGAAAAATCGAATGCTTGCCAATTACGAAGAGCCAATTATCAAATGTTTCGTTCAATAACAAAGCTTCCGGATCAGTAGAAGTCTAGAGTACGACTCGTAGTCATTTATTGAATGAATTTAGAAAATAAAGTTAAATTGATCCATTAGTTTTTCTTTTCTATCTAATTTATATTGTATTCTCAGCTTTATTACCCTATTTGTTGCGTGTTAATTAATGGGGGATAGATTTTAGACAAATCAGATGACGTTAGCTACGATTTTTTTGGGAGAATTTTCTTTACGCCATCTACCGGTCGCAAAACTACGCAGCAATTTACTCTGGAAATTGCTGCTTGCTAACAAACGTGTCTTTTCCTACACTTTCTCCTAAGTAATATGTACCTTTTACGTGTCAACTTTGTAATTTACACTAAAAGTGACGCGAAAAGTACTAGAAAGTTGATCAATGAGAACAAGGTTAGCAAACTTTTAGCAAAATAGACATAAGAAAAAAGGTAATATTTACGCGTTATTCATAATCAATTCAACACATAATACAGTCATTATTTTTCCCTTCGTTAATTTCCGAAAACAAAACCAAAATCGTTCTATACATAATACATGCTGGGCAGTTCCCCTCGGAAAGCAGCCGACGTCCCAAAGCCCCTTTTCGAATTCGAATTTTCTCTTACATCGATCGAGTTAGTTTGTACCAGGTTGGAATTGAAGGGAACAAAATCTGTTCTTTCGCGTTACTTTTTTTTCTATAACACCTTATCTTCTACTCTAACAGCTTCTAGCTTTTTAAGCGATATTAATGGAATTTATGGCACGTTCGTCGACTCGATGAATGTATTATGGGTGACAGGGAAATTCGAAAATCACGAACGCGGCGAATGATCAAAGCCCACCAAGTTCAATGCGGAAGAAATGAGTTGGTTAATTACTGGGAGCTCGTTTCTAATTAAACGAAAGAGAGAGAGAGTGAAAGAAAGAGAGTGTGTGAGAGAACGAAAGGGAATAGGACATAAAAAAAGAATTATCCTAGACCAAAGGGATGTTAAAATTCTTGAAGAAAACTATTAAAACTATCCCATCGACCATCTCCCTGTTTCTGTAAAACCCTTCTCTTCTTCTACCTTGCGAAGATCTTGTTTGACGTGCTCCATTAGTGAAAACGGCCCTAATGCCCGAGATTCTGCTGCGTGTCAGTCTTGTTTATCCTCAAGGCCCCAGAACGCCCGAAAAATCGAATATCGATTTGAGACTAGGGTTTTTGAACGGTATTGTTTTTCCCAGCAACTATCGAGGGCGCTACTGTCGATCGCCAAGAAGGAAAAGACGAGCGGCGATGGGGGCGAACGGAACGGAATCGGAACAAGAGCGGAATTTAAGGATAGATAGTTGTACCCGTTTCGAATTCATCCTCTACACGATAATTATGAGTTCTTTATGCATCCTGGGCGTATTCGGTAATACGGTCGCCTACTACGTTTTTAAACGTGACAAGATCAAGACGTCAACGACGTTCATATTGCAAGGTTTGGCAGTGATTGACTCTTGCCTTTTAATCCTCGGCTTGCCTCTTTACACCGTTTTGCCGCTTATCGCTTATCTTAAATTGAATAAATTTTATGTAAATTATTGTCATGCCTACATCCAAGTCTCCCTTCTACCGTTCGGATTCATCGCTCAGACTGCAACTATCTGGACGACCGTTTTAGTAGGAGTGAACCGATATATTGCCGTCTGTAGACCTTACCAGGGGCGTGATTCAGATTTCATATCAACTTTCTTTTAATGGTCGCTTCGTTAATTATTAAAGAGAATGGGGAAAAACTCATTCCCTTTATGTGCAATATTATATAATACCAGGCTTGTCTTTTAGAAGAACCTTCTAACGAGTGTTACGTGATTGCTGCACGCGAAATCAATAAGAGGTCTGAACTTTGAACCAATTAGAGTATTTCATTTTCCATTTTGGCGTAGATTAGCGTGTGTGTATGTAGTTTATTAAAAAAAATCTCTTTCAATTATATAAAGCCTCTTTATCTTGAGGCGAAAAGAAAATTTTATATCAATAAAAAAAGAGTGGGAAAAAGGGAATGATTCCGAATCACGCCCCCGACACCCTCAGGCATCTCGCCTCTGTACGGTTAAGCAGGCAAAGAAGCAACTGGCGCTAATTATTATCTGTTCGGTTCTATACAACTTCCCTCACTTCATCGAGAATACCGTCGTACTAGGACCAGTGGACAGTTCCAACATAACTGCATTTCAAGCAAACAAGTCATTCCTGGGCCAACTACCCTATTACCAGATTATCTATAGGAACGTATTCTATTTGTTTTTTCTTCTCCTCCTCCCGGTACTAGTCCTGACCGTACTTAACATCCGCTTGGTTAATGCTTTAAATGAATTAAGGCGACGGCGCCGAGAAATGGTGACGATGCGACAAAAACAAGACGATAACGTAACCTTGGTACTCATCATAGTCGTATTCATTTTCACGATTTGCCAAACTCCAGCACTCGTCAATCAAATACTATGGACGTCTCTCAGAGACAACAAATGGCGCGAATGCGGTTATTTTCAGTTCTACTTCTCTCGTATCTGTAACACAATGGTCATGTTGAATTCGTCCATTAATTTCCTAGTCTACTTCCTTTTCAACGTCCGTTTCCGCAAGATTCTTCTAAAATGCGTTTGTAACCGACTACAGAATGGTGGTATGGAAGAGACAGCCTGCCAAGGGACTGTTGTCGAAAAAACGACCGCCGGTCAGATGGAATGCGACGGCCCGAATCAAACTCTATTATAAAGAATCGTCGGAGTAAGTATGAAAAAATATTAAATTAGTCGTCATAAGCCGCCTTGTGCCTGTGACGTCCGCCAAACGCAAAAGCGTTACTAAGTGACGCTCGCTCTAATACTCTCGTACGTCAGGCTAGCATGTACTTTATAGCTGGAGTGTCGTCGAAAATCGGGCAGGTGAAATCTGCGTAAATAATTCAGGACATTAAAAGGAATTAGGTCGAGAGAGAGTTCTGTGATTAGCACTCGAATCATGGGGCATGTTTGCGATTGTTTGCCAATCGATCATACGCGTCGCTTGGCTTCTAATTGCAGCGCTTGCTGTATATATAGTTGAGAAAGAAGTGGTGTCTGTTAACATTTATTTTCGCTATGAAATCGTTGATTAGCCTCTTTTAGGTACTCGAATTTCGTCCGGACCGCAAATCACGCGAGTCACGTGATGCCGTGATATTTCCGACGCGAATCACGTGATTTGTGGTCCGGCGATTTTCCTAACTTCACATGCAAAAGAGAACATCTAATACGATTTCTTCAAAGGATCCGACTGCAAATACGGCGTCGGAAGGAGTTAGGTACGGATCAAACGCATTATAAACTGTACCTCTATAGCGACGTTTCTTACGATTCAATTATAAAGTGCAGGCAGGTATATTGGTCTGCGTCTTCGCTTACGCAACATTAGTAAATTCGGAGAGAGTATAATTGATTAGTTTGATAAACGCCATATGGCGTGCGCTAACCTCGCGCTTTTTTCCAGATCAAGCGGAACGAGACTGGAATGAGGCGATAGGCGAATCATTCTGCAGTAAAAGAATCAATTAAGTCTACTAACGCTCATTTATCACTGTCGGACTCGCCGAAAGGTGGTTCGGAAACGGATAATAAACCCTGTTCTAGCTTCACTCCCATCTGTATTCGTTTTAATGTCTGTCTTTATATAGGAAAGACGCCTATAATCCAGCTTTGCAGATCGTATATCTTTTGCGTGTAAAGTTCGTCACTTGGACGGTGAAACGTAATATATACGTTATATGTATAGGGGTATGACGTACAGTACAAAAAAAAGTATATACAAACTACCGTATATACAGTTTATTATAGTTCGAAGGCGACTTTGCGTCTCTTTTCTCTCAAAGGAATCCATTAGCCTTGTTCACTGCATTGTTCCCGTTTCCGTTGCGATCTTCCTATCGAATGGAGAAAAAAAACAGCGTTCGCCGGCTAGTTTTCCAGGCGAACGCTTTCGCGTCTATAAAAATACGGCGGCGTCTCCTTCGACGTTAATTATCCGACCGTCTAGTCGAACCGTTCGCAATCAGGCGTCGATTGAGAGGCAATCTGTCTATATACGCGCGGGACAGGCCTATTCTTTTTTCCAACTTTATTTGTTTATTCCAGACCGGTATATATCCTGTCCGGCAAACAATCGATTCGCAACTGCTCAAATATGGAAACCCTGTTAAGGGTGAAAAGCCGTCAATGTCCCGTTTCCCTATGGAGATTTCGACCAACCGTCTTGGCTATATTGATACATAGTCTTGTCACTTTCCGTTTCTTTTGTTGGGACTTATTCCACAATACCCGGTGGTTTTATACTAGAGAAGAGAGTTTGTAATTTGCCAATGACTACTCGAATTTCTCGCGTCAATTGTGCGTTGCATATAAATGCGCGCCACATTAGTTAATGAAAATGCTCTTCTTCAGATGGCGCTGTTTAAAAAGAAAAGCAACCTTTTCACGTGTATTAAAGATAGGTACCTAGAAAAAATTTCGTATAAAAACATTAAAGAAGTTTGCTTAAGGAAAAAATACACATTTCACTCGATATGTGTCTTGTAGAACAAAGTTGATGTTACATACAAGTGTAACAAACAAGATTACATTGATTCTTATTAACTAACTTTTGAAACAATCTGCTTAAGTTATTAAATAATATTTTAGCATTAATTATACACGTTAGTAAAATAACTGCTGGGATGTAATTGTACAGCTTGTGCTGGTTGAGCATGAAAAGCCTGTGCTGGAAGAGTGGCTGTAGCGTACATTGGTTGTGGTACGAAAGTTGTTGGTTGTATGAGAGCTTGGTTTGCCGGAACAGCCATAGGTTGAGTTTTTTGAGGAAGTGTTTGGGAAGTGCCATTAGTTTGTGGTTCTTTCTTCACGTCTTCTTCATAATCTTCACTTCTTGAAGGTTTCATACACAATGCCGTTAAGAATGCGACAAGACAAGAAATGAAAGCAAGGCCACCTCCTGCTGCTCCAATCATGAAAGAGTAGCCAAGTTTAATATTTGTAACATCTTTATTGTATCCATTTGCATCACCTAGACACTGAAATATGATTTTCGTATGTTTATTTCTCTTATACTATACTTATACATGCATATATTAGTATATATATATATATATGAATTTTGTGTATACCTTTGCTTCTGCACTGTTATCATTAGCCCACATTTCTGGAAACCATTCAGGAACTCTTTTATCCACGTTTATTTCATTTATGTCCTTCTCGATAGTGTTATAAATGTAAAAAAATAAACCAACTGACGTCAGATAGCAAGCAGCTACAAAATTGAATCATGTTTTAGGGAATTCAAAAGTCAATTCGATTGGCTTAAAGAGACATCTATTCTAACATATATATAAGCGAATTCTTTATATAGTACTATTGATTCAGTTGATACACCCTAGAACTCAATCAAGATACCTTTTATTAAGTCCCAATAATAAGAGGTATCCCAATGTACTATTGAAGGGGATACCAGTGGTTACAAGTATCAAATAGAGGATTCATATACTTACAACCGATTAGAGCAGCAATGGCTGTTGAGAGGATAGTACAATGTGTTTGTCGCCAACATGCACACGGACATAAACTCGCTGCTACTAGAAGTATTAGAACACCTAATGCTGCTAACATCCATTGAGCCTTTTGATAGTCTATACGACGGAAAATGGACAGATAATTAGATGGAAAATATATAAACGCATTGTGAATGAATATGAAAGCTTACTCGTCCTTTTTTTAATGTTATCTTTTCCATAGCCAGCTATTTCAGAGTCATTAAATTTATAATCTCCAATATCGTATCCCATCTCAGGAAGACAGTTTCCATCCACAATTCTTTTAATAGAAAAGAACTTACCCAAGTCTGTTTGAAAAGATAATAAACAGTTAATTTGTTAGGAAAACATGTTGAGAGTCGTTAAAAAGCTTTATGATTGTCAATAATTAAGGTATACTTGGCGTGCCATCAAAACATGTTCGGAAGAGACCTCTCTTTCTTGAAACGTATAAATATGTTGCTGACTGTTGTCGTTGATCACACCTTGAATCCTTTAGACTTGATGTATCAACGTCATAAGTTAACCAAGCATCCGTTGAAAATGAGACGGCCACCAAGACTAGAGCCACGATATTTAAACAACACGAAACAGCGAGACAAACGCTAACACCCATCCTTTTTCGAGAAGAAATATTATTAAACTGAATGTATTCTTACTTTGGGCGTAAACCGACCTGTACGGTTTATTGGGTGATTTCAATACTATTTATAAATTCCATTGAGCTTAGTATGCTTTGCTATGCTATTGTTAAACTGACTATCGATTGTCACCTACCTCTTTCTTATATTAATATCTTTCAGGTTTCGTGATCTTGTTTGTTATACTATTAGGCTAAGCGTGACTTGTTGTTAATGGGTTCCATCCTAGTTTATTACTCGGCTAAGATTTTACTTATTTACCACTCTATACTGCTCTACAGGTACTTGAAAATAATAAATATATTAGCTAAAAAGCTTGTCTTTCACTTTACTTTTTTCTTTATAGATAACAGATGGCGCTTAAGGCAATTATTTTCCCCTTGATTTCTTCTCCCTACGGACATAAAGTTACTAGCATAACATGTTTTTGGAAGAGAAAGGAAAAGTTCTTTTATAAGTTGAATAATGCAATTTCATTGAATAGTAGCCAAAAGTTTTTGTAAATAAAAGACTATATTTGCTATATAGAAAACTTGCGATTCTTCTTTTGCTCTGTTCATTAGAACCGAATAGTCAGAGACGTCAGAGCCGTTAAGCTACTGGAAATGAAGAGCGACGTTACGATTGTCATCAACTATCGTTCTTTTTCAAAATGGCCGGCAACTGTTATAAGTAGCTAATAGTTCGTAGATCCGCCATTGTGAATTATCAATGTTTGTTATATAGTGGAACAGTACTAGGGAAAGTGAGTTCAAACGTTGGCAAGGGAGGAAGACAAACTAAAACTTAACATGTGCGAAAAACTTTAGTAAGTTTGTTTGTAATCTTTTATCTAATACAGATACATTATTACTCCATTGTTGTCGTTCCATATAATAAGTATAAATTGAAATAAATAAACGATAAATTGAGTAATCACTAAACATATTTGATGTTGTTAAACCATTGTTTAATAAGTTTATTAATATTTAAGTTCTTAAATTGTATTTAAAACACATGTGAAACTGTTTTATTTTATTTATTTAAACAACAAATTTATATAATTAAAGTTACTTTAAACGAGAGATTTTTGTCGCTTTCAAAGAGGAAAATTTCCGTTATGAAGAATAAGTAATCATTCTCTTTTAAATTATTATTAACAAGTAAAAAAATTAGCTTTCTTTTAGCCCAAGACCTCAGGTTTAAAAAAAATATTACAAACATGTAATTTTATATTTGGAAAAGTTATTGATAGACGCACACATCTATGCCAAGCAGAATACTATTACCTTTACAACGCAAAGGAGCGTTATCCTTTTAAACAAAATACTTTTTGCATGAATTGTTACAAAATTAGAATATAAAGAAAGAGGTGTCTAAGAGATTTTTTTTTATTCTAACTGTATATATCCGATATATAAACATATAAAAGTTCGTAAACATTTGCGAATACGGCGCCTTCGCTTATCACTTTCTAATCTCGTTGGTTGCAGAACGGAAACACTCTGCAAATTCGGGGTTACCGTGACGTAAAATCAGGCCTATACGCAACATATAGTGCAAATTACTTTTCTCCTCGTCGGCAAACAGACGTCAAGTGTTTGAAGAAATTGTCTTCCAATTCTCATAATATCATTTAAGAAAGATGACTTCTTCTATTAACAAAACTGATGATAGAGGTTCGAATTGAAAACGGCATAAAAAATTCTGTTAGTTAATTAGATTTCTCTCTTTCTATAGTTAAAAATTCGCTAGATAGCGAATGGAATTGGGCCCTGCGAATATCGGTGTTATGGGTATTAATAATAGTTGGAATTATTGGGGGTCTGTTGGTTTTTCTTTGGTTGTGGATGAATCGCCGCAGGAGATCTAGAGTGAATTTGATAATCTTAAATGTGGCCGTAGCAGATTTGGCAGTTATCTGCTACAGTTGCCTAATGCAATTAGTTATTGATCACGACAGAACATGGAGAGCCGGAAATGTCATGTGCAAAATCCTTAAATTCCTACAGACGCTTTTCATCGTCGCTAGTTCCTATATGGTAATCGTTCTCAGTGCCGATCGACACTATGCTATTTGTTCGCCACTCAGACAACCGGTGGCCGTAAGTAATTTATATGGGCGAAAAAATTTATATATAGTGACGCCTCATGTATGATTAAATTAGCATATTCGTTTTATGAACAGGTTTGGAAGCTGGTTTTTGGAGCATGGGCAAGTTCTATACTTCTAAACCTGCCTCAACTTTATGTTTTCAGGGTAAATTTCGTCACAAATACTACTGGGCAATTTGAAAATATGACACTTTGCGAATCCGTCTTTCGAAGTGTTCCAAAGATTCAAAGGCAAATATACCAGACCTTTAACTGCATCTGCTTCTATTGGCTGCCAATGATTATACTTTTGGTCTGCTACGTTCATATCTTTGTAAAAATATACAGAAAAACCCAAAAGCCAGTGTCTCACTCTTCGTCATCTTCATCTTCATCCAGAAGATTATTGAAGAGGAACAAAATTCAATTAACTTCTACAACTTCTTCAACAATGTCGAAGGCAAAGATAAAAACCTTGAAAATGGCGATAGTAATTGTTTCCACTTATATAATTTGTGGGATGCCTTATACAATTTTCGAAATGATACATACCTTCGGCGATGGAAATTCCCTTTCTAAAGCTCCCGCTGCCATACTTGGGGGAATGGCACCAGCCAATTCTGCTCTGAATCCTTTCATTGTCCTAATGTTCAATGCTAACAGACAATTCTTTGAGAGTATTTTCCTGTTTTGGCGGACAACAACAGAGAAGAAATCTTCTAGTACACAGCCACCAACTCACGATTCAACAGTTGTACAAACAGAGATGACAACAGGTAACATAATGGGTGAAACATTACAACTAGTAGAGAAAAAACAAGGAAAAGAGGCTCCCAAACCAGCTTAGATAACCGTCATTTAATTAGCTTTATAAGAGTTCACGCCTGAACAAATTTTTGTTCACATCCCATACATAAATGATCTACTAAACTTTGCTTTTAGTTAACCCCTTTAACACTTTCTTTTAGTCTAAACAGGCAATTATCTTGACTCATAAATATGAAAGGAAATATATATTTATTCATAGGCTGATACCTATTGAATTTTTCCGCCCTTTCCCCTCAGTTCTCCTGATATAATTACTGTTTATTCAATTAGTATTTTGTAGTCCGTGTGCAAAATCCTTGAAAACGATATTTCCGCATCTAAATTACTGCCGAAAAGAAAACAGATATAATACACCTAGATGTCAGTTAAGCTCTTAAGCATCTGCAAACTAAGAAATAGAATCAAAATATAAAACCGGGACAAAATACCCTCACGCCATCAGTTGTCATGAAAGAATATTCTGACAATATAAACATATCGAATAATTTTAAAATCACTTTTCGGTATTCATGAAGAAAAATTAATGTATATAAATATGCCTACATTGATGTTCACTGTCTGTTAAATATATATACAATATACTATATGTGTCTATACATAATAGTACTATGTACATATAACAAATATACTACATATATATGTATATGTATACAACATTACATGCGCAATTATATATCAGTCAAAATTGAAATAATCAAACTTATTGTGTATTCTCTCAGTAAGTGATCAATGCTACCAATTGTATCTATGTTAATGTACTAAATGCGTACTGATAATATTGTTTAAATTATTATAAGTATGCGTAAATATACAGGTATACTAAGTATATATACATTAAATGTAAATGAACGTTGGGATGTAAATGTAAAAGTGGTGTAAAATAGTGTTTATTGTAAATTGTTGTGGTAAATAGTGTCTAAATGTTGGAAGGAATTGCTAAATGTTAATCATGTAGATATACAGAAGAAGAACCGTTTTATTTAATACACGTATTTCAAATAATATTCACTACTGTATGCTCTTTTATATATAAAATTTATACTTCAAACAAGAAAATGTCTATTCTATAAAGCAAAGTATATAAATCATTGACAGAAACAAAACTATAGGCTTTTCTAGACACACATAAGCACACGCATATCTATATATACTATATATATATATATATATATATACTATATATATATATATATATATATATACAGTATATACTAATATATATATATACAGTATACAGTATACATATCTACTATCTATCTCTCTTCTCCTACTCACTTTATCAGTTTCTCTTTCTCTCTCTCTCTGCCTGTTTGTCTATCTCTTTCTCTCTCTTTCTCCCTCTTTCTATGTCTGTCTCTCCCTGTCCGTTTCTGTCTGTTTCTGTCCCTTTCTCTGTCTGTCTCTCTCTGTCCGTTTCTGTCTGTTTCTGTCCCTCTCTCTCTCTCTCTCTCTCTCTCTCTCTCTCTCTCTCTCTCTCTCTAATTTACTTGGCTAGCTCCTTCCCTCCCCAGCTCTAACAACAACACGCTTTACTATCAGAGAAAAAAGTGGAAAGATCGCAAATTAAACTATTCGACCTCTTCAGTCCAAGTAAAATATAGATAAAGAAGTTATTTTGCAGTTTTAAAAAAATATACAATGCTTTCTATCGCATCAAATTTACATCCTACTGAATGTTTGATATTCTTTTAACATATTAATACTCATTATATTCATCAAAAACCAGTTCCATACGCATTATACAGATGTTTTTAATAACCAGTCTATCATTCTCTACAGTATAATCACTCAACTTACGTTTTCACCTTCGAATAAGAATATCTAAAATTTCTTTCAAAGGGAGGGAGAGCGGTGAAAAGGTGAAGCATTTTGTTTCCCTTTTTTTGATTTTAAACTTTTTATAACCCAATTCCCATTCTTTATGTGAAGTAACAAAGTTTCGATTAGGATAGAATCCCTTGCATAAAATTTTATGCACCGATAACTTTATAATCAATATTTATTATCGGTTAATCATCAGCTTGGTAAAATTTGGAACAACTTGATTGTTGAGGGACGAAATAGCGCCATCTTCTGGTCTACAATGCATTTTTTTACAGTTCAGTTTGTCGGGAATGTTACAGACTGCTTACTAAAGAGGGAAATAGATGAAGATAAAGATGAAGAAGTTGAGGGAGAAGTAAATATTCTAAAACGATTTTAGACAGACTAAGAGGAACGTTTAATTTATATGCGCTTTTCTTTGAATGTTAACTATCATAGAAGAAAAAATTATGTTTGCCAGTAAGAGTAACCTTTGTATTTAAAAATGTCAGCTCGAGAAACAACTCTACGCCCATTAAATCACTAGATGTCGTTCAAATCCAATATTTTCTGTCAACATTTCCTTTTTTTTTCGGTGGAGAGAAGGTCAAATAAACCTAAACAAAAGTCCTTTTTCACAAAAACGAGTAGTGTAGACGTAATTAGACGATGTGGAACTTGTGCGATGTAGTCTAATTATTTTACCTCTTTTATGGTATTACCATTAAAGCATGGCATTAAAGCTAATTATTTAAGCTTTGTTACGACTTGCAACTGTAAGCTCTATTTAAATTGAAGAAAAAGATAAATATTTAATTGGAAATTATTGGCCAAAAAAGTCTTTACAAAGTAAAAATTATGAAATAATACCACTTCTTGAGAAGTTGATTCTTAGAAATATGTAAACAATTTAGAGCACACGTTTGTGTAGGAAAAAAATTCGATCAGTTTCAGCTGCTATCTTAAAAACGTGAAAGGGAGGCGAGGGTGGGGGCAGAATGAGATTGAGAGAGTGAGACTATACAAACGATAAAAACTGCTACTTGTATATTTCAAGTTAATGTAAACCTTGTGAATACTTGTATTACTTTGCTATAAATGATTATTGTTTTACTATAATACGTAATAAATCAACTGTGATTGCAGCTGTGTAATACTCTACCGTTGTTAGAGGGATACAGTAAAACGACTAAAGCAATGAGAAGACTAAAAAAATCCTTTTCATCTGTAAGAAACGAGCTCTTCCGAGCTATTTTATGAAACTATACGAGCATATTTGAAAAAGATTTTGATAATGCATTACTTTATCTTGCTTTTTAATGAATCTCTTCATTTGTTTGATATTGAAAGAGCCCAACATATCTCTCGCATATTAATCTTAATTAAAATCCTATCAATAGTACTATTCGACTAATTCTAATCAAGTTATTTGTTACTCCTTATTAAATAGTATTCCTTTAGTAATGAACAAGTATAATAAAGCAATAAAATTTTCCTGCTGTCTTCTGTTGGCTGATGTTTATTTCACAGTACAGTATACTCTTTTGTAAAACACATCCTGTACACTGAGAGAAAGAAAGATAGAGAAAAAGAAAAGAAAATAAGATTTTGCTTTTATTAGAAAGAAGAAAAAAGTTGATTAAATTTAAAATGCATAAAAATTACACAGTTTTTGTCGAAGATTGAAGGAATTCTCATTAGCCTACAGATTTTATCATCTGTTAAAAGTATAGTTTTCATTCAGTGTAAAATAAACATGCTTTTTCATCAGTTCAAGCGTAAAACAGACTGGAAATATATGATAAATTTGAAAGAAAAACCGATGAGATTTATGGTATGTAAATACAATAACACTATCACAGAATTGATAGAAAAGAGGGAATTGATTTCATTCGAATGTGCTATACAGCAGCAATCAGTAATTTGTGAAGCCGTCTTTATGTTCTTGTACACTCTATGCAAAGGTTGACTGCCGTGTAATTTCTTTTCAACTTTGGGTGAGGCTCTAATTAGGCCTGTAATCATTTTTATCTTCTAGAAGAAACAACATGATACAGGACGCTGAAGGGCTTCTTTTATTATATATACTGTTAAGGAAGTAAGATTTACAACTTTCTTTAATAAAACAAAGACTTTGTAAATAATTTAACGAGAGTTTACGAGGACTTTTAAAATGCCAATAAACTATGTCGGAACTTCACCCAAAGGATAAATACGACATCTGGCGGGTTTGTCAAACATTAAATGAAATTATATTTTCTTGTACGGTTAATTTAAATGATGAGACAGGATGTAATGAAACTAGTTGGTATCAATAATCAATTTATATAGGTTACCTGGAATTAATTAACTTCTAGCATAGGTTTCTGCATTTCTGCTCTTTTTTCTGTATCCTTTCTATTTTTTGGAAAGATTCCAAATTAAATATACATTTTATAAATAGGGATCATTACAATCAATATTCTCTTCTTATATATTTATCCATATATATATATATATATATATATATATATATATATAGTATATATATAGATAGACTTTATTCAATATGGCGTAGGGGCTGGTTGGTAATGATAAACTGAAAGGAAAATTATGCAAAAGACACAATGTAAAAGGTAAGCTATAGAAAATTATTATTGATAAACTTCTAAATTATTTATATTTATTTAAATTAATATTTCTCTCTGACTCATTCAATTAAATTTAACGATTTACTTGGAAGTCTAATAATTATAATAATAACAAACAAATTGCAATTCTACCAATGAGAGCAAGTCAATCTATAGTTAATCTTCTCAAGTTGAATCAAATCTATTGGAAAAAGTGATCGTCTTTTCATAAAAGTAAAAATTGACATTTTTACAGTTTGTAAAAAACTATCGTTCAATATCAAATAACAGTAATTTTTACTTTTACCCTTAGACGCTCGCTAAAAAGCTTATTGTTTTTCTTGTTATATATAGCATATACTGTAATATACAGTATTCCAAACTCTATTTCCTATAAGATGCACTTTTAATATACTTTCCGACAGACAAGCTAAATTTCAGCTATATTTATAAAGATTAGTGATACTTCAATACTTCATTGTTTATGATATATAATATTTAACATATATAACTTGTTTACGCCATAAGCGTCTATTAACCATCGATTTATTTATTAATAAAAAGAGAGGAAATTATCAATATTCCCATCGCAAATCCTGTCATTAAATTTCCTCGATTTTATTACATATAAAATAAAAATTGCATCTTTTCTTGAGATCAACACGTGGCTCCATCTAACGCGATAAAGTAAACATTGCTACTCAATAGATGTCTCTTCCAGTTCTATATAATATTCACTGAACACTTACTTGTCTTGTATAATGTATACAAACAGTATATAAGTATACCTAATACACTAAAAATAAACATACCGTATACAGTATATATTGTATAACACGATATGTTATCTTCAAATAAGGCAGAAAAATATTAAGTTTCTATCATAAATTATTGCTTAAAGGCATTAAAACACCAGTTGATTAGATAAAAACTTACCAAGTCATTCTTTAAAGCTATTCTGATTTAAATGAGAAAACACGCCATATGTATTTATACAGTTTCGGCTATTGCTCCGAAAGAAAAAGATAAGAGGTCAAGACTGAATAATTGTCCAAATAGGGAGCCTATAAGAAAAAGACGCTAGAATTGATAGAAATATACAAAATTTTACCTAGAATAAGGTGAAGAAAGAGAAAATGAAAGCGTAAATAGAGAGAAAGAGAGAAAGAGAGTGAGTGAAGGGTTTTGAAACGCTCTATTTCCTATTATACAAATTAATTTGATAAAACAGTTTTTAATGTGGTGACATCAATATCAGAAGCAGGAAGAGATAATTGTGTACGACTTAATTAAGCAGCTGCTATCCATAGTGTCAATTTTTTTCAATATTCTTTTTATACTTGATATACAGTATACATAGAAATAATATTTGTTTGATTTATAAATAGGTATTTGAAACAATAAAAATAGAAACATGATTATTCCATTGTGTATATTTAATAAATAAAATATAATCGCTTATTAATTATTTATAGATTCTAAATATAAATATAAACTTTTACTAAAATAATAGTTACGTCACACTTATTATGGTCAGCGGTCTTATAAAGAAAAACACTGGACAGGATGAAAGGAAAGAATGAGAAAACTATAAAGAGAGAAGGAATAAGTTGATCAATTTTTTCCCTTATTCTCTGGCGAATTTTTTATTAGATTATTATTGATATCTATCGTATTATGCATAACATATGATATTAAGAATATAATAATAATTAAATAACTTTAGATGCACTTTAAATTTTTCATAAATTTGTTGTAATACTAGTAATAAATAATGGCAAGATTGTCAAAAACATTATTAGCTATTGTTGTATAGGTGAACAAGTATCCTACAAACTCATTTGCAAGTGCGTCAAGTCCTATAGGTAAATAGATGAAAATGTTAAGTATTCTACCTCCGTATATATTAGTGAACGGAAGAGCAACATCTTATGATTAAATAGGTGTCGAAAGGTGAGCTTTGATACTTAGCACCAGATGGGGTGAAAACTAACTAAGACAAAATGAAAAAAAAATTAGCTTTTTTACATACAAAGGTTACACTTTATCAGTCTAATAATCAATTAAGGTCAAGGCCTTTTTCTTGTAATGTGCCATGGACAAGAAACAGAGTTAACTTTGTGTTGGAAAGAGTTGTTCAACATGAAATAAAATGTTATGATAATAATCAACTAAAATATTTCTTTCTAAAATAACAAATATCAATTTTCAAACACGCAATTAACATTTTGCTAGGCCTATTTATCAGTCTTGATATCGGATTGAACCTATAAAGAACCACAGTTTATACTTAAAGAGTTTTTTTTTCCAAGGAAATTTGATTCTACTTTAAAGAAGCTTAGATTTTAATTATCTCGTATATTCGGTGAAGAAAAGACATTTAGGAAAAACTCGTTCTTTACTATGTAATTAAAAAAGTATTAAATATTCATTCATATATTCTAATTAATTAACTTTAAAATTATAGGCTATAGAGTCCTGCAAACATCACATTCGCTATTGAAAACATCAATTTGAACAGTAGTCTTAGACATTCCGTATTTCTCTTTCAAGAGTTTAGTGGCAAATTTCTCTACAGAAACATAATCCTGCTCTGATCCGACAACAAGGTGCACAGATGCGACTAATCTTGTTGTAGTTAAAGCCCATATATGTAAATCATGTACAGACAAAACTGATGAATTAGAACGAAGGTCTCGTTCCATTAAAATAATTCGATTACGGTTAGGTGAGCCTGTATAGGATTAAATTGTTAAATTTAAACTATCATATTTCATTAATCAGCTCATCTAACCTTCCATAAATACAACGATAATATCCTTTAAAACTGTAATAGTTGTAAATAGGACGATAATACTAAAGATGAACGTGCAAATAGGGTCGGCTATTTTATATTCTGGCTGCAAATATAAAACAAATTATTAAGTCTTTCGACAAGGATGACCTATTTTTATTTCGTTTTATTAAATAAAATATTCGAGAAAATCTCATTGACAAAGGAAAGTTTTCTTTTTTTGCTTTTTTCCCTTATTATTAAATTACACAATTCTTTACGATAGGCAATTAATCCTATTACGCAATGTCATTGTTAATATATTGTTCTTATTAGGGGAAAAGTTATTAAAATAATTACTCGTTAGACGTTAACATAGTGAAATTAAGTCAAAATATGAAATACACGGTTAAATATATAATATACAGTAACGGGAAGAAAGTAAAAACTTACCCTAAGTAAAATAATAATAGATGCAATCAAGACTCCACAGCTCTGTACAAAATCTCCAATGACATGAATTAAAGCTGCATTAACATTAATGTTCTTTTTTTTTGAATTCTCTACGATTATAGGCTCTTGATTTTCGTTTTCACTATTATTATTATCATGGTTATTATTGTTCGACGAAAGAACATCGTTTTCGATAATTACTTCCGTATCGGATCCATGGGAGTGACCATGTGGAATTTTGCATCTCTCTATTCCGCAATGTAATACTGTTCCCATGCTAAAATACAAACATAATAGAGTAGATAAAGAGTTTATTATACTTACCTACACTAAATTAAAAATGACACCAACTATTGCCGTAATTAGCATCCATAGTGGTTTTAGTTCGTAATTTCGATTTATAATTCTTTGTACACCTTCATAAATTAAGATCCCAGTAATTAACCATATAATTAGCACACTTATTAAAGCGCCAACAACTTCTGTTGATTTAAAACAAATTAATAAATTATTAAAGAAATATAAAGTAGTTTAATGGTTTTAAAATTAAAATACTAATTCTTACTATAATATTAAATGTCTCTACCTGCCCTATAATACCCATAAGTTAATGTTGCACTCGGCGGACGTTTGGCCAACCATAGAGCGAAAAGGCTAACGAGAAAACCGGCCAAATCACTCCCAAGGTGAAGGGCATCTGACATTAAAGCCAAACTGTTGGCTGTTATTCCTCCTAACAAGCAAAGAAAAATGTTTATCGATTGTTGAAAGATGGAACTTTCGGAAAAATTGTGAATAGTTAATAATTGTCTTATTGAACTCTGAACGATTGTTAGTAGAGTAGTTGATTAATATATAATAAATTAACTAATACCTATAATCTCTCCAATCATAAATATTGTGCATAAAATGGATACAATTATTAGTTGATTCCTTGCAGTTTTGTTATCATATTTTGATTCTAATGCATGGCAGGAGCATTTTAATGAAGGATAAGAATTGAGTTCACTTGCCCTCAAATCCATATTTACGGTATTTATCTCAGTGGCATTCTCCTCATCACTAGCTTTTTTTATTTGAATGATAATTAATGATTAAATAATAGACGAACAATGTCGCTTACAAGAACATAATTATTATGTTTAACTTACCCATTAGAGGATCTCTTTTCAATTAAATCTTGTATAGAATTTTATACAAAATAGACTCTAAACAGAAGCAGTTGGTACTATTTAAATAATGCTAAAGGCCAGGAGGCAACTATCTCAATTTTTGCATTAACAAAGAAATTGTATTCAAATCGATTACAATCTTGTAAAGGAATTGAAGGAAATGCGTTACAAAATTCAATGTATAAGTCCTAATCTTTGAAGATTCGTAGCCATTGTTACATTGTAATAAATTTATATGGAATCAGAGACAACTATGTAGCAATATAAAATTGCACGTCTAGGCCAATTTCTACTCAGATTAGAGTAGATTAGGTTAAATTTCGCAGGTCTAGTTTATATTTAAGCCTTATCTCTCCATAATATATTATAATTTCTACATATAGGGATAAAAAGCTGTTTAAACACGTTAATACAAATATACTTAAAACTTAACACTCTTCCTCATTCACCTCTCATCTCTTTCGTAACAAGCAAGAAACGAAGACAACCAAATTCTCTATTTAGAAATAAGTCTAAAGATAGTAGCCCTAATTGAAAATTACTAAATTCGTAATCACTCGTTATTTTGGTAAAATTAAAAATGCGTTAAATTAAGAATTGAAACAAAGACAATAAAGATTGTGCTTCCCTCTAGTGTGCAAATATTAACTATTAAGTAGGAGAAATACGTACCATAATCGCGTGATCTAAATGTTTGCTCCGTAATATTTCGGCCAACAGCAAAGTTTAGTTCGAATGAATAAAAAATTCCTTTTTCTATATAAAAAAAAACGTTTTTATTCCATTTATATCGTTGGTTTTTCTTTTATGCGAATAAAATAGTTTATACTGGAGTGATGATATAAGATTCAAAGCGTTTATTTACATTAGTTACGAAATTTGACAGTTCCGGTTTACTTGTACTTATACGACGATGATTGAGACGGTGATTAATTACATTAATTATCTTTTCGCTGTCAATTATCGTAATGCGGTGCCTTACAAATATCGTTTGTTGCAGGAACACCTGTGACTTATATAACGGTTCGCTTCACTCAATACTCTTCTTTAACATGTGTCTCTATATAAAGTAAGATGAAATCTGTATGATTATTTATATATATATATACTACATACTGCACACTCTACTGCATATCTGAAATTTTTAAATACTTGTACATATGCTGTATTTTATCTTTTCACAATCTGCACAATACCTCATTATTATTTTTAAAAAGAAAAAAAAACTAATAATATTTCTTTACAGTATATTAAGAAACAATTTTCGCACAATTAACGATCCCTCCTTAAGGACAAACTATAGCATTTCTCCCTTTAGAAATATGATGAAAATTTTATGTTTTCTCTTTCTTCGGCTTTATTGAAAATTTTTAAGCATATAAATATAACTTTAGAGTTTTATCATGTTGTCAAAAAGGATTGAATATGTTTAGTAAATTATTCAAATTTTTTGTCATATTTATGTTGCATACAAATAAACAGAATGAGAATAATTCCTGAAAAAATTTTACTAATGCAAAATAAAAACGTGTCCTGTATATGAAATAGGTAAAAAAAAAGTTGATATATTTTTTTTAATAGTTTATTAAATAGGCGAAAAACAATTGATAGCTTTAAAAATTTATAAATTGAAATAAAGCCATTCAATGTACGTTTTTGACAAACACCAAAGCTTAGTTTGTCAGCATGAATAATCTACTTTATATCAGCTCATTATAAGCGGCTCGGGTGATTAGATAGCATATTAGGGAGATTTGCATCACGAGAACCAAATACGATTAATTGTTGAATATATCGCCTTTTTATCCTTATTTAGATATTGCATATGCAGTGTCAAATTACAAATTCTAGCCATTTTTGTTAGTACTGCAAACATATATTGCAAAAAGCATGCAGTGTTAAGGGTAAATCGAAATAAGCTTAATAACTGTTGATAAGTTGACGTTCTCTAAGCGGATACGTTTTATGGAAAATGTCGTCTGCCATACAATATTTTCGTTAAGTGTGGCTGACGCCCTTTGGGAATTTCAACCTCATAACTTTCCCTCTATAAATACCTTTATCTGAGCAATTCGTAGCATACCAATCTTGAAAAAAGTAGCTCGTGATAAGTAGGAGGGACATTGGGTAAATGACAACTTAAAAAACAGTTTTTTGTCCTTGGGAGGCAACGGTAAAGCGTTTTTTTTCCATAGCTCACTGCTCTTGAACTTTTTTAAAAACCATACAAACATTATAAGAAATTGCATCATTTCTTGCGGTTGCGTGACAAAAAAGTTGACAATTGGAGCGTGTCAGTAGGGCAGCTAATTGCCGCGAGTTTTCAATGCTTTTCTCTAAACATTTGCGAATGTTTTGCCACTCAATTAGACGGCAGCTGCGCGACTATTGAGCGCAGTCATTGGCGCGGCAGATCGTCAAGATAGGAGGGCGCCAGACTCTATAATCACTGCGTTATTACGGTAATTTTAAGGCCGTATTTATATTCTGCGCATGCGCTTAGCTTAATTTCTTGTAAGAATCTGGACCGAGTTATTTACAAATACGACACCGAGTTCGACCGCAAAAAGGCCTCATTTCCGCCATCAATGCGGCCTCCGATCAAAATGGATATGGCTAATCGAATTACTCAGCACGCTAAACAATTTTTGCGTCACCAGAAGGAGCCACCGGTTCTAATTGGATAAGCGCGAGATTTTCGCAGCCCATTTACGCTCATTTGTATCTATTATGCGCGCGCAAATTGTTGACTGCAAATGCACAATAACATATTGTCATGCAAAACGTCGTTTATATACAGTTTGCAATCGGTTATCGCTAGAGAATAGGCTCGTATGCATAAGGAGACTTAAGAAAAAGACGTCCCTTATAAGTAGCAGGGAAAAAGAAATCGCCCCGAGGTGGCGTGCTAATGTGTCACAGCAAATATTATTACACTTTGCTATTTTTTCTTAGAGAAACGCCGCGGCGTCGAGAGTCGATTTACAAAGAAGATAAGAGCAAGCAAAGTGTATTGGCATTCTGACGTCACTACTACGGGGGGTCTAAACGAGATTAAAGGCAAGAGGGTGTTGGCAAATTCGGTGTGACGTTGGTGCTCGCTAAACAATTTGAATTATTCAACGCTTCTAATCCACTTTTACGCGAATGGAGTTTTTCACTGCCTGTCACTTTGGTCGTCATTGTTTGTTGGCGAAAGTAACAGCGATGCTGGAATGCTGTGAGCGGACTCGCCGACCCCTTCGACCTACCCTTTTAAATGCAGCCATTCACTAAAAAAGCCCGATCGTGTTTCTGACCGAAATGTAATATTATTATACGTAGAACAAGGGAGAAATGACGCTGATGAAAACTGCACGCACGCAAACGTCATTGCATGACTTTTCATGATCTCATGACGCGTTCATAATGTAGACACGGAGTCCTTATGTATAAATGCAGCGGGATATAATTAGCAGTGGATGAGGAAGTAACGAAGGAAAGCACGCTTTACAAATATTTTCTAAAGATCGTGAGGACCTAAAATAGTAATAGTGCGTATAAAAAAGTAACGAGTTGGGAGCGGAACAGATGGGCCATGACGGGCGTCGCGTGTACTTTTGATGACGTAACAAGAAATTATTGGCGCACAAAAAAGTGTGCGTGAGACTATGTACACAAAACGACCGTACGCAGCTGTTCACCCACCATAAATATATATATATATATACAAACAATTTGGATTTTTTTGTTAAACAGAATCGTGTCCGTCATACAATATTCAAAGATTCAAGCGCACTGAATGATTGCAGTCTTGTATAGTTTCAATAGGATTTCTTAATTATTTAAGTATTTATGCCCAGCTTAACAAGTTTACGCTTGTTTTGTTGTCAAAGCGTATAACAATTTAATTGATGAACAAATATTTATACATGAAACGAACACTATGGATGCTTAACTCTACGTATGAACACCCTTCGCTCGAGCTAAATGCTATACATTGTAACATTCATATTTGATAATGGCATTAGCGCTAATAAACAATAAATAAAAATAAAAACTCTCATAAATATCAAGATAAATAGAAAATGTCTAATTTGTATAAATATATATTAATTTAACCAAGTGTTGAGACTTTACGAGAAAAGAGGGTAAAAAATCAAACAATTAAACAATTCAAAAGAGAGCTTATCCTGTTCTTTTATCAGCGTCTCTTTTTGATCAAAGAACTAATAGCAACTACTTTACTCTATAAAAAAAGTAGCATTTCCTGTGTAAGTATATGGTTATGCTCTCCTTTTTACACACCCTTTATAGGTAAAAAAAAAAAGAAAAAGAATTAATAATCAAAGAACAATTTACTTCTTTACCCATGTATTTGTATTAAAAAAAAACACTCTACGCAAGTATTTATAAAGGTTTATGAATATATTTATTTTTATACCATTCAGTTTTTACCTTATATGTTGTTATTAATATGCGATAGTATATTTCATTAGTTCAAAATATTTATACTTTTTAAATATCTAATATATACACCATATATCGTGTATATTCTGTATGCATTAAAAGAAGTCCTCTGAAGCTCGTTTTAACTGCATTTTTACAACGTATTTTTTTTTGTGGCACACAACATTTGAAATTTCTACGAAATCAATTGGAAAACAGACTGATACAAAAAAAACTTACAAGAATTGCACAGTAAGTGCGAAAAAGAATTTTTTCCACTTTAAGTTATTTACATTAATGAAACAGACCTTCATATTTTTCGGGTAGAATTTTAACTTTAGCACAAGACTTGAAAAAACGTTTAACCAATATTCCCTTCTCTCTTTTATTACATATTTTTATAGTCTAATTTTTCCTTTATTTTTTCTAGAAAATACTGCCAAGCTAGTGTTTCTTGTAAAACTGTTCGATTATTCAAACTTGTTGAATAGGCGATTCGGATGAAGATCTTTTTTCGTCCTGAATCCATCGAACCTTTTCATCCCAGTGACTCCATTGTGAAATGGCTGGAGATGATCCCTGATTTCCCTCAGGGGATGAACCGCGCAACGACGTCTTTTCGTCGTCGCTGTTAATCAACGTACTAGCGTCCTTGTCGGTAACGTCTATTTCTATATCGCTCTCTTGACCGTGTTGAGGCGGAGTATCCGGTGCCAAAAGGCTTTCCACATCGAATAACCTCTTTTTCCGAGCTTGAAAATTGACTGCAACCGCTTTTGATGAATTTTCCGTTTGATTCTGAGCGAGCATCCTCAATCTCCATTCGTTAATTGCCGGATTTGTGGGGGGTGGTGGAGGCGATGGAGATTCTTCTTCCTCTGGAACCGTTAATCCCATATGTTTTCGAACTTTACGCTGTGCACGTCGTCGTCTGAAATCCCCTTTCGAAAAGTCATCGACATTAGCTGGATGAATTGCCCAGTAATGACCTTTACCATTCGCTGATCTCCCGGCTTTTATGAAACAATCATTCAAACTTAAATTATGACGGATTGAATTCCTCCAGCCTGGTCCTCGAGTTCTGAAGTATGCGTAGTTATCTAAAATCCATTGATAAATATCGCTTAGGACTAATTTCTTATCCTTAGATGACAGAATGGCCATGGCAATTAATCCGATATAGGAGTGAGCCGGTTTCGGTTCTTCGTGTTGCAAATGAAGCAACCTTCTCGGATCTTTATAGAAAATATTGTGGAAGTTCTGCTCAGGTGATTGGACGTGAAAAGGATGAGGTGTTGGAAGATGAGGAATCGACGGGTATCTAAGTCGAGCTGAGAAGTCCATTAAATGAGCTTTGTGTAACTCAAAAGCTGCTTGAGACATAAGATGAGCTGGTGGTATAGGAGGAGGTATAAACTTTAGAAAAGGATGTAAATGTGTTGTTAAATTGGCTGGCGTCGACGGCGTCGTCATTTCAGAAGACGACATCTTCATTACCTATTTACTCAGACGCTCGGCGTCGCAGCAATAACAAATACTTTTATTCGAAAGAGGGCGTCAACTCAGAGCGTCAATCATCGCGTTTCTAAGAGCTGATTGGCTACTTTCCGTACGAGCCTGAGTGACCTGATTGCTGAAGTTGTCCGTACGTGTCAAGCGCGTGATGCGAGTATACTTTCGAGTCGAATAAAATGTATAATTACCGTATAAAAAGCTTTTAGCGAATAGGTCGCTTTCAAACTGCGCTTAATTACTGACATACTAATTGTATGTGATTGACAGACGTAGTGTATATTGTTTGACAATTGATGTCTCCGAGCATCCCACTGCTTCTTTTTTAAATCCAAAAAATTCACGATAGTTTACGTATAAACAAAGAAAAGCAAAGCGGTAGCGAATTGCGCGGCAAAGCTCTGTAGTTATACGAATCGCAAGGGAAGCCTCGTTAGACGCAATTTTCTCTTTTGATGTTCTGCCCAGCAATGAACGTCTAGCAACGCAAAACGGTCTATTAGCTTCGGTTTACATTCGAATTCTCTCGCCGTCTGTGCTTAGAAAAGTTTCAAGCCCGCAAGAATGTAAACCACCCAGTGAGAGAACAGCGTCAAGCATTGAATTTGCCAAAAACTTCACCACGCCCCTTGTCCCTTCGCTTAGATGTAGAGTCTCAGTCAAGTAGTTTTCACACGTTGCCGTTGCAGTATTCAACAACGGAAGCGTGCTAAATAGTTAGCTATTCAAGCGAAGCCGTTAGCGCCTCATCATTCATTGATTACGTTTACCGACGTCGTTCGTTGGAGCGTACAAAACTTCGGCACTGCAGCGAAATTTTTACTAATTAGTAACGATGCAGACGACCAAACTAAAGGCGTCACGCTACGGCGTCTCTTATTCAGGAAATGAGACCTTGACGTCATGTGTGTTTGTGATTCAGTGACGCGTCACGTCCCCAACCGTGTGGCATCGACGTCTACTATGGTAGCCATCGGCGTCTACTTGGCACAAATGATCAAATATATTGAAGCGTCACTCGGGCGGAATAACGCCTAACACGTGCATCATTTTCCATTTTGTTGGCTGTAGATGGCGCCTACCTGGGCGGGCTTGAGCGTCTATTTAGCCCCCGGCTATCACGTGCTGTAACAAGTAAACGCCAATGAGTTACTAATGAGTCGTTTGTTTATGTTCAAAGCTGCACCTAAGCCTTTCTTTCATCTTGCCCACAGCTATGATGAAAGGTGTTCCCTCAGCTGCGACCAGCCCTTAAGGCGTCTCTAGACGTCGTTCGGGCATTAGCAGAGCAGATCAATGCCGATCAAAAGAGTGACGCCGTAACACGTCGGTGGGTGGCCGTGCGATGGAAAGAGAGCGTCCAACGGTAACGTCCAATTAATAAGCAGCTGCGGGCCGAGCGTAAATGGACGCCCTGATTGCCTTTACACTCACAAATTTTACCTCATTTCCTTTACAGGTCGTCTAATGACGACGTATTGGCAAACTCTAACTGCGTTCTGGCACGCTAGCCTCTCCCGACTATTTGCAAATAATTTCGTGGTTAGCAACGTTTTTTTGGCGTCTTTAATCGAACAGTAAAATTGCTGTCATGATTAAGGAACGATTTTCAGTTGATTTCACTTGATTTAGTCTAAATAACCGCTCATTTTGCGGTCCACCATTATGATAAACATTACTGTGGAACTTCCCTTGAATAATCTGCTTTTAAGGAGAATAAAGCAAATAATTTCTCCATGGAATTTTTTTTGTTTAAATGTATCCCGTTTCCCGGTTGATCACAAACTCTTGAGTACTAGCGCCACCTATCCATTTCTGCGTGAAAAATGTAATAGAGGGAGTTGGTTGTGTAGGGGTTTATTTGCAGCCATCTATTGGGTAAACTAACAAATATTTGCAGACTAATCGACACCTCAGCGTCTAACGTCAGCGCCATCTTTGAGATGCTTTAAGAAAACCTTTGAGAGTCCTAACTACAAAGAAATGTGAATGGCAATGCCCATAACGAGCAACATAATACATTTTGCTTTATTATCGAGGAAATACCCAGGGAGAATAGGACAAATAAAAGTCCCCGAGATATTCAAATATTATGCAATAAAACTCGGAAAAAAGACTTTCTACAAGATCGTTTCTGCCTCACTAGTAATTAAATTATATAGGGAAAATAAATGAAGGATTTGACTTGATTGTTACCCTATAACAAACAAATAGAATTATAAACAATTGAACTGTAATTAAAGGTGATAATACGGAGGGTAAAGTATCGAAGTTCGTTTTGGGGTGACAATGTCATTGAAGTCTATAATAGAATTAATTAATAATGGGCCCGGTAACTCTTGCAGCGCATCGATTCGTTGCAATCAATTTAGTTAATTAGATTATACGATAGAAATGAATGACGAATTATCGGAATGTATTTTAAGTTATTAGTTAGTCTTTTTCTTGTAGTTAATGCAGATAATTAATTAATGACCAAGCATTTGTATGGACACTATTTGTGGTGACGGAGCTCTTTGTAGTAATAAATGTATTTAACGGACGAAATGCCAAAGCAAATAGCATGTCAGGTTTGCGATGAAAATAAACTAAACGATTTTGACACTGTGAGACGGTTTGGTTCGTTAAACTGGTTTCGGAAGTTTGTTATTTTTGAACGTAATAGTCGTTTACATGTCGTACTTTTAATGGAAGCAGATGTTTCTTCCTTTCAATATTCGAATAAACGTAACAACATCATTAGAAAATTAACGCATTATCAATGGATAGTTTTACTTTAAAAAAATACCTCATAAAAATAAAAAGAAAGTAGCCTCTCTGAAAAGTTAATGTTTGTTGACGCCATCTATCGGTTTTTTATATATAATATTTTAGGAGAGGGAGAGCCAATTTAGGTAGAGATAATCCATTTATTACATACAAAGGGAAATAGGATACCATTGTAAGGACGAAAACGATTTGAAATGCATCGAAGGGTTGACCGCCGTCCGACCGATAAGACTTCAAAAGATTCTACCGCCTGGCGGTATAAGCGGCAATTTGTTGAAGAGATAATAATGTAATGGAATGCGGCGGTTCTCTAAAGAAATCTTAGTAGGAGAAGAAAAGATATAATGAGAATCTCGATCCATAGGGAGGTCATGACGGCCACATCGAGATGCATGAAGATGGACAGGGAAGAGAGTGTATAGGAAAAAGGAAATAACCCAAAAACGACTGTCCCGAGGCGGCGGTCAAATAAGATAAGGCGTCGAATCGGACGACATCCAGTCCCTCTTTTCTTCATCTTGCTATTAGGCGATTGCCCTCCTCAATAATTAAGCATGTCCGCTAGGTGGCGCAAATAAATAAAAAAACGCCCGAACATATGCCGTTCGCGGACATACATAATGCAAACAAGAAGATATTACGTGCTCGGACGGCTTAATCAAGCCGGTTTTCTCAAGCGACTATCGATATTCGATTGATTGAAGCAGGCGTTCAACACGCTTGTCTTTCTCCTCCCTCATTCCTGCCCACTAACTAAAACAAAATAAAAGAAAAGTGAGAAAAATGTTTAAATATCAAAGAACGGTCAACGCCTGCGGGCGTCTCACAGCATTAAATTAGGCGAACGTCTCTGTGAACAATGCGCGGCGTGGCCATGGACAGTCCTTGCTGGCAGTACGATTTGACACTATACAATCGGATAATCACTCCCCGGTTGACTCATTTCTTATAAGACTTGCAGTACACGCACTGACCTTTGCAGTTGGACCAGAGTGCGCCGGCGCCTATCAGGGCCGCTCCGTGACGTGCACCAAACACCCGCAACACGTCTGGCATCGTACCAAGTTTGTTCTCTCTTATTGCGGTTGCCGTTGCTGCTGTGCGAGGACTCGGTCTAAAAATAGACTTTCGCACTGTATATACTCTCACTCTCTCTCTTACTTGCTCCCCTTTCCCCCTCGCTCCCTTTCAATATCCTTTCCTCTTCTATTGCTCTCTAACTCTATCTTTTCCTGTCTTCTCTAGCGCAAGAGTTTAGTCCTACTACATTCTCAGTTACATTAACTTAAAAAAAGAAAGTTCAATTGTTTTTGTCTATGATTTCTTGTATTCCAATAAATTACTACGTCGTGCACTGCAAAAAGAACACATGGCAAGAAATTTTTGATAGGAAGAGAAAAATGTATACACAGCAAACCATGCGACTAGACCTAAAATAGCTCCAGTCAAATGACGTCATTCACGTTACACGCAACTAGAGCTATATACAAACACACGCTTTCTTATTGCTGTTCAACGAATTACACGTGTGCGGAAGACGGAAGATTTTCGTAAAAAAAATCATAAAGAAATGAAAAGATAAAAGGGACAAAAAACATAATTGCAGAACACACATTTATAAATAAATAAATTAATAAATACGTATTTATATGATTTTCATATTATATATAACATTTAACTTATATATTATACATTGATATACTTGGTATATTTTAAAATTCATATAATTATATATAAATACATATGTATATATATATATAAATACAGTATATACCGTAAGTACCAAAGTATATACGGTATATGCTGTATATGCGTTATATACATACATATATATTTATATATATATATTTAAATTTTATTGACATATTTAAACGTGTATATGGCGTATATACAGTAGTTAATTGAAGACGGAACCGTGTAAAGAGAAAAAAGGGAAGAAAGAAAGTGTGGAACAGACGCGTGTGGCATGTTTTGACAAGACGCATTCCTCGAAGCCGTCTGTTATCAATGACGCCTTGGAGAGGGCGAGACCACGTGTGTTATCTTCTCCGTACTTTATTTAGAGACGCCGCTCATCGCGCGACGCATTAGCGAGGCGTCGCGCGCGTCACTGCCAATGCTTGTCAGCGAGCGGGCCAACGTGGATTTATAAGATGAGAGAAAATCAGTCAAGTGCTACGCCCGCTAATTTTATTTGTCCAAACTATAGGGCCGCGGCCAGGTGCCGGTGGAGGTTATCATTCTGAGAATGCCTGTTCCGACTCTTCCTCGTAGAAAATATCTTATCGCAACCGCTAACTGTGCAGTGAAAAACCTCCCGTGGGTGTACCTTTTCTGTATGTTCCTTCAGAACAAGATTATCGCGGAACCTGTCATTACAAACATGGCATAGCGCTTCCCCTTGCGGATCCGATTTTGGAGCATTTTCCAGCTGTTCGTCGTCGGCCTCCGTTGTGCCGTTTTCGTCCGTTGGGGGCAACTTTCCATGCAAATTCCAATTGGCCGTTTCGCCGTCCGAATCAGAAGAGACACCTTCGAAATTTGCTTCTTCTATTTCTTCTGATTCTGGGTTATTCTTTCGTTGCTCCTCTTCCATTAAAGCAACAAGCTTTGCCTCGAGCTCCTCTGCTCTGGGAACTCTCGTTGGCACGCCTTTTCGCTTATTAGAACTCCTTTCTGGTTTTGATTCAGGTTTTTTCGATTCTTTCTCAACCTCTTTTACTTCTTCATCGGTATTTGTCGATAGGCGAGCGAGTTTTGCCGCAGGCGCCGCGAACGCCGAAGCCTCTAAATAGGTTAAAGGAGGCGTCACTCCTTCACCAGTTCGAACCGATAATGGCATAATAGACGAGAGAGTCGGAGGAGGTGTTAATAAACTTGATGGTAAAGAAGTCTTCGTTGTTCCATCGTCTACTATTCTTGCCCCATCAGGCAGTTCTTTTTTCTTTTGGGGTAAATGTAGTTTTGGATTTGGGTTAGCTGAGTGCCTATTTCTAGACCTTCTCGAACTGAACATCATATTACAACCTTCAACTGTGCATTTGTGCATTTCTTTTAAATGAACAGCAGAATAATGAATCTTAAGTGCTCCTTTATCGCAAAATGTCTTATTACAAGCAGTACATAGTACCCGTTTCTTTCCAGAAGGTGAAATTAGAGTTGAACCAAAAGCAGGGGTAGGATTCCATTGTCTCTTTATAGGAGTTGCTGATTTCCTTGCATGTCTCTTGTCATTTAAATCAATTCGTCCATTATTATTACCATCTTCTGACCCTTTACCTGATAGATCTAAAGCCTCTTCACTGGGCTGATCGTGAACTTGAGGGTATCTCGGTTCTGCCAGCCTAACAACAGGCTTTGGGAAAGATATAGGAGAAGTGGCAGGACTCATTGACATATCGCTAGCTGCCGTATCGGGGGAAGAATTTCGTCTAAAATCAAAAGGCTGCATAGTCTGTAGCTTATTTAGTGGAGAACTAGAGGATGTTGGAGAAGTACTATGCTGATCGACCTCTTTGTCAGAAACTTTAACCTCTTCTTTTAATTGTTCGCTATTTTGCGCAAACGGGAAAAATCTTGCTGCCGCCATGGCAGCAAAATGAGCAGGATGGGCGGCAGCGAACAATCGCGGGTCGTATTGCCTGAAGAAGTTATGCTGTGCTAAACTCGTTCGCTCTATCAACTGTTTTATGTCTACGTCGTTAGCCTTATTCGGCGATGCCTGGGGTGTAAGGGCATCTTTCGCTTCTTGGTTTATGATGTCTTGAGCTATCGACTTTGTTTCGCCGAAACGAAGGAACTGCTGCAAAATTGAATTCTCTTCCTCCCTTGTAGCCATCGTCCATTTATCGAGCACGCGACCGCTTTGATCCTTTGGAGAAAACAATTATACGTACGGTTAATTGTTGGTACGGAGTAAATAATGAATGAACGAGTAATTCGCAGCGCAATTAATTTAACAATTAAACTTGTACAAGGCACAGTGGACAGATGTATCCAAAGTCTTATATCTTATTCACAGAATATGATAAGGCGTCTAAAAGTCGCCAACAGTCCGCAAAGGAGAAAATGTAAAAAGAAATAAGCTTAAAAAGAGGGTTGAAATCACTTGGGACATCGAAAGATGAGCATAAAAGAGACGACACAAGTCGCATGTCAAGTAGCATATCGCGTCCCAAACGTACCAAATATAAACACTTGCGCGGTGACAAGGCTCATACAGTCGTATTTATCTCAATTTTGCCTCGTCGGCTCAACAAAGTGACTAGGAGATGTGACGCGAATGGCGACGCCCCGGCACAGACGACCGATCGATGCTGATGTGATGAGTTGGACAAAGGCGAGTCGCGTTAGAGGCCGCTAATCAATTGTTTTAGGCAGGCTTGACCACACTAGCCGCCTCAGCGGCGGCGTCACTTTGATCGACCCTCTGTATGTCCCTTGAGTGTCGTGAGGACAGTGATTAGCTTTGTGTCATCGGGATACGTTTCCCTCTCCCCTATCTTCTATTTTAAATTTTTATCCTTATACCCTTTCTTTTCTTCTTCTCGTGACGCTTAAGCAGGTGTAAGGATGAACAGCGCACCGTATGAACGGAAATCGACCTTCTGCAATTAAATGCGACTGCACGCTAATAGGCCTAGTAGTTGGAGGGGTGGGGGGCGTAGACAGGGGTGAATGTTTTCGCAGATATGAGGCGAGTTTGGCTCTGAATGACGAACGACTTCACCTAAGGAAACTATTCGACTTCGATAACATCTGTTGAGCATGTGCCATTTTTATGGAATGTTTATGTATATGCTGATACATCGGAACGCGCGTATGCGTGACGGCGTCGCTTTCTTATAACGAGAACGGGTTAGGAGGGTTGACAGTGATGGAAACGAGCTGACGGCCGCAATCATCCGGCGTCATATACGATGGCCGTTGGCCTTTATCATTTCTCTATTTACAGCAGACACATTTGTGTACACGGCGTACACGTATCTCTACTAAACACACTCGTGGTCATTTATACATTTATATGTGTACAACAATTAAATAAATGTATGTGTATACAATATAAACCATATACACATATAAAATCGTGTATAAAGTATATATTATATAAAATATAATATAAATTACTTAGTTACTAAACCTATATGTAAAGATATATTGTATAACTATATGTACTACATATGTATAGGTAATATACATATATATATATGCTGTATATACAGCATATAATACATATTCATATATATTTAAACAGCACAGTCATTTTATGCACAAATGGCCCAAATAATTATTCTTAGTCAGTGTATTCTGTGGATTGATATTTTTGGAAAGCAAGCTTTGGCTATAATAATAGATATTTTCTTACTATTTCAGTTGACGTGAGCTTTTCTTTCATAAAATTTTACAGATAACAATTTAGCTTAGTTAAAGATATACTTAATATTTTACATCTGTGTCTATAGCTTTGTGTATTAAGTACAATACATTAAAGTATACATTTTGCTAGTAAACTGCTACTTAAATATATATAAAAGCATTTCTCACCTGTAGAACGTAGCCTCTGGCGTAATCTTCATAAGTCCAGCCGAATCTGGCTAGGATTCGGATGACTTCTTCGTGCGAGAGCACGGAGAAAAGACGATCAAGCAGAATTTTGGACCGTATAGGCGTCGCGTGGGCGCCGTAGAGGATTAGAGAAGCTAAATCGAAGACGACCGATGCCTGAACAGGCTCTACGAGGCTACCAGACAATTGTAGCTTGTCGACGGCTGTATAGAAATGAGGAGTAAGGATGAAATGATTAGAAATTAGGTGGAGACCGCAGCGACCTCGATTGATAATTAGCCTCGGAGAACGACGCAATCGGGGCGTCACTTTACATCAGTAGGCAAAAGTGGTGCATAATTCATGACAAACGTTAGAATGTGAGTGAATTACGTCAGGTCTCGAGCCGACGCACTAAAACGCACATCTCACCGCATTCGGTCCCCCGATAGGCATCGCCCCCGAGTTTGTCGTCAATCGAATTTCAGTTAGGAAAATAAGCGTTTGATGTCGCCGACGAGTCTCACCTGCGTCCACTTACCGTGGGTCACCCAGGTATGCTTGCACGAATTACAGATTCGAGCAGATTTGGACGGAGAGAAGCAGTCGCACTGGCAGCCGATTGCCGTACACCGAATGGCCTGCAACAGTAACGGGGGACGCATTAAATAGACGCCTGGCTTAACTGCGCGTGTGATTGCGACGCTATGTCCGTATTGTCGCGTCTCTTGGCGTCTTCATGAATAAATGACGGACGCTCGACACAGTTAGGCCGCTAATTTAACTCCAAATTGTTGTATATTTCCAGCGTCTGTCGCAATCCGACTTAATTGCTGTTCAATCTAACTCGAGTAGCGACGTCGATTAATTAAGATTTACCTTGTAGAGCGGCGGCGTTACCCCGTTGTCGTAGAAGTCCATATACTAAATTGCTCTCACACACTCTCTCCCTCTCTCTCTGTTTCTCTCTACCTCTCTTGCACTATTATGTTCGCTTTGGCGATATTATAAAAATGTTTCCTCTATAATATTTCCCCGTGTGTACACCTGTGACAAACTCACAGCTTCCAACGCACCTGTCGCACCGCTGACTCTGTTTGACTGATCGAAGGCCCGGCGCGCGACAGACGCATGCTGTTACCGTCATATATATATATATACGTATTTAAATATACAGTATGTGGAGCTCAGAAATGACTGTATTGTTAAATTCCATGCAATTATATATTCACTAAATTATTTTCTACTTACAGTTTATAACATTCATTTTAAACCTTTCTCTCTAATTCACAATTCTTAAGATTATCACAGTCTTTTATAAGCAAACTCTGTTTTTATACTGCGCAGACAGACACACATACTCTCTCTCCCTCTCTCTCCCCTCTCTCTCTCTCTCTCTCTCTCTTATACACATGCACACACACACACACACACACACATATATATATATATATATATATACATTCATACACGCATTCATACACACATACTTATATACATACATCCATACATACTTTTACATTTGGGTAATATTTTTGCAATTCAAACATAAGCGTCCATACATGTATCAGTTAACGTATGGGCCTTTATCTCCGTATTTATCACACTATGTTTGAATTTTGTTATATTACATTTATAAAAATATACACACAATATATAATATATATAAGTTTATATATAAGTCTATATATATATATATATATATATATATATATATATATATATATATATATAGTATATATAAATACATTTAAAAAATAAAGTCTCGAAAGGCCTAGCTTAAATGTTTTCCTAATATATCTTCATACGCATACTGCATATAGGCGTTAAACTGAATGTATTGAATTTTTGTATATATAGTATATAACTTCATTGATATTAATTTTTTTTTGATTTTATTCATGTTATCACGCCCGCGCAAATATTGTTGTTGTTGTTTTTGTTGAAAACTAAGGGAAATGGAGCTGGAGTTTTAAAAGAATTATAATTTTATTTCAAAATAGAGCACGGCGTACTTGAAAAGAAATTTACAGTCGGCGTCCCGCGTTTGTTTACCCAGTCGCCAGGGCAACATTAATTAGAGGTGATTGGAAACAAGTTGTGTGACATAAGCGGCGCAGAGCGGGAGATAGATTCGTTGGAGTGAAAAGAGGGGTGGAAAAGGAGCACGAGGGGGGTTAGTGGGAGATTGCACGCACCATGAAAAAAAGAAACGCCGTCTCAATTTCCTGGACTCGTCGCCAACACTCGTGGACAGCACGTAGAGGGGATTTGGGCGGGCCACCGATAAGAATACATTTTTTCGACAAATTCGTTGTCTCATTCTCTCTCTTTTTCACAGTTTGTTTTTGTTTCGTTTGTTAGTAGACGTGCAAATTTGTTAGTAGACGTAGTAAAGTAGTAGTTAGTAGTAGAAACTCTACCTGTAGCCACGGTACGAAGGCTGCCGACGAACGGCCGCATCTACTGGACATATTTTCTCTCCTCGAACGTTCGGTCTGTCACTATTTTGGGAACGCGGTGCTACCTTGTGCCTTTCTCAGAGCCACCTAACGGACGTGTGTATACGCGTGTACAGAGACAGCGAAATGTACAATTTCGGCACGCGAACGCCACGCCGCCGCCGCCGTCTTGACTTTGTTCTATTTATAGGAATCTTATAAGCAGCTTGATAGTCGAAGGTGATTGTAAAAAAGTCATAAGAGAACTCAATAAACAAGGAAAGTGCGCAAAACAGAGAGGGGGCAGGGTAGAGGATGATTGCGAAATGAGTAAAGAGAGTACACGCTAGAAACAGGGAGTAAAAAAGTTACGAAAAAAACAGTTTAGAAAGTAGAAAGAGATTGAAAGAGAGAGAAAGAAAAAAACAAGATTCGAAAACCAAAAGTAAAGATAGAAAGAAATAGAGGAATGAAAAGAAAAAAAAAGAGATGGGGGGCGAGTGAAAATATCGTGCGATAGAAGAACGGACTGCGTATAACTGTTTGCTGCAGAGAGCCTAGAGAAGCACAGTCATTTATTGCAGATGCGCGACTATCTTTTACCGCTGCAGTCTCTCAACACACGCCACACGCAGCACATACGCATCGTACAGAAGGCAGTTGGTATGCAGGAGTGAGTTCTGCTTCTGTCATTCACCTCTGCCATCTTATGAAGGAAATGCAATGGACATAAACTAGCCTTTTTCCACAGCATTACGTATATAAAGGCGTCTTACGTCTCTAATAATTGTGTGTTTACACGTGTTACGTTTTATCTATTCCCTTAGTATTGTCTACAGCTAAACACTATGATACGCTATAAAACATATATATATATATATAGTTTATACATTGATACAATATAAATCTTCAAACACATTACTTACAGTCAAAATGATCCACGAAAAAGAGTGTCTAAGACGCAAAAGCAAGAAGGGAAAAGAGGGAAATAACTTACCCGATGTAACGTCATGATGTGCGTTGGATAGGCGGTGACAAGTGACGGTAAAGTAGGCGTGGCTTAATGAATGACAGGCAGCTCACCTCGCGCCGTCCACAATGCATGATGACGCCCGGTTCTCTGGCGAACGCTAATTGACGCTCACCTCTAATGAATTCCGCTAAATTATGCATTGTTTGCGCGACGCCCTTGTCACACATCATAGACGCCGCACCAGATGGCGCCACGTGTTCGCAGTCGGCGGGACATGCAAACTACGAATGGCGAACATCTGCACTGGTGACGGAAGCACGAATGTTGCTTTTAATTAACGTGCACCTTTGTTCTGATCGGCTGACAAATGACACGACGTCTTCTAACGCACCTGGCCATACTTTTTCCCTTATGTCTTGTCATTGCCTTATCGTTTTCTATTGATGGTTATCACTCTCAAAGGCGACACATTTTTGATGCCTTACTTTCCATCCGATGACTTGTTTACAGTAAACTTAACCCGCTTAACGGCTCGTTAACCAATCAAAATACTGTCAACCGAGAAATATAATACTATAAAAACAGTCTTAAGGAGGGCTGAAAACAATTGTTTGATTAGAAAACCACGATTATCTTACGTAACGCATTTGGACGCTTGTTCTTATCAATTAGAAAAAAAGTTGTGCGTCACTCAAGGAAATTTAATCAAACCAAATTCAACTATTGAACTATTCGTTTTTCACTATGACAACCACAATCTAATGATTATTTCAAGTCTATCCATTTCAATTTACCTACAATTTAACTCTCTTTTTTTCACATTAGTTAGAAACTTTTTCTTTTTATTTACAAAAAAAGCTATATAACTCAATTACTGTTTACGTAAAATTATCAAAAGTTGTTATGAAACTTTTTTTTCCTTTAAAAGATGAAAACGATAAGTTGTCGTTACTTTTATTTTCTTTCGTAGTCATTTTTTTATCAGTAACAATGATATTTTTCTCTTGAAAGTTTTGTTATCGTAATATAAGTTACACAATTCGATAAACTAAATTAAAAACAGATTGTATGCAACGCAATAAATTGATTCAGTAAGTAGGCTCGTCATCTCAAGGGCTGTAAATATTCACCACTTAATTGTACTTTTCATAAATTTATAATCATTAGTCCCCTTTTTTTCAGTTGTTCACTTAATCTATCAGGAAGCGTAAAAAATTGACACGAAATCTTAAAAATTGCCTCTTCCGAACGAGTTTTCATGAGATTTGAATAGAAATCTTTGTAAATATCTTATTTTGTTTCAACAGTTGTTAATATAGCTATTTTAAATGAAAATATTAATGTAACTCATCCTTTTCTAAGAGCGCTCTACTTGATATATCTAATAGAAGGCATACCCGATTTATTTAAGGTGACGCCATCTATCGAAGATATGGAACGTCGATTTGATTTACTCTAAAAAATTAAATTAGAAATGGATAAATTTCAAAACATCATCATTAAGTCGTCGCTAATTACTTGTACACAATAAACAATCCAGGTAAGATAGAAAAGTAAGCCTATTTGCAATATTAAGATATTTACAAACATCTAGTTAATATTGTATAATTGAATAATATTTTGTTTCTATTAATAGGAAAAGATGAAATGTATAGGCTTTCTAAAAATTTATATTAAATAAATAGAGTAAATATAAAATAAATGAGAATGTATATACTTCTTAGAAAGGATACGTTATCAGAGCATAGTATGTTTTGTCTAAATGTCATTATAATAAATTTGAATTGCTAATTTATTAGAAGACAAATAAATCATTGATACATCTAAGCTATCTTATAAAATATAATTTACTTGAAATATTTACGTGTTGCATAAGTAAAATCCTATTTTTTTTAATACCTTTTTTACTAGTAAGACTAATATGATATGCATTATATGACAAAGTAATTTCGTTTCGTCTAAAATATACTCCCTTATATTAATTTCCCCTGCACTTGATTAATGAAATTTTAAGACCCGTAAAAGTATTCCTAGGCTTTATAAACTGATTACAGTTTAGATTATGGAAAAAATAAATGAATGTAACGCCATCTATTGGCTTAGAAAGTGTAGAGCGTGGGTTAAACGTAAAAATTTCCATTTCACATATGTATATTGGCAGAATTAACTAGTATTTGAAAAGGATGTAAATGACACTTAAAAGAGACTTATTAATTCAACGCGTGATCAAAATAAATAGAATCTATTTAAAACTTAATTGATTTAAAAAGACGAGATTAGCTTGTTTTTTGTCATCAGTTTGTAACAGATGTCTGTATCTTTAATTTCATTGTTTGTTTCGTTTTTCTAATTCTTTTAAAGCTCAAAGTAAAAAAGAGAGTCTATACTAATGAAAAATTTGACCGATCTCTCAATTTATGCATTAATTATACTACATGTGACAAAAAACGAAATGCGTGTCTGAAAGAGGATAGAGAATCTAGTTATAGCGTAGTGATATTCCTTATAAAACAGAATGAAATGACCACTTCATAACAAAATTACATTGTTTCCTGGAAATTGCCGCTTCAAATTTCTTAATACACCGTGTTAAATTTCTTATAGATACAAATATAACTTAATTTCAGAGGAAAGCGCTTAAGCAAAGAGCAGCTTTATTAAGCTTACGTATATCCTTATATATATGTTTATTTATTTATTTCGTGCCTAAATATATATTATCCACGGAAAGAATCTGAAGAATTAAATGTTAAAGCTTTTTGTCTGTTATTATCAAACGGAAAAGCCACGTTGCGTTTTTCTTTCGTATATACTGTATTTTTCTTTTTGAGCTTATAGCTTAATTATGTAACAAGGCTATTTTTTCCACCGAAAAACAAGTGGCAGGTTCCCGCCAACCTTCAAAGTACGAGTTACTATTAACCTAAATACAAACAACATTATACATTATATATCGAATATAACCGTTTATATAAATGTTTACTCTTTTTCCAAGCTGTCCTCAGCTTTTAATTCATTCGATACGTAGGAGAAGTTGAAGGTAATCGGATGAAGCATTATATATGCATGTAAATGTTCAAAAAAAAGACATAATGTTTACAAAGTCTTAGTAAGGCTCCCTATTTGTTTATTAATTTTCCATTCATCTACAAAATTATAATGGTTGAAAGTATATTTAACGCCTCTTTTCTATTTAATATTAAAAAGGAAGCATATTTTAAGTAATTTCTCATATAGTTGAGTAGATGTTGGAAGTAATCGAAAATATTGTAAAGGGTATACGGTATATCTTTTTCATCCGGTAATCAGAAAGATACTTTTCAACGATTTTGTGTATTTACCAGTCTGGTCATTTGAGAAGCATCTAGACTATTGAGAGTTTATTATCGTAATAATGTTGTTTACCTGTTCTAAACTCGGTTAAGTCGATTTTTCGGTTCAGAGAGTGTTTTTTGTATAAAATTCGAAATATATACTTATAAAGTTACAGTAAATAGGAAAAAAACTCGCTGAACAAGAGGACAAAGTAAGATCTTACCGAATTATATCACAATTAACAAAGACCATTAGCTATTGATTAGCAATTGGTCGGATTATTAGATGAAAAATATAACAGAAGGATAGTTGGTAATAAAATATTATAAACTACATCAAATTAGAGTAGATATAAAGTATATAGAACAACGGATATATCAAATGTCATTTTTAATGAATATACATGGACAATTTGGCACTAACATACCAAGAAGGTGATACGTCATTCAATTTGTCAGTAAAATGGGGTTGGATTTTATCTTTCTTTCGTTCTTTTTGTTTTTGTTAAATAGTATGAATTATTTCAACACTCTGGTTAAGCCCTGCATAACGAACTCCTGACAGACCTTTTCTATTTTCTCCGGATCTAATTAATATAGTTGAATTCGATATAACTGAAGATCTCCTTCTGCCAACTCTACACCACACAAAAAATAATGTGGCTTTCAAATTTTTACAAAGAAACAAAAAGACAAAAAACTGAAATGTAAAATAAATTACTTGACTAATATTAAATATTGTTGTTGCCAAATTATAACTTTCTGTTTTAGCAGTATCACTTAGCACAGCTTCTTTAACAAAATTAATTAGGTCAGCAGGGAAAACCATTGTTAAATAACAGAAAACTACTATAATTGAACACTTGTTAAGTTTGTCTGTTGCCTTTCTCTGTTTGCGGTCACGATCCTCTAATGAGTTAGTTCTTAATTCCTTCTGCAAATTCAATGATTTCTTCAAGGCTTTCAATAGCGAATATGACATGTACACCAGACTAAAGAAAGGAAGAGCTAAGGCTGAAACTGAATACATGTAAAGATATATTTTTTCAATCAACTTATTTCTTTTAAGAAATCCTTCCACACGATAGTAGTGAGTTGTTCCTCCTTTACAGTCTACTGATTCTATTTTCTCAAATGTTAGCCGAGGAAGATTGAATATGATACAGAATATAGCTATTGGAGGCACAGATCTTTGAACGAAATGACTACTTAACATAACTTTTGACTTTAGGGGATAAACTATTGAAATATACAAAGAAACTGTAATAAAAACAGTCAACCATGCACTGGCACTGGTCATAAGACAAGCATTTATAAAAGCATTTGAATAGACAAGATAAATAAGATTAAACGAAAAAGATGGAAAAGAAAACATCGCAGCATTAATCCAACCATGAGGCAAGAGAACCAGAGATAAACAAAAATTTGAAGCCGTCAATCCAATTGCTCCCCTATTGAAAACTTCTTCGCTTTCCCTTAGCCTTTTCTTTCTACCTTTACAAACAACTATAAAGGCGATAGCATTGCCAACTATCCCAAACAAGCTAGCAATAAAGAGAATCCTGTAGTAGATAAACCTTTCAATGTTAAAATAGTCTTGACTATTCCGATGTGAAGAATTCTTTGACATGTTTAACGTTTGATTAACAGCTAGAGGTATACAATCCATAATGAAAAATTGTAAATTTAACCAATTCTCTGCTTCAAACTATCTTTAAATCGCACATTAATACTTTGAGCAATCTGTACTTTATCTCGTTATCCTAGAGTTCTCTCTTGTTCGACGTAACAAGAAGTAAACTGTAAACTGCAAACTTCAGTTCATATTCTTTGTATGACTTCATTGCAACGACACCTAGATTGTGTTTCTTTCATCTACGTCTCCTTTTCCACAGTATATATTATCAGATTATTTCTTAAAACAGAGCACTCAAATTTAGCTTAGTCAGGTTTAGCTATGGTGGATTTGTCTAACCATTTAATTTTGGAGATAGAACCTATTAAATTTTATTGTAGGTTTTTTCCCCCAAAGTATTTCTTTACTTAATTAATAAAAGTACTTCTTCAAATATAGCTAAATTTAATACACTGCAGATTATTTAATATTCTAAATGTATTAATAGTCATAAAGTATATTTGAATATTTTATTGTAAATAAGTATTTGACAAATTATTATTTTTCAATGAACTCTGTCTTAGAAAGAGTTCTTCTCTCTTCTCTTTTTTATAAAGATCTTTAATTAATTTAACAATATCTTGGAATAGTAATAACTCTTTAATATTCCAGAAAAGGAATATTCTTCACCTAAAAAATTGCTACTGTATAATTTTATTTTACAATAATTATCAAGCTAAAGCAACTCGTATAAGTCAGCTTTAAGATGAATTTGATTAATTTCTTCTATTATCAGAAAGATAAACAGTATGAAGACCAATATTCTATCTCTCTGATATTCACTTACAACCCTTTACGTTAAGTTAGAAATAATAGCCTTGAATAAATGGAATTTATATGTAAGTATATAAGTGTATAATGTAGAATTATTAACAGAATAGTGCCGTCCATTTTTTTATATTAATATTTATATTGACATATTTAAACGATGAAAAATTTCATTTAATACACGATTTTTTTGTCAGACATGCAATATCGCTAATTGAAGTACAACAGTGAATATAATTAGGACCACCAACAAAATTCTTGCTGAGATAATGGATGCACTGGACGGAGATTTTTGTTGTAAGACTGTTTGTTAATGTCTCTTGTTTTATATTTCTTTTTCACATTTGCATAGTACTCAAGTCAATATTAGAATAAGCTAAGACATTTGGAATATATTTACTATTTTTTTGGACTTGAAATAACATCTTATTTTATCAATAAGAGCAAATATGATAAAATCGCAAAACTCTGCAATTGTTAATACACTAGCACCTAAAAATAATCCCATTTGGCCTCCTATATCCCCAAAAATTTGCTCAGCAGTATAAGAATCGCTCTGAATGAAAGTAACTACATTTAAATCTTCGTAATAAATAGTCATCTTAATGGCGTTTCTTGATAACTCTGATAGAGAAGTGTTTGGAATTAGTACAGAAAAAAGATTTTTGTAAGAAAGAGAAGGATAATTAGCTATGGAAATGCGATTCTCATACTCTATGTGCTCACATTCCAAAGGACAGTTACAACTTTGAAGATAATCTCTTCTTGTCCAGCATAATTTTTCACTTCTTCGTGCGCATTGGACACTCTCTGGTGAATTACATATCAAATAATCGCCAGACTGGAAAAATAATTTACAACTGCACTTGTGATAAACACAATTTGCCACACATTCGGCCATACAACCATTTTCCGTATAACGTTTGTAACCTATTAGTTGAGGGACCCTTTTCTGGCATCCATTGCCTTCTCTAAACTGATAAATGTTTTTTTTAAGGGCTATTGTTGTATCAATTGACGGTTGTACAGATATACCAAACTGTTTAACGGACGGATACTCAAAGGGATCATGAACCAGAATACGAAACCCTAACGAACCGAAATTTTCACCAAAGATATACGATTCAAAAGAATCAAAGGCAAAGATCATGATACCTTGTCTGGCTCCCGGAACTTTAATTATGTATGAACTATCATTACTATAATTGATAGAATAGCACACTCCAAAATCAGTGAAAACTGTTCTTGTTCCTGGGAGAGATGAGCATTGTTGTATTTGACCATTCCAAGAACATGCTTTTAAGCTTGACGTCAAGTTGAACGAAGCATCTCTAATTACTTCAAGGACGTTAGATATATTTTCTCGGTAAGAAGACACATTGAATTCTAGCCCTGTTAAATTTTCAAAATCAGTGTATGGAATTATATCTGGATACAATTTTGATAAGAATAGCCAATTCCTAATGCCTTCTGCAGTTTTCAAGTATTCCAAGGTGTATTGGTTGTATGAACAAATAGTTATTGCCGGGAGTTGTAAACCTTCCCCAACTTCCAGGGTGTTGATGGATATATCCGTTTGCGTCCCTGGATTATGAACTTTTATCATTAGGACTATTAGCATGGTAAGTATGAAAAGGAAGCAGGCAGTAACAGCAATCAGCCAAAGTATTCTTCTTACAATATGTGTAGTGTGACATCCTACAATTTTTAATCCGTGCATTGTGGATGTCGAGCAAAACTCTGAGATTTTTTCCTTAAAAGGTCTAGAATCCGGTTCGGGAATAGTAAAGAAGGAAGAAATCTGTTTCTTATGTGTCTCCATAAGCGTTGCTAAGATTTTACGGTACCAAATGGTCACCTCTTACTTTCTCCTTTTATTGCAATATAATTAATCTACGTATAGTTTACCTAAGTCATAAAATGACTAAATGTTTGCCAATAATAGACGAATTTCCTTTTTTTTTTTTTTGTATATTTTCTCTTATTTAAATTGTAAGCATAGAAATATTATGCCTTGTCGAAAGACTTGCAAAAAAAAAGAAAAAAAAATTACATAAAATGTCTTATATACACAAAAAAAACATAGACTGTTTTTCTCGTTAGCTAACGCAACACAAAAGATGTTCATGCATTATTATTTTTTTTTCTTAATATCTTCCTTTTTTTTTTTTCTTCTAAAAAGCGACAAAAAAAAGAAAACAGAAAAATGACAAATCTACATCATCTACTTGCCAATTATTTTTTTTCCAACAAAGTAAAACAGGAATAAAGTTTTTTTTTTTTGAAAAAAAATTAACACTAGGACTTTGAACCATTGTTATTTAATAGATGAGACAGAAAAAATTGAAACAGAATGAATTAAATTATATACTGTATATATGTATATTGTAGGATTAACTACTAATAAATTATCTCATTTGCTGAGTTCCACAAAATTTAAAAGATATTGGTAGATATGACTATTATCTAAAAAAAGATAACTATATAGCTATTAAATTATTGATTATGAAATTGGTTCTTGCAGTCGTTGATTTATGTCTTGCAATATACATTATAGCTGTCATTTCTTGTACAGGTAAATGTATTACATATATAAATATATATACATATGAATTTATATATATATATATATATATGTGTGTATGTATATATAGATAGAAACAAATTCGAAAAGTTCTTTTAAGCAGAGCACTCGAATTTTCCTTTGATTTCTCGTTAATGAAAGACACTCGACAACTTAAAAAAAGCACCTCACAATAAACCGAATAACTTTTTAAAAGCCTATGTTAATATCAAACAAAAGCTGCCGGCGTAGTTGATCGACTTATAGTTCGCGTATGAACTACTCGAAGTAGGACTAACTTTCGGGCTCCGAATTTATCACCTAGAGCACACAAAACTTGTTTATCGGGACTAAGCTTTACTGAGAAAACATCAACGGCACATTTCCAAAAGCAAATAGGATTTCCGGTAGCTAATTTCCATAGTCTAACCGTTCCGTCTCGTCCTCCTGACACTATCCAGTCACCATCGCTTGATATTGTACAGCACCAGACCTTTAGAATATTAAGAAAAAAAAACATAGATGAAAGTTTTTAGTTATTCTTTTATATTCTGACGAAACTGTTTATTTACCTGATCAGTATGACCATTCAACGTATGCAGTAACTTTTCTGTTTCTAAATCCCATACTTTAAGTGTATGGTCGTGAGAGGCAGATACAATTACGCCATGATCTACGACTACAGCAGATACCTCATCATCATGAGCCCTAGACTCTGTAAGTCCAGCTGGAAATTTTTTCCACTTACTAATATTCATATTGAATTTTTAAAAGCTGGTTAAATATCTTACCTGATCTACCTAACGTAGAGTTTTCTAAGGGACTTGAAACCTGTCGAAGCGTCTTCCCTGTTCTGAATGACCACACTACTAATTTTCCATCTTTTGTTCCAGTAACCGCTTCCTGGTTATCCAAGACAGCCGTACAATCAGCATTTGCATGTAATGATAGGACCTTCGTTCCATCCTCATCCGATGCACTTAAATCAAAAATGACAAAATTTGTCATGGCGTCATATGAATTTGTGAAAGCGGCAGCGACGAAGCGATCATCTTTTGTGACATATAGATGCGTAACGGGATCTGCAGCACCCATTGATCCCGTATAGTTCATTGACCTAAGTGATTGATTGCCGGCTATATCCCACATGACGAGTGTTGTACCGCCGCCAAACTTCTCAGTTCTACCGAGCACTGCCGTCTCACCATCTGACAACAGAGCTGTAGCAGTACAAGCTTCGTTTGGCGAGGGCATTGACAAGGGTGTACCACTGCTGATATCCCATATCTGACACAATTCGATTATTTTATTTACATAACAAGTTTAACTAAAATAGATTAATTCATTACCTGGAATTTCCGGGACAACAAATTACCTGACATGGTCCCATCAACTGGATCGAGACTTGTATATTCAGCAACTTGGCCAACAATAAGCGAATCTCCAGCAGCTAAATGTAAATCTGTAGAACTAACCTCTTCACCTTGCAAACTTCTAACGAGAGCACCCGTCTTCAAATCCCAAATTAAAGGAGGACTGTTCATTGAGCCAGTAACTACGTGCTTTCCGTCCCGCGTTATTTGCATACAATCCACATGGATTTGTTCAGCAGCCATTAAACCTGGACTTGAAACTGCTCCAGGACTCATAGTTTGCATTGCGTAACGGGTCTTTGAATCAGTTGTTGTTGTAGTCGTTAAACGCTGGGCGGTTGGGGGTGCTTTGGCGCTATCCATTGCCTCAAGGTCATTTAGAAGGGATTCGGTTTGAGCCATTTGACTGTCACCTACGGGTGGAAAATATTCGTTCAGATTCGTTGATGTACGACCGTTTAATCTTTGCGAAGAAGAATAAGCGGCTTGGCTAAGACGATTGGGTTGGGTGGAGAGCGAAAGAGACGGCAAGGGTTTAGCGGAACTACCTTTCGACTCCTTTATTTTACCCAATAAAATCTTCCCAGGTTTCAACTTATAGACGGCCCACATAATGGAGGATGCTGCCAGTAAAATACCGAGAAAAGCGCCAGCCACTGCTCCTGCTCTCGGTCGTTCCGAACCAGCAGCTAACGCTCTTCCGTCGGTGAACTCACGAGGAGGTAATATTGGTATTCTAATAATGGTGGAAAAAATCGTCAACTCTCTATGTTATCTTTAATTAAGGTTCTAAAGCTTACACTGGCTTCGGTAATCTAAAAGGATGTGGGGCAGGCGTTACATCATCTTTCACAGAGACCCTAATATCTCTAATGGCTTTTCTTCCTAAATCTATAATGCGAATGCCTCCAATTGCTCCGCCACTCGAACCAGCTCTTACTCCTTGATAATAAACACCTAAAAAAAAGAAAACAATAAAACTTGCACTTTCCTTTACCTGTCAATATAAACCTGCGATAATTCCATTAAATGTTTCATAAATTTCACCATTGGATCTTAAATTTCCACCAATTTTCAAAATCTGCAGCCTATTCAATTCCTTTGTGTGGGCGAATTCTGCGCAATAATAGAATATAGGATAGCAAAAAGGAAGGAAAAGCATACATAAATAAGGAATGAAAACTAGGTTATAAAATCCTGTAAATAAACAACTAATTGGTTAGAAAAAGTGCTCAAAATTGACTTACTGTTACTCTTAAACGAAGCGGAAGGATAATCGTCAACGGTAAGGGTAGCATTTCTAGAATTTAAATGTCTAATAAATTTAACAACATGGTATTTTCCATCATTTAATTTTTCTCTGTTGATTGTAATTATCGATGACTTTTCTGTTCCTAAATTGTACTCTGCTTTCAGGTATCCCTTTTCCTAACCACAATTAAAAGAATTTTAATTGAAAATGTAACATAAATCTATTTGGAGATAAAAAAACTAACCATAAAAATACGTATAAAATCGCCATTGTCAGTGCTATCAGCTCTAAAAAGAGTACCATTTTCATACCATGTCATAAAACCGAACGCAACAGTGTCCTTAATAGTGTCAATTGGTTCGTCGAACTTATAGAAGACAATACCCCGTTTGTTATACTTCCCTATTCTATAGCCCAATGGTTCTATAATGATGTAAATGAATATATTTTTTTCATCCATACAAAATAATACTTTTATAATATAATTGATACTAAATATAAAAAAAACCGTACCTTCTGAACATTGCTTGCCCGCCCAACCTGTCATGTTACAATCGCAAATGAATGATGTAAGACCGTCGTAGCAAATGCCGCCATTTTTGCATATTCCTGGTTTTGAGCAAAATATAGAACCTAATTTATGGCAACCTCTTTCTATATTCTTTTTAATAGTGGAAGTAAATAAATCAATATGCTCGCCGTCCAACTGAACACCAGATATGCAACCTTCAAATCCCTGCTGGGATTTAAACTCAGGTGGTATTTTTACATATTCTTGAACTCCTCCAATATATAAATGGTTAGAAAATGGTATTTTTCTGTCAAATATTTCAGTGTAATCGTCAATTTTTACAGTCCAATCGCCTCTTCTTCTCTTCTTCAAAATAACTGAATGCCATTGGTTATCAGAATATTTGGATAGGGTGCCTAATCTCGTTTTAGTAACTCCTTCTTTATTTCTTCCCACTATATACAATTGGCCTTCGTATAGTTCTAGACCTAAGAAGGAATCCTCTAAACTTCCGGGTTGATAATAGAGAAGACCATTTCCAAACTCAGTTTTAAAGTTAAATGTTAAATGACCCTTCAATGGAGAATTAATTTGAGCGAAAGACCTCTTTCTAGCGGAAAACGTAACAGGTTTATAGGGCAAGGGGCACTGATCTTTACTAAGGAACTTTCTAATTTGGCCTTCAGTCTTTAATGATTCCAAGATATCTTGTCCATCAAAATATAAAGACGAAATGTAACCGATGAAACTATCCTTCTCTCCATTCATGCCGATTTTCAATTTTCTAATATTTAACAAGCCACTTTCTTCTTGAAAACCTCCAACTGTAGTAACTTGTGAATTGTCATCTAATTTTACATAAAACTTATTGCTTCTACGACGAATTACTAAAGAGTGCCATCTATTGTCTACAAGATTCTCTCCAATGTTCACTTCCTTTTGTTGACCATTTATATTAAAATTAAGTTTTAGACTGGCAGAAACTACTCTGATTGATATGATTTCTGAATTATCGTTCAAAGCAGATAGGATGAAAGAGTCTCTTTGAAAAGATTTAAATCTAAATCCAAGGTCGTTGGTTGGGACCAACTTATAATCTGATCGAGCATAGGAGACTTCGATATTGCCTTGAAGACATAAAATATCTGCTTTATCCTCACATTTCGGTCCTGAATAGCCCGTAGCAATACAATCGCACTTGTATTTCCGGGTGCTTTCTTCGCTCGTCACCTCAGAGCAAGTGCCTTTAAAACAGGGATTATTCTCGCAAGCTTTCCTTAAAGCTGTACAATTTTCTTTAATGCCGGTTAATCTTTGTTTTGTAGCAGCTTTATTCAAATCTATTCCTATCTCTTTACTTAGCTTCAACTGCATGAGACATCCAACAAAACGGCGATTACTCTTCCCCTTGGCCCATGATTCTCTGGGAAGCTCGATATTTATTCCCGGTGCAACGTGCAATGAATTAACAAGGTTCATTCGCGATGGATAATTAACTTGTTTCCGCTCAAAATCTAACGTATAAAATAATTGATTGCTCTTCTTCTCTAATGTGATATTGTGGACATTTCCATCACTAATACGCCTTTCAGAAAATAATAATCTTGTTAATCTTGACTTTTCCTTAATTACAAGCCATAATTTTTCGTCATAAATCTCAATTAAAAGGTAATTTGAACTATCTCCTGTCTGATAAATTAAAACAGCCTTATTTTCCAAAGTCTTAAATGTTAATTTTAGTTTATCGCCTTTCTGGGCTTTCCAAGCTTTAAATTCAAAACCAAACCCACTTCCTATTAGAGTGATTGGTCGCCCTGAATTCCAATCAGCATTTGGAAGTTTACCATATGGGATAACATATTTTGGAGTAGGCTCATTTAGTAAATTTAATAAATCTATCCAGTAACCATATTTGTTATCAAATAAAGCCTTAAAGATACAAAAATACAATTTAATGGAAGTGTTTTGTCTAATTTGTTTATCTACTTACAGTCTTAATGTATCCTTGGAAGTTGGTGTCAACAAATTTTTCCGACACTTTTCCGGCGTCCGCTTCTCCACCAAGTAAAACATAACCTTTTTCCCACAACAGAGGATAATTGTATTGCAATACATAGGGGAATTCAGTGTTGTCAATGAAGACGGTAAAGTAACCTCCCTTTTTAAGGAGTCTTATTGTATGCCATTGATTATCGTATATTTTGGATGGAATCTGTGTCAGTTCAATTCTTTGTCTCTTTCTACCTTCAAAAACTTGTAGACTTGGATAGCCATTCTGTAAATTATTTTCAATAATAAAAGATTTTGGATTTTATTGACATTATCAAGCGTTCAATAAAAAGTTGACCTACTTTTAAAACAATTTGTACATTTCTTCCGTGAAATCCGGAATAAAACAATAATCCGTCTCTTTTCTTTGTTTTAAACACAAGCGTAACTTTCTCGCCATCATTTTCATAGTTGGGTTTCATACCCGAGATATTATATAACACCCAATAGTCGTCATTGAAGTATGTTTCTCTCGTGGGAAGATACTGAGTTGTTGCTATTGTTGGTGTAGTTGTTGGAGCAGTTGTTGTTGTCACAGGAACAGGTTTTACTAAATTTTTATAAAAGAAAATAAGGGATTAGTGACGTATTTGCGTTTCTACTATATCTTGTTTGGTATATTATTACAGTATATAACGTAGTGTAATACAAGTTTTATTTAGTTATTTAGCTAGTTCTATATTAAAATAAACTTTGTCGATATTATGCTAAAAATACTTTTGTTGTGACTTTTAATACTTAAAGAAGTATTTATAATAATATAAACATTTCGCACCTTCCTACAATAACAATACTCTAAGGCAAAATACGTAAGTCTTTTCTTAGAATACGATTGAAAAGTATAGAAGGAAAGGAAAGAGGGCTGGCTAATGAGCATCATACGAAATAGAAAACTCTTTATCACTTACTTTCACCGCCATCGGTAATGAAGCGTTTTCTTACTCCCCATACAGTCACGTTTTTACCATTGTAATCAAAGTAGTGTGTACCATGAGAAGGAAAATCAGAATTGTGTGATTTTCCCATAAGAAAGAAACCTCTTATGTGACATTTGTCCTCTTCCATTATCCCAAATTTATCTTTTTCATTTGTCATCTCTCTTGACAATTCGCCCACCCCAATCACAACATTATCCGAAGAAAGTATTAACCCGTCGTATTCACTCCAGGACAAAACAACTTCTCTCCAGTTAGGATTTTCATCTGAAAATTTTCCAAAGGTTTCCCAAATTTTCTTATTATGTCTCACTTTAGCAAATAGCTTTTGCTTGTACCACCACATATCTAGCATAGGACTTGATATCAACGTTGCATTATTTTTCAAACTAGAGGTTAAAAGTTCAATTTTTATAGTAAATCCTCTAGGGCAATTCTCGCACGTGCAGGGTATAAAATTATGACCAAAGTTTAAATATTCGTTGTAACTACCTTTCTGAACTAGAGAAGGATGACCTCTTTTGTTTTGGATAACAACACTGTTTCGCTTTGTATGACAAGAGACTGTTCTTCTTTCTCCGCTTATTTCTTTTTCACCTGTTTTATTTCTCAAATCGATAATTTCATATTCGAAATTAAGTGGATCTCTTATTATTTGATTACTCCAATATTCAAATTCATCCATTTTGGCATCCATAGTTTTTAGACCTGGAAGAGATCCATGGCCTTGACCTGGTTTACCAAAATACATCTTGTGATTTTCGAATACCCGAGATGTATATTGACTTTGATGGTCTCTTCGTTTATGAGCTCGGAGACCGTCAATCCAAAGATTAAGACCCTCCAGCTTGTTCCATGTTACATGAACATGTTGCCATTTCCCCGTTACCAAAGCGTCTGATGAAATTGTCCATGAGTCTCTCTTACCATGGACATCGGCTCTTAATTTTCCATTCTTATAAAACAAGAGAAAGTGAGGAGAGCTGATAAAAACTTGATCATCTTTTAAGGTAATCGGCATAACCCAGGTGGAAATAGTAAAACCTTTTTTGCAAGATTCTAGATCTCTAAGGCAACCGACATAATTGGTTGCCTTTGCGTATTCTCCTATCTGCTGCACCTTTAAGCAATTACCAATTCTACAGTCTTTAGATTCCGTATTGTATATACCCTTTGCAATACAGGATTTAGGAGCTTCAACGTCAATGTAACGCGAAGTTTGAATTGGATTTTCAAATGGTATCAAAATATGATAACCGTCACCCTTAAGAATACCAATATTAATCAGATGTTTTCTGCTAGCTAACCAAATATCCAGACTTCGGAAGTAGGCTGTCATATATGCAAAGTTATCTGATGGTTTGTTTCTTCTGCCAACCAGCAGATGGCCTATTGGTGCAGCTTCTTGAATAATCTTGGGCGCATTATCATTAGCCACTAATTTATTGTTTGCATAAACTTGCAAACCTTCGGATGGTGAGAAAGATGCAAGAAGTTTATACTCAACATCGCTTTGAATACCATTCCATAAAGCTGAATATTTTTTATCGCCAACATATGCTGTTGTCGATAAAGCATTCTTTTCATTTACACAAATCCGAAACCATCTAGCACCCCTGTTGTCATTGTGAAAAGAAAATTTTATAGCAATTTAAAAAAGTATGTATTATTTATTACCCATCAACAAAGCAACTATGAGGTCTGAGGACGTCAATAGACCTCACGTAGATACGTAAAGTAGCACCATATTTACATCTAGAGAGATCACTAAGGCAACTATTTTCAAATTTTCCAAAATCTATATATTGTTTAAAATTCGAACGATATCTAAGTAAGAGTTTGTAGAAACCATCATGTAATTTTATTTCTGGTAAGGCTGTTTGATAGTTTAAAACTCCTCTTAAATTACCCCCAACTAACTCTCGATTAGCTATTTTAGAAAAAGGGCAGAAGTACTTGTAAACTGGTCCGTTTTCCTGAATGAAAGTTTTGTCCTTCTCTTCCGAATAAAATTCAAATTCATCTATGGATATATCACATTCGGTTCTCGTCCAGGAATTATCATTAGGCCTTCCGAGAAGAAGTTCATCGTTTATGTCAGTTTTTGTAGGCGTTTCTACTACTGATACGTCAGCAAACCAACTCCTTTTGTCCTTCAACTGGCCGTTCAAGTAGAGTGAAAGTCCTCTATCATTTCTCCACGTGATTGTAACGTATGTCCATCTGTGCTTGATATAATCGCGAGATTTTGCAATCCAATATTTGCCAGTTAAAGTTCTGGCTTGAACGAATATTGTATCATCCTCAAAGTAGACTGCTATTCCATGAGAGGAGCTGCTGTGGCCTCCGTTACTCATAAAAACAAGTTTCGAATTTGGTGTTTTGTGAACAATTAGCCAGAAACCGAGTGTAAATCCTCTAGAACACAAATTCAAATTTCCTAAGCATTCATCTCTTGACAAAGCACCGGAAATGCGGACATAAGCATCTCTACAATTCAAGTTCAAACCGGATTTACTAAATCCAGGCGTCTTGGATACTTCGGCCCCAAAATATCTTGAATCGAGACCGGACGGATTTGATATTACATACGAATCAATTTCAGATGAATGATCTCTTCTAAACTCATCAAAAGGTAGTCTATAATGATTTGCCCCACTTTTACAATGTCTATTAGAGCAATCGCATCTATGCATAGAATTTTCCATGCTAAAACAAATACATGAATCCCTACACTGATTCTTAATCAAGCATGATTCCCTAACGCCCACAACACCTCTCTGGTTTATAACTCTAGGTCTCCTTGGTAGACAACTCGAACAGCTATAAAACATAACATTCATAATCTTGCCAGCGAACCTTTCCATAAAAACGGCATCCTTTTTAGCCAAGGAGTTTTGTTTGTATAAGTTCTTATATGATGGATCAAAACCCGCAACAAAAAATATTATGAACGCTGTTGATTTTTCCAATTGTCGGGGGGAACTTGAAAATGGATATGATTTTATCCTTGAGTCAACAATTAACTGTAATTCATAACGATGTCGGACGATTTTAACCTGAAAAAGGGAATGAGAAGCGTTTATTATTTTATCCCTAATAAAGTAAACGATTGAATAGGCATTTTTCAATAGTCGTCTTTTTATCATTGAGCTATTGAAACCTTGTACAATAACTTTCTAAGAGCTACTTATTTACTTAGTGATATTTATATATTTGAAGAAGATTACTATGACTTGAAACTAAAATATATTTATATTCTTATTCGAAACTAACAGATGGCGCTTCTTTTATTTACAAATTGAACCGATGGAGCCTAAAGATCCGTTTTTAACGTGACTAACAAAGCCGCATAAATAGCTTTTCAACTTTTTATTATAAGTAGCCTATTCAAAAGACAAGTTATCCTGTTATTCGATCATTATTTACTCTAAAATGATCAAAGTATATCATCAAAATCAAAAAATGCTAGATCCTGTTTGAATTTTATATCTTCTTGAATTGTCCTATTTCAGATTAATACTATTCCCTATAGTCCTAAGAATGACGATTAGTTCTTATCGTATAACAAGGACCGTTATGTCGATATTGAATGATCCAGTGTTTACTTGAACAATTTAAGCAAATTACACATGTATTCTAGACGGTAACGGGGTGTATTATTCACCTCTATTTTTCTTTCAATAAATAACATACTTAATTGCTATTAGGCCTAACGTAAAAGATAATATGAAGTTACAATTGTTTAAAGCTATAATTTATATTAAATTGTATAAATATCACATATATATTTATATATAAATTTAAATGACAGATTAATTTTATCGTAATGTTTTTCGAATAACCGCAAGGAATAATATGAGAGAGAAAAAAGTTTGAGGAGTCAAAATATTCTTATAGAATGGAACACACCCACGTTCCTTATTTTTTTTTTCAAGTACAACCGGCTTAGCAGCTATGCGAGGAATGTAGAATGGGATGCGCACGTTTTCCGCTATCCAAAAATTTTCCTCTTTCAGCGGGCAGGGAGAAATCTACGTTCTCATTAGTCATAATGGTCAAACACATTCCTCTCTCTTTCTGATGGAAAAAACTACCCGCCTACGTAGCTTCCAAGGCGTTGAGTATTGCTATTTGATTCATTCGTCTTTAAACAGCTATTGCAGTATTTTGGGGCGTGCACGTTGTACCACACCATTGCTAAACCGGTACAGACTGCTAGTTAGAGAAGATCGCTGATATATAGTTTTTTTGATAAATTGTAGCCTATATATAAGGAATAATATTAGATTTAAACACGAATATAAATACTATGAACTATAAATAGATGTTTTTAGCGCAATGTAAAGTTTATTCTTCATGCTTTCTTGCTAGATGATAGGTGTTTCGATTGTTTGAACATTGTATGATCGAAATGCCTTTTTAATTAATTCTTGTGGCTTTCTTTTCGAATTTTTTTAATATTTTTCAAGCCAACAAGAATTTGCTGCTTGACTATTTAACCCAAGGCGTATACAGAAAAGAATAAGTAGCTTGGGTACAGTGCATTAAAAAACACTTCAGACAGTAAAATATTCGAGTAAATAAGAGTTTCTCTGTCGAAGTCGTATCACGTCCCTATTCTCAGCATATTTAGCATTTCTCTTTGAAGAATTTAGGGATAAAAAAAAACTAAAAAAAAAAGTTAGTTTCATTGACGAAAAGCGCGAGTTTATAATGGAATATAGATGAATGTTTGTGTGTGTGTGTTTGTGTGTGAGAAAGAGAGTGTGTATGGGTGCAAGAGGAGTATGAGAAAGTATATTCATTCCTAGAGTATGAGAGACGATATTGTCTAAATTGATCAATAAAATTATATAATAAATATATAGGCATTGTCAACGCATAGTAATATTATTTGTGTGACTTCTTGATGCTAATTGCTCGTAAGTGTTTATGTTTGTTTAAGATATTCGATATGAATATCTTACTAAGTGCATTCTTTTGCTTTATACTCACTGTATGAAATCTCCCGTCGTTCAACTCACTTCCGGACGATATCTTAGATTGATCGTCAGCTATCTTAAAATCAAGAAAGAGTTTACCGTTCTTCAAATATAAATAGAAGAAATCCTTCCTGGCGCCATCATCGGTATACAATAGCATGGAATCCCTCTTCCTCGTATTGAAATCGAATTGTATCGAGCTGTTCTTGCAGCTTAGCCAATTTTCGTATTCTATATATCCCTCCCTATCGTCAGCCACCGTTAATCCATAAACTGGAGTGTAGATGAGAACGAAAGAGAGAACAAACGGGCAAAGCTTTCGCATTCTTCCCTTACTTTTTATAGAAAAGCATCGCTGGAACAAGCTGGCATTTATCCGATAGAAGAAAAATCGTTTTTGAAAATCACCGCACGCAGGCGTTCAATGTTGACTGGCCGATTTTCGCTTATATATACAATACTAACACTATTCAATTCGGTTCAAAGCTAGGCGGTTGGCGATAGGCCTAGAACAGGCTCGTACAGGGATTTTGCTGTGCCGAATGCGTTGCTCGATCTCGTCTAAAAATAAACTTGGCGGCGCTGTATAACCGCTTTTTTCCTAGGCTTAAAAATATTGCTTAGTAATCATGTAACGACTAGGCGTACTTAAAAGGGGGAAATTCTTCGGATATTGATGGAAAATAAGAATATGTTTTCGTAATTGTCCCGCACATGTTGATAGATAGCAGTAATATTTTTCTAGTATTGCATTTCGAATATGATAAACGTTTCATGTTAAAAACGACAGATGGCGCTGTGTCCCCTCCCATAAAATTTTTGTTCTCTAGAGCAGGCCTATAAAATTACTCTTATATAGAAGCTATTATTAAGAATTGAGAGTCTATCTGGAAATTATAGCAGTAGTGTAAATTCTCAAAACTAGATATGTCACATCCCGCCTCCTCTACTAGAAAGTGTAAATTTTCTCGCTGATACTTTTCTAGTCCCATTTTTCCCTTTCTATTCATTTCAGTAAAACCCGATTTATTGCCGTTTTATAATGAATTTTATAAGAAAAGGATTAGCATTGACCGAAAATTTTTTAAGTAGCCAAAGACCAATCCATGTTTTTATCATCCGATTTTATCCATCTAGCGGATAAAAACTGATTAAGCGATAAATAAATATACCCTAGTATAACTGTATTAAAATCCTTTTTAATCTTATATAATCTGCTTTCAATGTAATCCTTTTAACGTGTTGAGGTAGTGGAGGAATGAGCTGTAGATTAGTTTAAATCATGTACTCTTACCAAAGAAAATTTCAAGCGAATAAGAGAGATTTTTTATCATCATATAACTATCCACAACTAAAATTTCTTCAGGATAGAAAGAACGCAATCAATAGAACAACTTCTGACGGAAATCTAAAGTTCGTATATTCGAATGAAGTGAACAAAGCCGTATCAAGTATGTATATAAGTCGTTATTACGATCCAGAAGATTCTCTCGTTGTCTTGCGATTGGCTAAATTAAAGCCAAAAGCGGAATTATATCGTCTACCGGATATTTATGCGGATGTTGTTCGTAGACCTACATTTCAGAACGCATGGGAGCCCATGATAAATGAAAGATTAGCCGATGCGAGACGCCGGAGTAAAACGGCAAAGATGACAAGGAGTTTTGATAACGTATCGATTGTTAGCCGCTCTTCTTCCAGTAGAAAGTCTATATCAAGTATTCTAAAGCAGAGACCTGCAACAACTTCAGTCAAACCCCCTTCTTCAGCTCGTACTTGCCACACAAGTTCTTCTGCCCGTGAGCCAGTTTTCATATCACAGAAGGCGAAGGTTCGATTTCTTGAATGAATACCAGTAGTAAACTTGAATGAAACTGACAATCAATCAATATCACATATACAAAGCATTATAAATATATATATATTAGTATATATATATATATATATATGAATTTATATATTTTTTATAAATACGTTATATTATTAATACAAAAAAGACGCAATAGCGACTCTTACCTTTAGTTGTATTAAAAGTAAACAGGTATAAAAAGGATACGAAAGAGGAGACATTTGAAGCTCATGATATAGTCATCGAGATACTATGGCGTCAAAGGTTCCAGTAAAAAAACATTCAACTGGAAGGAATGAACCCGGCTCTGAAGTTTTGAAATTTATTTACTCGGAAGAAATCAAGCATTTATTTTACGCTCAAAAAGGAAGAGTATCACCGAGTAGATCACTCTCGATCGAATTACTCAACGTGGATGGAATATTGATGGAATTACATGCTAGGAATTTCACGTTTACTGACCTAAATGTTGTACTCAATGATGCGGAAGCAAAATAAAACAAGCGTGATAAATTTTTTGCAGACTATAACCTATATATTTTTCAGAATAAACTCCTTTGCAATGGTCATGTGATTTTCACTTACCAACCTTTTTCCTTTTCTATCATAATAATAGCCTTGTTAGTAAAATTACCATGGTTGTTACAATAAGAGAAGGGATTTGTTATATTCTCATTATGAAAATGTGCGAAAAGATTATTGTATTAGTGTTAGAATACGTTTAGCCTAATATATTAATTAATTTTGAGATAAGAGAAGAAAATGACAAAATAATCATATCGATTATCTCAAATACTTGAGCTTCTACAGTTTGGTTACTTCGTTTTATTGGTCTATTATTATTTGCTGTATAAATTGGTTCTTATCGAAAGTGTTAAAGGATGAAAATATAAAGGGAAAGTATTACTTAACCCTTTTATGTGCTTTTTTTTCAGAAAAAAATCTCTTAACCGTATTTTCTTGTATATAAAAATCGACATATCAATTTGTGTTGAGTTCGATTAGTTAGATTGTGTAAGTGCGTAGGCGTCCCATCGGAGACGGTTTTTGCCGTCGTGCTCTTAACCCTTTTTCATCGTCAATATTATATTCCACTTATTTCTTTTTTTCGTTAGACATTCTTGTGGTTTATTCTAGAGAAAAAAAATAATGTTTTATGGTTTCACTGAACGTTGAAACGAATTACTTAAAAATTAGTTAACTTGATTGACGCCTTGTCGTAATCTTAGAGTAAATGAAGATGGTCGAGTGTAACCGGAATTAAAGCCGCCGACTGCAACGCCGCGGAAGAAAAAACGCATTGCAGATGGCCTCGTCAACGCGTGTATAAAACTACGAAAATTTCGAAACTTCCCTCGAGCGCTTCGATCGTCTCTTCAGAAATATTCTACGATTTTGATCGATGACGATCTACCATTATCAATCAAGTGAATAAGGGATAGCAAAGATTAACCGCAAGAGAAACGCTGTTAGAGCCGTTCACCAATGGCTTCTCTAGTAGTTCCACCGTTAACTGTTACTCCGATCTCGGATTCTGATATTGAACTACCAACAGTTCAAATCAGCGATCACGATGAAGACGAAATATCAAAGAGAGATGAGAAGGAGGAGCAAACATCGTTTATCAAGAAACAGGAGACGCCTAAGGACCTGCTAAGCGTTCCGCAGCACTCTTTTATTCCACGGAAATTATCTAGGTCATTATCAATTTTTTCCGGCCTCAGCATGATTGACTCGGAAGACGAGTATGAGAAGAGTATATTTTCTTCCTGTGAAAAAGCCAAATTGTGTACTTTGACACTGTACTCGTGGCTGGGGCTCTTGACAATAGGCTCTGCTGTAACGTTGGTTGTCGTTGGAGTTTTACTAGTAGATCCTTGGGTTGAGGCCTCTCGTTTCGTCTCTTCAACATGTATTGCTGATAATCTGCGGCTGAAAGGAGAAAGGAAATGTACGTGTGGAAAATCCTGTGCTTCTACGTATCTTTGCATTCATCTCGAGGTCAAGTTCATCGACCATCGGAACAGCCCAAAACGAGCAATTCTAAAAGAAAATGAAGTAAATTTAGTGAACGAGGTGCGTCACTGTAAAACGATAAATTTAATCATGGGTAGCCGTTGATAGAAATTGCTAATCAGCCTGATATAACGGCACGCGATACATTAAGAGAAAAAGGATATAAGTAATCTAGCGATTCACTACTCAGGAAGTATAGAATGTAAAGTACATCGTTTTATTTAGTGTATATATATACATAGTTAACGTCAAAACGCAGAATGTATATATTTATATATATATATATATATATATATATATATGTATACAGTATATATAGTTATATATATATATATTAATATATATACAGTATATATATATATGCCATAGATATACATTTATATATTTAAATATATAGAGCATATATATACAGTCCTCACATTTACTTTAGCAAATGGAAGAGAGCGAACGAAGCGTTACTTCTTGCACAATTTTTATCAAAAGCTACTCATTGTGCCAAGCGAGAGAAAACTATCAAAAGCTCTAGACGGTTTTTGAAGTAGACACTTGTTAGATAATGGGAAAAAGCCGAACGAAGAGCAGCGTTGCGAATATATAGGTTTAATTCGACTGTGACGTCTCCTTTAAATTGTATTTCCGCCATTGTCATTATTGAAGTTCTAAAAGGAAGTGTCAAGAAGACGAATCATTCTTTAAATTAATATATTCTAAACCGCTTGTTTATTCTTTCTACGATTCATTGATTGTTACGTTCTTTCATTCCTAAAATGCTTTAGCTGAAGACTATAAGAAGCTTATAAAAGTTTATCGCTTCCATCTTTTTTCATTGTAGACCACGTCGATTTATCGGACGTTTGCATTTCTATATATACAATATATATATATATATATATATATATATATATATATATATATACATATATATATATATATTTATATATATATATACAGTATATATGTATATAGATGTATAGGTATACTGCAAAAGAGACGAAAGACAGATACATCTTTACATTAGGAAAAAAAGAAAGAATAAGCAAGAATGAGAAAGAGAAAGGTTTAAAAAAAGATCTAACAAAAGTAAATGACAAATAATAAAAGTCTATATAAGTAAAAGATAGAGTGATGGGACTGAGTGAATACGTGGCTAAAAGATTGACAGGGCCATTGACAAACAAACAACTTGCTTTTTCTGCCTACATTTTATATAGACAGTAGATGGCGCCTCAATGCAATCTTAGTTTACTATCTTGTGTATAATAAATTTTAGAATTAGCGTCCGATTAAGTTCAAAGTGTATTTACCAAAGAGTTGCTAATGTATTTTTCTTTTGCGTATCTTTCTTACAGTGCTCGTTCGTTCCAACCTGTCAAAGTTCAAAGGAAAAGAACCAAATGGCCGTCAAGAACTACAGGAACGAATTTGCAAAAAAGGGTACTCTAATATCATGCCTGTATAATCCAGCCGATCCAACGAAAGTGATTCGTTACCGTCGCTATAAATTATCAGATGTTGTTCATGGTTTATTATGGCCTTCAGTTATTTTACTTTTATCATTTACTTTAGTCATTTTATTCTGGAGACGTAAGAAAAGGAAGAGTAGGTCAGATGAAATAGCTAAGAACGTCTAAATTAAGTTCTTATTTCTTTTGTTACCGTTATTATTGTTCTTTTGCCCTTATAAAAACTAAAAAAATCGCTCGTAGCTACTGCGAACCTTGCCAGTCTGCAACTTGTCACTATTTTTAAAGAGATAATAAACCTACGAAATGTCCTTACAATTCACGGTATGACGGTATATAACGCTACTGCTGTACTGGACTAATCGAATTAGGCTTGCATGATTGCCCCATATAAGTAACGTTTTGTCGTGTTGACGCCTTGGTCGTTTTTTATTTGCAAAGAAACATGATGAAGCTGATTGGAAAAATAATATTTTCTCTTTTCGCTCTTTAAGACAAGAAGAGAAAAGAAGGGAAATAAAAGGAAAGAAAACCTGTCTTAATATTTTATGAAAAAGAAAGAATTTTGTTTCTAACGAAGGTTGAGGAATTCGAGAAGCAAAATAAAAGGGAGAGAGAGAGAGAGATTTTCAAGTACGTCTGAGTCTCATTTAGTTTATTTGCATTTTTTTCCCATTTACAAGAACTTGAATTCCAGTCACAAATCATATAGACAAGTAATAATAAAATATATTTGATACGTTGTTGAATATTATTGAAATAAATTTTTCCACCTAACCATTGAAGATTATATGATTATTTTATATCTTTTCTTCTGTCTACAATAGTTTCATTATCTCTGTCACATTCTCCTTCTCCCTCTCTAAAATTCAATGCAGGCGACATTTTTATTTCTTTATAAGTAACACCTGCGAGGTGAATGAAGGGAAAAATCTCATTAACATCACGTTAATCTTCTTTAATTATTAATTCATCAAATTAATATACATCTTAATCAGATCTTTTTATTTTTGTTGAATTAATCAAGTATAAAAACTGATCAATTTAAGAATACAACTAACTCATGACTGACTAACCTTTACTATTGAAAAAGCTTCTTTTCAGTTCATTAATTAATATGGCTTGGAAAAAAAAGGCCGTTAAAAGTTAATAAGCTGATCAACATGATATTTATATTAATGAGATATAGTATTTTTACTACGTTGTCTTAGTTTCCCAGGGAGAAGACAGAAATTAATTTAATTAATGAAAAAAGAAAATTTATGGTGAGCTATATCTGTAAAAAATACCCCCTTGGCTACGTGACAAACACTATGGAAATAAATAAGAACTATATTTTATATAATGGTCATAAATAATTAATAATTTAAGAGGAAAAGTAGTACAATCCCTATGATAAATCCAATAATTCTTCTTGCATATCTTTAAGATAAATGAGGTAAGACGGGGACTAGAATTTCCGGAAGTACTATTAATGACAAGTACGTTTAGAGTATTTAGAATGTAGAATTTGGTTATAGAGCTCATTTTCATGCATAAAAATACTATTTTCTTCCCTAATTCATTCCCTTAATGACGTGAAGATTTGGATTATGACGGAATTTTCATAAGAAACTTTTGAAGCAAGAGACTCTTTACTTTGGATAAAAATCCTACTAATCCTTTTATGCCATTCATTTTCTCGTATTATGAGTGAAGAATGTAAAATCTCTTTGAAAGGCTATTATTGTCTACATTTAATGATTTAAAGCCTTGTTAATTCGGCTGAGAAATATATGCTCAAAAAAAAAGCAACTATATCTCTTATATACATAAATGGCTATTTACCTGGTGCGATAAAGTATTTTATAGAATTTTTAATTGCTTCCCTTTTATATACTGTGCTCTTAAGGTTCGTAGTGATATTTCCCAACTTTTCAAAGGAGAATGAGAGAGAAAGGTGAGACTTAAATCAATATATTCGTGACCGAGAAAGCTTTAATCCTTATCGGATTTCTATTAATTACAATAATATATTATTCATAAATTTATTGAAAAGGGAAAATTATACTTTAAACGTCATTTTCAAATTCTTAGGATAATCTAAAAATGAGTTTTTTCTTCCCTTCCAGCCGATTTCGCCTTTCCTCCTCCCTGCCCAATTTCTTTCAATTTGTAGAAATAGAGAATCTCCAAAGGAATTATTATTAGTTCTACAAATGGAATTTCTGTTGTCATCAATCATTACAAGCAAAAGTTTTGTAGTCATTGCATATTTTTATACAGTTAATAATTTTGATTATAAACATTTATCCTGATCAATAATAATCTGGTTTATGCTTCTTAATAATCTCAATAAGCACGTATTGAATTGTTGATAAAAAAAAAACACAAAAACATAGATATTGTATTAATTATTTAAAGAAAATTAATATGAAAATTTAAAGATTACTAGTAAAAATTTAGAGATTATTCCTTTATTTTGTTATATAAGTTAATAATTTTGCTATTCATCGTGCGTTGCTCCTACGAGCATCATTGCTAGAGCTTCTCAACCTTGTTATATCATAGAGAATCTCTTCAGATTCGATCAATTCCTTTGTCCTTGAAGTTTCCATATTGTTTCTTTTTTTATATAGTTTTCCTTTTTAAACTCTTTCAAAGTCTAAACTTAAGATCTTATCCAAAAACTATAACGTTGTTTGTATATTTATAGATTAGTATATAATAAACGAGTGCTTGCATAAACCACTGTTTTAGCATTCTATAAAGAATGATGCAATGCAAATAGAAAAGCATATCTTTCGCAACAAATGTATATGTACATTTATTTATTAAGGTGCACAGTGCACTATTACTCAACTTCCATAAGAGACGAGAAAAGGGTTAAAAGCAACTTGTAACTCTTTAATAGTAATCTTTCTTGATAGCTTGTTTTATTAGTAAAAAAAACCTTTTTTTTTCTCTATTTTCAAAGACCCTAGGCTAAAAAATCTGCTTTCTCTTATTTTACCCAAAGCTATTTAAAGTTTAAAAAAATTCATTGGCTACAGTGAAATTTACTGAATTAAGAAAAATGAGCCAAGGAAATTTTCTGTACAATCTAAATTATAGATAAAATTAGAAAGCGAATTTTCCTTTTGAAGCTGATAAAAAGTAAAATTTACAGAAACGTTGTATAACCTTGTCCCATATGGGCACAACCTCGTTGTTTAGGCCTACGGAGGATTGTGCATTCCGCTCTAAAAGGAAAAACAAACTGCTGAGAAATTAGTAAGTAAAATGTTAGATATATACGTTTGGGTGCATGGCACTGCAATGCACCGAACGCTTAACACCATGAATAAATCAATGAAGGCAACGCGGGTAAAGCTTGTGACCTCTCTCGTAGAACGCCACCTATCGGCGTAAATCAATATCACCTACGTAGTCACACACACACAGTGCTGTATATAGTACTGTCGAGTTTGTGGATTCGGTCGGCGGTAAAAAATGTTCAAACAGGTATGTTATCAGATCGTTATTTATAAATGGATTGCTATTGTGAGTAAATCGGCTTTGTTTCGGGATAATACATCTATAATCTGGCATCTTTTGGCCATGTCTCGATAGCAGGTAAACGCCGCACGTGTTTATTATATATGCAATAGACCTTATTCGGGTAAGTAATAGCGTGAGTTAATAGAAGAAAAATCGAAATTTGACGCTATAAAATTGACTAATGAAAATGAGAAGGTGAGCGAAAAGAGAGATGGTAGAGACAGCGAGATATACATAGACACGGTTAGCAAGAGATGGAGACAGAGACACACTGAGAGTGAGAGGCTAGCGAACAGCGAATAAGAGAAGCTGAGAGAGCAGAGTTAAAATGAAGGAGGGACACCACGTATTTCTCTCAATTCGCAGTCTGCAACAAAAAACGACTATAAACGAACGTGATATAAATCTTCTATTAATGCTTCTCGCCTAATTAATCAACAGCCTATACTCTGTTGAAAGTAGAATAGGGCGTTGGAAAGAATGGAAAAGACAGCTTCGGGGTTTTGCGCTTTGCACTCGTCTGGTGTATTTTGCTTATTGGATATATGGAAAAATGACTAGGGAATCAAATTGAATTTACGATAGACCAATAAATACTGCATCTGAAGTCAAAAGTTGAACTGACCGATCCAGGATACAATTTTCACAATTTACCATTGCTTATCATTATTTAGATTAGAAAGAGAATGCGATAAATGGTATATCCTATATAATTTAGTTTATTTTTTTTTGAACCAGCGCCATCTGCAGCAGATAATTAGGTAGTTAATTGAAAAATTTCCACTTTCTCTATACTGGCACCGGTAATCAATTATGGGCAATTGATGTCAAAATTTTATTGATTTACGTAAAATTTCGTGTCTATAAAATAATACAAGTTTACTCAACAAATTATTTGCTGTCTATTAATCGAAAAAGGCCACACATCATTTAATATAGCGTTTGATTGCTTGTTGTTACTATCTTCTTAATAATGACCGACCTTGTCCGTCTCTAGAAAGTTAATCAGAAGAAAAAAAAATAAGAGTTTATACGGCTTTCATACAATCGAAAGAAAGCTGCTTTTGAAAGACTTTATCCTAATCTGCGCGGCGTTTTTTTTTCCTTAAATACATTCGAGGAACGTTTTACGGAAGCGTTGAAAAGTAGTGATTTTATACGGGAAAATTCAAATAAGATTTTTAATATTCTATACTACATCTCTTATATATTTATACAGTAACGCTCAAATGGGTAGTTGTCTATCAAAACAAGGCCGACGAAAGGAGAGCGTTGGCGAGAATTACAGGCCATTTGACACCGCACTAGATGGATCAAATAAGACTGAAACCATCGTAAGTTGCGCTCCAAAATTTTCATTGTCAATCGATACAGTATCTTTCTAGTATACAATTAAACCTCAAATTTGATCGATAAGGAAGCGAAAACCTGCATAACTGAGGATAAAAACAGTGCGGGCTTAGAGAAATTGGCTCTGGATATTGTGCAATCGGCTACGAAGGAGGCTCTGAAGATCGCGGCTTGTAAAAAATCGAACGATGTAAGAACGAATGGCTGTAGTGAATTCGATCAGAAAGACGTCAACAAGTCTCTTTGTCAAGATGACGTCATTTTGGTGTGCGAAGAGGAAGGCGAGATAAAACGTTCTAATGAAGGTAATAAGCATTCGCATCATCCTTTTTTTTATATATGAGCTTATATATATGTGGCACTTTGTATTATAAAAACCTTTTATGACTGTGTACAATTTTTCCTTATAGAATCGGAAGAGGATAAGTTGCAAAACGTCGCCGCAGAGATTGTGCAAAATAGCGTGCAATCGGCTTGTAAGGTAAAGAAAAAAAAACAGAAAAAAAAAAATTACAAGTTCTGCAGTCACCGACATAAATAAGGAACAATTACCCTAGTTTTCGGTCATAATATTCCGTTCCGATTATCTGGCACAAGAATATCATACAGGAATCTAATATATTACCACCCATAGTCAATAACTGATTTAAGCTTACGTTCTGTATTCTTTTGTAATTTTTTTTCATTAGTCATTCTTTTTTTATCATTTCATTAATCAATATTTTTATACCCTCTTGGCGACAATTTTGTAATTTCTTCTCTCTTTTTTAGGGCCAAAATCCTTTTGCCAATATATTTTTTTATGTAGCACATTCGTATGTGGATAAAAAAGAATCTTGGCTAAATTTAATATTCGACATTCTAAAGCGCCCCCTGTCCTCTTCATAAGACTCTGACAGACAAAAATTTGTTTTATTGCAAATGAACTTGATCTAGAATCATCATCCATGAGGAAGTTATGCCAAGTATACCAACGAAATGCTACAGATCTACGTCAAACGAACTACTCAACGAAATCGGCTTACTTCGCTTATAATTGAGTTGAATAGTAGAGGGCGCTAAAAATAATCTAGTCCCATACAAGTCATAATTACACTCTCTTTCCCCTCTTCTATTTATCCTTCACTCTTCTCTCTTCCTTTAGCTCATAAAAAACTAGAGAGAAAACAAATGTATATAAAAAAGAGGCTATAAGTTTTTAATAACATTCGAAACTAATAAAATAGGCGAAAACCTAATGAAGTGAGTCGTCTTATTAATAAATATAGGATAATAAATTTTCTAGAAATAGTTGTAGTTATAAGCGAATAAGGGTTTTTATGTCGAGTGTATCTGATTTATAATAAATATTTATCTTATCTTCTGGCCAGATTGTTTTCGAGGAAAAAAGCAGAGAAATACGTTTAAATGACGAAGATTCAGCCAAGAAACACGAAATACAAACGCGATTGCGAAGCCTTGCAACTTTTTGCGAACCTCTTCAATGCCGAGCCGTCCTAACACCCAATACTCGTGTAACAACATTGAAAAATATCGACAAATGGCTAACGTTCGGCCCCGAGCAAGTATTCGTCTTACACGGAGAAAGGGGAACAGGAAAAACTAGTGTATTATCGGAAATGTGTAGACGGAAGAATGCCAAAGCAACTCATTTCTTTCATTGGTGTGCTCCAAATTTGGATCACAACGAAGTATGTTACGTTCTGCGTTCTTTTGCCCATCAACTCTGTGATGCGGTGCCAGACTTTGTTAGTCGTTTACCGGAATTTGATGATGTTGAACAAATACTTGCCTGTGCCGATGTGAACGAACTTTTACAAAAGCTATTAATAGAACCCCTAAACGAATCGGTCACTACTCCTCTACTGCTTTTAATCGACGCCATCGATCAATGTAGTGACGCCTGTACAATGTCACAGTTAGTTGGTCAACTTGCCGCTAATTCATCACGATTCATTAAAGTACTCGTGTCTTGTAAAGGTCAGCATACTGCTAGTCTCATCGAGCAGTGTGGAGCAACAGTAAAGAGCGAGGAATTACCCTCGTCTGGAAAGGAAGTACTAGCGGATATGAAGAAAATTTTCTGCGACCAATTGTCACCATTTATGGATAAAATCAGCCTGGACGGCGGTCTAACAACATTAGCTAATAAGGCTAATGGAAATATGCTCTATGCTAGAATTGTCAACTGTGCCCTAAGGAGGCTAGATCCAGAGTGTACAAAACTAGAAGTAAGAGACGTTCAAACTATGTTTCCCGATGGTTTACAGGCTCTCCTAGCCAATACCTTTAATGGAATACGTTGCGGAGTCTCAGTAAAAGAATATGAGCAAATGATTGCCCCTTTGGCTTTAGCCCTAGAACCCATCTCATCCGCCTATATACAACATGTTCAAACGGCTTTCGATGATCCCCTGGAAGCATTACTCGATGTAATAATTGAAGAAAAGGGTGAAAATGAAGGGAAAATTAGTTTATGTGGTTTAGCAGTTGCCGAATGGTTATTAGACGTTGAGGGGGAATGCGCTGTGCATGTAGATAATGCTCAGAGCCATGTGGCTGAACTCTGTGCCAAGTGGGCGTCTTCCAGGCAACATCTTCCATTGCATGAATATGCTTTAAGAAGAGGAATTAGGCATATGGTAGCTGCGAAACATTGTAAACACGTTGCCACTCTTTTGACAAGTATGGAATATCTTCAACGTAAAATGGCTCTAAAGTCTGTTAGATTAACTCATCTTCTACACGATTATTTACTAGCAGAAAGCCTTATCGAAACGGATATTACGCAAAAGGTCGCCCCTTGGGCGACGTTCGTTAGAGAGACGTCAGCATTACTCCGCTTGAGCGGCAAATGTGTTGTCCAAGTAGCTGCCAATATGGCAGCTAACGCCTCAGTAAAACAAGCTGCAAGGACTTATTTGAAGCATAAACCGTGGTTAGAACATATTGCTGGTATATCTCAAACCCATTGCTACACGATTTTAGCTGAGGAAAGGATAGTAGCTGTAGATTCATCCCCCGACGGTCTGTCGATAATTGTCCTTACTCAGGACGAAACATCGCAGGCTGTTAGTGCATCGTTAGTTGATTGTGCAACAGCCCATTTTAAAGGGCCACCCCTCAACCTAAAATCTATTCGACAACGTTCGACAAATAGTGCTCATTGGCTACCAGACAATTCTGCCATTTTTGTTGGCTCTTTTGTTCAACTGCTGGCGCCTGCTGTCGGGGGCCGCTTAAAACCAGTTACTGGTTTTGACCCCGGTTGCTTAAAATTATCCGACGATTATTCTATAGACTGTTCGTCCTGTTCTACCGGAAATTTAATTTGCGGTTTTACAGATGGACAAAAAAAGCTTGTCGCTGTATTCGACGTCATAGCGAGGCGTTGTGTGCATGCGGAACAGATTGATTGCGAAAAGTTGATAGCTGTTTGTTCAGACACCCAAACTGTTGCGGTTCTGATTGAAAAAAGTGGAAAGAACAAGTTAACAGTATGGAACAAGAGTGAATGGGAACTAATAAGTCAAGTAGACGTAGACTGTAAGCGAATTAGTAAAATAACATTCTTCCAAGACTCTATATTAATGGGATCATCGTTGTTGTCGGAAACAAGATTGAAAACACTGCGCTACTCGCTGGAAGACAAAACTGTTAAAGCATGGACGGAGGAAGAACAGTCGTCACTCTTTCATTCGACGGCAGATGGCACTTGTGTATATGCTATCTGGAAAAGAAAAAAAGCAAGCTCATTGTGCACTATGCGAATATGGCAAAAGAAAGTGGAGAGTGTTTACCGCTTAAAACATTGTACAGCTAGTCAAATAGACGCTGTGTTATCTATTAGGGAAGGGGCCGCTTTCATATCTCCTCAGGCTATACGAATCTATCATATTGATGATTTAGAAAAAGAGGTATCTATACAAGATTCACAAGTTCATCTTGGTGATTTAGATGTACTAAGCGTAACTGTATTGCCATCATCAAACCAAATCTTACTAACGTCTAATTTGTTCGGACACGATGACGTTTTAATTTCGCTCTGGGATGTTCAGAGTTCCAATCTAATAGCCTCCGTCACTCTCCAAGTCTCTAGGGTTCGGCTCTCGAATGATCATCCTCCTATGCTCAGGGGACTTGGTCATTCAAATAATACGTGTCACACTTCACCAAAAGCAGATAAATTCTGTTTGGCATCCAATGATGAGCTAATTGTGTGGAAGGTGGATGATAAGCCAAAACGTATACCTAGGCATGACTTGTCTCTAATTTGCTCGAGTGCAAGCGAGTCTCTTATAGCTATGGCCTCGGAAAGTGAAGAACAAATTCTAGTCATAAGTTTAGAAGATGATGATAGTGAATGTAGCATATCTTATTCAGAAGACGGCCAACTTGATGATCTCATATTCCTCAACGTACCCGGTTGCCCTCTTTTATCGTCTCATTCAAATGGAAATGTTTTATGTATAAGACACTGGCAAGACGAAAAGGATAAAAAATACAACATCTTTAGGAATGTTTGTTTTGTCAGCGTCTCCCCTTGTTCAGATCGCTTGGTCATTGGTACCAAAGAAGACGATTTATATATGCAATCGTCCGACTGTCAATTCGATAAACGCTTACAGACTAATTCTGAGTGGATAAGTCACCGAGGACACGTCGAATTTTCTCCCGATGCCACAACGCTTATCGCTACTTCTTCCAGCTTTTGCCGATTATGGAACGCCGACAATGGTGATGTTCTGCACGACATCGACTGTAATTTTCCCTACTTGATCGGCTTCGTCAATAATACTCACGTTTTGTTTTACGACGGTATAATGATGGTGATTATGGACGTGGCAAGCAGGGAGGAAAAAGTTCATACGCCTCTTACCGAATGCCTGCAGTACGTGCCTTCCCTAAATCCGCTAATCGCTACAAGAGGTGGCGCTATTACTGGGGTTTGTGAGATTTCAAAGCGGCTAGTCGTTCTAAGGACTCATAATCTCCCCTCGGCAGCGAGACAGACAACGCTACAACGTATGAAGAGTATAACGAAAAAAGAAAGGAAATGATATTACAAAAAAGTAACGATTCTGAAAAATATGACTAAGATGATCATGATAATAATAATATGAATATGAATAATAATGAGAATCATATCAATGAATTATATATAGACATATTTCTAGTATGTATGTATACATAAATATATGTATATCTATATATACCAAAACTTATATATATATATATATATATATATATAAATATATAAATATATACAGTTGGCATATTGTTCACTGTATATATTGTTTATTTATATATATTCTTGCAAAATCCTCTTGATACAATTGATTTTTCTTCATTTAATGTTTCTCTTCAAAAAGTTGGAATACTTTCTGTTCTTCTATATTATTATTTTTTATCTTTTGGAAAGTTTTTAGAGACGTTTAAGGGATGATTATTAAAATCAACAATCATTGATGGGAAATTGTGTACGTACATGAGGAGATATAGATTTTCAATGTGTTTTTTATAGATTTTGACTAAATTTTATTTGTAATGTGACATCATGACTAGAAATATAATATAAAGCACTAATAAAAGACCTATCAATTATCATCTTTTTAGAGAAAAGCAAGAATTTCTTCTTTTGATAAAGTTTAATTCAAAATAGATTATTAGTAATGGGCTCGTTAATAATGCGAGGCCATTTAATAAACATTGTTTATATTTTGTTTATATATAATTCATTTATATCATCATGACAAAGTAACTGTTTAAGCAGAGTTAGGAACAAGCTATAGCAACGAAAATGACGATTCAAGTGCAATCAACCGGTTAGTGTTAACGACTAAATGACACAGTAAGAGTGGTCAATAGCTAAACATATCTGTATTTGTATAATTATATCAAACAATACAAGTCTGTTACAAAAATTTCTTCCTAAGCTAATTCTTTCTTTACCCATCAATAAATCATTTCTTTCTAATCAACCAAAGCAGTAATATCCAATATATTGGTGTTCCGATTAGTAAATGTTTAACTGTTCGAATTCTGAGGTAAATATCATTGATTAAGTATCGATTTAGGCGATTGAAGACAGGCTATTTGGGTAGTGATTAGCATATTCCATTCTAGTAAGTGAAACACTAGAATTGACCGAGTTGCTTATGGAACGTCCGTGAGTTAATTTTGTCAGCGGCTTTTTTTTCAATGCTCTTTGACCTTGTTGGATTTTCCTATTTCTAGCTTTCAGCTTACTTGCATAGATAAGAGCGGAAATACTTATCGCCACTCCCAATACTAGAACAATTGGACCAGACAATTGTTTTTTCTTTGAGGAAGGTTCACTTACGCCAAACGCCGCCATTAAAATGAATCTAAATATCATAGAATTATTTCATATATTGCGTCTATTCTCATTTTTATTTTAGGTTAGATTAGGAAAATATTTCCGTAATGGACTACTATTACATCACTCAATCTTTAAAGTCAAGTAAAAAGATTTAAAGAATAGGTAAACGACGACACGCGAACTTACGCTGTAACACATATACATACTCCAAACGCTAAGAGTCCGAATGCTGGCAAAGTACTTGAACTTACAGCTACGGCTGGAGCTTGATGATCCCTTCTGTCTCCGTATCTTCTATCCATTAACAAAAAACGAAAGGGATTGCTCTCTTAATTACGTCAGTTTTATCAAACAATTACTAGAGTGACGCTCATGTTTATCGCCTATTCATAATGAATGTGGCGTCGCTCTTAACTCATAGTTTTTAAAACGTCACCGATCGAATAAAAGAGGCGTGTTTTTCCCTTTCTTCCGCTAAAACAATATTTGCCAATCGTTTCGTCGAATATTCCTAAAGTCTTATTTTCAAAAGACGGAAGGATAGCCATTCGTTTTTTTCACCTATTTCTTTAAAGTCGCTTTGCTCTAGGCCTGTAAAACGGAAGAGCTTCCGTCCAATCCTAGTTGCTTTTAACCGATCATTAGACAGCTCTTAGAAATTGACCCTAAAAAACCAATGACCCAATTCCATTATTTAATGGAGAATTATTCACGAATTTACACGAAATTAGTCAAGTAAAATGTCAATTCGGTATTTCGTGCAGTCGTTAATCGAATTGAATACGGATGGAAGACGTCAGAATCTATTAATTCGACCGGGATATTTCTTTTTTTTTTGTATTTATTTGAATAATAAAAGGTAAAATTAAAAGCAAAAATAAGAGACAATAAAAATATTTCTTTTTGAAAATCATATGGAAAACAAATAAAGGAATGAAATGAAAGGTTTTCCTCATTTTATTCACTGACACTTCGAAAGACTTGATTCAATACTACATCTAGTTTACAATTTTAATTTTTAACAACATTCTCTTATTAATCATTCAATTAACGCTTTAATTAAAGACATGAAAATAGCACAGACGAACACAAGGCTTTTAGATATTAGTAAAGGTCGACAAATCGTATTCTAATTCAGCAGGTTCCAACATACTCATTACTTCGCTCATTTCCTGCTGATTTCCAGACGAATTATTCGACTGATTAGCCGCAGATTGTTGTTGTTCCTGAGCAGCTGAGCTGGATGTAGCTGGGGTCGGAGTTGCCCAATGCCACGAACTGTCGTAATTTGAAGTGGTTGACGGATTTGTCAGCATCGAGTTCCACGCCGATTGCTTAATCAAAGGCGTCATCTGCTGAAGAGGGGCATAACCTTGAACTTGTGTCATGGCTCTTGTATAGATTTCCGCATCGATGACTTCTGATGTTGAATTCAATCTTTCCGAGCTCTGATCGGCATTCGTCGGACTATTTTGCCTGTAACAAGAATAAAATGAAACGGTAACGCAATGTTGGTCTTCGGATTTGTTAAATCCCCTTGGGAAGGCGTTTAATACCTTACTGCTGTGTTTGTCGACACGATATACTCGACTTGGTCCGTATAAGGATTTTGAAAACTAAAAGAGCAACTTTTAATCCATACCCATTCTCCACTCTTGCTACGCATTCTAAATGCTAACGACATCATCTGACCTTTAAGTTTGAGAACTGAACAAATCTCTTTTATAATAACAATTTTTTTTGAAACAGTATTCTCTTACCGTGATCGAAGCTCTCTTTTACTTGATTCTCTTCTTCCGGATGGCAGAATTCGTGCAAGTACTTTCCGAAAAACTCTTGTGGTTGATAGCCAAGCACTGACACTACTCTGTAAAATTGACCGGGCGTTAATTAGACGCTTCGTTAGTCCTATAGACAAACCTCTGATCGACAAATGTAAATTTACCATCAACTGAGTGTCTTGAAATATAAGTTGATGCTCCTGTTGAATTCATATCTGAAACACTCGGTGATGATGTAACTTGTAGACGACCTATTCCTACAAGGCAACAAGAGGATTGTAGATCATCATCCTGTCCATTCGCACCTCTATCCATTTGCATTGCAGACAAAGACCAATTTTTCAAGTAACCCGTCACGTGGACAATAGCGTATTGTTGGCCGTCAGGTGATTGACCAAGAGTGTTTAATTGGCGAAGACGCACCGTGTGATTGGATATCATTGGATCGACAGGTACATTTCCGATTTTCATCCGGCAAATGAAACCTCTTCGGGAACTCATGCATAATCGCATAGACGCTGCGTAAAAAAAAATATATGCATTCGCAATGTTTACTCTTCGCGATGTCATACTGTCTACTTACATTGATGACCTTCCTTCTTTAAAGTACCAGCTATAAAGGCAAATAAGCAAACAATGATTTAATGATTGTTAAAACAAAAGTAAAAGTAAAGAAATATGAGTTTTAGTACACAGCGTATGTTTTACATTGTTCATATAAAGTTTTGTAAGTATATCAATAAATATATATATATGTATATATATATATGTATGTACTGTATATAGACTTAGGGTAAGTAAATGGGGTATACTTTTTAAATCCAATATTCTTCCGTTACTTTGTGACTCAGACGTTGATAATTGCTCACGAAGTTTTGCCGTGTCATCAGGATGTACGAGGTCGTATAATGACGAGGCCGAATACCAAGCTTGCTATATTGAGATTTATATATTCATATATTTTTCTTTGCGTAATGCATATTTTAATAGAAAGTGAAGAAGGTTATACATAAAAATAGGAAGAAAACTTTTGTTTATAATGATTTTTTATATTATTTTCCGATTTTTTTCTTCTGTCACCTCTTTTTACTCTAGAAATCTTATGCGAAACTTAAAAGTATTGAAAACAGATTCTCTAGAAACTTGCCTGAGTCTGATTGAGTACTGGTAAAACGGAATCCGACACGTAAATCACTCTGCCCGTATCACATTGCGCAACAAAAAGAAAGCCGTCTGCAGCCTATAACAAGATTAAATACATTTCCTTCAATTAACGAGACGAAACTATAAAAATAGATCTAATTACTTCTAATATCAAATGTTTTAACTCCTGGTCAGTAAGAAATGACGGTTTATACGAGCCATCATTAGTCGTATTACCGGTTCCTATAAAAAGAAAAGAAAAGCTTTAATAAATATCATTAATAGCCTTTTATTTAGAGATAATAAACCCTGTAAAGTCTTCATATGAGCTACAGCTAATCTCAAAATCGTTAGCTTGTCGGGTTTTCTGGCAAGGGTTGAACAAGCGGGCACCATATCGCATAATTCATTAACGTAAGTCGCCATCTTACTCCTCCTACGACGTTCAATCTCGCAATGACTTTCTCTGCATGAAAAGATCAATACAAAAGTTAAACATCTTTTCAATCTATTTAATGGACATTGCCACCTTGCTAATCTCTCCTTATCCGTGATTTCTCCGTTATCCCCAAACGCCGTCTCATCTTCTTCAGATCTTTATAAGGAGAGTGAAAGAAATAAAAATGCGAAGAAAGTAAGCGAGAGAGAGAGACAGAGAGAAAAACAGACAGAGAGAGAGAGAGAGGGAGACAGAGAGAAAGAGAGAAAGACAGAGTTAAATACAAGTAATAACTTCTTCTGCTTGGTTAATTAGATATATTATATTTATATATATAGTCTTAATAATATATTTATTTATTTATTTATATATTACTAATACAATATAATATGTAATAAATTTATATATATATACATAACTTTAGTACTTACTCCTTATCACTAAGTTTTCTTTTGCCTTTTTTACTTCTATCACCTAAAAAAGAAAATATCAGTAAATGAAATTCGAGATGAATCGTGACTTTCAAAGTAATCTTCGTGCTGGAGAAGTTTAGATGCAAAATTCTCGGACAACACCCACTTAGTAAATCACGATACCGTTCTATTGACCAAAATTGACTATTGAACAATTTTTCTCACTAACGTACCGGCATTATAGGCGGGTTGATGTTGTTGAAGATTATGATGATGATCGATAACAGAATAATACGTCTGTGGATTATGCGAGAACTCCATGTTCGCCCTGCATAGCTACAGCAAAGTGCAACGAAGCGCCGCTGTAGTCGCTCTACAGAGTTTCTATGGCAACCATTCCGTTCTCTAATTACGGTCAACGTTACCGGACAAACTTTTACCTGCAGCCGAAGAAAAGACATTGTGCTGCACTCCTTTGTAAAAATTATAATTCGAAGAAAGGCATAATTGTTAATAAGGATACAGACATGCCTCTGCGCAATTAATTAAAGTACCAATTAATCAATCTAGCTTCTAAAAAACTAGTATTGTAATTGGGGGGTTTCGATCTTTATCAAAGCTGAATATCTCTCTAAACGCGTGTTAACAGGTGTTTTTATAATAATTTCCCCTTTTTATTCTGAAAAGTTTATGTAGGAAGAGACTAGAAACGCCTTTGAAGTGTGCATTAACGGCGACAAAGCGCAGATGGCGGCAAATTTTCCACTGCCATCTGCATTCGTTGACGAGTTAAGTTTTTACGCTGAGATAGTAATTTACCTGTTTCAGAATCGAAATAATCCATTGTTGCTAACAAGAAATTTATTCTAAAGCGTAAAATGTTTTATTAGCAGACGATAATAAGCCTAGCAAAAGTGATAAAATTTTGTAGTTCCGCATTATCGTCCAATAGCGGACCAATAGATATTGGCGCCTATTTTCAAACAGTGCTTTGATGTTAGGTTATACGTTAAACTATGAGAGACTTTTAGTTATGTTTATCACGTATAATTCCTACATATATTTAGAATACCGACCATAAAAAGACTGAAATTTGACAGAATAAAAATTTCAATGAAAGTTTTTTTAACCATTTTTTCCCTACTCTCTTTTTTTTATAGTCCATCAATTGAAAAAGATCAAAACGTCCTCTTGTATGGTTAATAATAGCACGTTTTATGTCGCTCATAATTTATTGGAAGAGATTTTGTTTAACCCATTAAAGTAAGGGGATAGAGAGAAGAAGAAAAGCGAGAAGCAAAAGAAAAGAGAGAAGGGGAGAGGGAAGAGGGGAGAAAATTCGATAATTTTATCCTGTACTAAATTGAATGTTATAGAATTTTAAAACTCAAAGAGAATTAAGGAACAAGACTAAATATTTTTTAGATACAATTAAATCTTTTAATCACTAACTAAGCTCTCTTTGTAATGTACATCATATATAGAATTAGATTTATTGATATGTACATTAATACATAAGAAGAGAAGAAAAAGGACATTTTTATGTGATCCTAGTATTCTAGGACAATGTGATGCAGAAATTCCATCAGTTTATAAAACCACGCCTTTACATTACTTTTTACAGAGAGAAATCGATCTGAAATTGAACCGGTAGGACTAATGCGCGCTTAGTATGCCTAAAGAAAATTAAATTTCTCCCCTACAATAGTCTGGGTTCGATCGATTCAATTGATAATCATTAAAGCCGGACCATTCGGTTTGACGCCGTTCAAATACGTACCTTGATTTAAAAAGTTCGATTTTTCAAAATAATTCTCTATCGACTATAGAATATTTAGTTCAATTATTCTCTCTATTGTTCATTTTTCTCTATCATGTGAATAAATGTCATTAATTGATTTACTAAGCGCTTGAAAGGAGTTTAATTGGTCTTGAAAGTGACTTTTCAACGATTTTGGGTTCAGGTGGCCGAAAATTAACAACTCTCTAGGGGTTCCTTCGAGAGACGCTCTTTTTGAAAAATTTATAAGGCGTCAAAGAGCTATCCCTTTCAAAATGAAAGTTCTGTGTTCGATACACACAATCCATCAAAAGTCGAAACATAAACGTTGCTGAAATATTTAACGACAATGTTTTTGCCCCTAAACATATTTGTTCTAGTAAATCGTTTTTTCTAACAAGCGTTTACGTAAACCCTTCAGGATTTTTTTTCAAGAACATGTCGGACAAGGTAACCTATGCCTATTATTAGACATGTATATAGATTCCCTTGAAGAACATTCGATTAAAAAATTGATAAAGGCAGCAAAGAGAGGCGTCGATATAAAATATTTAAAAAGCGGAAACGAAAGCGTTTATAGCGCTCCCTACGAAATCGCCTTGAATATTTGCTGATATATATATATATATATATATATATAAAGAGCATTAGCTGCCGTTTGGCGTTTTCAGTCGGCGTCGCGCAGCAATGCGTAATGCAGGAACGAGCTAGATGGAGAAAGCGTCGAGGTGGTGTTGCAAATGTGAATTATGATGGTGGAAGAGGAATAAAACAAATATTAAGGACTTATAGATTTCTATCATTAACTTCCAGTCTTTTAGCAGTGTCAGCCATGACTGTTGGATTATGTACTGTACACTGGCAACGAGTATTCATTGACCAAGACTACTTGAACTTTTCTACAGCTTGGACCATGACTGAAGGCGAATGTTTTTTTACTTTTAATAATTCGAGAGAGAGATCAATTTATCATGTAGCTTCCCCTATCGACGCCGGGCTTTGGGAAACCTGCGATCGTCTAGACGATAATGTTCGAACATTACTTTCAAAAAGTGGTCAAGTGGCTTCCAAATGTCGTTCCTATCATCACATTGAGACATCACAGCTTCAACTGAGCGATGAGTTAGATATTGGTAAGTAATTTGTTATTTTAAGCACTGAACGTTTTGTCTATGGCATGTAGTACAAACAAATCGAGAACATTAGAGAATCGAAGTTGAAAATTCAATAGCAACGTTAAAATATTTAGTATACAAGTAAGAAATAATTTAAAGAATTATTCTTGAATCACACCGGCTTTCTACATAGCAATTTAAGCTTCTTTTTGAAAACATTATCGAACTATTGAGATTAAATAGGAAAGGAAAAATATTAATATTTTATCTCATAATATAAACATTATGAAATAGGTTAGATTTCATTTTTCATAATTTTTATAATAGTACGAAATACGCAGGAATATTAATAATAAAAAAAAATCATGAGTTAATCCTATTGAATATTAACTTTCAGTGATGGGCGTCACCAGATCGGCTAGCGCGTGCGCAATTGTAGCAACGGTAACATTAATTGTAGGCCTTCTCCTTGGAACTTTTGCAGCGATAAAACAACAAATAATTTTTGCCACAATATCTGGAGTATGTTTCTTTGCCGCTGCTATATACGTCCTCTTCACACTTATACTCGTCCAACTACGTTCGTCCAGATTGAAGACTGCAGAAGGGCAACTTATGAGGCCAATGCCCGATTTCGTTAACGATTCATTAAGGGTTGCTGGTTCAGTTAATGTAGGCCTAGCCTGTGTCGCACTTGTAGCTAGTTGTTTGGCAGGTGCCGCTTGGATTTTATTTTCATTACATTTAAAAAAGACAAGAAGTAACTATATGTACTCGACAAATTATGATCAAATATGTAGCATGTAGAGAAGTTGTTTTCATTTTAACATAATTCTATAATTTCGTATTACATATTACTTGTATATTTTAAAAAAATTCGATACACATAATTTTTATGTCACCTTAATTTACTCACGACTTAATGCTTTTATTTGTTTTGTTAGTAAAAAGGATTATTATAATATATGTTATATTTGATTATCATATATACACAACACTACTAATCGTATATACGATGTAATATATGCATAAATATGCATATATAATATAATCGTTTATACGCATGTATGTTGTATATATATGTATATATATACTTTATACTAATTTATATATCATATATTAGAAATTTTCTTTTTTCAATTTTATTTCCTTGTTTATTATTCGTTTTGAATAATTTATTACATTTGCTTTTGAGAAAGTATTATAAAACTTGAGTTTATTAAATGTTATTCTATTTATATTTTTCTTTTCTCGTCTAATTATTATTAATTAAAAAAAAAAACGAAAGAAAACAAGCAAATGGAAAGAACAAGAAATATAAAACCGTACAAGTATTAAAAAGAAAAGAAGTGATGAGACAGTCTAGAAAGATTTAATATGACATACATATACTTAAATTCCTCAGTATGTATGTATATACATATTTGTGTGTGTATATGTCTTTTGTATAAATACGCACACAAAATATATATTATACGCAGTATATGTATGCAAATAGGCAAATATGTATATATACTGAATATACATACTTTATTTTTTGCTTATCACATACTTATTTATGTAAATATATATATATATATATATGTTAATATAAATATACAACTTTATATATAAGTAAAGATATATATATATATATATATAAACTATGAATTTGGTGTATTTAAATATAAACTAATCTAACGACCCAACTTTCCATATAAAAAAAACCTACGCTTCCACTTTGCAACAAATCTCTAAGGACAATAAAAAATTCATGTTGTGTTCGTTCGACTTTTGCATTATTCGCCCATGAATTCATTTCTAATAACTACGAATGTGAATTTAAAATTAATGATAAATTGACGAATCTCTATTTAATGAGATTAACCTTACCCCAAGATTTCAATCAGTTAATTCTGACAGATTTAGGTCGCTAATTCTTTTAAAAGAACAATTTTTAAGTAAAATTTTATAGAAATAATCTGTTGGGATTGACAGTTTATAGCGTTCTTCTCCTTTTTTTTTGTTATGTTTTCCGTTTTTTTGACTTTTCCTTTCTTTACACAATAAAAGGATAATTAAACAAAGACTTTATATAACCCCAAACCTCAGCGGTGCAATTACGGAATACTATGCCTTTTGAGTGAATAGTATTAAATTTCATTAGACGTCGTTGTTTATACACTTTTACTTTTCATAACGTTCTAGATGTCGCTCAGTTTCTATGTCAATGACAGCGCCCCCGGCGGCTTTTATGGCGCCACTTCTTCCTATACTTATGCGGTTTCAAGTTTGTAATTATGCATTTATTTATTCATTCAAATTTACATTTAATTGTATCAAAAGTCCAAAAAAAAACATATAGTAACGAAAAACGACATTTAACTAACAATGCAGGCATCTCAATCAAGCGTGTCTAAAACTAGTAGCAGACTAACAAATTGCGGACGGAATTGAAAAGTAAACAGTTCAATTAAAACTAGACTGTCTACTCAAACAAAGAATGCAAATTAGCTTTGACCTTGCCAAGAGAAGTTGATGACTTCGACCTGGAAAAGACCTTAGCTCTGCTTCGTGTTTGGGTACGATCTTGCATGCTCTTGCTCTTTCTCCATTTCAAGAGCTCTCTACTATACCCTTCGGCTAACATTGGCAAATAGGCTTTAGGAGAGCATGAGTCTGGCTTTGCTTCATAGATAGCCTTATAGCCTCCTTCGATAACGTAAATCTCAGGGTAATATAAATGGGGAAAGTTCTCTTGATTCATTTTTCTATCAGTTTGTCTAACAAAACGAGCCATTTCAGGAGCTCTCTGAGAAGAAAATTCGCAGTGAAAGATCAAAATATGCTTCTTAGATGGATCGGGTAATTTAGTGAATAGGTCTGCAGCTAAGATTGTTTGGTTAGGGAAGTTCTCTGCATTCTTAACGTGTCCGCCTTTAAATTCGTATGGATATCGACAATCAATAATTCTGTATGAGTCGATTTGCCAATCATTTTGAGCGTGTAATAATTCATTTAAAGTTTTAACTGATATGTATCTTAGGTCTCGTGAACATTCAACGACAGGTAGAGAGTAGGGTCTCGAAAAGTCACCTATGAGGTTCTTTTCGCTGTGAGACGAGTCAATTATATTTGTCATTGCCTGAAGCCTGTCTTCTTCATGGTTCTTTTCGCAATCTAAAGGTTTCTTTTTTGCTTTAAGCGGCTCTTCGTCGTAATTCTTATGGAATTTTTGGGGTCTGGGACCTATTAATTAAAATAATTAAGAGGGAAAGGTTAGAAAGGACAATCGGTGGTATTAAAAGTTAAAAAAAAGGTAGAATAAGCTTAATTAAAGGTTGCGTACCTTTCTTTACAACACGAAAACACTCGTCGGCACTATCTTCTGCCGAATCAAAATTGATAACAGGAACTACAGGTATATCATCTTCTGAACGCTTTCTCTTCGTTGTCCTCTTTTCACATAATTCTGTAAACGATCCGTCCAAATCGTCGTTTTGGTCTGATAAAGGTAATCCGGAATCCATTGACGAATTTTTTGATTGAGGTGAATCTAGGTTAAATGTTATTGGTGATGATGTTCTGCAAGAGATTCTTCTTCTCTTCTTTATCCTATCAATTTTGTGAGTTTTAAGGCACAATTCGTCTAAATCCAAAGTCAAATCGCAGACATTTTCATCGTTCATTTTCTCGAAGCGGAATGCAAAGTCGGAAGACAGATAGATGGCAGCCGTTACTATGGCAACAATCGACACGTCAATTAGACGAATGGAGTAAGTAGTTGTACACGTTAAATTAAACTGCTAAAAACTGTATCCAAGAGGTTGTCTACTCCACGAATGTCGTGCAGCGACACGTCTAGCGCATGCGAATACTTGATAAAAGTAGAAATCAATCGCAGACAAGTTTGAACTGAACAATCGCTAATCGCCTGTCTGACCGCTCTCGGCTTTTTATTGTTTAATCGCTTATATAGGCTTAATACTACACAAATCGCTCAAATCAACTGTTTAATGAAAGTTAAGTCTCTTACCAAACGTTTAAAAAATCTGATTCTGTTTCAAGCTGTACGAGTTCAACTAAATACTATGCTTGAATAAGATAAACTTACCGAATGAGAACCAAGTTGGCCGATGAATTGAATACCCTTGAGCGAATTTTCTCTCTCTTTACACTATTTCACGAATGACTTTTACCGCCCAGACCCAAAACTAATTCGAAAGTGACGAAAGTATACTTAGATTTAAATTGACAGTTTTTATATATAATTTATTAGGCCTATTAAACTTTCTTTTTTTTATTTATATAACGGTTTCAACAACTACCCTTTTTATAAATTGTTATGCACATCACCCGTTTGTCGCTTCCTTACTAATTCTATTCAATTCGTCGCCGAATCCTTTGACGTTTCTTTTGATATTGTCAAAAGAAGGAAGACAAATTATTATAAATATTTATTATTAATATTCATTCTATACAAATAACAAATATATGAAACAATATAGTATATATATATATATATATATATATATATATATATATATATATATATGGACACTATACATATCACATATTTACAATTTTATTCTTCTTTGTTTAAGAAAAAAGTATATTCGCAAAGGTACAAACCAGGTGAACAAAGCAAAATTGATTTTTCTTTCCCTCTCTCTTTATTCGTGTCTTTCATAATTTTTATTCGTAGTGCCATCTATATTTTATAAATATTAATACAAAATATAGCAATTACAAACGTCACTAAAATTTTTAGAGATTCAATTCAGTAACATAAATTATTGATAAATTCTAAAATATTGAAATATTAACAAAATTAATAATGATTGCATTAAAATAAAGAAAGAGAGAGAAAGGCACACAATCAAAATTTAAATATGTTAATAATTTAACCTAAGGAGACAATTTTATAAATATTATATATATAGAGAGAGTAACCTAAAATTTCTATGCACGCATAAATCCAATATTAGACAACTCTATGACCTTTCTGTTGTATGTTTTTATCACTTTTTGGACTATTATTATTATTATTATTATCATTTTTATTGCTCTTATTGTCTCTCTTTCATCAAGAATGCAGTTAAAAAGTGTCACTTTGACTATTTTAAATGTTTTTTTAATAATCTAAAACGACAATTGTCAGAAGGAATTTTATGTTTAAAATATTGACGCTTAAGTTTAACTTACGGAGAGATGAAAGAACAATGTAATAAATATATATGATTTATATATTGAGGAAAGGGAAAAAGAATAAAAAATTGTTACATTTAACGTTTTAATGAATGGTTAGAAATGTTACAATTTCCTCAAATCTAATAAAAATATGCCAAATGGGAATAATTGTTTGATAAATTATCTTAAAGAACATTGGGGTGCCTTATTTTACGACTTGAAAGGATGTCAATGTATTATATATCTACTTTAACTATATAGAAGTAAAAGTTACAAACTTGAAATGTAGACTAACTTGATCAGAAGATTTTTATTCTTACAAATAAATATACAATTAACATTTTCATTTAAAAGACATTTTTATTTATATAGACTTTATAATTGTTTAATTTAAGGGTCTATTTTAATACTAATTAACAAGAATGTATGTAAATTGGTATGTTAAGGTACTCAACAAATTTCATGAGTAATTACAAATAAATTAATTACTCAGTTTAAACTTCATTTCAACTGAGAATCTTGGTAAGGTATGAACGATTATAATTTATTAATGTTTAATAATTTTATCTTATTAAATGTATAAGGATAATAAAATAGTTTGTGAACAAAAATATGGTTATTTTTATAATTTTTCACTACCGAACCAGAAATCAAAAGGCAGACGAATAAGATATGAATAGACTCTTTGACAAGTCGTTGAGAATTTTTGTTTTATTAATAATAATAGTCTTGATGGCAGTGTCTTCTCTTCATATTCTATATATTAAAAAATTTGCTGAAGAATCGAAAGTATGGACTACTCGTTCGAGTATTCTATGCAAAGAGCCAATTAAGTATCTTCCAAATAGAATTCATAATAGCGGAACAGTTTGGTCTGAGAGTGAAGGTGCATTCTTTTACTCGGCATATTACGATTTTAGGTTCAATTATGTAGCCGTAATTTCAATTATTCCAAATGATGTAACAACGTTCTATTGTCTATTATGGTTCAAAACTGAGAGAAGTGTATGGATTGTTCCGGTCTCGCCTAAAATAGTGCCAGATACTCATAAAAAGAAGTAAGTTAGAGAGGATAATCCCTCAAAATTTTATTTTACTGTAATCATTGATATTAAAGACGTAGTTACATCTCTCTTTTAATGCAACAGATATTATGTGTCGATATACCAATGCGAAAATCCATTTAACAATTCTCTACCCTACGCAGTTACAATGACCAGAAAACCGTGTACAACGGATTTCAATGCAACTATTAAGATTGTTTATAACAAAATAACATATCCGCAGGAAAGGCATTGGTGTTTATCACCGTTATTTAGATTGGGTTCAAACGATCTCTCAGAATCATTAGCATTGCATCGAACGATTGGTATAGATAGAGCAACAATTTTTGTTATGAGTGATGTATTAAAGAGAAAGTTTGATAAAGTACCCTGGGTCACAGCAATAAAATGGTCTTTACCAGTACGGGATATACACTATTATGCTCAATGTGCTGCTATGAATGATTGCTTATATAGAAATATGTTTACTTCAAAATATATGGTTTTTACAGATTTGGACGAAATTTTTATGCCTCGTCGTTTAATTAATAACGTTGGGAATCCTCTTTCGAGATCTTTATGGAAAGATCTGGACGTAATTCAAGAAAAATATAATAATACTTTAGCAACATTTTATGCTCAGAGTGCCCTATTTCCTACTCCGTTTTATTTTAAAGGGGCCGCTTCTTTAAAGATAACAAAACGATTTGTAAAACGTCAAGATACTAGAAAAAAGTACATTATAGTACCAGATAGAATTGATTTCATTGGAATACATTATACTTTTCCAATTAAAAATTACCATTATCTCTATTTACAAGAAAACGTGGCAGTTCTACACCATTATAGAAGATGTAGAAGACCGGAAACAGAATGTTTGGGATATACAACAGCAGTTCATGAGATGGTAGAAGATAAATTTATATTACAATTAAAAAATCATTTAAATAACTTAATCAATAAATATAGAAATGTTTTGAAATTGTAGGAAATTAATTTTTTCAGATATTCGTTTGAATGTTCAAAAAATACTGCGTTTTTTTTATTTTATTAATTTATTTTTAGTATTCATTAGTATTGAATTATACATAATTTATAATAATAAATATTGTATTACAGTTCAAAATTATTAGCTTCTCTTTGTGAAGAAAACAAGAAGAAATATTATTGTAAACATGAATCTTAATCACGTGGCACATGTTCCCAATTTGCGACAAGTATTTAGTATGTATGCGTGTATACGTATGCCATAGGATTTTTTTTCTTTGTATACTTGTCACTAATGAGGAACTTTCATTTCTCTTCATTTCTTTTCTATTGGCAAAACAAGCTTCTTAAATTTTCTTTCAATTCCCTTTAGAAATTCTTATATCGTTCTCTGGCAGATGTTTTTTTGTCAATTACCCCACTAATTTTTGTGAGTTATCTTCTACCCTGTTGTGCGTCATTTATTTGCTAATTCTCTGCTTTATTTTCAATTTTCTATGTTTTTAGCCTTTGAGAGTCTTCTAACATTCTATGGCTCAAACACATGTAGAGTGTCAGCCTTCTCCGCAGAAATTAGATTACTTTCGAAAGTCGTTGAACATAGGGAAATAAAGAAGATGCTTTAATCTCTTAATGTACACTATGTGTTTGCTGAAGCAATAATTATGATAAAATAAATAGAATAAATCGAAATTAGGTGTTGTAAGAAATTTACTCTTTGTTACTTGGAGAGAAGGAAAATATTTTAATAATGTATTTCATTAATTGAATCTATGTTATATCAATAATTTTTTTAGCTTTATACTACTTAATCATTAAAAGTATATTGAATGTAAATCAATATAACAATTCAGATAAGCAATTACTTAAAAAAAATTTGGTAGGGTGATTTAGGAAAGACAGTTTTCTTTCTGTAAAGCTCGATAAATAAAAGTAAACATTATATTGACCTTTGAAAGTGATAAATCGTAATAAATCTTAGGCTAAAACCTCTTTTCTTTGAATTTATCATTAATTTTGAAATTTTGACACAACAAAAGAGAGGAAGAGGGAGGGAAAGAAGAAAAAAAGTTGGAATATTTAAACCGATTTACCATTCGCATTACAACTCTACAACCTCCATGGAACCGAAAGAAAGAATAATAATATATAAATAATAATACAAACGATATGTTTTCATATTTTGCAGTGTTTTTGATTACAGATCTAATTCGAAAGTCGTTATGTCTTTATAACGAAACAAACCTAGTATTCCTCATTGTATGCTTTGGAATAAATACGATAAAGAGTTTCATATCTTCTTAGCCAAATCTATTTATGTATTCAATTGTAAAGAAGAAAAAAGAGGTACTCTGTTAAAGCCTGAGAGGGGTTCCCTGAAAAACTCTAAAAGCAAGCCTTAAGATTTCTTCTCTTCTCATAGGAACAAAAACCCTATTCAAAGCATTGGTGCTTGGCTCGACTATCTAATATATGAATAGATGGGACAATGGCAAAAAAAACAGTAACAAAAATCGATATGACTACAATCTTTGTTATTGCAAACAATTTAGATAAAACACATTTAAAAAAATTCGATAGCACAAGTACTTTTGTTTGAAAATTAGAAAAGAACAATCCGAACTTAGCTTTTAAAGAATATAATAAAATCTTTAATTCTGTGTCTACACTTGATAAAGGCATGCTTTGTTCAATTTGTATATATTTCCGGAGACCGTTATTGTTTTTTTTAATAACCTGGGAGACATTTTTCTAACTCTTATTTTTATGGTTTCCCATTCAGACTTACAAGATGTGTCTTAACATATTCCGATTGAGATTAGATAACGGGTTCTCACATATTACTTGGCAGAACTGACTAAATGAGGGACAGTTCTTTGTGTTTTTGAAAAAGACCAATATAATAGATTAATATACTTTTTTATCAATAGTCCATAAACTATTGCAAGTTAGCGTATGGTAACAAACTTGAAAGTTCTACGATAGATGGCGCAATAGAATTTTGTAAAGACTTTTGACTGATTAGTTGATTGTAGATAATGATCGAAGTGGTGATATTAAAACCCTATTTTCATTAAGATACAACACAATAAAGAAATCATGTAATTATACATGTAATTAGAGAACTCTTTTTTAACTAATTGTTTTATCGCGGGAATGCTTTATTTATCAAATATTAGATAAGTTTGAGATTTTGTCATATAATTAACCTTATCAAGTGAATAATATATTCCCCATTCCTCGTCATCAAAGAAGTGAATCCCTATGGACTCGGTGACGACCTAAATATGACTTAAACTAAATACTAAGCTAACTGGACTTCTTCAAGCTCCTAAAAAATTTTTCCTAAGAGCTTTTTAGTCGTGATGAAACAGTTCTCATACCCTTGCATCAGTAAAAGCTTTTTAAGGGAATAAAAGATAAATTGAAATATGTTTGTTATGTGTTTCTTCCTTTCTCCTCTAACTGTTTACTACTTTGTATAGGGAGATGAACGATTGATTTTATAATTCACATTATGCAGTCAATGTAATTTTTTATATAGTTGATATTCAAAAATGAAATATAGGCACAAAGAATGGAAACAGATGTAAATATATAGTCGAGCTATCGCTTATTTATAACAGTTTAACTGCTTTAAAAGTAGACGTTAATCTAATATAAGTAGTCAATTCTTTCAAAAAATCTTTCTTTAATGACTTCATTAGATTTTAGTATAAAAATTTTCGTGATCTCTTTCATTTTGTTCACATTATAAATTCATTGATTTACGTAAAATCGATTTTTTTAGTGAAAGAAATAAGTAAGAACAAGTAAAACGGGGAAAAGTTAAAAGCAACCATACTTTAAATTGTCAGCAGTAGTTGCACAAAAAAAGAAACGAAAGCAGGAAATAAGAAAGAGCAAAACATTTAGACAGAATAGGACGAAAATATTGAAAGAGGAACCAGTAAGAGAGGTAAAGGAAAAAAAAGAAGAATATATAGAAAGGAAAGGGAGATATAAAATGAAATTAACTGATGAATAGTTAAATATATGCAATATTCTATCAGCCAAAGAAAGGTTGTTGAGGGGAACTGCTTATCGATAGATGGCGGTTCTCCCTTGGTCGTCTAAAAATAATGTCAACGTCCTTAACAGCCATAATCTAAAATTATTAGTAATTGCTTCTATCGTTTTAAGCACGCGAACAAAATGGAATATATGGGGTTAGTAGAGTAACGTAACATAAATGGAGCAACTATTGCTTTTGGTAGAAAGAGGAAAACAGTATTAAACGATCAAATACAGCTTGCCGGCGGGATTTAATGAAATAGCTATCCGTAAGTCGTTCCGACATTACTCCCCCCGCCCTTAACGCTTTCTTCTCACGATTTTCGTTTGGAGATGAGCGGTGCTATCCGTCTAAATTTCTTAAGCGACACGACGACCTTTTGTTTCTCTTGCAATCCTATTAAGGGAGGAAAGTGAGTAGTTTAATTCAAATTGTAATCTAGTTTATATGTAGGAGTGTTTTATCTTTTATTCATTTGGGTAAATCTTCATTTTGTGTTGTCCATAAGCAGAACTAACAAGAGTACAAAGCGACAGGGTGAAAAGCACAGAGAAAAGGCTCGCATAATTTATGAATAACGATAGCTAAAGGGCCACCAGTTTTGCTGTCAGCACAACAGCTTTAGATAACGTTCTCTCCATCATGATAAAGAAAATCAGAAGAATTCTTGGCTTAGTGCTGGCAAACTTGATTTTTTTATTACTCTTATTCTCTACATCTAATAAGCAACCTCTGACGGAAAAGAAAATTCCTCATTGGACAATAAACTCTATGCATTCTTGCAATAGAACAATTACCCGTCTTCCAAAAGATATACAAGATAGCGGTAAAGAGTGGACTGGGCGAAATACTTCTTATTTTTATTCAGCATACAATGACTATAGAACTAATTCTGTAGTTATCATTTCTATTGTTCTCACTGGATCGTTCGACTATTATTGTACTCTCTGGTTTGAGCAGGAACATAGAATACGGGTATCGAAAGCCATAGTTGTCATTATTCCGGATACTCACCAAAAAAGGCTAGTTTAAATTTATTGCATGGAGCGAATCGAAGCGGGTCGCCGCGTTACTATGACGACATCCGGTTTCATACAAAAGGGAGAGAAGGACGAAACGAAAGTTAATTTTCTCATTTAAGCTTTTAGATTTAAAAAAAAATTCTCAGAAAATCTCAATTACCAGCTTACTTATTTAAAAAAGCGGCGCTAATTTTTCCGGGCGAGTGACTCCAGCTGCGCCAAATATATTAATCAAGAGAACTGTTTGTCAAGAACTAATATTCAATCTCTTCCTTTAATCGAAATATTAATGCGCTGGTTAAATCCCTCGTTTTATCAATAATTCAAAACAGCTTTTATTAAAGCACATTTTTTTATTTCCTCTATTCCAGATATCTTGGATCTTTCCTTAGATGTTATAATCCTTCCAAATCCAAGCCTTCAGCTGTATCGATATCATCTGCGCCATGTAGTCGTCCACTGGTCACTTTACAGATTGTTTATCCTGATAAATTAGGGAATAAGGAAAAGCACTGGTGCTTATCTCCCATACACGGTAATCCGCTAACTGGCTATTTAGAAGCAGTCACCCTTCATAAATTAATCGGCATAGACCGAGCAACTATTTATACGTCGAATAAAACTGCAGAGAAACATTTAAAGAATCTAGACTGGATTGACGTGATACACTGGCAAATTCCAGTTCATGTAAACGACATTCATTATTATGGCCAATGTGCCGCAATCAACGACTGTTTGTATAGGAATATGTTCTCCAATCGTTATATGATATTTACTGATTTAGATGAAATTTTCCTACCTCGACGAAATAGTCCGGGGCAAATTTTATTTGATAAACTTTTGTGGCAGGATTTAGATACCATGCAACTAGAAAGAAATAATACAATATCGTCCTTCTACGGCAGCAGCTATTTGTTTGGAACGCCTGAAAATTTAACAAGTCTAGCCTCTGTAAACGTTGTTAAAAGATATCAGAAACCTAATATCTATAGGAGAAAATACATTATTATACCAAACAGGATTGACTATTTGTCTGTGCACAAGACTTATTCGTATCCTAGCTACGATGAGATTTTTATACCAAAGAGTATAGCCATGCTTCACCATTATAGGCGATGCCCAGAACCAGAGACAAATTGTTTAGGAGTACGTAAAATGTATAATCCCATTATGATTGATGAATTTGCCTTGAGTCTGCTAGAACCTATTATTTCATTATCTACTAATTTATCTATTACTATGCAATTGCACTCTGAATTTTCCTAAGTAAATATCGTTTACCAATTCTACATACATTTTATTTTCTCTTCTCTTAAATTTTTGCATTTTTTATGTGAATTAGTGTTAAATTGTTATCAGAAAAATCTAATAAAGAAATAACAATGTGATATACAAATATATAGGGCAATTTCAAATAGAATGTATTAGAAAGACGCCCACCCTGAAGGAAATCGTGAAGAGAAAGCATTACCCCGATAAAGCTTTTGTCTAAAAGGGTCTCTTGTATGCAAAAGGGTATCAATTGTCAAAATACTTAATTACGGCCGATTGAAGTCTGACTCTTTTGACAAAATACCAAATTTGTATAACGCATAATGAAAATCTCTTTAATATAAAATACTCAAAATGAGTACCTTACATAACCTCAATTAAGTAAGATCATATAAAGCATCAAAAAAAGCAGTCAGTTGTTGCCTAACTCGCTGTCTGAGGAAGTAAGTACATTTTTAAATTTATCTTTCTTCATCGCTTATCAAGTTTACTTATATTGTTATTACTCATATACAATTACGCCTCTACGTAAATCCTATCTTTGGAAGGTCAATTAGATTTCTTTCTTCCCTGTACATAATATCACTATAAAGAGAATAACTAGTTAAAAATATAACTGTCTTATTTGTATCAGTTGATTAAAGGAGGTTATTGAAAGAGAATATATTAAAAATCTGTTAATCTCCTGTAGAGAATTGAAAAAAGGTGTATAAATATTACATATATTTTCTTTTACGTTGTAGCCATTCCACCCTGAGCTTTGCCAACTGCAAAATTGACAATTTAGGTAGTATATTACATAAATAGCTTGAGGAATTTTCAATAAAGTTTTCATTGAAAAAATTAACAGATATTTTGTGAGATGATGATCAAAACACTTGATAAACTGTTTACAAAATTATTTAGAGCGTTTCTTAAGTTTTATAAAATAATACTTATTTGCGTTGGACTCACATGGCTTGTATTTGGAATTGCTGTAACTCATTATTCAAAAGTTCGCTTCGGCAAGGGATATGCCAATCATCTTTCAATAGCTAAGTACAGCATTTGTCCAAACACAATACCATATCCTTCGGTAATATCACCTAATGGTAAGAAGTGGATTGGGAATGACCGAACATATTTTTTTTCCGCTTATTATGACTATAGGGAGAATGTAACAATTGTATTCGGTATGCTTGAAGTTGGTACGCACGACCTATACTGTTTATCGTGGTATAGCAACAACGCCACTGTCGAAGTAGAGAAAGTTTCCCTCTTGGTGATTCCTGATAGCCATAGACCAAGGTATGTAAAAAAAATAACCATTTAAATTAATATCGAGAGCTTAAAGTTATAAAGTGTTAAACGTATATCAGATATTTCGAAGCAATTGTCAAATGCCCTCATACTGGAAAATCTCTTCCAACTGCAGTGTCAATAATAAATAATTCTTGTAAACCTATTGTTACCTTTAACATAAACTATTATAAAGTTGAGAATAAGACAGAGATTCATTGGTGCTTATCTCCAATTCATGCTGGAAGATCAATTCAATTTTTAGAAGCGTTAGTTCTTCATAAGTTAATAGGTATTACAAAGGCTACAATTTATTCGGAAAATCAGGAAGTTTCGCAACAGCTCAAAAAATTTGACTGGATTACTATTATAGAATGGGAAGTTCCGATGAAGGATAACGAAGTTCAGTATCATGGCCAAAGATCTGCATTGAACGATTGTTTATATAGGAATATGTTTTCGGCCCGTTTTATAGACTTTACTGATTTAGATGAAATAATTCTCCCTCGCCGCCTAAATCAGACAATAAACTATTCTAATTTACTATGGAAAGAATTAAATGCTCTTCAACTTTCAAATAGAAATAGGGTGGCTGGATTTTATTTCAAAAGCATTCTGTTTGCTACCGCAAGAAGAATTAAATCTTTCGCTTCTTTAACAGTCACAACAAAATACGATAGATCCTCTGACAGTAGGAGAAAATACATTATACTTCCTGAAAGAGTGAGCCATTTGACAGTACACTGGGTTTTCGCATATTCAAAGTTTTGGGTTCTATGTGTGGATGAAATTGCCACTCTTCACCATTACAGGAAGTGTCCGAATCCTAGAGTGAACTGCTGCGGAAGAGATAACAGAAGAGACAGCATGTCACCAGACAAATTTGTTTTGAAGCTTGAAGATAATATCAAACAAATAAATCGAACACTCTCCGCAAATTTATAAATCAAAATATTTTTTTTTCCAAAAAGCGCCATCTGTTGGATTAATATGTCAAACATAAATGGAAGATTATTTACCCGGAAACAACTTTTGAATTTTTTTGCCTCTTTCTTGTGGAGCTTTATCTTTTTCATACAAATTAATATACTTTGGCTATAATACAGTTATTTTCTATTCTGAATGTTATCAATATGTCCAATTTCCATATATTCTATAATTCTATAATTGGAATTTGCTTGAAATTATATTTAGTAATTAAAAACTACTAATCTTTGTTATATAATCTAGACTATAAGTTGAACATTAGTCGTTATATAGGACAAACAAAAAAGATTTGTTTCAGTTGCTAGGCGTGTGAAAAAAATCTGATTGTGTCTCGTTTGATGTAAAAATATGTGAATAGTCTTATCGGTTTTTCATCCTGTTCGAGTTTACACTATTTTGTTGTAAAAACATGAAGTAGAAATGATGATTTGTCTCCTTTCATATAGTAGTCGAACTCTTTATTGTCAATAGTCTGATTGCTATCGAGCTATGCCATTACGGAAGTTTATTCATTGATTATTCGTTCTGATATGGCATCATTAATTTTATTTTGAAATATTGTTACCTTTTTTCGGTTAATTTATTCTCTAGAAAGTACCTGAAGTATATTTCTTTATTTTACTTTTTCTTTTGTAAATCTATTGCTCTAGAGCGTCATCAATCAGAAGTTGTTTCGCTTCGTTAGTATTTCTTTTGTATCATCTATAGATAACCTATCCCCAGTGTAATTTATAGATACTTGGTTAAGCTTATTGTTTCAAATTTTAAGCACTACTATATAAACTTTAAATGTCACTTCCATTTGTAGAAAACCTCTCTTTGGCTCCGTGCTAGAATTGACATTACTCTTTTGGTTTTTTGCAATTTTGATAAAATTCTATCATAGTTCCTTAGCGTTTCCTTTAAAATAACTAAATTTCAAAAAACACTTTTCATATTCCTGCTTATCTTGTAGAAATAATCCAACAACAGCTTTTTTTTATATTGTAAATTAGACAACTTGGACATATAATACAATTGACAAGTATTTTATAAGATTGATTGGTTACCATCAATTCGTATCTTTGAAAAGAACCTTATACTAAAAATTTAGATTATTTTTTACCATCCAACTACTGGATTATTGGGTTTTGTTGAATATTTTTATTATTTAGTAATGAAAGGAGGGCAATGTTTGTCTTATATCTTTGTTATTTATAGCATGAAAATTTTCTATTGAATGAGTAATACTGAAGGTTTGTTTGTTAATTTTATCAATATTATCGACATCTTTAGACCACCTTCCATCCAAATCGAATATTAATAATGTTTGTTCTCTCATTTCCTTTCTCTTTTGAAAGCATACATTAGTGGAGCCCTACTTTCGATCCATATATGATCCAAAATACATTGAGATTTACTATAATACGGGTATTTTTACTAGCTTGTCTAGCATAGCTGAAATAAGCTGGATGATAATAACTGCCTTTTTATAAGGTTTATAAAATAAGCCACGTCTGTTTCTTTTATCTTTGTTAAAACCGTTGAAGATATATCTATTGAAGGAAAGGATTCTGCCACGGCTCAAATTATTGCTATTGGAGTTTATAATGTCGAAGGGGTAAGGTCTTACACTTTTGAAATTGGTAATCGTAGCTAATTGAAACCAATTAAATTAACCATTCAACGTTGAAAGAATATGTAGCTTTATTATTTTTTATTATTACCTCCAACTGAAACTGGAATACGACCGATAATTAAATTAATCTGAGGAAATGCCTTTCCTGAAGAATATAAATTTTATTACCAATTAAATTTAAGGATATCGTTAATAAATAAAATTTACCATTTAAAATTCAATAAGCAAAGTAGAATTATTTTTTTTTCCTCAATGAATTTAAACATGGAAAGCTGAATAATACCATATATAGTTAATCTATATATGCGTCATTCCTAGGATATACCGAGGTTCTATAGATAGGTTGCCTATTCTATTTAAGGCGACTAATAAAGAAAACTATCGATGTGGAATGGGATTGTCGAGAGATTGTTGTAAGAAGGTAAATTTCTAACGTATGACGATATTTCTCCTTATCCTAAATCTATAGCAAAAATAAGTGGCAATGCAAATACGGGGCGAGGAAAAGTCTATTCTTGTAATCTCGTAAAATACGATATAAATAGTTCATTTGCATATATAATGTATTTTGAGGTTAGGATTATACAATTTTTCAGCTGTATTTTAATGACTCAATTATAATATGGGAACCTTTTTGCCAACTTAAAGCAGATTAGTTTTTATCAATAAATTTACTGAACCAGTCTTCTGGATAGGATTCAATTTAACGACTATCACAAATCTATTTGCAAAATACAGTGCGTTTATAGTCCTTTGCTCCATTTTATATCAGTTATCAAGATTCACTTATTATGACACATGAACATTTTTAATCTAGTTTGAGCTAAAAAAAATCACAGACAAATGTACATTTACTGCATAAGAAAGACTGTGGTTTAAGTTGTGAATGCTTTTAGCTGTGAAACTATTTATCAGTATGACGTTAGTTAACTTTTTAAATCAGTTTGCGACATAAATTTAGAATTTAGGAAAGAAATCAAGAGTTTGATTCTTCAGTTTGTTCTTCTGTTATTGAATGAATAGAATCGCCTATAGCTTTTAGGGCATCTACATTAGATTTTAAGACCTCTCGTAGATTGTGAACATTTACAGCATAGTCGGTCTTCATAGATGAGTAGGAATGACCTGTTCCTAGCTCAAGTTTAGTTTGTAGATCAAATACTTTCAGGGTTTGATAGAAGGCAAGAAGAGATAAAATTATGACTAGAATGAAGCAAATTCCCAGCCAGATTCTTGTCAAAAATGAGATAGGATGAACAGACTTTCTGTCTCCAATTTTCACCTCTGCGTTAGGAAAAGTGATTTAATCTTTGTCTATAAATATATTATTAGAGTAAAAGATAACTAACCTGAAGTGCAGCATGATTGTCTTTTAAAAATAATACTTGGGGTTCTGTTTTTATGGCACATTCTCCTCCCAGAGTTATTTGAAGATTCGTCTGAATCATTCTCATTATCACCAGTTTCAATAACGTTATCCTTATCTTCCTCCTAACAGAAATAAAAAACAAATAGTAATTGAAAATATTTTGAGATAAAAAAAACAATAACAAACAATAATTTATCAATTAATAAATAAAATATCGTAAATACCCTCGTAAAATATTTGCATATAAAAAAAACTATATATACAATATATTAGGTTTAATGGCAATTTCGATGATTAATCTCTGTCTTTAGGAAAATAATTACAATTCATATTGAAATTACTATAAAATTCATTTTTTTCAGAAGAATTGAAATAAAGGTTTGATAACAATTCGTTTTTCGATCAATATCACCTGTATTTATATAGGCCAACGATTATCTATCCAGCTTACTATAACTTGTAATCCTTATAATTTTTTTTACTAACGATATAGTTTTTAGAGATATAGATTTTAGTTTTGATTAGAAGTTTTTTTTTAAAAAATAGGCAAATTAATTATTCATTTATATTGTCATTGATTGGAATAAGTTAGTAGTTTTGTAAAAGCTAGTACTGCTTGTACAACTAACTAAAGAAAGAAAGAGACAATAACCTTTTAAATTATTTGCCTATAATATAAACGATAATGAATCATGCAATGAGTATTTGATATTTAGAAATCAACTTACATCTTCTATTTCACCGAGTCCTTGAGAAGGTTGAACAATTGGTCTATTTGCACTGAACAATCTCCAAACGTTATTCATTAACTTAAAAGTATTATCCCTTGAAAGTAGAGAACCAAAAACGTATTTATTTTGTTTGGTCCTTATTCCTATTGCGTTTGGAATAACAAATGCTGTTCGCCTACGTGTAATTTCAATAACTGATTCTAAAGGGATTTCAATCAACTTTACTCTACCAAGGATTTTAGAGTAAAAGCAAAACCAATTAGCCGATATATACAAACAGCCTTGAAGCAGAATGTCACCAAAATAGGCACATGAGAAATGCTCAATAAGATTTTCATCAGCCGGAACTCTTTTAAAGATTTTATGATATTTATCATTTTTTTCATGCTTTGGGCGAGATATTTTCTTGAGGATCTATAAAATTAATTAACAGATGATATATTTATAATTTGAAATTGAGCATAATAAAAACAATAGATCAAGAGCGAATAGAGAATGATATAGGAGGATAGAAATCATAGACATCTGAAAAAGGAAGAAAAACGGCCGAGAGAAAGAGAGAGAGAGAGAGAGAGAGAGAGAGAGAGAGAGAGAGAGAGAGAGAGAAAGATGAGAGTGTAAGAGTAAAATCAATAATAGGCCATTCGACGTTAGTTTCTAATCTCTTTTGTATACTTACAGCTCTAGGTTGTTCAAAGCCAGTTAGTGCTGATTTACTATCACTGTAATTAAATAGATTTATTAAATCATCATCACTAATCGCACCCATATTTCCACCGCTGTCCGAAGCGTCCATAGTTACACCTCAGACGCATAATGCGACGATTTGGGCGCCGTCTATAAATGTTTGTTTATTTTAAACTTTATTTTCTTTTTATACCTCATATCTTTCAAATGTTCATTCGATACTGACTGACAGATGGCTGTAGGATTAGCTGGTGAGGGTGGTTCCGAATTGATAGGTATCCTGAAATATTTATATGAAGTATGAATAAATAACTGATATCTCAGCATTACTATATCTAGGCCGGAGTCATTCAGTTTATATATTTTCTCAACAATTGAATCAAAATCAAGGATGAATGGTTTAAAAATATGAATAGTAGTATCTTTACGATAAAATATTAACCATGTTTTAGGAGTGTTTTCATGCTATGAAAACATGATCTTTATTGTAGCTTTATAATCATAATTCACAGTAAAGAAAAATCTATCTTTAATCTAAAAACTCCTTAAGCCTATAAATTCTACGTATCCTCTCTTTCTTCGCGGTACAATTATTACTTTTCCACTGAGTACTAAGAACATCAAAAATCAATTTAATTATTCAGATGTTACATCATTAAAAGGTTTTTTTTTCCACAAGTATATTAGTAAATGAGGTAACAATTAAAGAAAACAGTACAAATCTTTTTGATAGGTAATCTATTTAGGCTTACGTGGTATGAGAAAAAAAAAACGACAAAAGTTTGCTTGTAACATACTGACCTATGTCTCTAGAAAAGATTTCTACTAAACTACCGGCAACTACCTATAGCCACTCAATGGCTTTATATAGAGAATATTTTACACTACGTTTTTATACTAAATTTACTCATTGAATATAGTTATTTATTGGGCAACATCACATGCTGAATATTGCACACTATCTCGATATAAAAATCAGATTTTGTACATGCTATACTGCATGATGTCATTGAATAAGAAAAGCTACATTGATAAAATATCAATCAAGTCATGTAATGTTTATTCAGATGTTATTTTTCATATTTCGTGATTATTTTATCCTTTTAAATCTAAGCAATTATGTTGTTCTAGAGGAGAGTTTCATTATTCGTACCACGATAACCATGCTTACATGTCTAAACATATATATTATAAACTGTACAGTATGTATAGTATACATATCTCTTTAAGAAAACAATAAAACAATAATATCTAACCAATTGGAAATTATGCATAGTAGGGTTAGCAATAGAGGTACCATAAATAACAAAGTAAAAATGGTTATGGAGATTGTCTAATTATACGGTTATTAAGAGTGTTGAGTGAGAGTGTTATCCATAGCAAAATTTCGTGCTAAATTTTCGATTAATTTGGATTTTGCCTGCTTGAAAGCTTCATGTATTAATTATCTCTGCATGAGTATTTTTTTCCTTTTGCAAGGTTCTATGGAGCTACTAGACTAATTCCTTAAATATTATTACTTTGTCGTTATTTTTCAAAATTGGTTGCACTCTTTAATAGAGTTATAGTTTTTTTCCATTTAATTAAATATTATTCCGATAGATGGTGTAATTAATTCTTGCTTAGATAGTAGGACAAATAGGTGAAGGGCAGTGAAACGCACCTTAGAGGACACCTAGTGATTTGACCGAGTTGTTCCACTCTCGTGTATTATTATTTAAAAACCTATTAAATATCTTTAAAAAAAATATTTGGAATCTCTTACAGATTGAATTACACTTTGTCATAGGCCTACCAATAAATATGGTTATATCGCTAAGTTTGATTATATTTTCCGAAATTAGTACACTCTTCCAAAGTCGTTATTGATGAAAAGAAAAAATAACACAATGACCGATGGAATAACTAGAAACAGTAAATCAATTGTATCAACAATCAGAAAGTTTACACACCAAGTGCTTTTCAGTGAAAAGCGACGTTTATAGCCATTGCAGTATAAATTTCACTATTGAAATACATTAATATCGTGTTCTTTTATTTTTTATCCTTAAAATTACATTATTTCTAGGCATAAAGTATTCTAAATCGCTATCATATCAGTCTATATCTTAATCACTCGCCAATTTTATGTTGAAGCAATTATCAATAATATGAGATTAAATGTTTAGCTCATTATATAATATTTAGTTAGATTTGTACTTTTAATTATAGATGTTAAAAGCTATCTCGTAATTTTTTGCTGTTTTAGATGTCATTATTATATAATCCGTTTATATTACTAACATTACATATAACAAACAGAGTACGTGTTTTGGGGAAAAGTATACCTTTTTTCTTCCGTAAAGGTAGTTTAAAAATCCTTTGTACTTTCATATAGCAATATTTTTACTTTCCTTATTACTTGAATTGATAACTGCTTCTATCGATAACACATTTGTCATATTTTTTTGTTTTAAATAAAACTTTATCAGTAAAAACTCTATTGATATAAATAAATAAGAAAACAAAAGTTCTAATAATTGAAGTAAGTTTGTAATTTACTAATAGAGGTAAAATTTATAGATAAATTGAAAATTTTCCACCCTTAAGCAGCTTTTCCGGTTTGTTGGTAAAGTACAAGCTTATTGATCTCAATTCGACTGATATTATCTTATTTTCAAAGTCGATAGTGGTACGGTGAATATTGTAATTTTCTCTTTTATAGAAGTTTACGAGGTAAATGAATAATTTATTAATGAATACGAAAACAAGTAAAATGTATATGGAGACTATATGAAATATATATGTGGTTCAAAAAAGCACATGTATAGATACATGAATATAGTGCAAAATAAGAGATATACATATATACTGTATATAAAATTATAGCATTTCTAGGTGAACAATAGTGCTTTATTGAATATACTGTGTTTTTTTGTTGCGTTTTACTATTATTTAGATATACATTTGTTCATCTTTACTATTCATAAAAATTTAAATACCATTAAAATGTCAGCTATTCCATAAAAATGTATCCAGTCTAATATACATATATAGATACATTTAATAAAACAACTTTCAAATAATGATTGATTAATTTCATTCAGCCTATCAGTCTTCTCGGAAATAAAAACCAATGAAAATATAATGACTTACTCTCTCCTTAAAGGTAGTTGACTGCTGAATTCTGAATTAATCGTAACCTTCTTTGAATTAATATGCTTGCTATTAGCATTTTTAATATCCACCACAGAATTATTTTCATTCTTCATTTCTTCAATTCTGAAATATCGTAATATTATACTTAAGGAATTCTGCTCTGATCTAATAGTTATTTATGGAAATATGATACACTTTTAGGTTAATCATGGATATCTCTATACCAAGTTAATATAAGAAAAAAAATGACAATCTATCTTATATTATGTACTAGATATACATGGTTTGTTCATATAAAACAAGTTGAATATTTTATATGTAATGCAAATAAAAACAAAATATATATGAAGAAAATTAACGGTACTGAAGATGAAAAATTCTCTCTGTTCATAATGGAATATTCGAAAGAAAACAAATATTACAACTTCTTAATGTTATTGATATATTTTAAATAATTAAAAATAAATACAAGACAGGCTATTTATTTTTAGAATATCTTAATTATAATCATTACTATCTATCATTTTGTCGCTTAAATGTGTTAAGGGTTAATGACCCTACTTCGAACAAAGCCCTTTATAGATGACGGTTCAAATATACAATATACTGTATATACTAATATACTATATATAGATATATTTAAATAATTATAAAGTCAGAATTGATCCATTTTTATAATTATTTCATTCTGCTATTTTTTTTTAATAAATAATTTTATACGGATTGTTTTTCAAACATTCGATTAAAACCTTCTAAATAGCTAAAAAAAAAAGGAATAGATTAGAATTATTCTTAGCTCTCTCTTAGTGAAAACTAAATTTTCAAGGTAGACAAAATTTTGTCAATTATTTTTATAATTTGTTTAATCTTTAGTTAGCAAAGTAATAGAATTAACTGCAATAAAGTACGATATAGTGCTGAGTAATATACATTGTATTAACGACAAAAAGTTATCACTAAGTAATAATAAAAATACGCAAGAGAATGAGTAATCATTATGAGATATATAGTATATATATATATATATATATATATATATATATATATATATACATATACATAGAGCTAAAGCCAATGCAAGATACATATCGTATATAACAATGATTCATTTTCATATGGTGGTTAGCTATTTTTCACGCAAGTTTACTTTTCAATTTAGAGTTTAACTTGAAAAATACTTGGAAAGGAAATAGAAAGTTAATCAATAGCTCTGTGAGAGAAATTCTTTATTACTCTGTATAAATAATAGTTAACAATTATTATTCCTTTATTCAGTTTTTTTCCAACAAGCAATCGATTTAAGTGAGAATATATTTACATGATAAATGAGAAACTGCAAAAAAGAACCTTCCAATTAATATGGAGGGTAACTTGCAATATAATTAAAACAGTATATTTTACTTCTATATAAAAGATATAATATTTCCTATAGAGGAAAAAGCTTGTCATTGCTGTTATTAAAGTATAATATTTGTTTTAATTTTTTTCCCAATTGTTCAACCATAGTAGTATGATTCATTATCACCGCTTAAGTGTAACAACCAGAAAAGACTAGATTTCTTCTTAATTATTCAATGTTAAGGTTTCATAATTAATAATTAAATGAATTTGTTTGATTCTTTCTAAAAAAATATCTAAAGTTCGACATTTGTAATACATTTTAATAAAATCTATGAATTTATAAGAGTAGTAGAAAATTTTTACTGACCTTATCTAAATGTTTTGCAATTAGATGTATGACAGAACAGAATGTATCTCTATCTGTCTTTGCTTAGACTAAACCATTCCTTAACATTTCGTGTTCATAATAATAATAATATACTGTCTATGTCATTTAAATCTAAATATATAATATGATATCACGTCTATTATATATTAGAATACAATTCATATTTTCTATATATAAAGAAACATCTCTGATACTAGAAAAGCACTTTAAATATTCTACAGATTCTGCAAGAGAAATTATCAATCATTACATAAATAAGAAAACCGTTCTGAATTTAGGTATACCAATTTTTGTAAATTTCTTTAAAGGCTAAACGATCAATATAGCTCTTCTACTTTTGTAACTTTTGCATTATTATTTTTCTATATTAAAACTCTCGAATTTTTAATAATTTACCTTTTTAATTAGATATTTTTCTTATAATTTATTCACTAAACTTATAATTGTATTGATTTTTTTTCTATTTATATATCTCACCGTTATTTCACTTTTTATGATAAACCTTTTATCGGGTGAAGAGGAAACAAGAATCAAATAGGGGATAAATATTAAATATAGCATTGCAGTGCACATACTGATAGCATTTGTATTAATTATTCATATACATGTGTAGAGATATATATATATATATATATATGTTCATTGTATTACTAAACTATAATAATTTGTCTTATGAATTTGATATTCCGTATTACTATATAAGCAAGTAATTAATTATCTTTAATAACAAGAAAGCGGAAATTTTGTTATAATTACGAGATGACGAGACGATCTAGACAAATAATAAATAAAGTAATTTACCTGTCTATCGATGTTGCAGATCGTACAAGTTTAGTTTTATCTCCGGAATCTAAATTGTAATTGATATTGTAGTCGGAACTCCATCTTGGCAAATCCTGACCAACCACCTTTTCCTTCTTCTTCTTTCTCCTCAAAATGAAAGGCATTGTTCTTTAAATTTCTTGTAATACAGTCCAATATTTTAAACTCGCATTTGACTCTCATATATCATATCTCATAAAATGTCTATTAAATTTTCCGCGGCTAGAGACAACTGATTGCTACTCTTTTTGATCTAGATATGGCCATAAGTTATGAACGGCTGTTCCTTATCAGCCCAGTCATAGTGTCACGTGTTCTGCCTTCTTTATCAAGTGAGTGTAAAGCATAAGTGCTTTTAAACAGTAGAGGGCCTTACAAGTCAGGTGTGAATCGATACTGCTGCCAACAGGAGGATTAGAAAGAATGACAGTTCACAATTCCTCCAGCACATAGCCCACCTGGTGGAATGCTGTAGAAAAAAAAGGCGGAAAAAAATACTCTGCCTTAAACAGTTTTATACATAATAAGGAATATATTAGTAATAAAAATGCCATACACAAGGAAGTAGTGGTGGGTAAAATAAGCCTTGGTTTTTATATAAGCCAGTAATTGCAAGTCTCCTTGCCGTCATAATTCATCTCACCTTAGAGTTTATAAAATCGGGCGAGGGCGTCGAATATCACTGCGTAGGCGTTCCTCCTCGGAGAGACCAAACGAAAACTCCTCTGTAATACCCTAAAATGCAATTTATAATATGAAACTTTGTGGTCTCGGTGTTTATACGGTGGTTGCAGTTTGCATAAATACTTGATGCAACAGTCGCGAAAATTTCGCACTCTTCGTGGTGAAAAGGCGTGAACTGGACTAGTCTAAAGTCAAGCAGTCACGAATCGAAAGACTGTAATCCCTTTTATACTTTTATTCTAATAAATACATGTGCCCCGTATCAAAATAATAAATCATTCTCTTCATATTTAGGGTTAATTTACGGTATACGCGCCCGATATTAAATATGCAAGAAATGCTCATACATATATTGACAAGCGAGGTTTTAGTGCAATATTTCCTACTTGTCCGCATCCATATTAAATACAACTTTTTCTTTGGCTTAATTATCACGTTGCTCTTCCTCATTTGAAGTTCTGTATACTGTTGAGGGATCACAGACACTAAAATGTACAAAGTAGCTTCTTTTTTCTATTAAGAAGCCTTTCTGTAAATGACAAAATAAATTGATAAAAGTAATAATTTCAAGACTATATAAACAAATAGATGAGAGAAAGATTTTCATCGTCCAACAAACTATAAGGCGAAAAAAAAACATTTTTATGAAAAAAGAGGATTAATTCTGTTTACATAGTACAAGATTATTCCTTTTTTCACTTAATTCTTTTGTTCTAAAATCGATTATATCAATAAAATGCTAATTTAAATGTGCCAGCAAACATTAACGCCTAATTTTTATGATGGAGTTATGAGTGACGCCGTATGGAAACGTATGTTAAAAAAAAAAATAAATAAAAAAAAAGCATTATTGAGGCGTCCTTGTGTTATATCATTAAATTTATTTCACAGTATATGCATCATTCTTTATTTACAAACTTTTTGCAGATGTAAAAAATCAACAGAATTGAAGAAATGCTCTAAAAAGTCAACATACAAATATAATGGAACCTGCTCACAAAGGTTATAATATGCAAATAATACTGTTTGGTGTTCATTGTGTGTTTTTCATATAGCTAGTATACGATATAATATACATCTAATGTTTTATAAACAGTATATATAAATTTATACAATATATATAAAATACCGCTTGTTATTGCATTGAAAATTTTTTATTGCGGTATAAGGACGAAGACGATAACAATGGAGACAAGAGAGTCTACGAGGATGATAATGGTGATTATGATAAAGGCGTTAATCCTTAACATCAAGTCCGTGGAGGACGTCGTCATCGGGAATAAAAAAATTTATCATTCCTAATAAAAAAGAAAGGGAATATAATGAAAATAATAAAGAATAGGAAAACAGTACAAATATTACTAATAATAAAGATTATTTATAGTAACGCTACTAAAAATGATAATAAATATATCACAATATGATAATAATAATTTGTAACTCACGCAATTGATTCTTTAGGGACTCCAATAATTGGAGTAATAACATGAATTATCATATACTATAACGAGTTTTTGAAATACATACAGTTTTTTTCATTAATTTAAGAGATTAGGTGACATATAATGACTATTTTTTTAATATTTTTTGTAATGTTGTTCTACGGTAAATATGTAAATATTATTTTTAAACGAGTATTGTAACATTCTATGATTTTATTTTGTAAGGAATAAAGAAGACGTTGGTACAAGTCCGCGTATAATCAATTGAATCAATAGACGGCTAATTTAAACGTCAAAGTAAACAATGAATCCTAATTTTCTATCTCCTTTGACATATTGTTATAGATTCTATGTAATTATCATGAACCGATACAGTTTCGAAGCGTGTACTTTGACCATAGTTTATTCTTCTTCCCCAAGAGACATAGCAAACAAGAAAAGCCTCGAGACCCTTAGCTTCATTAAGCAAACAACAGTCCGAGTTAATTAAGCATGAACATACCGAAAAAAAATCAACGCTGTTCATAAATTACTGACGTCATTTTAATAAATGGTTTCTTTAACTAGGAGTCCAACTAGCACAGTTATTATTGATGAGTCAGCAGTATTTTTTCTTCTTGCCGTTTGATCAGGCGCCTTCGCTGTTTGCTCTCGTCCAAACTACTTTTCCTTCTAGAACGATGACGAATCACGAATAATGAAATATAAATAATTGATAGAGAACCGGCTTTCGTTCGCTACGAATATAGAATGTCGATTATAAAACTTTTATGCGACATCTGATTCATAAAGGCCTTAGCTGAATGGGAAAATATTGTCGACATCTTCTACTTCTTAATGTATTATTAAAGCGGGGGCGTTACCTTACGGACCGTCAGTTTCATTGAATCATTAAGCCAATTTACTTGTCTATTTTTATTTACTTACCGTCTTCTGTTTTTTGGGATAGGCCATTGAAAAGAGCCTTGCACTAAAAATAATTACTAACTGACATTCACTTTTATGCACCTGACAAACTGCGTTAATGAAATATCAGCCCTTTTAATTTACGTAAGATCCCACCGACCTTTCGTTATATGTATGTATATACTAAGTATACTGTTGTTACAAGCGTTTTTTCCAAATCACGCCACTCTCCTATACTAAACGATAGATGGACGAATAGCTTACGCATTGATAATACATGCAATATACATTATACAGATGTCTATAAATACATTCATAGAAAATATGTGTTTCTCATAAACCTAATGTGGATATACAAGCGTGTTAATTGTATGCTCTTTACTTAGGCCTTTTAATAGGAAAGCATTCGTCTTTTCTCTAATCCTATTGCTTGCAATTATTCCTTAAGGACTAAAGAGCTTTTGTTTCTATCGTCAATATGAGAGAAAAGTTTCTCAACGATCAATTAATACTGAATACGTATGAAATGAATGTACCGCTTTTGCACAAAAACAACTATGCGAAATATATTATATATATATATACATGTATTAAATAATATAGATTGATATATACATTTGTTAGTATGTAAGTCATATTTCTAATATATAATTATACATGTATATGTATATATATATATATATGTATATTAATACGTAAGTATGTGTATATTGTATTTTGTATAAATTTATCATACATAGATCCATACTTTGTTCTAATAAATGTGTACCTTATATATTAATAAAGAAATGTTGATGATAAGCATACGTGGCATTGCACACCCATGCATTTTCACGAAATATTAATAGATTTTGAGAATATTTTCATATCTATTCTTCTTTAACCTAAAATCGAAATAGTAACTTAATTATTAATACAAAATATTTAACTTTAATATATATATATATATATATTTATATCAATAGGCAATGTATTTGTAATACAGGAGATGGCACAAATATTGCGGCTTCCTTAGCATCTAAAGGTTTTTATTATTTCACTAAAATCAACCTTCTTTCGTTTAATGAATTGTTCTTGGAGGCATATCTATCTATCTATATGTTTATACTATGTACATTTATGCCAAACTGATTCAAAATATATACTAGTACATACATATATAGATATATTTATAATATCTTCATAAGTGTTTTACGCTTTTGAGAAGCGACACCTAGTAGCAAAAGCGTTTATGACGTATTAATAGACGCCTACACAGGAGGGAGAAGCATGTTCCGTAATGTTTCACTTTGCAGACTTTTCATTGCTTGCTAGTCTTCCGAATGTTCGCTAACCCTATGAACTCGACGCTGAAGCTGTTGTTGGTTTATACGGTATGTTACTAATTTACTTTAATAAGTAATATAAGCAGACATTAAATATCATTTTCAGACTCCTGTATAAAGTTTTTATTAATTCTTTTTTTTATTTTTTGGTCATTTGACTTTTGCATTAAAAATCTTTCATAATGTTTATGTTAGTTATTTTTTCTTCTAGTTTCTTTTAACGAAAGTATTATGGGTTTTATTAAAATGTATTTTCTTTTTCTAAAAATTACCATCAAATCTATATATTCACCGTTTCTATAACTCGCTATCTATTAGTAAATTATATAAATTTACTCTGAAGCGTTCTTTCCGGATACTGTATAAAACATGAGTAAAAATTTTATGCGCAGCTTAACAACGCCGCATGGAACGCGTTCAACAGATTGCTAGACATAAAAATTCAATTAGATAGAACTGCAAACTCAGCGAATATTTTATTCAATCCCTTAACTCATTACTGTACCCCTGATTTTGAATTTGACGAGAATTAGGTTGAACACTATTCCGTAAATAGACGCTAAGAGGCTTTTACGCGCTAATTCTGTTATGTAGAAGAGCGAACTGTACTTGATATATATAGTATTCTTATTATGTAAATTAAGTAGATTATCGGGCGCAGATCACTTTGTTTTTTTTTTTGTTCCATATCATCAAACGAGTTTGCAGGATCATGATACAGACCCGGCGGTGTTTTATCGTGATCTTTCACCGATATTTATGGAAAGGATATAACTAATAAAGGGAACAGTTGTAAATCAGACGATGCCTAATAAAAATTTTGACTTTTTTACAGATATTACTTATTACCGTTTGGTGCTGCCACCTCGTAGGATGCGAAAGCACGTTCCAATCCCTTAACAAAAGACTTCACAAGCTGTTCAATATCGAAAATAAGTAAGAATACTAAAATTTATCAATAAGACGTAGGCAGACTTTTTGTATTAATTAAAGAAGAGCGCGAAAAGAGCATATCACTTAATCTTTTCGCTGTTTTATAACATTTATAATTAGAAAGATACTAGAAAGTAATTCTATATTCGGATTTTAACGTACGTCCCCCGGTCCTTAATAGATTTACTTACATGTAAAAAAATACTTATTAGAGAAACACAAGTAGTCAAATGATACTTTGATTTATGTCAGCAGTTTAACTATAAAATCTACATTTATTGGTTTAGGTAAAACTAAAACTTGCTAAACGGCGAAAGGTTAATTAACTAAAGATGTTTCATTGCATGACTAAAAAAGTTCAATAGTTTTATTTTTACTCTACTTTAATTTAAATAGAACGGATTAATTTGTACCTTTCCCTCTTTTCATCTCTTGTTTTCCTTTTACATACTGGCAAGAAAAAAAAAGAGATTGATAGCAAAGTCTGAGTGACAGATTATTTACACGCTAAAAACACCTTCAAGTTCAGATATTATAGAAGTCAAGATAACCAGAAAAAATTGTATTCCTTAAGAAATTATATAAATACATATAAATCTATATTCTTATTTATATATAGATTTATATATATCTATATAGGCATTCATATATAAATAACAGATTATGAGGTATCGTGTGTTTTAATTCATATAAATAGGTACTATTTATAATAATAAGTCGTAGCTTTTCTAGGAAAATATTTAGACGTCTTTAAAATGGCAAATACAGGCAAGAAGCAGCTTTGGTGAAGCGCCAAGAACCCTACGACCTAAAGTATCAAGGTATTTTCGAAGTAGACAAAGAAGTTCAAAAATATCAATGTTGTCCAACTTATATGAGGAAGGAGCATCTGAGAGACGCGGTAGACATGCATGGTATGCTTATAAAGTTAGTACCAGGTCAGCACTTTTACTTGACAAAATGCTGGAACCTCTACAAGAATAAGCCGTGCCGATTCATCGAGAAACGCATCCAGGACAGATCTAGATGTGTGCAACAGTATACCTACCAGTACGCAGCTGGATGGCCAGCCCACCTATCTCCTCACAATAATGTAGCTTTGCACGCCATTCGGATACCAATCGGCTGCGAGTGCCGAATGATACCCTTAAGGAAAGATTTTGGGAAATAATAAGCTCTAGGCCTATATATCTATGTCGCGTCGATTTACGTCGTAAAAAAGTAGAAACGTGCTTAGTTTGTCTCAAAAAAAACTTATTGTTTATTCCTTTTACTTTTTCCCGTCAGTTGAAAACTCGTTACTGTATAACGAAACCACAGATGGCGCCACGTCTTTGTGGCTGCCGTATTTTTATCATATTAATGTATATATATATATATATAGATATATATATGCATATATACATATATATACATGTATATGTTATATTACTGCAAAATATACATATTTCTATATATTATAAGTACAAATCATCCGGTCGACGGTTCTTGATATTTTGCATAAGAGGAATAAATATCATTAAAAGTAAAGTTACAAGGATGGTGCAGGTGAGGAAAAGTATAAAGAGTAATTTATCGCAGATATGTGCAACAGCCTGCCATTCGTTAATAAGTTCCTCTTCCTCATCATCTTCGTCCCGTTTGGCAACAAGAATTTGCAAATACTTTAATATATCTTCTAAAAGACCAATGCGCTTCATAGCGTCCCCATTCGGTATTTCTGCATTCTTTTGTCGAACGCTACGTAATTCCGCCACGGGACTAGTCCTGGATTCGTTCATCAATCTCAGACAAACATCAGCATTCTCATTCCTGGGTCTTTTAGGCTTCCGTTTCCTATCTGAATAACAGCAGGTCGTGTCGCATTTGCAACCGAGTAGTCTTGCTAGTCGATACAACACAAAAGTTCTAACCCATTCTGGAACTGGGCGTTGCTTAGGACCGCAATGGTGTAATTTTAATACAGCCACAGTTAAAATAACTGATATAGAGGTGACAGCCATGGATACTGTTATGTAAATGCCTGTATATATAAAAGAAATAAATTAAATAATAAATATTTGTATTAAACAAGTAAAGACACTTAACCTAATACTTTATCTATTTAAAATGCATCATTTATTGTATTCTGAACATAATTAATATTTACGGTATATTTGATATTATAGATTAATGTATAAATTGGGTAAATATATAAGCAGTTAGTAGAGTTATGGAATATTTTAGTTTATAGATATATCAATCTAAATACTGTATATTAATAGATAATGTAATTGGCAAGCCAGCCGTACGACGTACATAGTATTGCCGTAATTTTCATTGCACTGAGAAATCTATCTAAAGGTTTTTCCTATAAATTTTTATGTATTTATAAATTTATTTTTTATGCCATAATATCCTGAAAGCCTTTTATCCAACTTATTACACTTACCGACCAAAGGCACGAATTCGGAAGTGGGCGGCATATTTTCGGCGACCAAAAGCATAAATACGGAATACGAAAGCAGGACGGTTATTCCTAGTGTGATCTTCTCTCCAGCATCGGGCGGTAAACAAAAGGCTAATAGGGACAGTATATTGAGCCAAACGCAGGGAAAGATTATGTTTATAATGTAGTACAATATACGACGCTTAATCACGAACGACACAGTTATGTCCGGGTAAACGGCGGGTGAAATCGGGTAGATAACTTCGTTTCGACGTATTCGAGCTTTCAACAACTGCCATTCACCGTTAGATATGTAGTTGGATATATCTACGGCGTTACTCTTATTCACAAGATCCACTTGAGCCTGATCATAAGTCCAGCTGCCAAATTTTAAGGAGCAAGTCTGATAAGAAAAGATCGCAAATACGGATTAAAAACATTTAAATAAAAAGACTTAAAGGGGATAAAGATTATGTGAAAATGTTTTTCCCATTCATTAGAAGAGAATGAGATAAATCTGGAGGGATTTTAGGCTAGAAAACACAAACTTGCTCATCAAATGGAAAATATGTTGTATCCACTTTACAGCTGCTCCGTAGACGAGCGGGAGGACTCCAAAATATCTTTCCATTCGAATGAACCTGCCAGTCGTAGACATTATAAACTTTATTGAAAGTATTACAATTAAAATGTATAAAACTTAAATCTCATTTGCCAGAGTATACAGTATGTAAATTATCATTATAATTTCACTTTTAATTACAAAACACTGTATAGACAAAGGAAAACTTTTAAATAATAAAAAAAGAAATTGCCTATTTTAAGGGTACAAGCGTCTATTACTGTGTTAATACATTAATAGATTACATTTTATGGTTAATTCCATTTTCTCTTTTTCACTGTGTTTCTTTTTTTTCAAAATCTAAAATAGGATATGCTTAACCAGAGGCAAGAATCTCTAATGTAAATCTTATTAGAAACATTTTTTCCACGAGTTGCTTACAGAAAGTAATATTTATTCTCTCTTTTCTCTATCCCATTCCAACAAAATAGTAACAGAAATATCATTGGGATATGTTTTTTGCTGAGTAAGCAAATTTCAGTAACGTTTAAGACCTCTAAGGAATATCTTTTGTTTCTTAGTAAGAATAATCTTGTTGGGTTGAAAATCGATTCCTGATACGAAAAGCAGAAAACTAACTTAAAAATAATATCTATACTTATTGTATCATATTTATAAGTCATGCTATATTTAAGCCTAAAATCTTATTTTAAAGAAAAATTACTACTAAAGCAGTATTAGATATATCATTCTATAATACTATTTTACCTATAAGAGAAATTTACTGAATGGATTTTCTTTCTATCCTTTTCTAGACGCGTTATAATGCGTCATAAGTAGCAAAATACAGTATATAAGCAGTAAGAAGAGTTAATATAATTAATCTACCTTTCATTGTTATTTTTATACAGATAACATTCCTCTATTAGTTTTCTTTTCAAGATGTAAAAACAAAACCAAAAAAGTCTTTACTTAATTAATGGTAAAAGAAAAAGAAAAAGTGTTAGTAAAGAGACGCTTTTTTTATTTTATATCTTAGATAGACTCTAAATATCTACTGTATTATAGACAGATATATAAAACGTTTAAATTAGAAAAATTTAATTTAACATTATTAAATTTAATAGACTTATTTATTAAAAAATGCCAATTCTGAATTAATATTATTAAAACAAGGATATACTGCATATATGACAACTAGATATACCTTTTTTTTTTTACCTTAAAATTAATTAATTATATGTAAATAGATAGAATTTTTAATGTAATACATTTGTCACGAATCTTTTACATATTTTTCTATTTCAGCAATATTACTTTTTCTAATTCATTCTCTTTGTTCTTAAAAATGGAAATCAAATTAAAGCACTCTATTACCAAGAGACAGATATACAGAGGAAGAGGAGGATAAATAAAAAGAAAAGAAGGAAAAAAAGAGAAAGAGACAGAGAGTGAGACAGAGAGAGAGAGAGAGAGAGAGAGAAGGAGGGAGGGAGGTTAAGAAAAGAGTGAAGTAAGTTGAAATTTAAATTATTGCAGTCGTCATCAATAATTAGATAAAATTTGAGTAACTAACTAAAACTAACTATCCAACTAATGAACGATCTCTATAATTTGAATTTATATATTTATTTTTTTTTACTTTCTAATACTAATATAATCTATTTTTAATAAAACTAAAAGGAATCGAAATAGTATGAATAAATTATGATAAATAATGCATATCTTTTTATTCTAATTTCCTTTATGTTATTTTTTTCCTTTGGAACGAAAAGAGTGTGGAAAATAGATGTCTTTAACAATATGTAGAGTTATATACACAAATTAATTTAGTATGATCAAGGGTTGTCAGGTAGCTACTACTCTTTATTACAAAAATAATCATTCATTAGTGTAGAAGCTAATTGTTATAATTGATATATTTACTTAAAAATATATATATTAGACCTCTTAGGCCTAAATGAGGAAGGGGGTGTAAGTTATTGTAATCACATCGGTTTGGGCTGTGAAGCACTTAGGCGTAGAAAGTAAGTAAATGTTAAAGTTGATATAAATAATTGAAATTAGAATTCCAAGAAAAAAATAACTTAGCTAAAATGACTTTTTTTTTCATTTTTTTGATATTTAACGTGTTATCGAATAAGTAAATTAGACATTATTTTATTACGTAATTAAATTAGTTAAAAAGTTCGATTGAAAGTTAATTTTAAGAGTAATAACTATATAGACAAAAAACTTTATACTATATTTTATATTTATAATATATAAAAATTAAATAAAAGAACTTATCTAAGCATGAATATAATAAAAAAAATTTATGCTCCCTCATAAAAATTTTCAATTGAATTAGTTCTTTTGCATTTATTTACATTTGAATAATTACTGCTTTTAAAATCTTAACCGGGCAAAAGAATAATAATTGAGCTACTACTGTTAAATTATCTTTTTTTTTTTGTTAATTTAGTTTTCTATTGGCGGTTCGTGCTGGAGAGAAATTGAGAAAAGTTAAAGTGAAAAGGAAAGGGACTGGGGGAAGATAATGTTTTCTTTTTAAATACAAACCATAGCGTTGCTTGGCATATATCCGTTTGTAAAGTCATCGGCGCTAAGTAATAAAAAATAGAAAAGTTTATCTATACTTCCTAAATATATAAACTATATATATAAATAAAAGTAATGCTTTGAGCTCTTACTTATTATATAATACTATATCGGGAAGCCAAAGTTTAGATGAAGGAATTCTGATGATTTTCAAGCCACCGAATTCTTCAGGAAACCACCCAATGCGTTCATCAACCCATTCGTGCTCCAACCAAACATTCGTGACTAGCACTTGATTTTTCTCGTCCTATTACGCAAACAAAAAAGAATGGAATAAAATCTCAAAAGAATTCGATTCTAACCAAACGTGCGTTAAATTATTGATGAGCTTTAGGGATGGGAAAAATTTCTGAGCTAATCTATCATTGCTAGCGACATTATTGAAGAATCGGGGCGTATCGTCAGAGGCAAACATTAATTGAACCAAGTTCAAAAAAGGAAACTGCCATTACAGATTCCGCTATTTAAACTCGAATTATACGGGAAGGGAAAAGGAATAAGATAGTAATCAGTTGGCGGCGGTCGAGTATAATCGCATTGCAGTTGAAACAAATGGCCACCGTCTGCAACCTTCATCTATTGTTGTTATCTTTCTAAATGAAAACCCATATCTCATTTCTCTATATATACTATGATTCCTAGTTGCTTAAATGAGAAGAGTAGTAACGAACGGAAATGAATGTTGACAAGCATTTACAGAATGTGACGTCGTTATAAGAGAACCCAAATTTTCGTATAAGATTTCAAATTTTGATTGTAACAAAATTGATTTGCAGTTGCCAAAAATAATTCTGTTAAAGGCAGATTGCGACATTCTCATCTTTCCTATGTATACTTTAGATATATATATATAGTAATACAGTATATGCGTACTTATATATATAAATGTTTATATTTATCTTCTCTTAGCTGAGACATACAAGGGACCGAAAACTGAGCTGGAATCCACTAATCTTAATTTCCTTACTTTCAAATCTAAAATTGTGATTCTGTATTAAATTGAACTTAATGAGACGTGAGAGATTAATCTAGTTATCCCTTAATATAAAACCATAAACTGATTAATTCCCTCTAATTGTTTAATCGAACGTTTAACATTAGCTGCATTTCCACGCTAAGGGAGGGAAAAATGTTGTATTAGCGGAAAAAATTATTCAAGATTCGAATAGTATGCCATTAATTAATGCAGATTACACTGTTGCACCCAAGCAAGATTATACGAGAAAGTTACGACTCCCAGCAGCGATAATGATTACCTGAAACTTTATGCATTTATCCGTTAGGTTTCTATACTAATATTCTTTATATCAGTAAAACTTATTGATTAATTCGCTTAAAGAGCATTTTTGAATGAAAATGAAAAAATAGCAAAGTAGTATCATGACATGGTCAATTGCCTTAGAATCCAGAATG